TTGGCTGTCTAGCCATTATTGTCTTTTTCTCACTCTTAAATAAAGGTTGAATATATGATGCAGCATGAGTGGTCCATTAAAATGGAAATACAAAATGACATTGTATGTACCATGGAGGAGTAAAATGATAGATGGCCTTGTTCACCCTGCTGTCCTATCCACCCTCATCTCATCTGCCAGAGGCCCTAAGAGATTGATGAGATCGTCACCCAATGCTCATCCATATACCTGAATACACAGAGCCTCCAGCTCACAAGCCATCCTGTCCAGTGTCTGCATGGTTTCATCCTGTTGTATTTGGAAATCATACATTCAATCCTCATAGTATTGGCAGTGGGCCTCAGCATCACAGAGTTGATGTTCCAAATCTTTGATTTGCTCTTCAATTGTGTTGGATGTTTGTGACACCTTGGTGATTGGGGCACAGACAAGTGACAATGTGCTGGGAGTTGCAGTGGTTGTGAGTTGGACAGGTGCTGCTGTTGTTGATGGGTGGGTGTCTGCTTTGAATACAAGGGTTAACCATGATAATTAGCATAAATGTAGAGTGATTAAATGTACCTTCTGCCATAGATCCCTCTACCTCCTGTGCAATGGATGGGCCAGCCTCAACAATTGAATCTGCTCATACAGCAGCTGGGATTGGGTGGGAATCCCTGTGTTTGAATGCAGGAATACAAATCTCTAAATAAAAGTTGAGTCAGTGTAAATACATGAAATTGTGAACATACTAAGTGAAGATCCCTCAGAAATCATCTCTCCCTGGTTGGAGGGCCCAACCCCAGCTTTGATGGCTTTGGAAGCCATCAAAACATGTCGCTTTGGGGGACGTTCCTTTGGGCTTTGGGATTCTTGGGCCTCCATTGTCAGGGACAGACTTTGAGCTCACTTTTTTCCCCTGGCTTGCAATGGATTCCATCAAGTTGGAGTGGCAATCCCACCTTTGGCATGGCTACATCAAATTTTGCAACTGTTGCATGGGGAGCAGGACTTCCCAGGGTTCTTGTAGCATTGGACCTTGTGTCTGCAGCACAACTTGCAGGAATGGGGGTCAGGGGAAGGCATCCTTCTGGCAGCTACAGCAGTGCGACCATATAGTCCATCTGACAGTGGATGAGGCTTGCATTTTAATTGGCCTTGAGTGGGAATGTCTTCATCATTGTCAGTTTCTGCTGTTGCCTTCCTAGAGCAGGATCAATGTCTGGACCAATGGGACATCATTTTTGCAGCAGCTTTGCACTTCTGCCTGCCTCACACTGGTTCTTCCTCATCATCCTCCTTCTCTGGCACCTCATCTTCACCCTCATCATCCACCCCCATCCTGTGTGAGCTATCTGCTATCATTTGCTCCACCTCTGCCTTGGTTGCTTTCCATTTTCCATTGTCACTCATAGGTATTTCAGTCTCTTGAGTGGGTGGTGTTGGTGTTGGCACCATGCAGGGCATAGGGAGGCCCAGCCAGTGGTAGTCATATCAATGCTCAACAATGTTGAGCCACTTGTGGTTGGCAATGTCAGTTTTGGAAGGGGACAGGGCAGTCTTCCACTCAGGCCATGGGTGCTCAATCAAGCCAAGGTCTTCATGCCACTTTAAGAACATGTCAACACTGATGAGGGTCATTGGAATCTCATCCATCCTAGCAATGAGGTTGCATACAGCATCCTGAATGCATCAGTTAGTGAAAAAAAACATGATGATGCTATGACACACTAGTTCATCATTTATCACCTTGATGGCACCTCTCCACTTTGCAATCTTGTCCACCTTTCCCAGCTTGCTGCTTGCCACAATATCCTTGAAGTAAATTTGAAGGATGTAGTTGGCTGCAGCATTGAGCTCAGGAAATTTCTTGAAGAGCTTGTGAGATGATGATGACAATGACATGTTTCTGATGACAAGATGATGGAGTAGTTTGATGGTGAGAGTGGTGATGGTGATTGGAGAGTGGAAGAGTCAGAGGTTAAAGATGGACAATGAGATACGTGGATGTCACATTTTTTATCCTGCCTATGAATGATTCCCATGGCATGATGGCAATACCGGTACAAGTCAATAATCCCAAATGCATATATGAAGCAGAGGCTCAGATAAAAATATGATGCATTGTTCTGGAATAGCATTGCTGTTTGTTTTGTGTGTTTCCCATCTCCTCCAATGGCAGAGCCTGGCTCACAGCTACATAGACCAGCACCTGAGATTCCAACTAAATAGGCAAATCATCCAACATGAAACACAATTTATAGTGGGAAATTCAGATACTCTATAGTGTGAGAGGTTCCACTTTCTTCATTTCTTGTCTTCCTGGGCCTGTCTTATATTGTGACAGGGGGATAACCCAATTATGGATAGGCCTGTCTTATGTTGTAACACTGGTTTTTGTTTTCCCTTATCTGCTGCCTGAGAATACCATGGATGGGCCTGTCCTTATGTAGATCCCTTTGATCTCCCTTTCTGCTGCCTGAGAATGCCTTACATGGACCATCCTTATGTAGATAGCTTGGATCTCCCTTTCTGCTGCCTAAGAATACCATACACAGACTTGTCCTTATGTTGCAACAGGGGTGCATCTTGCTAGATGGACCCATCCATTTGTTGTGATGACATATATGATACTACTGAAGGGCCTGTCCTTATGTTGTGACACTATTAGATGATATTACTGACAGGCCCATCCATATGTTGCAACAATATAAACAATACTACTGAAGGGCCCATCCTTATGTTGTGATGCTATTAAACAGCATTACTGATGGGCCTGTCTTTATGTTTTGACAGGGTACATCTTACTGGGGCTGGGCCCACCCATATGTTGTGACAATATAAATAATACTACTGAAGGGCCTGTCCATATGTTGTGATGCTATACATGAGATTACTGACAGGCCTGTCTTTATGTTTTGTCAGAGGCACATCTTACTGTGGACAGGCCCATCTTTATGTTTTGACAGGGTACATCTTACTGGGGCCAGGCCCACTCTTTGACAGGGTACATCTTACTGGGGCCAGGCCCACCCATATGTTGTGATGCTATGCATGAGATTACTGACAGGCCCATCTTTATGTTGTGACAATATAAATAATATTACTGAAGGGCCCATCCATATGTTGTGACCCTATTAAATGATATTAGTGACAGGCCTGTCTTTATGTTTCAACACAGTACATCTTACTGGGGCTGGGCCCACCCATATGTTGTGATGATATAAATAATACTACTGAAGGGCCTGTCCATATGTTGTGACAATATAAATAATACTACTGAAGGGCCCATCCATATGTTGTGATGCTATACATGAGATTACTGATGGGCCCATCTTTATGTCTCATCAGAGGTACATCTTACTGTGGACAGGCCTGTCCATATGTTGCATAATACTACTGATGGGCCTGACCTTATGTTGTGACTCTATTAAATGATACTAGTGATGGGCCTGTCTTTATGTTTCAACAGCAGTACATCTTACTGTTGACAGGCCCATCTATATGTTGTGACATTATGAAATGACATTACTGATGGGCCCATCTTTATGTTGTGACAGGGGTATGGCTTATTATGAATGGGCCTGTCTAGATGTTGTGACACCATAAATGATATTACTCCTGGGCCTGTCCATATGTTGCCAACTTTGTATTCTAATCATAGACAGGCCTGTCCTTATGTTGTGACCCTCTCCATGTTATGATAGGTGGGCCTGCCTTGATGTTGCACAGGGGTGTAACCTACCAGGACAGGCCCATCCATGTCTTACAGCAACTCAGTATACTTAATTGGTCACAGGCCCATCTAAATGTTTCAACATCCTTACCCACCATGGGCCCTCCCATATGTTGTGGTAATGCACTTACAGGCCCATACATATGTTGCTCTCACTTTAGTCCCTCAGGCCTGTCCATGTGTACCAGCTAATCTATATAGGTGGGCCTGTCTCAGGGTCTATATAAGTGTTGGTGTTTTGGTGCACAGGCTGCCCATGTGTTGTGACTAAATGTGACTACACTATGTGGAATAAAACTCTCTTGCAGAGAAATTCTGCAGCCAGCTGAAGAAGCTGCATGCATGAAAAATGTACCCTACCATGCTGCTGTAGGCTCCCTCATGCACCTCACTGTTGGAACACATCCAGATATTGCATTCACTGTCTCCACAGTTGTGCAGTTCAACAATGCACCCAACATGACTCACTGGGAAGCCATAAAACAAATCTACAGGTATATTGCAGGCACAAAAGTGCTCACTTTGATGTTCAGAAATACAGAACAACACCTCAAGGGCTATACCAATGCAGATGGAGCTTCGCAGGAGCATCAACATGCTATAAGCAGATATGCCTATATACTGGATGGAGGAGCTATCAGTTGGGCCTCATGGAAACAAGAACTTGTAATGCTCTCCACTGCTGAAGCAGAGTACATCACAACAACTCATGCAGCCAAAGAGGGCCTGAAGCTTTGATAACTCATTGGGGAAGTTTTCTGACCACTCAAACATCCTATCCTGCTGTATTCCAACAGCCAATCTGCCATTGCACTCACCAAGGATGGCAGCTACCACACTTGCACCAAGCACATTGATATATGATACCATTTCATTTGTTTTGCTGTGGAAAACCATTCTTTTCATTTAATTTATTGTCCTACTGGTGACATGGCTGCTGATACCCTTACCAAACCCTTACCAAGCATCAAAGGTGAAACACTTCATGTCTGCACTCAGACTTCACTCTGATTGAGGGGGAGTGTCAAGAATGCATTCTGGAATTACAGTAGCCTCTCAGAGTTTCTCCCCAACCCTTGGAATTAAATTCCAATGTCACCATGCTTACTAATTATGGTACTATAAATTTTCCACACCATTCTTTTCCACCTCAGTGACTACTCTGTATACTGAGGTGAGCATACTTATACTTACATTCATTTACTTGGTACTGACATAGTGCAGATACTCATAACTTTGTTAGGTACCAATGCAGTGACTACTCCATACACTGAGATACTCATAACTTCATTAGTTACCCCAATAGTTCTCATTGTAATTGTAGTACCTTGAAGAGATATGGGAATGAGAACCAGACACCAAAACAAAGCTAATTCCACATGGCACAACCACTGAGTACTGATTTGAATTGTGCTAACATGCTAGCTGCAGCTATCCAGCCCAGCTGAGGATAGTCAGTGATCAGTTGATCAGTACCACAGGTGAGTAACAAGAATGCACTATTACCTTCTACATCACAAGTACACTGTCTCCAGCTTCAGGTCTTCCTCATCAGTAGACCACTTTGTGAGCTGGTAGTCCTAGGGAATCTGTCCAGTGCTGGACAGCTCTGGACAGCTCTGGCCAGCAAAAGTGATTTACTGATGCTCCCTATTGCCCACAATAGTCCATTCCATCTTCGCAAAATACATGCACACCGCATCACCAAACCTGTCGTTGAACCGGAAAGTAAGCGGTGCGTCCGTCTCGTACCTTTCCCAGTTCGTACGTGACGAGATCCTTCGCAACAGGATGGCATATACGCGTTCGAGAAGTCCTGACACGAGCGTCACGGGGCTGCCGCCAAAGATACCAAGCGCAAATTCGTCTGTGCTGGACTTAAGCGGGGTACCTTTCACCATAGCGATGTCATTGAATAGAGAACAATAAACACGGAGATCGCTGGGGCTGTCACGGTCATGTGGGGGAGCGACGTGTGCAGGAACGACCAGTAGCCTCATCGATAAACCTACGTTGGTTAAGCTGAGAAGGACGTCGAAGGAGCTCATCTTCAGAGCTTCCAGTGCGCTAATCTTCAAATTGCTGGATAAATAGCATTCAGGGCCAGAGGGAATCATGCGTGAAGGATGGATATGACGCGGAACAGCCTTGCCTGCCCATAAAAACCAGTGGCGCTCACATGCCACATCTAGAATCGCCTGGAAGAGCCTGAAGAACGCACGTTCCGGGCCCTCTCCATACGCAACCAACAAGCCGACACCAAATACCCCCATCATGCAGTATAACTTGTCCTCCGATCTCGTGGTGAGCCTTCGAGCCACCCACTTCATGCGTTCAGGCAAAGATGGGGACACGAACCCGGGCTCAAAGTCACGAAAATGACGTGGCTTTATACCAGTTGCCGTCAAGATGGCATCGCTGAGAAGGCGAAACTGGAGGGAGTAGGTTCCACCACTGAGCATTCTGGCATCCTCTTCACGTATCTTGTCGTTCCGAAAGTGGGTAAGCGGGAGCCAGTCCTTGTTATGGAACTTTGATCGTGACGGCGCAAGCAGCTCCTGCAAGGTCCACCCCCGTGTGAACCAGCGATCGGCAGCGAGGTCAGGCAGAGACGTTGTTTGGCCGACATAAGCAATACAAATGGCTGCATTGTGATACCGTGCGGACATCGAACGGATCGATTCATCCAGTTCTGCGCTACTGGACTTGTCGATACCGACCGTGTCTGCCCAAGCGAACTCGAGATTGTAATCTTCGTGGGCGATGTTGCAAAAATTATCGAGTTTCTTGTAGCCCTGCTTACCATGGCAGGACGATTGGTGGAAGTCTTGGTAATCGGGCTCTTCCACTCCCCAGGTGTGTGATAGGATGGCATATCTTGCGATGTCCTCCACCCACTTAGAAATGATTTCGTCGCGCGCCCTGCTCCGGGAATATTCATCTTTGGTAGCCTAAATCATCGGGTCGGACATACCTCTTGCGCCACTGCTCTGGCTTGTCGCATCACATTCTCGAGCTTCGTCTTGACGAGACAATCTACTGCCATACTTCTTTCTATGAGCTTCATCTTTATGACCCCCAGGGGGACGTTTGCAAAGATATAAGACGGAATCCTTGACTGGGCAACGCTGCGCAGACTATCTCCACTAGAGCGATGTCTCCATTACTGTAAATCCGGTCATGAACTTATGTTACGCCACGTACCCGAGGGGACTGCTACTGGGATGAGGATACTTATCGTATATGGGGATTGAAGAACGAGTGATGACACACGTACGACAGAGACAACTGTCTGAGTTGTGTGTAATCCGACTCGCTGAACTGCTCCAAGCACGTAGTGGCCGGATTCCTGTGTACGTCAGAACTTTCGTCTTTTGGTTTTAAAGACTACCAACCCCACTCACGGAGCGGGTTTATCCACGATCAAGGTGGACTGGTCGAACGATTTGCAAGAGACAATATCTATCAAAGCCCAACATGACATGCAGAACACGCTCACCCTCTGTGAGGCATGACATGTACGTGTAAGTCAGTAATGAAGGGGGTGTGCTGGCTTCGTCGAGTTTCCGGTGGCCTGGGCCAGGTTATAAATCTTGCACTTCTCAAATAGCTAGTTACTGATAATCGAGTGTTGAATGACCCAGGCGTAAGTCAATCATTCCTGTCTCCAAAGCAACTGTCCATGCCAGGCGCCTATTGCCTACGAGAAACTTCGTGCTCCGGACCACCGCCTGCCGTGTCGTTGAGCACGGGCCAAAGCACGGCCACGTCCACCCTCGGTTTGTCCTTGACAGACACTTTGAGCCAGTCAAGAACGTACTACCAACCAAGTTACTTGATGGTCAGACACCCCTAGCTACTATGCCTTACTCATTCTGACCCATACCATTTACACCCTCGTAGTCGGCACAGCAGTACAATGTGAGCAGATAGGTTATCTCTCTCATAGCCATTCTTTTTTCCTGACATGAATCCAAAATAAGGTCGTGTCTCGGAACACCCAGCATACCAACGAAATACAAACAAAGGTGAAGATGAATCTCGCCTTCCCTTACGGTGGCGCATCCCACTTCTATGTTTGAGAGCTCCACCGGGTGCGTTTTTTTTACGCTCAAATGTCTTTTGGCGACACGACTTTTGGCATGTCTGCCCCACCACAGAAGGTACGCGTGTCTCGCCTTTTTTTTCCTTTTTTTCCACCACTAACGCTTTTCTCGAGACAATTTCACTTTCCCCTCTGCACAGCGCACACCTAAATCCGAAAGAATGTCTTCCCCGTCACCATTATCATCGTCGTTGAATCCCCCCTTGGAAAATATTCTGTAAGTACTTCGAGTCACTGGGAATCACCACAGATCCAGAACAAATTTCCTCAAATCTCTCGTATCCTCAGTGCCGCACTGACATGCTCTACACGGGATTGACGTACATCAGATTTAGTGTCACATTTCCCGGAGCCCACACGTCGCTTGAATGCTACAATCGCTAGCCAGCAAATGTTGCGAAGAGACTCTCTTGCCTTTGGTCTCGGCATTTGCAGGATTCCCACAAGTTTTCCTAATAGTTCTCATTGTAATCGTAGTGCATATCCAAACTTCGGACAGGTACGGGAACGAGAACCAGACGCCGACTCACAAGGCTAATTCCACACGGCAGAACCACTGAATACTGATGAATCTTGGTCCGGCTATCTGGTCTGGCTGGGGACAGTCAGTGATCAGTACCGTGGGTGAGTGACAAGAATGTGCCCCTTACTATATATCACAAGTACACTGTCTCCGGCTTCACGTCCAACTTCATTTCTCCCCTATCATCCACAATAGTGTATTGCATCTTCTCAGCGGAATACGTGCCTACCCGATCTCGAAGCTTGTTGAGCCGGAAAGTAAGGGGTCCGTCCGTCTCGTGCCTTTCCCAATTCGTCCATGGCCCGCGCCTTTGCAACAGGATGGCATACACGCGGTCGAAAGATCCCGACATGAGCATCATCAAACTGCCACTAAAGATACCAATCGCAAATTCGTATGCGGTCGGTTTAGGCGGGATACCTCGCACCGTACCAATAGTCACTGAACAAACGACACGAAACGCGGAGATCGCTGGGACGGTTACGGTTATATTTGTCACCTTGGGTACCGATGCGTGCAGGAACAACCAGCAGGCTCATCGATAAACCTATGTTGGTCAAGTTCAAAGGATCGTCGAATGACCCCAATAGCACAGATTCCAGATGCGCTAATCTTAGAGTTGCTGGATAAATAGCATTCAGGGCCAGAGGGAATCATGCGCGAAGGATGGATATGACGCGGAACAGCCTTGCCTGTCCATAAAAACCAATCGCGGCGGCATTCCACACCTAGAATCGCCTGAAAGAGCCTGAAGAATGCACGTTCCGGGCCCTCTCCATATGCAACTAACATGCTGACGCCAAATATTCCCATCATGCAATACGATTTGTCCTCTGCTCTCGTGGTGAGTCTTCGGGCGACCCACCTCATGCGTTCGGGTAAAGATGGGTCTCCGAACCCAGGCTCAAAGTCACGAAAATGATGTGGTTCTATACCAGTTGCCGTCAAGATGGCATCGCCGAGAAGGCGGAACTGGAAAGAGTAGGTTTCACCACTGAGCTTTTTAACATCCCCTTCACGTATCTTGTCGTTCCGGAAGTGGGTAAGCGGGAACCAGTCCTTGTTATAGAACTTTAATCGCAACGGCGCAAGCAGTTCCTGCAAGGTCCATCCTCGCGTGAACCAGCGATCGGCAGCGAGGTTAAACAGAGATATTGTTTGGCCAACATAAGCAATACAAATGGCCGCATTGCGATACCATGCGAACATCGAACGGATCGACTCGTCCAGTTCTGCGCTACTGGACTTGTCGATACAGACTGTGTCCGCCCAAGCGAACTCGGCTCCGTAATCTTCATGGGCAATATTGCAGAAATTCTCGAGTTTCTTGTAGCCTTGCTTACCACGGCTGGACGGGTGGTGGAAGTCTTGGTAACTGGGCTCGTCCACTTCCCACGTATGTGATAGGATGGCATATCTTGCGATGTCCTCCACCGACTTAGAAATGGTTTTGTCGCGCGCCTTGCACCAGGAACACTTATCTTTGGTTGCCCAAAATCATCGGATGGGACGTACCTCTTGTGCCACTGCTTCGGCTTGTCGCACCACAATCTCGAGTTTCGCCTTGACGAGATAATCCACGACCGCACTTCTATCCATGAGCCTCATCTCCGGCAACTTTATGACCCGTAGGGGGAAGTTTGCAAAGATGTAAGAACGAATTTTTGACTGGACAGCACTGCGCAGATTATCACCAATAGAGCGACATCTCCGTGTTCGCCGCTCGAAGGGATTGTTACTAGAATGAAGATGTTCATCATAAAGGGATTGAATAATGAGTGATGACGCACGTACAACAGAGGTGATTGTCTGAGTTTTGTGTAATCCGCCTTGCTGAAGAGCTCCAAGCAAGCAGTGGCCGGGTTCCTTTGTAGTCATCGAAACTTCGTCTTTTGGGTTTTAAAGACCACCAATCCCACTCACCAAGTAGGTTTATCAAAGATCAATTTGGACGGGTCAAACGGTCTGCAAGAGACAATATCCATCAGTCCACTGTGACGTGTAGATACACACTAACTCTCTGCAAGGCATAGTGTGTATGCGACCCACAGTCTGTACGTGAGCCATAGTGTGTGCACGAGCTATTAAAGTGTGTACGCGAGACATAATGTGTGCGTGCGGATCAGCAATATCGATGAGGGGGGAATGCTGGCTTCGTTAAGTCTCCGGTGGCCAGGGCCAGGTTTTTAATTGTCGATAATCCATGCAAGTCCGGATACTTACGAATTCAGGATCTCCCCTGTCTTGAGTGGGTCACTGATAGTCCAGTGCACCTGAAGGTGTTGAGTTGAAAGGGTGCAAGTTATAGCAGTTTGCATAAATAATGCCAGTAGCAAAATATTTGGGTCGTGAGCTCCGCCCAATAAGGAAATGTACCAAGCTGGCATGAGAACACCAGTGAGACTAACTACCACGTCACCCTGACTCACCAAAATTCCATTGGAGATGGGTCAGAATTTGTGGTTGTTGATGAAAAGAGCAAGAACGAGTGCTTGTTTGTCCAGCACTATGGAAGAGCAGCATACAGTGACCATGCACAGCTAAAGGATGTGTTTGTTGGAGATCATAGATACTATGTGCCACAATGACAGTGGATGGGTACATTGCAGCACATGTTATCGAGAACTCCTTCAATGTAGAGCAGTTCTACAGTTTCATTGCAGAAGAAGTAGTATGTACTTACTGTGCCATGTCATGAGTACATGATGTAGTTTGGCTATCGCTGCAGTACATAAAATTCCTACATTTCCATATCGGGCAGAGCTCATGACGCGCTCACAAATATTTTGATCATTCTTAAATCCAAAGCGACTGGCGTCTGTTGCGTGTAAAGATAGATGGCGACAATTTTGAATGATAGTATTGGCGCATAGGCCGATTATGGAAGCAGACGTTCGAAGCATACCAAAATGCACGGAGTGATCTTGGGCGATATGGTGATATGTACAGCAGTAAATACTATATGAACATGCATCAAAGGCCGTAACTTCCAGCACGTTGACACCGCCCATGATACTGTGGTCGTTGGACAACACATGATGTATAGAATTTGGGTGACGACGTCCTAATGTGGCCGTCAACACACAAGCAGATGTATTTTGGTAAGAAGGTTCCCGTGAGAAATCCACGCGTCTTCCACTTCCTGCCATGTCGTCAAGCACGGGCCAAGGTACGACCAGCCCATGGGGCACCCCAGCCACGTCCACGCTCGGTTCGTCCTTGACAGACACCTTTGGCCAGTCAAGAACGCACTACCAGCCAGGCTACTTGATGGTCAGACACCCCCCAGCTACTACTTCTCATTCTGACCCGTACTATTACTTACACCCCAGTCGGCACAACAGTACAACGTGAGCAGATGGCTCTCCTCAGAGCAATCCATTTTCTCTGACATGATCCAAAAACAAGGCCATGCCTCAGAACACCCAGCATACCGACGAAATACCTACCGTACAGACAAAGGCAAAGATGAACCTTGCCCTCTCCCGCGGCGGCGCACCCCATTTCGGGACTGATTCCATGTTCGAGAGCTCCACCGGGTGTGTTTTTGTTCATACTCATAGCATTCGTCGTTCTCACTGAGTGTGTATTATGGTCCTCCAGCCAGAGACAGCCATTTGCGGACATGGACGCTCCTCCTACAGCTTCCATCCATGATGTCTTTGGCGACACGACCTTTGGCATGTCTGCCCCACCACAAAAGGTACGCGTTTCTTGCCTTTATTCTGTTTTTATAGCCACTCACGTCCCCCGTAGCGCTTCTCTCTAGACAATTCAACCTTCCCCTCTCCGTCGCGCACACCCAGATCAGAAACAACGCCTACCTCGGCACCCGTCTATGTCGTCGTCTTTGGATACCCTCCTGACAAGTATTCTATCACCGTCGAGTACTTTAAGTCACTCGGAGCCACCACAGATCCAGAACCCAACACCGAAATCGTTAACTGCTTTAGAATTGGGTACAGGGATGCAGCAGAGGCGACGCGGGCAATAAGGAGGAACGGCGAGGTCCTCACTGGGACGTACATGATCGGTGTCAAATGGGCCGTGAGTCTTCGCACCTCGTCACCCGTTCTCACTACAAGTTTTTAATGCTCCATTTCTAGGACCCTTTAGTAGCGGCAGAACTGGCGTCCTCGTCACGTCAGCCAGAATTTACGGTTTCGACGTCCCCGAATCATCATCCATCACATCCCATGGCCGTGGACAGCCCTCCACCACATACATCAGTAGGCACGCCCATTCGACTCGTCCCGTCCACCGCAGCATTCCGGAAACCAGGTCTCCAACCTGGCGCAACACCAACACAAAAACCTGCTGTCCCTGCGCCTCTTGCTGGCACCCCAGGACAAAGTCCCTCCGCCAGAGGGGTGATAAGCCAGGTTACTGATTTGCTCTTCGGGTGGTAGGACCAACCTTATGTCTGTCGTTGCTGTAATATATGGTTTTTGGGATAATGCATTGTCGGACAAAACTGTGAGAATGAATAAACAACAAGGTGCCAAAATGCACGGGGTAAGTACGGTGGAAACAATGCGGATGCTACCAATTTGCAAGTTGGGAATGTGAGATAGGTACGCTCTCCAATTCCTGCTCGTATTCCACGGACACTTTTGGACCCCCTATGTACGACGTTCAGCGGAAGACACTGAACGTAAAATGTAAACGCACTCGTTTTCTCCACTTTCTTTCGTGGAGGGGCTTTCGCTGGGGGTTTTGCTTTCCGTTTTCCAAGCAGTGTTTTTGGCCGTGCATCCTCTTCTTCACTGGGATCCTCAGATTCATCTCCCGAATCCTCTCCCGAATCCCCAGCCTGCAATCCGTCAGCGCACAAATACGAAAAGAGTAAATCCGCACACACCACTATGTCCTCTAAGTCGCTGAAACCCTCATCTTCGTCTCCACTTAGATCGCTCACAAACTCCCCCTCCATCTCTCCTTCCATCTCTTCCTCCTCTCCCTCGGTCTCGTCATCTACCAGACTCAGTTCTTCCTCAGCGTCCTCCAGCTCCTTCTCCTGCTTCTCTCCCCTTTCTCGATCTAATATAGCTTGCCATACACTCTCGTTCACGTTTAGTGGTGCATCACCATATGCTTTTGACTGGAGCCGCTCGATGAGCTCTTTTTCGATAGACCTCTCCAAGTGAGCCGCTGAGAGAGCTTTGCGCTCCCGTGTCGCCTCGCGACGCTCAAGTTTTTTCTTCACACCGACGAGTTTTGGTCTATGAGAGCACAATGTGGGGGAGGCAGATTAACTCCGAGCATCAAGCAAAACAAAGATGAAAACGTACTCTTGGCGTAATTTCATTCGTCGCATCTTGATGAGGTACTGCGTGATCTTCGTCACGCGCTGTTTACATTTGTGAATGATAAAATTTGGCCAGTATATGAGCTCTTTGTCGATCTACAAAAAGTAGGGGTCGGGGACGTGCGGAGGAAGGAGGCGATACAATCCGGTCAACGAAGTGTTTTTTCACAATGGAAAGACATTACCTGCTCCAAGGCTTTTGAATAGTTATTCGAGAGTTGTATCTTTTCCCACATCTTTGCAGGGGTATGCGCCCTCTCGATTGTCTTGACATACAGATAAAGCACACCTACACACCACATCGACCCGATCCCCATCAACGCCTGGGCTCCACAGACGCGCATACACGCATGTACTCACCTTCTCTCTCTCGTACGGTTGCATACCGCGAGTTTGCGAGTGGACAAGACTGACGATTACAGAAACCCGTCACATTATACTCGTTCCGACAAAAATTCTGTGTCACTGTTCTGTTGTGAAACTTGATCAGAACGGACGGATGATTAGTTAGGTTAGCGGCTCATGATACGCACTTGACTTTGTAAGAGCAGAATTGACTGTTAATGACGGACCATATCACGTCGTCGCTTTGCATGGTTGGTGAAGTATCCCCCGCATATACTGAGAGTCGACTTGCCCACTTCGGTTACACGTGATTACATAATCAGGTAGAGCGGTAAGTTGCTTGCAAGTTTTCTTTGGTCGAAGTCTCAGGATCTCAACGTTTGCGGTGTTCGAGTGTCAAATGTTCTGAAGAAGACTGGTTGGTTGTTAGCCCTGAATAATTTGTTGAATTGAAACCATGGCAGCTTCGTGTCACAATATTATCTAGAAGATCTCTTTCCCGCGGGCAAAAAGGTCTTTTGAGAACTGCCGTTCTGGCTGTGAGTCTGTGGCGACCAGGCTTCGCGGAGGCTCCTCCCCCTCCTGTTGCCATCCTTGAAGCTTTTGTCGCTCATTTCCTGAGGTTGTCCTGGGTGCAATCTTCCTTTGTCAACTTGACACTCATCTATTCTTCGATAGAGACTCGGCATCGGCCTCTTATATATTCCGCCATTACACTCAAAGTCCTGGTGATTCTACGAATAGATTGGATGTTCGCGAATTGATCTTTTGTAAAAGCACTGATGCCAACAAGCTTGCTACTATCTGAGTCCGGTACGTAGCTATGACATTAAATATACATTTTGGTTATTTCATACACAACGACCAAGTAAGCAATCCCCCCTCGAGTCGTCCCTCTGTGATCGCTGTTGTCTTCTCACGCTTGTCCTGCTTGCGTCCTGCCCTTGTGATCTCAAGAATCGCGATGCCCTGGCGCTGCGTGTCCGAGTGCGACGGCTAGAACGGGTTGTCCAGCTGACGTAGTTGCAGTGCTGCAAAGTGTAAAGCAATTTCCTCGTCCACGTTGACAATTTTCCTCTCTGTCTGGAATCTGTCGTAGAGAGCATGATCCTAGCCGTTATACTCTGGCGGACAACGTTCCAGCTTTGCTCGCCCATGAGAAACGTCGTCTGTCGAATCCACTGGATGAGGCTGTTAGACTGGAAAAATGTACGAGGTGGAAACGGTTGTGCCCTTCAGGGCAGGATCAGCAACCAGCCGCAATAAGCCAGGAGCAGTAGAGCCATGCGCTATCCCTGGGCACGAAAAAGGGTGAAGCCTTTAATGTCAGAATGCTACCTGAATCGGTAAAACTAATTATTAAATAAAGGTGAAAGGACCCACACGTAAAGGCACAGAGTACAGACCAGACAATCTTGGGTCTTGCTGAGAACAAAGCGCAAACACAACGATGGACCCACAGGGATTTCACCGATGGACGAGAAAAGTGCGGGTTGGTTGAGAAGTCAAAAGAAATTTGGGCTGTGTGTTGCCCAAGCCACGCAGATTGGAGAGCTGGGAAGGAGTTCACCACTGTTGGTGGACGTCGAGATGTGAGAGCGCAGAGGAAGATAAGACTAATGAAAAACATGGCCGGGGGGCCGGGGTCATCCCTGTACCCTATAGCCCAGGTCCCGTCTTGACAAGGTGTCTGACACTCCATATGCATTTGTCCCTGCGGCAGATTCTTGACCAGCCTTTGCCCCCTTCACACGAGTGGACTCGAGGAAGGAAAGCTGCTATCGACATGAGGGCCTACTGACCAAGCTGTGTGATAGAGTGGCAAGCAACGACGATACAAGGAGACAATTGCCCGTAACTAACTTGCATAAGTTTGCTCCAGACCAATGAAAGGAAGCGCAAGTCGATGCCAAAACGACATGGCATATCCACCCTCGGCTCCCCATAGCTTCTCGATCCACGTGTCCGCGATGATGACGAGCTAGGATCGATGCGTTAGTCAAAATCCGGGTCCGGAACAGTAGCCTCGAATGTGTCCTTACTAACGACTCGACAGGCTACGGAGATACCGGGCGATTGAGAACCGTCTTTGCAAAGCGAAACAAGGACTCAACGGCAATAGAAGAGAGTTGAATAGGCGAATTGCAGCCAACTGTTTAACTTATACTATTACTGTTAGTACTATCAATGCAATCGCATACTTGAAGTCACGATCATTAGGCACAGCGACGCCAGGAAGCGTCATATCCGTTCATGAGCAAAATAATGTACGCTATAGCAGCGCTGCCGCTTTAGACGTTCAGCCGCTTGGGAGGCGGTTGAACCCCTTAAGCGGCAGCGTGATTGTAGGGAGGACGGATGTCGCAGCAGGGAACCTCTCAGCGGACGTTCCGACCCATATCCCTTCAGTAGTTGGCGCTCTAGGGAACCGCGATCATCCAGGCGTACGCATGAGAGATCTAAGGACGAGACGAAGTTGATGCTACGAAGGTATACCGACGGAACTTCTTATGTAAGGCTCTTCGGTTTTGAATCGGATGAATACAAAAAACAAGCTCGGAGAGAGCATGCGTGCCAGGAGCGAGATATCGAGCCCATAGGCAGTGTATATGGGGACGATATCTCGCTCTTGACACACAACTTGTCACTACAGACCACACCAACGTGCCTCCCTCGAGCAGATGTCGTATGTTGACAACTCAGTACCTATCATATCGTGACAGCTATTAGTTTCCAACAGACCTTTGAAGATCCCAGACCACCAGTGCATTATTCCTAATGATTAGAACGTTGATACCAACCAACGACAATGTTTTATTAGTACGAGTGACACATTCATGGTGCAACTTCCTTGATGCTGCTCTCTTCATTCGATTCATTTGGATCATCCGCAGTATAGTTCTCTACCTTCATGTCATTCAGACCCAGTTCGTCGTTTTGCTGCCACGTTCTCTCGTACGTGATGATCTCCATGTTAGGGTCTGGATCAGGCGCATACAGGTTCTGCAGGTACGAGTTCGCGAGAGGATCATCTAAGATCAGAGTAAACGGCTTCTCAGCGGCAGTGATCTGTGCAAATAATATAAATCACGTTTCCCGTCCTTGCATTGATGGTAGGAATGACGCACCTCTTTTAGCTGCTTCAAGAAGCCCTGGAATTTTTGTCTGTCTTCGTCCACCATTGTGCTGGAGTCTCCAGCCGTATATACCTTTTCTGACAGCTCCTCGTAGACTTGCTCTAGGATACCTTCTACTGTTGTAAATCGTCCGCCGAGCGTTCCGGGCTGCAGCGCCAGATCTATCTCTGGTATCGTCAAGCCACATGTCTCGCTCTTCCAAAAGGCAAAGTCAGATATGAATGAGGACTGCGAAGGGAGAAGTCAGAAGCCATTCACTTTCAAAATATCTCTGCTCAAGTCTTCCCGATCTTCTACCCTCAGAGTAATTCTCTTCCCCTTATCAGAGATGGCAGCCCCAGACTTGACTTCGTTATCTCGGTATCCACAATTCTCGCAATTTGTTGACATGATCAACGTATCCTTGAAAAAACGTGTTAGCACCACACTGGGATCAGTTCCATGGAAGTGCGCACCTTGAAGTACGGAATCGATACTTTCTTCATGCGAGTTACTAGTGGACGTGTACATCGCGAACACACACCCGGGAACTCGTAAACTTCCTCATTTCCGTCCGCCTCTTTCTTCTCTTCTGTGGAATCTTCCTGCTCTGTTGAGTCCGGAGGAAGCAACCCTAGCGCACGATTTTGCTCTGCATTCCGGGCGTACGTCTTGAACGTCCACTTGGGGTCCGAAATGCTTCCAAGGAACTCGACGAAAGAATTGCCTGTGGGATCGTCAAGTTTGAGGGTGATGACTTGCTTGACGGGGTTTTCCTTGTTCTGTTCTGCTGCACTGGCAGCCCGCATCGCCTGCTCAATGTCATCCTCGACCTCCTCTTCGTCACCTAGAACTTCTTTAATTCCGTCGATAATTTGTTGAATCTTCGTATACGCCGCCTCATCTAATATTCTTCTCACAGGCTGGTCAGCACCCAGGTCAGTTGCGACGTCACGCAGCAGACCCTCTACGGTTGTAAGTTGTCCGCGAGCAGGCGGCAGTTGAAGTTCGAAATCCGGTATCTCGACCGTGCACGCTTCGGAGCGGACGATCTGGCGGTCCAGGTCGGCGCGATGTAGGACCTTGAGAGTATATAGCACACCTTCCGCTGCAGATAGAGGTTCAGATACAATAGAAACGCGTAAAATGTCAATGGGGAGGACGTACGTTTGATAGTACTGGCAGATTGTATCTCGTTATTCGCCGCACCACAGTGTTCACATCGGAAGCTCATCACGATCACTTCCTTGAAGTACGGAATCGAAGTTAACATCATCCGGGTGACACCCTGTAATCGGCATGTGCATGCACTCGGTCAGCCATTGCGATTCGCGATTACCAAGGATGGCGTGTTCTCGCCTGCTCGCCGCATTGCATGCATAGGGATTGCACTTCCTCAAGCGGCTTGTCATCGTCTTGCGTTTGGGCACCAGAGGCATCGCCCGGGTTTGCGTCTGCTTTGCGGGCGAGTTGGCCGATGGCGGGGAAGAATCGGTTCTGAGCCATTTTATGCTTGTGGAGTCTGGAAGTAACGGAAACGAATCCGAGTTATCTGTTCGAGGGTAGATCTACGAATCACAAACACTTTTATCGATTTCATGCACTAGGCTGCTAGTAATCAATCGGAACGGTGTGAAAGAAGCCAACTTGACGGAAATCTAAGTACGTAAATCAACACGAAAAGGTCAGGATGTAATGTACGAACGGTATGCAACAAGATATTATCGACCGCCTCATTAAATGCATGTTTTACAGCCAACAAAAGTAGAGCAGACAGAGGTATATAGCCGATGAGATATCACGTAGTTTTGACCTTCTGTCTGCGTTCCTCGATTTGTTTTCTGGTTAATCTAGTGCCCAGAATTACATCCCAATGTACGAAAAAAGGTTGTGAGAAGTTAGATTTAATTCCAATAGCCTGAAGCAACGTGAGTTCAAAAACCCCCCTAATCATCGAAGGAAAGTCACGGACCTGATGGTGAATGTCGTGGTAGTCTGCGTTATTCATCGTGAATACCTGAAGCGGATCGAATGGGAAGCTGTATCCGCAATGGTCGTCGACGGTTTTGCACGTGCTGAAAGCGAACAAGAACATGGCTTGTCTGACAGAAAGTCCAGCGAGGTATTCTGCCACAGCCGCACCACACGTATCCAGTATAAGACCTTCCAAAGGATGGTTGTACAATGCGCCAAAAGCGTAAGGCACGTAAAGCCGATGATGTACTGAGTGTAGTTGCTTGTACAGAAATTTGTTGGTGTGCATCAAACGGTGGAGGAAGTATTGCCATGTGTCGATGATGAAGCTAAGAGAAATGTGTCAGAATGTTATGCCGACCCGGCAATCAAAACCTACAGGGCAAATAGAAACTGCGCAGCCGGTATGCCCCACCAATACAACCAATGTGTGATATCGGCTCCTCCACGCTGCAGGAAAGCGTCTGCTATATGGGAACCAAGGATCAACCTCGTCACTCGCACCAAACTCTTGGCCACTGCCTCCATCTGATTATAACATGTAGTCGGAGATACGCGTGCGACCTCTGCAAACCATGCGTAGCCAAGTGCCGTTTGAATGGTGTGCTGGAGGATGACCGCCCAGAAGACTTCAGTGCGTGTTGCGCGGTTGCGGGACATCACCTCCTCCGACGGGTGTATTCGGTACTTGTCCAGCCATCTCCAACCGGACATGTCTAGACAGTGGAAAAACAACGAAAGCAACCAGTATGCAACAACCGGTGCCGCAAGAGCGAGCGCAGTGTCGGACACACTGTCAAAAAGATCCTGGCGCATAGCGAAGTAGAACGGAACCTTGAGGGTCGAAAGACATATGTTCTCCCCGTCTATGAAGCCAGAGCACGCGTGTGCTGTGTCGTTGAACAGCATTGGTACTCTAATGGTCGGGTCCAAAGCTGTCGAAAGGTCAAGATTAAGGTGAAGAGAAAGGTGCTCTCAAAATGGCGCTCCCATCCGGTGACAAAGTATTAGTACCGTGTCTGATCCTGTCCGATCCCATTCGGACTCTGCGCGCGTGCCCAAAGTTGAGACGAGTCACGTGAAAGAGGGGACCACATTCCAGATCCGACCCTGCAAGAACAACAGAATCGGGCATTTATATGTGTATGGTAGTAGAACTACAACATAATTCTAATGGAATATTCACATTACGGTTAGACGGTAGATAGTGAGGTGTACAAAAGCAAATCGCACAATGAGCGCAAAGGATACAAATGCGATGAATATCCAGATTGTCCAAACTTGCCGCCCGTAGAGGTCAATTAAAGAAATATGTTTCATTTGCATTGGATGGCCTCGCTTCAGCGGCCTGATATCGCATACGTCATTGCTCGTTGAGGTTATTGAGGAGCGTAGTCAGGCACCGCTTGGTGACCATGTCACCCTAAAACACCTTCGATGAGCAGGCGCTGGTGACGCAATATGAGCTCACCTTCAGGAGGGCACTAAACGTTTGGTCGCGGAGCGGCTCAGGAAGACACGCACGCAATGCTTCCCTTGCTCTGACGTCTGTGAGACAAAAACCGAAAACGGACCAACGCGTGTAAACTCACCTCACGTTGTCGCTCAACCTGAGATAGCAACGCACGACATGCTTAAGCAGTCGGACTGCTTGCGTTTCAACCAATTGGTTTACCATGTTACTCAGCACAGTACCCACGGCGTAGAACCGCTCGTAGGTGTGGCAGATGTAGGTTAAACCAGTTTCGTCAAGAAGAATCTTCTGGACAATAAAAATAGCAACAGTCTTGGATAATTCGGAGCCAGTCTCCATGATACGCAGGCAAAGGGGGATGATTTCAGTAGAGAGCAAAAAATGGATAACAGTAGAATTGTCGTTTTGCTGCGGTTCCATGATGGCGTCAATGTTAATCGCATGCAAGAACGTGGAGGGATATCCACCTTGACAAGGGCACCAATAACACCAAGAGATGTAAGCCGGAGGTACTCAAAGGGACGAGTTTTCGAAGTCGTGTTCAAGAACGGATAAAGAAAGAGGGGTATGTGAGCTGTTGCATCGGGTCAACCACTTACTATCCAGAAAACTTGTCACAAATTCTCACCATTAAGGAATAACTGCCGGGTCTCTGGGTGAGAAGCGACGCATTGCAGAAGCGCGAGGGCATTGCACACGCGGTTAGAAACGTGGGCGGTAAGATTGGGGGGTGAAAGGTATGGATAGACTGAGACAATTTCTTGAAGGAGAGCTGGCATAATACCTATAACGACACCAGAGAAGTGAGTTGGTAACCAAGGCCATGATCAACCGACACACCAAACGAATGCCAGAGCACTAAAGCGAGATCATCGTATTGTTCTCTCTTCTTACTCAACTCGAGCAACGCTGCCTCCCTGGCGCTGGGGTCAAGCAAGTCAATTACCAGCGCATAAATTTTGTTCTCCTCTTGAATTCCGAGCAAGTGGCTTTGATGAGACTGCAGGATGGCAGGTGTTTCGGCATACGCGGCCATGGTCGAACCAGAGAAGCGCTGTTGCGGGTAGGGACCAAACTGTCCTGTGTGTTGCATGTATGAGAGCGGCTTTGGAGATATGAGCCCCGCCATGATGGCTACGCTGGGAGGCTAATGAGTTGTAATGAGGACAAGCTGACGTCGGGCAAGTGCGGTGCCAAGCTGTGTGATTGAAGACTCGCAAGTCTCTGCGGTTGTTATGTAATCAAACCCTAACCCCAATCCGGCTATGGGGACGGTCCGACACCGATGGTATGACAGAATGTGAAGATGCTCATATCGACATCTACGGATACAAGACATGCGTGGATGCGGCTAACAATACATAAGTTGCATATGCAAGAAAGGAAATCTGTCCGATGTATCATGTATCAACGTCTCTTCTCAACTCCGTTTGTCCCCAATCAATAGCCTCGGAAAGGCGCCGGTGAGATGCTAGCTCGTTGTGGCTTAACAATGACCGGTATACACTACGACAGAAGTCAACGTATGATTCTTGAATCTTGCCAGGCGTGTCCGTCTGAAACCTCGTCAACTGACCGCAGCTCTGAAGATTTTGTGACAAACTTTCACCTGATATATGTCGCGCATTGCTAAAAACATCGACACGAGAAAGCCGACGTACACCTCACTCTCAACACTGATACCTGCACGGACACGTTCAGCAGCGTTCTTGAGGATAGCTAACTTTACGTCAGGACGTCACCATTGCAACGAGGATAATCTGTTACTTGCCATCAAGGAGTTGCACTCGCTTCTCTTGATACTCCACTTCGCCGATCTCGAATCTTCTCCCGTGACCTACCGGATCGAAAGGGGCACCTCGTAACAATGGATGTTGCAGTCTGTCCAGAGTGAACACTACCGACGCATACTCATGCTCGATGGACAATACGGATGAAACGGATGAAATCAGTAGCACATTAATGAAGTCGTCCTGATATTTCTAACAAGGAAAGCTGGTGTTAAAGAGGGGGAGAACACCTGATCGACAATAGAACGCACAGGGTACGCTGCGGGGTCCTGACGCAGCAAGCTGAGGTTGAAACGCAAGCCAACACGCCGCCGCCAAGAAGAATCTATGATCTTCTCCCAGGATTGTTGTCCTAGCTTCATGTACAATGACCAATCCTTGTTGCCGTTTTGAATAAGCACATTGGCACAACCGACCCAGCACTCTATCCACTCATCGGCGACGTTCATGCGATTTTCATGTACCTGAGCATTTTCGCTGTCGCCGAGGTGCTTACACACTAGGCGGTACACGGCAGGGGTAATGGACTTGTCCAGGACCTACCGAGACTCGCATTTCAAGCCAATGGAGGAATGGAGGTAGGAGTTAACTCACCTTGCACAATGCATCATCTTTTGCTTTGAGATCATTAACAGCCAAAGCGACAGGTTCTTCACCAAGTGCTGCCAGGAGTTCTGCATCGTCAAGTTCAAGGTATAGCTTCTCATACTCCTCTTGGCTCTCTGCATTCATGGTGTCAGCAGTTGCTGGTGGTGGTTGTGGTTGTGCAGGAGGCAGTGCCTTGGTTCGAGCATTAAGAAAAGACTGGACAAGCATTCGGATCTCCAAACCAGTCTGCGACAACATAACGAGATTGGTCCCAGGATTGAAAACTCGCGTTATCCAAGCTAAGCCATCACAGTGAGATTCGATGTCTGACAAGGAGAATATGAAGTACGTACGACCGTCTAGCAGAGCGGGATCGGGGTACTCGCTCCGCACCTCCTTGTCCAACGATTCTGTCTCAACAATCTTTCGCACCGATCCCAAGAGCAATTGGATCAAAGTGATCGCGTTCCGTTTCGCAAGGTTGCTAAGCCCGTCCCTTTGGGAAGCCTCAGCTTCCTTGTAGTCATCCATGAGGATGTTCGCTAATTCCGTAAGCCAACCAAGGGCCTCATCCAACGGGAGCCTGTGATGTCTCATAATCCTCGCAAAATACATCATACCATATATGCATGCCACTCTCGAAGCCTCATCCGCGTCTTTGAAGTTGACACAACGACGAGCTTGGCTGATGCGGAATCGAACATTTGGAACGGTGGGGTCGAGGTGGATCGCAACAGCCATGGCACTGAAGCGGTTCAACAGCATGGAAAGTTCATGGTTGGTCGGTGGAACTGTCTTCGAGAAAGGCACAGGACTAACAGGGACGGCGATCTGCAGGAGCTTCTTAGTGTTCCAAGTCTTTTGTCGGGAATCCGCGTCCGATGCGTTTAACGAATATACGGCTTGAACAACCATCTTCAAAAAGATTTCGAAGACCGAGTCGTGATGGTCACTTCTGGAAAGTAGCTCCAGATTGCCGTGCTCAAGAAAACCCATGTAGGTCGACCTCTCGTTACGTAGGTTCACAAAGTTGCGACTCCTGAATATCTCCTGGAGGGTTTTGAACATCGGCATAGCTTCACTCAGACACCAGTGCCACTGACTCCAGAGCAAGAAGCATCGCGAGACTATGCAAGTCAAATAATCGTCCCGCTTTCTTAGAGCACGAGGTGGCAGTTGTCCTTCCTTCTCTGGGTTAGCGGTGAGCACGATCTTCTTCAGGGCAACAGCGACCAGATCCCATGCCGCCGGCAGCCGGAATACGGAGGTTGACAATCCATGGAGAGAGAACTGCGAAAGTGAGCACAGATTAAACATGATCCGCCACATCTGTTCGCTAACTTCAGCCCCCGTTGGCGAAGACTCGGGGTGCAGCTCCATGATAAGGCGCCAGAGACTGTGTCGAGGTGATCCATGGGCCATGGTTCCAGATGCGTTGTCACAGGCGTTGAGTAAATGGATGAGACATATCCAAAGCTCGGCAGCTCTGTGGGGCAACTCGACAGTCTCTATGTCCTTCTCAATCTCGCGGAACGACGTTCGGGCAACTTCCAGGTCAATATCCAGAATGTGGCCTAAAAGTCGTTCCGAGAACTTATCGATGTCGTCCCGTGGAAATAAGCCTCTTCTGTGTTTGATACTAGCCGCTAGCCGCGAAGCTAATTCCAATAAGAACCAATGGACTGCTAATGAGAAGGGATTGGGTTGGAGGCCGCCTAGACATGACAAGAAGCCATTGGAATACTCTTTGATCGCAGTTTCCAATGTCTCGAACTCTTCATCCTCTGCCCGGGGTCCCAACCAAGACAAGAGCTGACAGGACACCCGAAATACTAATTCCCAGTCCTTTACTTTCTCGGCATCTGAGAGATCGGGGTTACGCAAGGCCTCCGCGATGCGGTCGTACAACGGGCCCAGGATTGCAGAGAACTCTCTTGTGGAAGTGGAGGGACCTATAACGAAAGTCTGGGTATCGCAAGACTGTGGGGGAGCGGGCTCCAATTCTCCAGTGATTACAGAGATGAGCTGATAAAGCATGCCTTTCCCGAGGTAAGAAGATGAGCTAAACTTCACACCGGGCCGTAATGGATGGATATCCATGTCAGGAACGATATGGCGACGAGTCGGTAGAGGAGACGGAGACTTGCGGTCAAAAGTGAAGGGAGCGTAATTGGCCTGCAAAGGTAACGCGTGGCGGGGTTGATGAGGACCTTGAGGATTCGAGGGCCTAGTTACAGGCTGACGAGATGATGTTGGCTTGTTCCACCTTTCTATCTCGGTTTTCCAACTTGGATCCAATGCTTGGTAAAAGTCATTGTCATCATCCTCTATCACCAATCCGACAGGACCCCGCTTTAACCTTGGTTCGCAATGCTTCGAAGTGATCCGTACTCCTCCGCGATGGAAGTTGTAGAGTAGGCCCTGTGCCACACCGCGGTGTTTCTTCTTCTGCTTCCTGAGATCGGCGCCATCCGCCGGTACAGGGAGAAGTTCTTTGCTACAGTCTCTGCTGCCATTTTTCTTGGACGAAGGTACCTTAGGAGTGGCGGGCTTGAGGAAAGACAGCAGTGATTTCTGCTTTTGTCTGTGACCTTTGGCTCCGCTCGTGACGATATCCATTCTTGGCGTCCCGCGTGCATTAGACTTGTCAGATGTCCGCATTTTGCGAGATTTAAGTTTCTTCACGCTTGATCCCCTAGAACGAGTGAGCATCCAGTCGATGAGACTCTTCTCACGCGCCGGTCCTCGCTCGTGATTTCCCAACTGTCCGTCGGCCCACCTCTCACCCGCATCGGACTCTCCGTCGCTGCATGAGTTACTCTCAATAGACGGTGATTCGAAGTCATCACTGAGGGAAATTACTTCATCGTCGATGAAGCTCGGTTGAGGAGTGACTCCAAGTGTAGAACGAATTTCCGGGAAATTCTCTTCTCTGTGGCCATCGACGTAGCTGTTAAGGACTTCGTCGTCTGGCCATTCGACATCAGAGCTCTCAGGATCACCCCTGATATCCATATTGCGATAGGCGGTGCTTCTCCGCACCCGCGCAAGTCCAGGTATCAACGGAACCTCCTTCGCCTCACTGTCACTTGACGAAAGCGACTCAGCTCTTGCACGTCGAGAGGTTGCGCAAGGTTGCTTTGCTTCATTAAGATGTCGAGATATCATTGCAGCAGGCATCATCCTTCGTAGAGCACGAAGTCGTTTGCGTTCCTTCGCCGTCAGTTCTAGAATGGAAGATGAACCTGAGTCAACGTCCGACGGAGCTTTGTGCGAAGGTATCGGAAATGGAGGATCTGTTTCACCAAGGGATGAACTAGAAGGTGGGTCGAAAGCCGGAATGAGGCCAGGAGAAGGATCCCGTTCGAAAGGTTCTTCGAAGTCGTTAAAATGCTGAAAGTGGTCGTCTTGTTGGTAGTCATAGTTCAGAGTCGATGACGGACTTCCGTGAGAACCCAGTACAGGTGAATGAGAAGAGGCACGAGAAGAGGGGGTTGGTCTCTGTCGAGGCCGCACGGGAGATGACAATGGCTCAGATCGTACCCTCAGCTGCCGAGGAGCGTGTGGATCCTAGAAAGAGGTCAATGGAACCAACCACATCTTTGAGCGGAGACCGTCTCACACTTGGCGGTCTCGACTGCGAGGACTGCGGTGTGGCATCCGCCGGAAGTGATGGTATTGGGAAGGGTTTCTGTCTCGCCGCAGCCTTCCCTGTCTGCAGTTGTGCTTTCCGCCTCTTTGCTTCAGCCTTCGCTTTCGCTGCGGCCCTCTCCCGTTCTCGGCGGGCATTTGCGGCAAGCTTGCGGATGTCAGTATCATCTTCGTCACTACTTGACAATGGTCTCAGAGACTCTGGTAACCAGCCGGTGTCGCGCTCAATAGAGGCCCCCTCGGCCTCCTGAGTGCCGACACTCGCTGACTGCCGATTTGGAATAGATCCAACATAATCACCATCATCGTCTGGATTATCAAGAGGGAATGCATATTCAGCTTGCGTATCTTCCTCATAGTGCTCTTGGTGTCCGTGAGATTTCTTTTTTGGACTTAAGAATTTCACAATCGCATCCGGGTTGGAACGCATCTGCCGCTTGTACATCAACTTGTCGTATGCGTATGGATTGAGCTGTCTTGGGTCTCTTCGACGCAGTGAGTACCGAACACTTTGATGCTCTGTGTCTTCCGGAATAATAGGAGGACCGGAGTCCTCTGCTACTGTATCAGGCCGAGGACTGCACACCTGCATTGTACTTGGACGCCGAGAATTAGGTAGAAGCTGTAGTTCATCCGGGGAAGGTGAACGGCTTGGACGACGAGGTGATGAACTCATAGGTGTGAGGGGAGATAACTGTACAGCAGTCCGACGTGCAGGCGACCCGGACTTTGAGATGGGAGATCCGAATAAACCCTGCGATGAAGTTGCAAGAGGCGTAGAAGGTCTGCACCGGGGTGACGAAAACAAAGACCATGGTTCTGATGACATTGAGCGAGAGCGGGAAGAGCGAGGACTTTCAGGTGGCCGAGTTGCTGAAGATGAAAAGGACGGTTGACTGGTGAGTACTGGCCGCTCCTGCAGCAGTGTACTGTGCAGGAGATGTGGTGGAGAGGATAACCGGCCCACACGACCGCCAGGAGGCGTCTGGTCGTAATCCATATTCCGGGTCAAGGACTGTGTTTGACCGTCACCCGCTGTTTGTGAGCCCGTCACCACCAGGGGCGAAGTGACTTCGATGGCGTGAGGTGGAATTTGGGATGAATTGATTCCTGAATTAACACTTGTTTCTGGCGTCGCGCTATCATGAGATATCTGCGACGGTATATTGAGAGCATATGAAGCCACCGTCCGAAAGACCCACCTTCGGTCGTTTCCTCGGAGATGGACTACAAGCATCGAAGTCGACTACACGAAGCGGAAATCCTCGTGATATTCCATCCTGCCCATCATGCGGTATGCAATGTGATGGTCCAGCCCGGTCTCCATAGAGTCCCTTCGGTGGGCAAGAGAGGGTCCAGTAATAGGCATCGGAAATGTCAAGGACCTCCTGCTCGTCGATATCGGAAGTGTCCACCACCTCATCGACGTCCATAATCACTGGAAATATAATCAGCACCACTCAGATGTCGACGTCCGTACCGACACGTACCACGCCCTCAGACCTGAAGGTTACAAGTTAGTAGGCGAGACTTGCCGCACGGTGCGCGCGCTGCTCACGTGACCGCGATGGGACTTGTCTAACTCGACCCCCTGATGGCCTGTCCAACCGCGTACTTCACGAACGCCGACAGGTTACCGCAGTGGAAAACTCTCCAAAACTATGGTGAGAGCTATACAAAGCATGTGTCTGCGGGAAGTATTTTTAATTCTTATTATATGTATACAATGTTAGCCTGTACTCAGTAGCGCTGTAGGCCATATCATAAGCTTCTTGGAACGACGGTAGTCTGATCCATGATCCAATTACATGCGTGAAAGCCACGACGATATCACTGGTGTAAGTTGTATGCCGAAAACGCGATCGGCTATTACTTCGATCAGCGTCGTGGGGGCCTGCATACCTTCTCCTGGCCGATCCCCAAGTCGGAAAGCCTTTGTCAAACCATCCAACGAGAAGGCATAGGTGGAGCTTGTAAACACCAACACCCATGCGTATCCAACTATTCTGGTCCACGTACCCTCCTTCGAGCCCATGCGCTTCCCCGCTTCCACTACAGCATCTTCCACGAGTACCCCCACCGGCTGCAGGATGAAGTATGGGGCAGAATAGCCGATCACGTTTGGGGAATTCATTGTCCCGGAAGCACAAGTAGATGAGAAATCGCCCCATAACCTAAACTGAAGCAAGACATCTCCACAGACGTGCACGAAGGCGGAGCAAATGAAGGCATAACAAAGCCTGCGGTACGTCACTGCCCACGGTTCACGCTCCTTCCGCTTATTGGCCGAAGAATGTTCAGCACACAGTGGATCCCAGGGATTACGTTTGGGCCGATGAGGGCCAAAGAGAGTGAGGTTCTGCCGAGACATGTACCATTAAGTACACATGCGGTCGATGTAGAAGTTGCATGTACTCGCGTGCCGAAAAATCTGATGCCACACCTTCCTGGAACGTGTGAAGATAAAAGAACATCAGTGCTTATCCAGCGCCCTTGTTTAGGCCTTGACGCACCCCCAAAATTTGCGAATAGTATGTGCATTTTTCCAGTGACCGAAAGGTTGAGGCCACGTCTGTGGCTCATCGAGGTTCGTGCCAACTGCAAGAATAGCCAACGCGCAGTGAATACAAGTTATGATTGCGTAGGATTGGAAGAAGACTACAGCGACATTGAGGCACTGCACGGTATAGCCTTGCGAAGTGACAGAAGCTCCAGACAAGAGGACGGGGCTGCAATACGTGTACAAGGTTGCGATTTCCAACAGCAAGTAGTGAGAAAACAACCAGCCTAACCGCCAGATTATGAACGAAGCGCGGGTCAACAGGAATAACAGAATTCTCGGCCTGTCAAGAGACGAGGTCAAATCGGCGAACGAAGTGCAAGCGTTGAAGCCCACCTTGAACGACCACCCGACACCTCTTGGTGAATAAGTCATCTTCAGGAGCCAGAAGAATCGCCGGATAAACGACAGTTGGTACGCAGGAACCTTGTCCGATTCATGCCGATATCCTCCAGAGGTCGCACTAATAGCAAGAAACGGACGGATTGCAGTACGCTAACACCTAGGATGACACCGAACAAATAATCCAACACTCTATCTCCGGTGCGGGTGCGTGGTATGTCTGCTGCCAGGAGAGCTACAACGATACTGCAACTAATGAGGCGCCATGACACCGACTTGAAGTTCAGCGCGGCGAAGACGAGCAGGAGTGCTCTGGCGGCCAGGAAGAGTACGTCCATGGATCGCCTCAGTAGTATGACTTGAGGGGTGCCGCCAAGTATGAACAGCCGCTCTGCGTTAGTCTGAGGCACCGACAGCCTCGTGAACGGGAACACGTCAAAAGATAATCATGTGTCGATGTCGCACAGCCATAACAACCTCTGTTCATGAGTCTTGGCGGACGCGGTTTATACTTGGAGCGACCGTTGAATCAACCAACGGCAGAGTAAACGGTTCGTGACCAGTAGCCTGATACTGTACAACGCTGACTTGGATGCCGGGTGCTGTCATCCCCCCCGTGAATTGTGCAGGCCAATTAAGCTACCGCACCGCCGTGTCTCATGCGTGACTGCGATGGTGGCGTGTCCCTGACTTCAAGCCTGTGTAACTCATATTCCAAGCAAGCTAGACCTGCGGGCTCGAGTGATAGCTCGTAAATCATATATGACTTACTGTAGTTAGTGAACGATCATGGATTTACGCTCACTAGAAATGGGCAGTTGATGGCGTCACTGTGAGTAACTAGTGGTGGTCCGCCACTGACAACTTTTGATGTGGAACGGGTAGGGCACCAGAGACCGCATGGGCGATGATGGTGAAGCCGAGAGCGTCACCGCTAATACTGTCAGGTTTGGCGATCTCAGCGATCCCACCGTCTCTCATCGGTGCACACGTCGGCATGCCAGCGCAACAATCATTTCCTCCGAGGTCACCCACTGATTTTTGTTGATTATGCTAATGTCACTTCTCCACATCCATGGCATGGTGCTTCAAGCCCTGTTGCAGCTGGGCGTGGCATTACTTGCTGACCTTGGACTGAACACAGGTTTCTCGCCTGGACGTATGTACTATGAAGGCCGCAACGGTCCCTTTTTGATGGAAGCTATGCCCCATACTATCAATCAAAACGCATAATCCTAAAATCTGTGCTGATGGCAACTGACACCTGATTGATGTAGGTATATAATGCTCCTCCGACTCTACCATCGGGTTCTCTAGGCTCCTGGTTGACCTCTCTGCGTTCCCCTTCGTTCTTCTCCCTGGGCAGGTTCCCTTTTTTTTTTAATCGCTACATTATTACCTTTCATTTTTTATTTACTTGGCGGGTTCCAAGGCTATTCACGATTTTCAGGAGATTTTACGCAGCATGTCCGGATCGATGCTCACCCCTACTGAGGCTCTCCTTCAAGTTGCCAAGGAGCACCCTTTCCGTTCCGCTGTGAGAAGCGCAGGCATTCAATGGTCTTACGCTGCTTTGTGGTCGCGCGTTAGGCGGATCGCTGACCAGATACCTGACCTTGATGGTACCAGGAACCCTGTCGGCCTCTACATGGGGTACGCTCTTTCCTCCCATTGCAGAATCTCTTTCTTATACCATGTAGCCTTGAAATTGACTACGTCGCTGCTGCACATGCCATCTGGCTAGCTGGTCGCACCGTAGTCTTCCTTTCCACTAAGTGGACCCCAGATGTCCTCGAAGTGGTCCTTGAGCGTGCACAAGTACACCTCGTCCTGCATGGCGTCACTGCGCCTCCTGAGGTGTCGGGTGTAACTACCGTCTCGACCCTCTCCCTCTTGGAACTCCAGCACCTTCCAAGTGTCATCCCGGCTCCTCCTACCTCCGAGACGGTGACTGAGATCCCCGTTATCTGCTGTATAACTCCCACAAGCGGTAGTACGGGCGTCCCCAAGAGTATTGTATACCCCATGAGAAGAAGTTTGGCTGTTCTATCAGAGGAATCCTCCACCCTTCTCAAGCCCATGGACGGCCAATGGCTCCGAGGCGGAACGGTTAGTCTTTCCTACGTGTTCTGTGTGTAAATTCCTGACACGACCTTGGAATAGACGTTCTTGCGTCCACTCTTCGAAATCAGGCGTTTTATGTTCAATCAAACCACTCTTTATCTTGATCCCTCCGCCTCTGTTGCTGACCAGTGCAAGGCTCTCTGCGAGGAGCTCGAGTCCACTCGCAATTCGCAGCTGCTCCGTGTTCACTTCACCCCCAGTGTCTTCCGTGCTTTTGCCGACTTCGCACATATACGGGCCGGTGACTCTCCACTTCCCCGAGGCTTCAAGAGAGTGTATTGGATGGTTATTGGTGGCGAATCTTTGAGTGTTCACGATATTGAGGTGGCACGGTCTATCTTCCCATGCGCTACCATTGCATGCAACTACGCGGTACGTGTTACGATGGGCCGTGTAATGCTAGTCGCTGAATACTGTCACAGTGCTCTGAGGTTGGTTTCGCTGGAATTTCCCAAATGTTTATTCGTCCAAGCGATCAGATCCCGTCCGTTATCTCCTTCGGCGCTACGCAGGGTTGCTCCGACCTCGTTCTCCTTGACGACTCGCTTTCCGTCATCTCCAAGGCCGAGGAAGGTGCTGTCGGCATCGTTGGTTTCATCACAAGTCAAAGCGCTACCCATTATCTGGGCAATGCGGAGGCAACAAACCACATGTTCCGCGCTTGGGACGGCGAAGAGATGCTCCTGTACACTGACGATGTAGGATGCATGCAGGCCGATGGCACGATCGCAATCAGGGGTCGGAGCTCGCGCAATGTCAAGGTCAACGGTTTGTTCATTGACTTGGATTTCGTCGAACGCGCATTGGCTCCTGCCTTCGCAAGAGGCGCACACGGAGTCAATGGCTTCAAGCTTGTCAAATCGAACACAACGGAGAAGATCGTGCTGTTTGCAAGCACAGAGACTACAGACGCCATGTTCATCCTGAAGCACGCTCGCGATGCGCTCCGAACTTCGCACTGTGACGACCTCGCCATGGTCGTCGGTAGGGTCCGTTGTGTCGCAGAAATGCCCTTCAACGCGTCATATAAGGTCGATCTGGCCAAACTCCAGCAATTAGCTGATCAGGCTGATCAGCTTCCTCCCGGTCTCTATGCCGAAGCCCCGGCTACAAACTCTGCAATGGCCGAAATCGATGCTCTCGCCGAGGAGATTGCTGCTGAGATTGCGAAGCTTTGCAAGTTGAAGGCACCCGTCGCCATCAGCACCCCTCTCATTTACTCCGGCCTCAATTCCATCACTGTTATACGCCTTTACTTCTGGCTGCAGTCGGAGCACGAATACGAAGAAGAGATGACCCATCTCTTCGAGGAGGAAGTCACACCTTTGGTTCTCGCGATGGAAATACTAGGTGACGGGGCAGATGAGGAGGAGTATATCGAAGAGGACGGTAGCGATGAGATCGTGATCGAGCCGTCGAGTCCTGCTAGCCAAGCTACCATTGTTGAGGAAGAACCGCCAAAGATCGTCATCGACGCTGTCGATGCTTACCCGCTCAAGTCTGAGAGGTGCGAGCCTGAATTCGAGGAGGTCGACATCGGACGAACCAAGCCTCGTCCAGTGAGCACTTTGGTCGTTATGCAGCCACCCGTTGAACCCGTTCCGGATGCTGTAAATGATGTTGCAAATCACCCTACGCTGCATGTCACTGCCTTTTCCTTTCTATTCATGACGTGGATGACACCGCTACTGAGGTTGGGGGCAAAGAGGCCGCTATTGGAATCGGTAGTTATGTTCACATCTGGTTGAAGTATACAGGGATTCATTGCAATCTATTTCTATTTCCGCTGTAGGACTTGCTGCCTCTGAGACGAAACGACGAAGCTATTATTGTGGAACGCTGGGTAGATCCCTTTTGGACCCAACTGCGATGCTGGTTCTTTGACAGAGATCGCAAGCTCCCTGGCCTTTTCAAATCTATATTCAGTGCTGCGTTTCCCTTGTGGTATGCTTTTCACGCGTTGATTCTGCATTTTGAACTTGGTTTAATTCTTAATGGTAGGGTTGCCTCCGGACTACTTTGGCTGATCTCTGTGTCCACGATTATCATGTCTCCTTTGTTCCTCCAACAGGTTATCGTAGCTGCTAGCGCTCCACCTGCTCCTACCAACAATGCAACAGCACTCGCGGAGTGGAACGCTGTCATCGAAGAGAACACCGGCGGCTTTCCCCTGTTTCTTGACAACACCTACAAGCTCGGTGCCATCCTTCTTGGTCTCAAACTGGCTGGTACCCTGTGCGGACGTTCCTCCGATCAACTTGTCAAGCGTATGGCTATGAATGTGAAGACTGTCCTCATCTCTGCAGTGTACAAGAAAGCCTTGCGCCTGTCTGCCGAGAGCAACCAGAAGTATAGCAAGGGTTACACGATGAACCTCGTCAACGTGGATTGCGAATCCGTTTCTAAGGCTTGGGAAGTCACTCACCAGGTTTGGAGTATCCCCTTTCAACTAGCCGTTATCATCGTCCTCCTTTGCCGTCTCCTCGGTTTCTCTGCGTGGGCTGGTGTCGGCGTTCTGTTCTTTTCGCTCCTCCTATTGATCATGGTGGTCCCTACTTTCATGCGCAAAGCGGCTCCGTGGTTCATGAGACTTGGTGACCGTCGTCTTAAGACTATCCGAGAGGTTTTGGACGGCATTCGCGTCGTGAAGATCAATGGCTGGGAGGACCATTTCTTGGAAAAGCTGCAGGGTATCCGCAGCGAACAGCTTCGCTGGTTGCGTCAATTCAACACCGGTGTTGCATGCTTCGTTATTGTCGGTCAGGTCACTAACACCCTCATGCCTCTCGCCGCGTTCTCGCTGTTCGGCAGGGAAAACATGGGCATCGTTCCGTCTGCCAGAATGTTCCCAGCTCTCGCACTCTTCGGCATGCTCGTTGACCCCCTCATCGCTTTGCCTCAGTTGCTAAGTTCCTTCGTTATCGCTATGACTTCTTGGGGCCGCATCTATGCATTCCTACTCGCTGATGAAAAGACTGCCCCTTACGACATCGTCACCTATGGTGTTATGGATATCAGCCGCTATGCGCTCACCATCACCGGTGGTTCGTTCTCCTGGCCTTCCACCGAGGCTTCTGCACCAGGCCCAGTCTCCGCTCCCAAAAGACAAGAAAAAAAGATTGACGACGATGTCGATAGCATTGACCTTGAGAAGGGAAAGGTTTCTGAGGAGTTTTCTGGTCCTCTCCCTTTTCTGCGCAACGTAAACATCGCTATTAGGCGGGGCTCTCTTACCGCAATCGTCGGTCATGTCGGATCTGGGAAGAGTTCTCTCTTATCCGCTATCATTGGTGAAATGATGCGTGTTTCTGGCGAAGTCGACTGCAATGGCACTATCGCTTACTGCGCTCAGCAGCCCTGGATCCAGACGACTACCATTCAGGATAACATTCTCTTTGGCCGTCCCCTTAACTTGCAACAGCTCCAAAAGGCCATCCAGACCACGTCATTCAACACTGACTTGGAGAGCTTCCCGCATGGCTTGGCTACCCAGATGAGCGAGAAGGGAAACAACCTTAGTGGTGGACAGAAGGCTCGCCTTTCACTCTCCCGCGCGGTCTACTCCGATGCCGATATATACCTCTTTGACGACGTGCTTGCTGCTCTTGATCCTCGTGTTGGCCGCAGCGTCTTCAATAACTGCATTAAGAAAGGCCTCAGAGGAAAGACTCGTCTCCTCGTCACTCACCAACTTCAGTACCTCAACCAAGTTGACCACATCATTGTCGTCTCCGAGGGATCCATTGCTGAACAAGGCACCTTCGAGGAGCTTGTCGGCAGGAATGGGGAACTTACTCGTTTGCTCAGCGATGTCCAGTCGTTCTCTGAAGACAGTGAGGAAAGCAGGAAAGAGGATAAGCGCAAGAGCATGGCTGCTCAGAAGAAAGCTACTGAGGAGAAGAAGGAGACCAACGACAAACTCATTGCCGATGAGGAGCGCAACGTGGGCGCTGTGGGCGCTGCTACCTGGTGGGCGTATCTCAAAGCAACCGGTGGGGCTAGCATGGCTGTCATGCTGTTCATAGAGATTATCATGTTGCAAGGAAGTGTCATCATTCTAGGCCAGTGGCTCACGTGGTGGACTGAGGACAAGTTTCACGAAAAAGCAGGGGCATGGATCGGCATTTACGACGGCATCGGTTTCGCATCCATTTTGCTTCTAAGTACGTGTGTCCTATGGAGTCATAAATCATCTGCTGATCTTGGCCACCAGTCCTTATGAACGTTAGCATTCTGCTGAGTACGATCCGCGCCAGCCGTACCTTCCACTCCAAGGCACTCCTGGGTGTCTTGCGCGCTCCTATGTGGTGGTTCGAAGGCCAACCTATCGGCCGTATCATGAACCGCTTCTCCAAGGACATTGAGGCCATCGACCAGCGTCTCATGCCCCAACTCTTCCAGTTGATTGGTGGTGCTGGCACCCTCCTGTCGACGGTTATCATTGTTGGCTATAGCACTCCCATTATGCTTGGTGAGAACAATCTAACAGAGTATCCTCGCCTGTTTTGCTGATGACGTCGGCACCTAGCCTTCATGTTCCCTATTACTGTCATTTACTGGTTTGTTCTGCGCTTCTATCGCAAGTCCCTTCGTGAGCTCAAGCGTCTGGAGTCTATACAACGCGGCCCACTGCAAGCCCGTATCAGCGAAACCCTCGATGGAATCCCAACAATCTTGGCTTACGGACGCGAGCACGACTTCGCAAATGCAGTCGGCGGCCTCCTTGACACGAGCAACAGGCCCACGTTCCTGAGGATACATGCCGGTACGTTTCCGTAAGGTTAACGGTATTGATATCACCGCTAATACGTTGCAGAAATCTGGGTCACCTTGCGTATGGAAATACTGTCGTCTGTCGTTGTCTTTGCCCTTGTTATGCTCGTGCACACGAAGGTCGTCGGTAACAGCACTCAATTCGCTCTTTCTTTGACATATGCGTCCACTTTTACCTACCTCTTGAACTTACTCCTCAAGAGTTCTGCTAATGTTGAGGCTGAGGTACGTTGAACAGTTGGGTGGACTAGGAACGACTATTGATCTGATGTTGCAGATGAACTCCGTCGAACGTCTGATGAATTACACCGAGAATCTTCCCCAGGAACCAGCTGCACACCTCGGTTCCGATCCTTCGAAAGAAATATGGCCCATGCGCGGAGAGATCGTTCTTCGCGACATCAGTGCTGCCTACCCTTCGCGCCCCGACAAGCTGGTTCTTCGTAGCGTCAACCTCACTTTCAAGCCCGGCGAAACTGTCTTCATCGTAGGAAGAACCGGCTCCGGGAAATCTACGCTCCTGTCTCTGTTGCTGCGAATGATTGACCCCTGTTCTGGTTCCGCTAAGATCGATGGAAGAGGTGGGCTTTTTCTTTGAGTGTGTAGTCGCTGGTCTAAAGGTGTCATAGATATTACCTCGGTCGGTTTGACTACTCTGCGTCAGGCCATGGAGGTGATCCCCCAAGGCATGTCATAAGCTGCTTTGAGACCTACGTGCAACTCATATCCTGGCTTAGATCCTTTCATCTTCTCTGGCACCATCCGCTCCGCTCTGGATTTCGAGGGCAAGTGCGATGAAAAGGCACTCTGGCAAGCACTCGAACTCGTCGGACTTAAGCAGTTCGTTGCTTCGCAAGAGTTCAGGCTCGACACTGTCGTGGAAGACAACGGTTCTAATTATTCCGTCGGCCAGCGCCAGCTTCTCTGCCTTGCGGCTGCTATCCTACGTAACCCAAAGATCCTACTCCTGGACGAGGCCACGGCGTCGATCGATGCTGGTGCGGACGTGTTCATCCAACAGGCAATGCGCCAAAGCTGCCCGAATGCTACGATCCTGAGTGTCATGCACCGATTGAGTGATAGGATCCTCGAGGAATGTGATAGGGTATTGGTAATGGAACAGGGCGTGCCCGTTGAGTTCGCTTCTCCCAGGGAACTCCTAACACGGCCCAACAGCATGTTCTCGAAGCTGATGGCTGCGGCAAGGAACAGCGCTTGAGCTTGTCTAGACTCCTTAGGACCCACGCACTACGCACAATCTACTACACATTTTGATATTTTTGCATCAATCAATGCGAAGGACACTCGTTTAGTATCGTTCGGAAAGTTGCGACGCAGGCGAGTACTGCCAGAGTCCGGGTCGGAGACCGATCAGTATTGAATATTTGATTCGCGGATTGGCACAAGGTTTCTGATCTGCTCACCGCCTGCGTTTGCGATTGAATTGATGCTGATAGTTCTGTCAAAGCTCTAGCCAATGTCCGCGGTAATGAAATGATCCCTGGACTCTTCGTCCCCCTGTCGTAAGTACAGGATCGGCATACCCTACTGTTACCTTTGGGCGCCACAATCTGCAAGTAGCAATGCGGCCGCCTGGTAACAAAGTAAAGCTTCCGACAAGTTCTCTCGATCAAATACTCGAAACCCTTCCCGATCGATTTTGGCAGGAGATTAAAGATTGGTCCGCCGGTAAAGCCTTGTCGATTTTGGTCGTGAGCCCACCCTAATAGTCAGCCCAACTCGGGCCCCGCTTCATCCCCACACTACTAACTTGATGATCAAACATTAGGACTCCCGTTAGCGGGGAAAAGTACGATATAGTGGTTGCCAAATCACAGTCGGCTACTAATAGGATAGCCTGACACCCCTTGATTTTTCCATTGGTCTTACCCTAACCTTTTGGTTTTAGGTAAGCCATGTCCAGTGCAAGGCGGCCACGTTAATAGGTCCCGAGTGCCCTCATCACGTGTGGCTGTTATGCTAGGTACTAAACCGAACGGGAGGGATGATGAATTCATCGTGTCGTGCCAGAACGCTCAGTTTCACTGCATTGCGAATTTCACGTCACGGAGCCTATTTTCATCCTCGGAATCCACACAAATGCCACCCAACGAGCACTCAGCACTCAGTTCACCTTGCCTCCGAGGAGCTGAAGCCTGACGTTGATCACACAGTTTAATCCCGGGTAGCAAGTATTAAAGCTTGAAGCTGAAGGTCCCTGTCCACATACGGGATGCGGGGCGGTCTCTCCGATGTACATAACGTAGCGAGTATCCGATCGAACAATTACTCACTAGTGTGCGTAATTAGGTCCGTCATGGGGCATCATAGTGCTAGCGACAGCCTATTAGTGTCTGCGGATGGAGGAAATGACAGCTGCAGTAAGATAATGAACAAAATGGAGTGTCTGTGGAAACAACCATAGCAAAGATCATGACACCCGCGGACGGTCCGAAATCAACTCATCCCGATCCCTGAAGTCACATAATTGTACACCCTGAACCCTTGGGTCGTGTACTCAGTGACAAGCGGGCAGCTTCATGGAACACCTCCGAGACTCCGCGGTTGTGTTTAGAGCTGCATTCTGCAAACACCACAAGTGTTGAAAAACGGACATCACTATATAGTGAGGGCTTTATGAAAGTGAAAATGTTCTCACCAAGGTATCGTGACGCCCTTATCCGCCGTGCGACAGCAAGGCCTTCCTCGTATTGCACAGAATGGAGACCATGACGAGCCAGTCGTTCCGCGACATTGCGATCGTCTCGTAGGTCGCACTTCAGTGCTGCAGGTGGCTTGAGCATTTCCCAGGATGACATGCGGACAAATGCTAGAAACTCACCAACCAGTATGAGCTATCCACGATAGATGCCAGTCAGAATTGGCCCTGCTAGGAAAGGAAGGCTTCACATGCACACCTTCACACCTGGACAGTGTTCCACTATCTCTTCGATCCACTGTAAGATTTATCCGCAGCGGCGTTTAATGACAAACGCCCATACATGCAGCAAAGCAGCAGGCAACACGCACCTTCGTCTCCACATTCTCTAGTGATACGGGATTATCCACCTGTTGATCGGTCAGCTCCAGAGCCCCTAATCACCCATCAACGGTCAAATAACTCACAGAAAAACAAATCATAACCACATGTGTCTCGGCGTAGCTCAACGATCGCAATCTATCGAACTCCTCCTGTCCTGGCGTCATCCACTTCACGCGTCAGAACACTGCCTCTCAGGAGCGTGTACAGCCGGAGAGCGTAGATATGGATGCGGTCGGTCAAAAGGTTACTTACCGGCAGTGTCCCATAGACTGAGCTCAACTAGTTGATCGTCCACCCATATGTCGTGAACGTAATTTTCAAATACAGTCGGTTCACTGCGTTAGGGCGTAGGGCGAGCAGTGTATGGCAGGGACGAAGTAGGGTAAGATGTTTGAGTAACAGGTGATAGCATAACGCATGATCGCGAAGAACAAAGCCACCGTGGCAGGGTTGACGAGTAGTGTGAACAGGGTGGCATGCTGCGGTCAGGAAATCCAGTACTCACTACACCTGAGTAAAGAAACCCCGCGTGAACACATTCAGTAGCGAGGTTTTGCCTGATGAAAAAGGGAATGGCCATCAGTACACACATGTTGGCGCAGTGACAGCAGTAACGCCCAGATATGAAAAAAGAACTTGATGGATCTTGAACGGAGGTTACATTTCCGCGTCTATATTAGTCACCGGGACATGAAAACAGGCGAAGTCATGGAAGGCCATCGCAATCGCGCAAAGGATGACAGAGAAGTTCACTCACCGCATGCACCATCTCCACACACGACGACTTTTCTTTGTACCTGGTTAGGGAGAAGCACGGAGCATCAGTCATCAGCATCAGCATCACCGCCATGACCAGGAAATGATGACAGTGCCACCAGTCCTGCTAGTGACCATCATTGCAAACAAACCAAATGGACATACTGGCCGACGCCCGAATCCAGCTTTTGACGAGGAGCCACAAATCGCCATTCGGAAGAAAGGAAGAGCAAGGGACAATCCGAGAGAACCCTGGCTAAAATATTTGAGCGCAGTAGTGCGTGTGGAGTCCGCTTTCAGAGTGTCACGCTCCAAAGAATGATGATAGCGGCGGTGACAAGCCAGTTATTGATGCGAAAGGCCTTGCAGCTTCCGTGTTGTCAGCTGTCACGGAGACGAAGATGCTGTTTGCCATTGTTTACGTCGAGCGCCAGGTCCAAGAAGTCAACAAATGGATGTCATACAAACAACGGCGACAATATGCAACATTTCGCAACGTGCGATTATTCGAGGTGATATATGTAGTTAGATAGGTACACAGCCAAGATGAGCAAGAAAGAGCAGCACAAACGGGTGCACAAAGTCCCAAGCAAAAATACACCAGAGACGCAACTCAGTTGCCAAATGTTACATTACTACTTACACTTGAATCCACGAATTCTTGCCACGCATTCAGCATCATGTTGCCCTCTGGTGATATCCCCCTTCCGGGCACTTGCACGCCGGCCCCGTTGACATGTGACCCACTCCCGTTCCTTTGGCTGTACCCATTCACACTATTGCCACCGCCGTACGAGTAGTCGTACACGGGGAAATAGGACGGGAACTGTCCCGAAACCAACTCCATAGGTTGTACGGCCATCTGGCAGTCATCGTATTCTCCACCGGTGTAAGAGGGTGGTGTCGACGACGCAAGTAACGATTCCTGGGGGAAAGGATGTTCTTGCGATGGGGAGTTCATTCCATAGGACACGTTGCCATTCATCTGCCCGTTGCCGTGGTATTGGTTATTAGGCGCATTCGAAAAACTGCGTAGGTAGTCCACAAGGAAAGGATGAACTTGATTACCTCCGGATGTCGCAAGTGGTAGCGGAACAACAGGGTTGAATGATGTCGGCGAGTGATCTAGCACGGCAGACGGCAGCATTGGCGGTGACGGTGTCACCGAGTCCTTTTTGTCGACGAGTCTTGTCTTTCCGCAGAGTACAAGTTCGTCATTCTCATTGAACGGCGAACGCGGTTCGGACTGGCTTGACAATTGCCTCGTAATTGGGGGCACCTTGCCGCTGCGGTACTCTTCCAGGCTGTGGTGTGCCTTTTCACGCAGCGTCATCATGATGTCCTGTTAATAGTCGGCGTCAGAGGGGCTATCAAATACAGGACGCGCTGTGTGCATGCATGACGAATTGCAGCTGAGATAGCAAAGATATCCAGCGCAAATCGCGCGCAAAATACGCTCAACTTGGTGACTTACCAAGACAGGCTGTGCACGGAAGCCGTGGGCAGTTTTCGAGAAAAGTTCACATGCAGAGTCCAGCTGGACAAGTGCCGACGGAGCCAGGCTCATCGAAGGACATCGAGTAACAACGGATCCCAATACAATCTATCGTTGCAACACACTTGCCGTCAACATCATCATCCACGAGGGGAATGCCGCACTCACCGCGCAGGAGAACATGTGAGTCCATAGGAACCAAATCCGCTCACTCGGTTCCTTGATCTGTGTATGCAAATTCCGCATGAGGGCTACGAGAGATCCTGCGCTACGATAGGCCGCGATGACAGATGTTCCGTAGGAGCTTCCAAGCGGATCCTTCGGATGGTCAGTGAGTGCGCGCGCGAAGAAGCTCCGATGAAGGGACAAGAGATCTAATAGCACCAATTTTGTCAGCCTCAATTGCTACATGACTAACATTAAAGCAATTCCGATGGTGTTACGGGGCATTGCCGCACGACACAACCTGACAAATGAAGAGAGGTGGTACGCTACTCACTCATTTCTCGTATCGCGAGCACGATGTGCCGTTGTAATATCACTAATACACTGTCTTGATGACGTGGTTCGGTAGAGTTGGCCGAACCTCCGAAACCAACCACCTGAAGGTTAGGCGGCACAGGGAACGCCCGTAACTTTCGGTCCAAATGTAGAACAGTGTCGTATGATGGAGTCTTTGCACCGAACGCTTGATCGTGGATGACACTCATACATTCCGAAGTGAAGCGATGTTTCCAAGTGTGGACTGTCATCGCCAAAGACTTGAGAGTCAAGCAGCCTAAAAGTGAAACCTGTGCATACATGAATCATCATCATCCCCCGCGGAGGGTAACTTGCAGTCTATATGGGCCAAATTGAAAGATGGTGGACGGCCCAAAGTGATGCACTAGGGTAAAAACTCTGAGCGAAACTGGGAGAAGAAAACGTCGATTCAATAGACGTACTTGCCAAGAGTCATAGGTATACAGCTCCCAGAATAGGGTCCGGCGGCGCAAGATCTCCCTCGCGTCAGTGAGCCATTTGCTGGGGTCACGATCTGGGGATGCCAGGGACGCCCGATCAAAAACTACCGTAAAAATGACAAGCGACGGTAAAGCAACGTACGAAGGCCAATCTGAAAATTTTAATGGTGGTTTTATCAATAACCGCATGCGGACACAAGTTCGGAGACGGGTGCTTACACTTTGAGCAATTTTGATTGTGGTGCCCATCATGACCCATCGAGAGCCAGAACTCGAGCCATGTCGATCCGAAAGGAAGAGATAGAAAGTCATCAAGAACTATCACGGTATAAAAATTGCTCAGCATCGCGATCACCGTGCAGAGGTAGGCACAAACCAGTGCTTGCACAGCGCTGACTGTTGGGTTATCGAGGAGAGAGCGTTGAAAGAGCGCTGCACGGGCGAGGTGGTAGTACTTCTCAGCGTCAATGCTGTACGCTGGTATTTGGGTATTCATAAAGGTCCCAATAGCCAAGACTATGAACATCACTGAGAGCTTGTGCGAAACGAGCGGATCATCTGCTGCCGGATGGGCGTTTCGTTCGTAAAATATATGATAAATCTCTTCGTTAAAGTCCTGCTCGCTTATGGGGTTGTATCTGCAGTGCTGGTGAGTGCTGGATTTACAGCGGAGAGACTTCTTGCCGCATACATCCAAGTGCCCAGCCGAAAATAGGATTGAATAAGGACTTGCGCCTTTGACGCTTCGGGCAGGTTCCAAAATATCTGGCGCAGGTCTTCGCTCTCTGCCACGGGTGGATGTTGAGAACTAGGCACAATTGGAAATGCTCCGCTCCGGCCCAGTATCATGGGGGAGAGCAAACTTTTAAGAACATTCAAGCGGTCTGAGTCGCTTCCCGGACCGTCCGAAACTTCGTTCTTTGCGGTAGTAGCAGTTGAGCGACATGCATCACAATGGAGGAACAAGAGCGTTACCTGGAGGAAATACTAGATTTTGACGACAGCGTCAATACGACTCAACGAAGACTCGGGCACAGCTCTTACCCAAGAGTTTGCAATGGATCCATGATAGTTCGCTCCGCCAGCGGCATTGATGGATAATGAGCCAAAAGCGTCCACGACCTCACTATTTTGGTCCTCCCGCTTAACTTCGTTTTTAGAGACATTTCGGAGGCTCGGAGGTTCCCGCTGCAATGGGGCTTTGATCTGAAGAAGCTCTTCCGAGAGCAGAGGATGACGGTCGCCCGACACCATGGAATGGGAAATTCTGAGGGCATCTTCTAGTTGACGAACACGATTGCACAGCTCGGATATCTTGTCGTGGAGTTCAGTCGTGGAGGCCAGGACGAACCTGAATGGACGCATATAAGCAAGGAATATGAGTATATGCAGGGCGACACAGACCTGTTCCCCTGGCCGGTTGTGAGAGACCCTGATAATTACAACTGTCAATCGTTGCCCGACATAATATCTGTGGCTGTCAAGCATGCATACCGTCGGGACAGATAGCACCACAACCACGTTTAACGCAAGATCCACAGGGAATCTGTCTATCGCAGCGGAGTTTGAGTCTTCGGTGGTGGTCAGCGGGGAAGCGATGACGGGGTTAGGAGCTGTTACCGTCTGCATTCCGCACACGACAGACGAGTGGCCCCCTTCCGACGCTTTTTTGACGGATCGTTGAGTATGTGGGTGTCCATTGCAGCTGGGGAACAGAGGGACACAGGCATCCAATGAGGTTCCCCAGGACTAAAGAGGAGGGGAGGGCTGATGGGGCAGTGAAGGAGGGGAGATGAGCCAGCCAGTCCCTAATTATCCGAGGGAAATGCGGTGGTACTCCTCCGCAGCCCAATTAGGAAGGCCTCGCGCTTTGGGTTATTACATACGTAATAATTCTCACCTTCCCTTCTTGGATAGTCCGGAGTTAACCTTATGGCCCGGAAGAGAATTGTAAATTGATATCGCGGAGCAGTTAACCCCTCTTATCATCGGCAACTTCCGAGCTCGTCACCCTCCGCATGCCCTCGGAACAAAGCTGGTATATTCGTTGTCGACGGCTCTCACCTCGTGTCGATGCCACCGTCACTACACTCTCTGCATTGAGTGAGATCAGATCAGAAATGGGCGGTTCGACTGGCACCGCTTTGCTGCTCCTGCGCTGATATGAGTTTGCTCCGTGCACTCATCCATATCAGGGTATGGCAACCTGGAAACGACCGGTGTATATTTATGGCTGTATCCATGTTTGTTAATGAGCGGCACTGGACGAGGAACTAACATCACCTTTTTTCCTAATCTTCCGCGTTGTTCCCTGCTGCGGCACTGTCATACCATCAACCACCCAACTCGACTTCCATCACGATCACGCGATGGCCTTACTTCGGAGAAAAATGTGAACAGCGGACCACCTGCCGTCTTTACCTTTCTATTACGGGGTTTGGAACCGCTTCCGCGTCCCCACCGCACGTCAAGCTTTATCTTTGTGTGTCCGCCCTCTCCTCATGCGCTTTCTCACGGCGCCACCGACGGCGTGGCCGATATTGTTTATTCACCTCCGTCGGCGGCCTGCCCACTCTAGGGAACGTGACAGGCAATCCGGGAAATCATACCCAGAGTTCAGTGCCCCAACTCTTTACGTGAACCATCGTGCCACCACGTTTGCCTTGAAAGAAGAACTCATATCTTTTATCCTCCCGAAGACAGACCTTCTTACCAAATACAATTTTGCTGCATCCGCTGATAAGATGCCTCCGATGCTCATAAACAGTTTGCATTCTGCAGCAGGGTCGAGATTGCATGCCACGCACACACCCACCCACAACCGTGCGTAGTGTTTATACACAGATGACCTGGGTCAGAAGGAAAAAAAAAAAAAAAACGGCTGTTCCTCGCCACTTCGATCTTACGTATGGTGTGTATCTTCAGGCTCATTCACCCCGTGCTGCTCGCGCCCAGGAAGCCAGAGAAAGGGATACGATACATCTCCTTCGTCACCTGAGGGCGCCGTTCTGATCCCGATTCTCCAGAGCAGTAGGTAAGGCATCGATTGGTAATCCCTACTCGGACCAGTCGTCGCCCACCGTATAACGCCGAAGGAAGTTACTACGCAGTAGCTAAGGTGTTGGAGCGGATAGTGGGGCCAAATTGCAACTAAAGACGACCAGCACATGTTCCCGTTTCCGGGCCATATGCCATTCGAGGTTTCTTTTTCACCCACCCAGATCTCAAAGTCGGACCCTCCACCCCCATAGACGCCAAGATGATATGTGAATGGCTTCAAGGTGCCGATGGCCAAGACTCGTGTAAACGCCATGCACATCCAGCGTGTGCATATGGCCAATAACGTGGCATCCGAAGTCTTAAAATTGTCGAGCCCTGACTTGGAAGTTCGTGCATCGGGAGCCACTGACCAGAATTGATATCACTTCACACATGCCTGTGGTATGTACTGCCACTTGTCGTGTTAAAGGCATTCATCCGTTTCGATCGATCGCCATATGCTCTGGATCCTGCTTGACGGAACAAGTTGGAGGCACTGCTAGAACACCTAGTACAGGGTTTAGTAAGAATTGATTGAGTGCCAAAGATCCATACTTCACAATGACCCCTAACACCTGTCTACTTCTCGGGCCGAGTCGCGGTAGAAGGTACATGCTAACCCTTGCTTCGTATCTTCGGCGCAGCCGGCCTCTGAAGTTCCCCGATCGTATCGTTACGACTACCTCCCCACACAGGGGCCCGTTGGCCGGAGTGCACTACGTGCATGTAATGGCTACGTATATAAAATAATCTGGTGCGTGTCAGCTCTACTACTAGCACAAGAACTCGAAGCCAGCGGTTCCATTATACACTATCGAAGTAAAGAACAATGAGCCTGTTTGTATTCTTAGATCTAGAGAATCTCCAATCCTTATTTACCTTTCTGATAGTGCGTGTATCTACTAATTATCAACAGATTAATCAGAAATCGTTATAACGGGTAGAATTTTCCCGTTTGATCATAGATAATGAGAACAGCATAGTACTATACGCGTGCGGGTCTGTCAGCGTCTTTGGACGCGACGAAGCTCTGGACCCCCCCCAGCCCATTTCACCCGCGGGCGCGTCGCTGACCGGAAAAACATATTGAACAGCCGATATGATGGCGCGGGCCAAGTTGGCAAAACAGGGAAAGGAATCCTATATGACGGACAACTACAAGCAATTTACAGCCTACCGATATTGTTCGATTCGTTCCCTAATACCATACAGTTTTTACGTCCAGGCACGAGGCACCCCATTGTTCACAAATTTACTGGCCACGACAGCAGCGGAGTACTTCCGAGACGATGCAAACCCATGATTGCAACTGCGATCCAGACAAACAAATATCCCAATCAGGGGGCATCCATGGTTAAGAGAGCAGAGGGCCTCATGCAACCCAGTTGAGCCAACCTTTGGTCAGCTTCCGCCAAGACGTTCGGCAGGGGGAAAGGGGAAAAAAGTGTAACCGCTTGGCGGCCTGATTTTTCATAGGACACTAACTGTCATTTGTTACCATAATTCCACTTTATCTCGTTTGTACATCGAATCGTGCTAGAGAGTGCTAAGCGATGAGAATCGGACGTGAACTTAACGACACTTGTTCACAACTAGAATTCGGGCCATGCTGGATCACTGAAAAACGGAGGGTCATCGAGTCGTCGAATGCGAATCGATGAAAAGCACGATACCGGTATACAGCAGAATAGCAATCATGGGTTAACAGTAGAGGCAAAAAACGCGAAAAAAAAGACAGGACATCGTACAATCAACAATCACGAACGAGTAGAAGCAAGTAGAAGCCTTGCGCTGCCCGAAACCAGCTTAATATACTTTAGATGATGCGAAAAGCATTCTGAGCGCAGGATCAAGCGATCAAGTGTGTACACGAAAGTCAGAACAAGGATTGGACGAAGTAGCTTTACATCGGTGCGAACACGTGATACGTAAAATGCCCCTGGCAACCCCTCTCTCTGGCTCAAACAAACATAATGTCAAAAAGGAAAACAACGTAAAATCACCAACAAGGGGGGAGCAGGAGAGCAGGGTCCTCACGAGCGCGGGGCAGTGCGATAGGGAGGTAACGCACACACTTACTGGTCTTGTTCAGCTCGGGAAGAACCAGGTTGGTTCATTGCACGCTCGCAAGCCCCACAATAGTTAACGCCTCCCGTCATGATGATGTTGGGAGAGATTTCCATTCTACATCGCGGATCGGGTCGCGCGGGAGACGGAAACGATCAGCCGATCTATAGCATCAGAGGAGGACGTAGTCGAACCGCATTGAACACTTACTCTTGCGTGCAAGTTTCCTGGCAATTTGGGCAAGGATCTTCGTGCATCGGGCTATGGACGCAGTTACTGGACATGCACGGTTCCTATATCGCAGACACCAGGATGTCATACACACAAGCCGAGCGCGAGAAGTGAGAGTCGACTTACGACCCACCATGGCAGTTCGCTACGGAGCGCGAAGTGGCCGCACTCGTACTGCAACCAGCTGGGTTTGACAAGGACACACATCGTAAACTGGACGTACTCTTCAATGGGGGATTCAACTGCGAGGGAGGACTGCTGGTTAAGTATGGAGAGGATGGCAGGGTGCGTGAATGTCAGGCTTTAAGGAACGATTTTGCGATCTTAGCCTCCCTGGTATCGTACCCATCGCCAATAGGGCTAAGAGCAATTATGGTGGAGGGCCCGCTAACGAGTCAGTTGTGCACCTCGTTTCCAGAAACAAGAGACAGACATCTTCCAAAAGAAAAACGCCACTTGACTGAGGAGCAAATTACGAGTGACACGGCACCGTACATAAGTGTTGGGAGCCCTGATGAGTGTTTCCATGTGGCTCGATGCCCGCAAAAAGTCGAAAACAGGTGTCGGGTGGATTGGTTTGAGTGAGATCGAGGCACTAAGATTTCGAGGGACGGATCCCCATTTTCATGTATAGGACGCGTAGATGCGATTAAGAGATATGCCTTGGAGCTCCCATGTGGACTTCGTCAGTCTATGCATGTTTAGCGCGAATGGCTTCGCGTCATCGAGGGCCCCATTGTCACAACTGCGAGGATCGGACTGCCGGTAAATGGTTTGACCTTGTTGCCGGACTGGCAATGGAGAGCGCAGCAGAGGACACAGCGGGGAAGATGCGCCAAACTGCGCTGAATCACTAAATTCTGGGTGGCTGGCTGGTAAGCGTCACAAACAGGGTCATCGCCACATTCGGTAGCTCCAAACACGCGTGGATAGCAGGGAATTACAGGTATAAGTATCTATGTACACTAGTCTCCACTTGTATCATATAAAGTAGGAACCGACACGCTGAGAGAGAAAAAAGGTTCTGACCCTCTTTCGCTGACACACCAGCATCTATGGTAGGATCAGATTGGGGAAAAACCGTCCGAGAGTTGGTTATAGTACTGCCGCATCAATTACCTATCAGTACTTCAGGGTGAGGAGACGCCACGGGACAGTGCATAGACAACGTCCTCTCATAGAGCAACTGGCGTAAATGGCCCTTCGACAGTGGGCGGTGATGATGGTCGCACAGCTTTCTGGTCTGGACTTGCGCCTAGATCTCGTGAGGAACCCGACGTAACGCTCACAGAGTCTCTGACCAATACAGGTCGGGGGAAATCACTGGCCGGACTGACGGGTTCGGCGACTGAATCCTCCACAGACGATGAGTCAGACATTCCGTTATACATCAGTTCCTGCTCCATTCTGAATGGTTTGGCAGGTACTGCGGTGAAGGAACTGATGCTGGCCCGAGTACCAAAAAAGTCACCGAGTTTCTTCGTCAGAGGTTGAGGAGGTGGTTGTACTAGTGGCACGCCAGCACCGGAAATTGCAGTAGGGGTGGGAGCTGCAGGTGCAGGTGCAGGTGCAGGTGCAGCACTCTTTGCTGGCGTCTCTGCTCGCCAGAGTTTGAAGCCCCATCCTCCCGCAGCAGGGGCGCTCTTCTTAGGTTCCGCCTGGGAAAATGAAGAAGACCTGGGGAGCAACGACGATGAGCCAGCTGAAGTACCCGGCCCGCCAGGTGCGGAGATGCCGACGTTGTTCTCCTCTATGAACGCGCGAAGAGCTCTGACGCAGAGTTCAGACGCTTCGCGTGCCTCGTTTGATTCGCTCAGCTCGTGTTTGACATCTTCGAGCTCGGTTTTGAGGGAGTGAACCTCCTTGCGCAGCCTTTCGACCTCGGGCGAATCCTCTAACGCCCGAAAAGATCTGGGTGGCGAGTCTTGCCTTTGGTATAGCGATGATGGCCTAGATGGCGATGGTTGGGCTTTATTGGGCGGCAAAGACAGTTCTGTGAAGCCGAAACTTCCAGCGTTGGGAGTCGGGGGATTCCCTTCTAGCCTCGAGAAGCTCGCATCCGTTACAGAAGATATGCGTCGGTGTGCATTTAGCCGGCCAGGGGTCGACCCTGTCAAGGGAGCAAAAGATGCACGCTTTGCAGACGAAATTGGGAGGCTTGCGAACGTCCCAGCTTTCGAAAGATCAAGCTGGGGTGGCAGCTGGCTCGCCCTCCGACTCTCGCTTTGTAGTCGCATGAGTCCGCGCCTGTTCCAACGACGTCAAAACTAGTGATATAAGGCCATGCTATTTAAACCGTACCTGCTCTCTTCGACCTTGCCACGGAGGACAGAAATAGTATTCTCATCCTCCTTTGTCCTGTCGTTTGCTCTGTCCAGCTGGTCCTGTAAATTGGAACACTTCTCAGACATGTTCGCGATAGCATCCTTGACATCGGCTTCCCGGGCCTGAAATTCAGCGAGCGACTTGGCAAGTTCATCTCGCTCTCGAGTGACCTCTGAGAGAGAAGTACGAAGTTGGGTGATTACAGATGCCAGGACGTTGGTGTCTACGGACTGTGGGCGGCCCGTGGCAGCTGCAGGTGACAACGGCGGAAGAGACTCGTTGTCGAGCTGCTGCTCGAGGGTGAGGTCGAATGAATAGGGCCTTCGGCCAGTGTCGTCGGTTTGGTCGCTGTGTCCGTACTGTTCAGACATGGTCACGGTTGGTTTGAGAGAGTGCTGGACACTGTTGGCTTGGTTTCGTGGCTGGGTGTTGACCTGGCATGTGCGTGCGGAACGCCGGGTCGCGACCTTGTCGCGTCGACCATGCCTTTTTCAACTGACACCGCTGCACGTGAACGGCCAGACCCTCGTGAAACAGTCTATTCCGACGTGTCCTGTCACTATTGTACATATGTTTACACCTTCTTGTTTCGACGGATACTACCCCCGACCTCGAGTGCATTCCAATAAACCCAAGTCACACAGATCTGCGTCCATGACATGAAAAACCTTGTCGTTATGAGTGGGTCAGTGAATCGATACAAATGACGCCATCCCGTTCGTTCCATGGATATCCCCATCGGTGAAGCCACTCCCTTACCCCAGCAGACAGACGCGCGCGCGATGCGCCCCGCGCGGGATCCTGCGTCCCTGTGTGTTTCTCCTCTCCGACGATGGCAAATGCTGATTTGAAACCGGTTATTTATTAAAAAGCGATGCACTGTCTCCCGAACGGATCGCAACTCACCGAGTCCCAAGAAATGCTCCCGCTCGAGCTGTGCTCCCCCGTCAGCCGCTTGAATAGGATCATAGGATGTATACTAACCGCAAGTAGAAATTCCTCAAGCACCTCCGTTGCTTCGTTCGAATGAAGTCCGTGCAGATCGAGCATTACTTCAGTCCTCTCCTCCGAAGTCAACTTCGTATCGCCACCAATGTCTTTCTTCGCGACACCTAGGCAGATGCCCAGACCGCCACCACAAGTACGCCCCCTCGTGGAGCGGTCGCTAAGGTCGTCCGACCAGCTCGAATCTCGGCTTCTGACCGCCTGCTCGGCCAACTTAGCACGCTCTCTAACAAGTTTCCCCGCAGCCTCCGCCATCTCCTGGCTCATTTTTGCATTCAGATCATGACCTTCTCTACTGAATCGCTTAGCAGCCGCACCGTCACCTCGCCTCCAAGCATCCGCAGCGCGCGATAAACATGCGTTCCTGGCAGCTCCCAGCTGCAGCGCACGAGCTCGATACGACATGTACAGGTTGTTGATAGACTCGCCCATAGCCAATGTCGGAAGAAGCGTGGGAGAACGCAACTTGATGCGTGGGGATGGCTTGGGAGCCACGATCGTCGTTCTCAAGGGAAGGTTATCGGCTGTGTTACTATTTGTTTGAGACTCGCGACGGGTCACCATCGCACGATCGGCAGGGGCGGCCGTGGGAGGCGCGCGCTTGACGGCAGCAGCAAATCGCGTTCGACCCGGATCGTGTTGCCAGTGACCGTCCCGTGCACTGTACCCCTTTCTATTTCTACTCGCCCCAGCGCTTTCATAGCCCAACGCAGGGAAGTCCTCCGCGGGAGGACTTGAGGTACCCGAATGCGAATTACCGTTATTACTACCAAAGTTAGTCCTCGATAGCGCGTTCGTAACAGTAGAGACATCCACATTGTCAGGCAGCTGGTGCAGGAATTCACACTGATCTTGCTTAGCGCAAGTGCCTCGCAACCAGAACCGGCAAAGGGCACGCTCTAAATCATGGCTGCCAAGAAATATCAACCCCCAACGAACGATAGACAGAACCGCGCAGAAATTACCTGAATCTGCAATCGGCTCGCAGACATTCACCCGCTAGATAATATCGACACACTCTGCCGTTGGCGGTCGGAGTCCCACGGACACCCGTGCCGCGCCCGGTGGCTCGAGTTGGGACCTGGAAGCCTCGCCCACCACGCAAATTAGTCACTGGACTATCCCGGCTGATGAGTGCAACCCGATTCCCCACGTGTTGTACTCTGGGTTGGGTGGACTGTGGCACGGGGGGTAAGGCCCGATCGATAAGCCAGGCCATGGCTTTCTCGAAATCGTACCCATTCTGTGAGAGTGCCTCTTCGAGTTCCGAAGGCGCTAAAGTGGACCCAAACACGGAACCAAGTACATCCAGGGGAGTCATGCCATTAGTGAGGTATGCAACAGCATCAGGATCTTCGACGTCGTTGCCATATGGTGAGTCCTGGCCGTAACCGAGTGGATAGTACCCTTGCTGCACACCCTCTGGTGATAGGGAAGAGTTGGAAGGTGCGGTGTCTGACCACTGATCATAGTCCGTAATTGTGATGGGATGGAAAGAAGGAGGGCCGCTTTTGGATGCGAATGGATCGAACGGGTCATCTTCATCTTCATCCTCTCCAGGTTTCAGGGACGATCGCAGGGAACTTGGCGTGACTGCTCGAGGCTGTTCTGGAAGCAAGGGTGCGGCAATTGCCAGGTTCGAGCTCGGTCTGAGTGGACTATGTGACCACAGGTCTGGTGAAGGGGTCTCGGCCCTATATCCAGAAAGGGTGGCAGGATTTGATGAGGCAGCAGACAGAGGTCTCTGGATGGGCTTGAATTCGGTAGCTTTGGCACTGAGAAGTCTTGGTGACGAGATGGGAGAGGATGGGAGGCTAGCAGCAAACTGGGCGTGAGCTTGTGTAGCTTGTGCATGTGCAAGGACGGGGGAATGCATTGGCGAAACGCTGCGAGCAGTCATGTAGGATGAAGCATTTCCACTGACGAGAGGTGAAGTGACTGGGGTGTGAGGACGACGGAAACCGACGGGTAACGGAGAATTTGGCAGAGAAACAGGGGTATCTGGCCTATTCGAGTTGACCCGTGTAGAGGGAGAAGAAGCTCTAGATGACGGTCGTGATATTGGACGTCTAGTCGGCGTTAAAAACAGGAAAGGGACACCTGCAACGTCGTCGCGATGTTTATGCATAAGATCGAGGACGTGTTGTTCCAACTAAGACGGACGATCAGTGGGTCCAGCAGCATTTACGGAGGACGAAGGGTTGCACAGACCATATCAGAGTCGTCAACACCAAAATTCGTTTGAAGAAGCTCCTTGAGCTTATCTTCCTGTTCGTCTCCGAGAAGTGTGACCACTTTCATGACCATGGAGGTGCTGATGCGGGCTGATTCGTCGCCGTCATTGTCCTCGTTATAACTCTCGAGGAGGCCGCCTTTGTGCTGCCGGTATATAGCTGAGAGCTGTGCCCGTGTATGGGGGAACTTCTGGGCGGCCAGTGCTCCGAAGCCGGGGGCGTCGTCGTTGGAGGGATCGACGAATGGCGGTGGCATGGTCAGTGAGGATGCCGACAAGTGTTGATTGGCAACCGAACAAGTTGGATATGTGATGGCAATCTGGTCATCCGGGGAGAAGCACTCTCCATAAAAGACCCGTGTGTATCGACGATCGCTAAAATTACATTACACTTCACTACTCGTCCCACTGCACTAACACATGTTCCTCCCTCCAGCACTCCCTCGCATCCTTGCCACCCTCGTCCAGACAGCAGTCCTTTCCACACGAGAACACCATACAAGTACCCCATTCCATACCCCTTCTATCGCTAGTTTGGTTGGATTTCAGAGCGTCTTGAACTGCCTTGATTCTTTCTGCGTCCGTCAGTTTTCGGTCTGAATCAGTGTCTTTGTCCTTGTCCGCGGCTCTTAGGACATTTATGAGGTTTGGCATGAGCTGGCATTCAAATACTCGGCTCGATTTGCACACAGAGCAGTGTGGAATCGACGACACATTGTATGAACGCCTGACAGGTGAGACAACCTTGAATGCAGCCCCTGTTACGGGAAGCGGGTCTTGAGGTGGGGCTGGGAAGAGGACCTCAAAAACCTTGTCGGATGCAAACGGAAGCGGAGTCCCATTGAGTTCGTAGCTGTGAATACGAGTCAAGCAGAGGCCGCAAGGAGGAACACACAACCTACCGGAGACATTGGTCCGCTGCATGGTTTATCCGTTTGGTGAATCGTTCAAAAACGAGATCTACTTTTAGTGTATTCTCATAGGTTTCCAATCCCCAGGAACCATCCTTTCCTCCTTTGTCATCGTCTGCTGGATCTTCCATCCGTGCGTTCTCTGGAATTTTAGTTTTTGGTACCGGTGGAATGTATTCAGTCATCGTGGAGAGATATGTCGCAGGATATGATGGCGCTGCCGTCCATGGCGACTCCCGAATGGTAGTCGAGGCCATGGCCGTAATCAATGAGTCCTCAGTCGACGAGGCCTCGCTTTCGTCGTCACTTTGGTCGTCATCCTTGTGTACTTCCTTGGCCGGTGAGGGTTCAAAGGGGCTATTAGAAGCCTGCCCAAATATTTGGTCCCCTAAACCAAATGCTGACGGCGCAGCAGGAGTTTGCATCTTATCGGAAGATGAGTTCGTGAGCACAACTCTCCGGGGTACTTACGGAAAATGGGTTTGCGTCATTAACAGGAGCAGGACCCGCAGCCTTCCTCTGTGCGTCCTTACGAGCTTTCTTTTTCTCCAGTTTTGCAGCGTACTCAGCGTTATACCTCAATGCCCGCCAAGCACGTACGCTGACGTGAACGCGTCTAAGTTGATTGACACTTGGAAATGATCCGCCCACCTACCTCCCAGGCTGTCTTTGGCAGGACGCACGTGCGCATCCCCAGATATACAAAGCCCTGTCCATTGTGCTGTCTTCAAATGGACACCATATTTGAACGAGGAGTTCCATTGGATTGGAGCAGTTGTTGCATTGCGAAGAAGGAAATGGTGGCTCCCGCGAAGGCAATAGAGCCTTTAGAGATGACGAAACAAAGTTGAATTGATGGCATATTCGTACATGGGCAAGAACAGACTCGTACGGGGAGACCACCGATGCGAGAGACAGCAGCGTCTCTCAGGTCATTGTCACTCTCCACACTACCGTCTGGCACCCCAAGTAACACATCTGTTTCGACACCGGTGACGACCTCGTCATCAGAATCTGACCAATCATCGTCTGCAACGCGAATAGGCATGTTGGGGTCTGAAACTTTGGATCAGCAAGTCGTTCGATCGATACGTCAGACGATGGGGATCAGATAATGCATGAATGGTAAATAAATGGGACTCGTCACATACACCAGAACGAGGAAACCCCGTTCTAGCGTATTCAGACTCGTCATCTCGAATTCATCAAGGACGATAAGAAACAGGCCAGTTGAACTCACCTGGTTGGTCAACAACAGCACAAAAATTTGCTCGTCACAAGTTTTGAGGCAGGTCGAGCCAAACAACAGCCAAACATAAAAGGTGGGACATACCTTCCCCATTTAGGTTTGTCGCTACCACCACAGTGATTGATATCCGGTTCCGCTGCACACGCCTGCAACTGCACAGGCTCCTTTACTTGGTACAGCTGGGATGGCTGTCCCAGATGCCCGGACACGTAGGAAGATCAGCCTTCAGCCAGCCAAAGTCATATCTGCGTCGTACGTTCTCGACCCAGTTCATAGCGTGTCTTATGTGAAATAACAACGCGCCGCACGTAGACTCAACAGCAGGTCGTTTCCCAGACTGTTCGTTTCCAATGTTCTGTTTGTCTTGACACTCTTTTCCGCCAAAGAATGGCTCCTATCGTATGACGTCGGTGTGTTTTGGATGGTCATGAGGGTGCTCGCTATCGGGGGATTAGGAACACTAGGATGGGAGGCTGTCAATTCCGAACTTGCGGAAAACAAAGGCGTTGAGGTGCGGGATATTGACCTTGGCCTTCAGGAAGTTCTCCATTCATTGCATGTAGTGGACCGCTCTCGGCCTATCTTCGTTCCTTGTCTTCATGCAACAAGCCTCGTTGTACACAGCCCTATACCGCCTGTCATCACCTCGGTACGTTCTCGATTTAATTTACCTCTGTGGAGAGTTTCACTTTTGTACCCGCAGCGTCATTTTATTCACACACTTCTCCACCTCTTGGGTAGGTGCCGTGGTCTCTTCCGGTTCGGTCAGTCCTGTGTTGTCTGGATCCGTGCACCGTGACTCAAGTGTTGTATTGTCAGATTCGGCAACCCATAGCGATAGTCTGCGCATTCGTTTTGTCTTTTCTATGTGATGCGGCGTTCTCGAATCGTAGTCCTCATATGCTACTTCCGGGATATGGCTGCCTCGTGCTTCATGGCTTGGCAACCTATGTTCTAGAATATGTGCGGGGTGTCTTATCACCATCTCTCAGTCCGTCCAAGACGACGGCTGTGAGTACCATGGGTGCTGTTCTTCTAGCCCTTCCATTTTATGCATTCAGGAAAGCCGTTGTAAGTGCTTCTGCCATGTCCTGCAATTCTCCACCTCATTATCTCAGCTCAATTTGCCACCATCGCCGGTTGTGCCGCTGTTGTCGTTGGCTATCCTCCCTCTTTTAACGTATAGCATGGTGTTCCTGACGCCGGAAACGAACGTGAACCAGTATAACCCTTCCCAAGCTTCACAGTCATTCCTCTTCACATACCCTCTGGCATTTTTTATGGCCGTTGGTGCAGGCCATCTGGGATTCACTCAATCAGTTGACTGGACCGACCTAATGGTAGGGTCTGTCCTTTACTACGGTATGTCTGCAGCATCCTACCGCATGCTGTCGGAGTGGACAATAAACATGTCACTCTAGCATTATACCCCGGTCAAGATCCAACACTCACATCAGCACCGCGCACACCCTGTATCGAAGCTCATTCGTTTCTACCTGAACTCCGTCCTATCAGATAACGAGTCAAGAAAGATATTTTATTTTTTGGTGTTGAACATGTGCTATATGCTCATACAAATGTTGTATGGTGTCTGGACTAATAGCCTGGGTTTGATTTCTGACGGTAAGTTATCAAAGCATGGTTTCAGTTCGGGTAATTCTGAATATTTGCGGAAGCTATCCATATGGCATTCGACTGTTTGGCTATCGGCGTTGGTCTACTTGCCTCCATCATGGCAAAATGGCCGCCAAATGAACGGTTTACATACGGGTACAGTATTCCTCTTTGCGTTCTTCACCTTGCCTGTACAAACCGCTCGCTTTTTTTTTTGCAGGTACGGCAGAATAGAAACCCTATCGGGTTTCGCAAATGGAATATTTCTCATTTTGATATCTGTCTTCATCGTGTTTGAAGCGGTCGAACGCATGTACGAGTGTGAGACTCTGCTCATCTACGTCAGAACTAACCATTCGCATTGGTTAGCTTGGATCCTCCTGAGATGACGACTAGTCAGTTGTTGCTCGTCAGTTCCCTCGGGCTCGGGGTCAATCTGTTCGGTATGTTTGCGATGGGAGGCCATCATCACCATCATGTAGGTCGCTCCAGCTGGATGTATGACCTTCCGCTGACCCATGTCAGGGACATGGTCATTCACATGACCACGGCAGTCACTCACATGCACACAATCACAGTTCAAATCTTCGCGATACTAAACAGGGCAACGCTCACTCTCTTCACCCTCGTGAGCGTAACCATCCGCACCTCCACACGGTGGAAAATCACCATCACACTCACGACCACGGAAGCGCTTCGCATGTCCACCATGACCACACGGCTAATGGCACTTCCCAACGCAACGTCGTGCTGAACAATGCGATGAATGGCAGGAAGCCCCATTCCCGTGGGCCGTCACTAATAATCAGTCAAGAGGGCTTGCAGAGCTTTTCAGCCTCGTCACAAGTCCCGTTTCCAGTGACTTCACCGACATCAATAGATTCTCCAATCTCTCCCAACTACCCGAAGACCCTCCAACACGATTACCATCACACTCACCACTGCCACGATCATGATGACGACGGACACGACCCTCATCACCACGTCCACTCACATGGTCGTAGTCACGATCATGAGGGACACAGCCATAATATGCGAGGCGTTTTTCTGCATGTCATGGCAGATACTCTGGGATCTGTCGGAGTAATCATTTCCACGCTCCTTATCCAGTACTATGGCTGGACAGGTTTCGACCCCATCGCTTCGATATTCATTGCGGTATTGATCGCCGCTAGTGTCGTCCCACTCGTGATCGACACTGGTAGAGTGCTTAGTCTGGATTTGGGTGATAACGAGAGCAAGGTACAGCAAGCGTTATCAGAGGTGGGAAACCTTGATTTCGATCTATTAGCCCTCATGCTGACGGTGGCGAGTTCCCAGCTTTTGCACATAGAGGGTGTCGCGTCTTATTCCTCGCCGCGCTTTTGGCCAAAAGATTCGACAAGCATTATCGGCTCCATTCACATAAAACTGTCTGAGCCTGCATCCCGCGACCACACAGAGGGGTCAGGTATAGACCAATTGCTGGAGCGTGTAATTACCTCGTTGCGGAGTCGGATACCTGGGCTTGAGGAAGTCACCGTTCAATTTGACCAGTTCAGCCATCCATCCATTAGATAACTGTAGCTTCTCACTAATACTTGACAACTCGGACTCATAACTCATACCCTTGTATCCACACAAAAACCAACCATCCAGTAAAAGAATTACCATTAAGGGGGAAAACAGGAAGGTGGTAGCCATACAAGTCATCTAACAAACATCGTCGCCATAGAAGTACACGTTCAGCAACATCCATTCTTGGCTGGTGCTGACGAGTCGATGGCGACGGGGATCGTGTCGCTGGTAGGTGCTTTAACGGAGTCGCCAGACTGATCAAGAGTCTTGCTCGACACAATGCGGTAGATATCTGGTCCTTTAATCAGTGATCTGAACCCACCAAACTTGACAAAGTTCCAATTACCGGTTAAGATAGTCTGGAAAGCCGAATCGACATTGGAAGCATCCAGCGCCGAGGTCTCGATGAACGACAGCTCGTTTTGAGCTGTGCGGATCAATTAAGCAGATGACAGAGAAGAGAAGTTTTCCGAGTATAATAGACTTACTGGCGAAGTTCGTTGCCTCTTCCGTGGGGACTGCCCTCAGGTGCTTCAGGTCACTCTTATTCCCCACGAGCATGATCACGATATTAGAGTCTGCATGGTCCCGCAACTCCTTCAACCACCGCGTTACGTTGGCAAACGTTGCCTGCTTTGAGATATCGTACACCAAGAGAGCACCGACTGCGCCCCGGTAGTAGCTGTGGAAACGATGGCAAAACTTGTCAGCACCAAACGAACAAAAGGGGGGGAAACTCATACGCTGAAGTTATCGCGCGATACCGTTCCTGACCTGCGGTGTCCCAGATCTGAGCCTTGATGAGCTTTCCATCGACATTGATCGAGCGGGTCGCAAACTCGACTCCAATAGTCGACTTGGAGTCCATGTTGAATTGATTGCGAGTAAACCGGGAGAGCACTGTGGGTGCACAGCTTCCAGTGAGCTGTACACGACACACCGTATCCTACTTACAGTTTCTGTATCGATAGAAGAGCAGTCAATATTGGATGAAGAGTTAGGCATTTGAGAAGAATGAACGTACGATTTACCAACGCCCGAGTCACCAATTAGGACGACCTGCGGACCGCGTCAATTATCCATTGCTCTACATCCCCTGCCCTGTACCAGCTTACCTTGAACAGATAATCGTAGTCGCTTCCTTCTGTCATGATTTGTCCGTCGTGTAGCTGGTGTTGTTTCTGAGCGAGGTATTATACGGCACTTGGAGCTCGACACTTGGCACTAACCAGGTGGGCGCAGCGCTTGCGGAGTCCGAATGCACTCAAACTAGTCGCATCCGCGGCGTGTCCGACTCAAATTGTCATGAAAAATCAATCCATTACAGCAGTGTAGCGAAAACAAAAAGATGCAAGTACAATAAAATTCAAGACTCCTCGACTAAAGGCATGAATCAGAAGCCTCCAAAACCAGTCATGGCCTGCAGATAATGTCATAATGCACTTCAGACCACTTGCCACATCTGGGAACAGAACGACTTACAGGCATCATGCCCATACCCATACCCATGTTCATCCCCGTTCCATTGACCATGGGAGGTGGTTGACTTGGGTATCTAACGCTTGATCGTCAAGACATGTACTATACGAGGAAATAGATACCGACCCGTTGCCCTGCGTGATTAGCAGGCGATTGATGCCAGGGTTGATGATAGGTTGTTCAGCCTCTTGTTCTTCCTTGGCAATTTCCTTCTTCGAGCGCTCTCGAACTTCCTTTTCAAGAGTGGCCAGCTGAAGAAGTGTCAGTCATCATGAGGGAAACAAGGAATCACCAAAATCACTGACCCTCTCTCGCATAGTCCTCGACACTTGGATCTTGTAGGGCATGTAGAAGTCATTGAGACCGTGTTGCCATGATAATTCCTCCACAACATCTGGCCGCAATAAATCGAAGCAGACAAACAGCGTTGCCGCAAAGCACTCCTTGTTTCCGATGTCTACGAAATAGGAGAGTATGTCCTCGGCAACCTCTGTCGATGCCGAAGTAGCAGCTGTAACGATGGCATCCTTGTAGAGCTTGTCCTGCTTCGACAGGGATATCGACTCTTCCCAACGAGCATTTTTCTGTACAACGCTTATGAATGGATCATGAAGAAGGCATGTGCGGGAATGACATACTTTGTAAAGGTGGGCAGCTAGTCGTCTGAACTCGAGAAGCTCGTGCTTCTCTAACCGCTGCGCGAGAGCAATATTGTTGAAGTTGTCGAAGCTGTCAATTGAATCACGAAGAGTCTTGTAGTCCTCTTCCTCGATAAGTAAATCGTTATAGGCATCGTTAACAGCTTCAATGTTGTGCTGTAGTACTGATCAGCCTCGAAAATGGGACAAGTTCTGCAGGACAGCTTACATCTTGAACAGCAATAAGGTACGACCGGATGAGAGGGATGTGATCGATCTGACGGAACATGCGAACGACGCGAGCATGATCAACACGTGCTATCATGACAGACAATAGGTCGTTCAAGAGTGTGGGCTGCTCTTGTAAGTAGAAGGTAAGGGCCTTATAGTAGCTGGATGAAACGTGCGTCAGTTCTGCGCAAAGTAAGAATTGTCCCCAGAGCATACATTTCTACGTTTGCGACCCGGACAATCACATCCTTGAATTGGTTGTGTTCCCAGGCGTCCGCGGAGCGTTCGATCATTGCCAAAGCTGCATTATCCTTCGAAACGTAAGCAAGGGGGTCATTCAATTGCGCGACACACTTACGAATTCATCGTACTTCATGTATAGGAAGACCAGTTCAGGCCATAGGTGAGCTTTCTCTGTGGCTTTGATGACCTGATAGAAAGTTCAATTGACAGTCTACCAGAGCTAAAGGACCACATACCTTTGGAATATTGATTCTCGATACGAAAAGCTTCAAGTGCTCCATCACTAGAGATCAAGATACATGTAAAATTTTAATCCCCTTATTTCGTATTATACTCACGTTTTCCTGGTTTATACTTGCTATACAGAATGGAAAGCTCGGTGAATATGCCCATCTGCAATATCACAGTCAAATATAGGGCTTTGAGAGAAATCAAGACCAACGTGTGCGCGCTCCAAGCTCAGAGCAGCCTCCAATAGAGCGAGGACTTCATCGAAATGGCCACGGCGTTCGTAGGATTGGACAACTGCTGGCAGTTCTTCTGCATGGACGACAATGTTCAGACCACAAATTTGTGCCTGATAAAAAGGTTGGTAATTATCTCGAGAGTCTTGAAAGACGTACAAGACGGAACTCGGACTTCTCCATGCAAGCAGCATGGACTTGCTTCCAGACTCTGCAACTACCGTCAGCCATAAACGATAGGATGTGCAACCTCAACTTACTGTGTGTTGCCAGCCTTCCTGGCGCTCTCGACAGCGGCTTGGTTTTCCCCTAGGTAAATTAACGTAGTGGCCAAACGAGCCCAGTTGGAGATGCTGGCGAAAAGTAGTCTAGCAGCCTGATAAAGTTCATCCTCGAAGCACTTCTCTCCAACTTCCAGGATATCTGCGACATTGGTCATACCCAAGAAGTCTTCCATGTCGTGGAGGCGGTCAGTCTTTGCGTAGGCGTAAGCTAGTTCCGTGTCGATCTGGGGCTCCCGGAGGTGTTTACGGGCCATCTGCAAGAAGCGCACGAGATCATCGTGCTTCCCAGCATGGCTTGCGATCTCGATCACCTCGGCAAAGTTCGAAGGATCGTCGGCTTTGATGTAGGAATCTAAGGAAATGAGTGAGCACGTGGCTGAGAAACAACAGGCATGTCATTAACTTACCGATAGCATCTTTGACGCGAAGGCCATCAAGTTGAGCTTTGCCAAGTCGACTCCAAACTTCGGGCTTGTTCACCTTCGTCGCGTATTCGAGACCCCGGTCGATGGATACCACATGCTCCACTAAAACGTTCATAGCCATGACGTGCTGCTCATATTTCTTGTAAATTGTGAATGCCTCCTCGTAAAGACCATGGTCAGTGGCAATCTTAGCGATTTCCCCGGAATCGTAATTCTGGAGCTTGTTGATATATCCAACGACCTTGCCCTTGTTAGCCCTGATGGCAGTCAAGAGCAAAAGGTTTTGTAGGTTGCGGTTGTCGCTGAAAGGTGAAGGTTCGATGATAATTTTCTCCAGCAACTCAATCAACTCCAGTGGTAGATCAGCTGACAAGAAAGCCTTGACAGTGACAGAGACATCATCTGGGTCTGTACACTCCGGCAATGCAGTCGCAATGATCTGGTGACAACATTGTTATCCACTGGAACATCAACGGGATGAATAACCTACCTGGTCAATGAGGGATCTACGGTGAATATTGTCGGGAACGAGAACCTGGGCCCAAAGCTCAGGTTGGCGGCGTTTGATAAGATAGCGAGCTTGCTGCTTGAACATCGAGTTCTCGTTCGTGATAACAATGAGTTCGTCATCGCAGAAGCCTTTAGCATAGGCGATGTACGCCAAGTAGGGGTCACGGGCTTCGCAGAATTTCCCGACCACAAGTGGTTCATAAAGCTAGACGTGCAATGCATTAACTATCTGTCCTCGATCGCGAGGCAACTACTCACGTGATTCTCCTTCAAGAATGTTTCAGGGTTATTGTTGCTGTCGATATATATCTTGGCAAGCGCATTAAATACCGCAGGGTCTTGAGAACCAGCCTGGACGCGAGCTTCAAGCCAGGGCAAAATCAACTTCAAACGGTTCCGTTGCTCAACTTCTGCCACGAGTTCGTCAATGGGGAAGTTGCCGGTTACAGAGGCGAGGAGGCTCTTGATAGAAGCTTCGTCACAATCGACATCGAGTAAGCCGCCAACAACCTGAGGTGTCCGGAAGGAATTCACGCGTTGAACATACACCTCGATGAACTTAATAAGACCATTCTGGTAAAGGTAAAGCACGAGGTCGTGAACGAAGTCGAAGCGATCGCAGACGATGATGAGCGGGAGCTGGTCCTGAAGTTTTGCTTCCTTCAGGAAATTCTTGACCTTCTCTGGGTTGTAATAGTTGCTCTCTCGGCAAATACGCTCGACCTCTCGGATTTGCCCAGTGCGCGTCGCAGCTTGGACATACTTGAAGTGAACCTCTGGATCCTCGCTTAGGTTGACAATCGATCCAAGGTAGTAGTACAGGCCCTCGAAGCTCTTGAAGGACTCGAACATCTCAATCAACTTCACGGGGCCCAAGATATCAGAGTACTTGGTAGCGATTTGAATCACAACTTGCAAGTTCTGCCGGATGTTTACCCGAAGCATCTCGTACATGCACGCCATGGATTGTTCGGTTGTCAGCCGACTGAAGTAGTTCACCAACCACTGAGGAGCATAGTTAGACGTCACGCATGGAACATCAAATGAAGATACGTGCATCAGGTTGCAGGCCACTGGCGTGCACGACCGCACGCTTGATGTCTGCTAGGTCCTCGTAATGCTCAAGGGCCTGCCAGGATCCATCAGTCACAGAACTTATAGATATCCTGAAACTGTTGTTCTTACTCTTTGCAGAAGACCGGCTTTCTCGCAAAGGTTAGCGATGCGCGGGCGGTCATAGTGAGTAAACATTTCGTTGCCAAGGATAGCATCTGCAACTTGTGGCGCGTGAACTAAATTCATCTCGAGCAAACGCGTCTGCAGGGGGCCCTGTTCTGGTTTATTGTCTTTCAGAGCATCCAAAAGGAAGGATGTTGCAGGCTGTATCATGTTCTGTGACATGAAGATATCCACCACCTGCGAAGCAATTGAGTCACTGTCACGCTTCAATGTACCCACCGCACTTACACGTTCGACATCAACTAAAGGACCGGACTCATCGTTGGCGAGCTGAGTAGCAAACTCGGCACCTTTCTCGGGACTGGTCCTCATAACGTGTTGCAGCAGCGAGACATAGTCAGGGCTATATCCGACCTTCTTAGCGTAGAGTACAATTTTTTCTGTTTGACCTGTTTCAGCGAAACATGCAATGACCTTGTTCGGGACATTGGCTCTGAGATACACGCTCAGTGCCAGGGTCATGTCATGCAGTCGCACAATATCTCCGAGTTCCTCGCTACATGTGAGCTATAAAAAATAGGCAGTGCATCAGTAACACCTTCATGCCATCAATGACTAACTGACCTTGTTCTCCTTCAACCATTTTTCAAGAAGCTGCTTGCGTCCCTGTTGCAAGACGGGCCTAGCAAGTTCAAGAGACTCGAATTGATTCAGTTCGCCCTTCTCTAGCAGTATGCCGAAGTATTGCAATATGGGGGACAGACTACCCTGAGGCGTCGGTGCTTGCTTGAACGACTCGATCACTTGCGCAGTTCGCAGGATACCCTGAAAAGAACATGATGAAAATGCGATATCATTGGGCCAGAAAGCGTACACGAGGAGAGTTGGCAGCAATTTTCGCAGCCTCGCTGAATTGACCAGCAGCAAACAACTGTTGGAATTGCTTCACATAAAGGTCGTCGGCGCCTGGAAGGTTTGCACGACTTGCGAGCTTGAACGCGAGCTCCGTATTGTTAAGGGTAGTCAAAATGTATGGTACGATTGTTTGATCATCAACACTGACGGAGAGAACTTGACCTTTCTTGTTGACACCCATGATCCCATGTGCAGCTTCGAGCTCCGCCGTGACAAATATTGTTTCCCCAGATATGCGATTCATGTACACGCATGCACCGGTCTCGAGATCGTAAAGGTGAATGAAGCCATACTTGGTGACCAAGAAGATGATCCCGTGCTTCTTTGATACCTGGATAGCGACAGGGAAGTCATTGGTAGCTTCCGGGGGGAAATAGACGTCGACCGCCTTCTTGACGAAGGGCGGATCGGGCGCCGTGTGATCGATCTCCACAACATGAAGCTGAACCGCATTTCAACTCGACGCACATATGTTTGTCGTCATTTGCGTACCTTGGCACCAGTAGCGGTTCTCACAGCAAAAGTAAAGAGTTTCGTGACATGTTGGTGACCATCAATCTTGAGTTCCGCAAACGAAGCCGCATGCCCCTCGATAGGCTGGCTGACACCTCGATCCCTGTTGTAAAGTTGCATGGCACCCTTCACCTTGAATGCGGAAGGGTTCGTCGTATTTCCGGTTATACCAATTAATACTAGCCACTTCTCATCAGGAGTCGCCCGGTAGTTGATTATTTGTGCGCCGGTAAGCGTCGGATGACGGTCAAAAACCTTCTGTGGTGCGGACGTCTGGTCTGTGATAGACCAGTGATAGACCGAAGTGTCCGTGACCAAACCCAGAGTAGACTCTGACAGCCACTTCCAAAAGACAACATCTTCGTTATTCTGGTGCGACTTGACTTTTTGCTTCGTTTCGATGTTAAAAACTTGAAGCGTTCGGCCAGCTTCGACGACACAGTTAGACTATAAACCACGATATTGCAACCCTTTCACACACCCTTTAACGCGAGAATCTTCTTCGAAGGATGCATTATGGCCGAGTCTGCGCTAATAGGCCGCCTTAGAACATTGTTGGCGTCCGCGAGATCGATGATGACGACTTGATTCTGGCCGTTGACCGATTCCCGTACACATATGAAGTGGTCGGATTCTAATGTCAGAGTCTACGCGAATTTCATTAGATGGATCAGGTATGGACCCAAAACTTCCGCTCACCTAAATGGTGAAACCCATGGCATTATGGAGAACAAAGCTAAGTAGGTGAGTGGGCGGAGAAGCTATGCGCGTACATACCTGGAATGAGATTGAGGCAGGCTGAACGCCCAGACTCGACAACTGCAAATGCTCGCAGAAAGAGATTGGTTTCGAGATATCCGCCATTGCAACGAGCTCGTTGACACCAGACGCAGGCAAGGCCGTGAGTGCAAGAACAACACAAGAACTAAGATGGGTGCTGGGTTACTTTGCAGGGCTGTCAAGGCCGCACCGCAACAAGTTTATTCGTGTTTGTCTCACGGGTACAGTGCTATCTACGGAGGGATATGACTAGTGCACTACTCTTCTGCCAGTGCTAACGCCTCTTCCAGATCCTCTTGTTCTAGGAGAGTGGCTTGTGGGGGTGCATTGCCATAGTACAGACGTTGCATGACGATGACTTTTATAACATCCCATAAGAACCACGCGGGGGATACACGACAAAAACCTTACTAAAGTCCACTGACAACTGAAATAACGCACAGACTTTGAATTGCAAGGGTGATCCCTGTACGAAGAAGTACGCAGTCCTTCGTAATTGTGAAATTTGTCAGGGACCTATGACGTATATGTCGCTACGACGCGAGGACAGACGTACTTGAAGGAATCCCCGCCCACCCATCCGATCAAAGTAGAAGCACGGAAGCCATACAGTGACTTCTGCTTGTAGTTGCTGTGGATTGATGATGATGACGATGAGGAAGGGCTGCAAGATCACAATGGAAACAAACCTAATAAGCTGCGGGATGGGTAACATGCTTTCCATCCCCAGAGCAACGAACCCTATAATCGAAATATAAACGTCCGCCCGTCCGAAAATTAAATACGCTATGGCTGAGATGAGACTATCACAGATAGACTTTCAGTAGAAAACACGAGGGGATAACGCCGTGGCTTACATAAAGCCTGCCAGAAATTCAATGTACTGAACATACGACGGCCAATGCCAAAAGGCAAATGGTCGACTGGACTGTCCACGCGTGTCGGGACGCGGCTGATATCGGATGCAAATGTACAACAGCGCCAGCTGAGCGCGATCGTATGCAGTCAGACGTCGTCAACAAGTCATAAAGCGTACCTGCGCAAGAATCATAAGGATTGATTGAACCAGCAGGGCAAATTCGAAACGTGTCCCCAACCAAAAGAAACATCGGGTAATATTGGCAAGCAACCTGGCAGGCCAACAGATTGAATCGTGGCTGCGAGAAGCTGATGTGGGGTGCACTCACAAAATGGCGCACACATCACGAGAGAACCCTGTAGAGTCCCTGGATGAGGGAGAAACAGTTGATTAGTGGATATCACAGGAACGCCACCGTAGAGAGGCATGCTTTTTCCTCACGATAGACACGGCCTGATCAGCATAGACCAGCGGTGGACCGACAGCCATACCGACGGACGCGGTCACCGAGACCCATGGGGGTAACATTTGGGAGGGACAGCCAAAAAAATGTGGGCCGTACTTGCTGCGGTGGTCACATGCCACCTCGGATACGCTTTGGCACGCCGGGGGGCCAATAAGCGCTGACCCTCTGCCTCTGATGGCATCGTACGTCGTGCATGTAATTATGAGCAACTGTACTTAACCAATAGTGACGAGCATAAGTCTACTCTCGAAGACCACTACGTCAGGCAATTTGACACGATCTCTTCTTACTTCGAAGGTTCTCAGGCTACTCCCGTGCTCGTAGTCATAGATCTATCTGAACCATTGCTGCAGACTGGACTGCGACCACATCAAAATTAATTTAGGTCATAATATGTGGGTATCTCCAGGTGGTGGTCGAAGGTACCAGTGGAACGGTGAGCTAAAGTCATGTGTTTACACAGGACCCTACTTACGTCCACTGTGAACGCCCGTGATAAATCTGGCCGCGGTGCCCAAATCCCGAAGGTGACCTTGGAATGATAGACCGACTTGTTTTGCTGGGGGGGACCTGCTCTAGCAGCTGTATACATACGTCCCGGGAATGCTTGCATTGACTACCAGATCCCACTGCTCGCTTAGTACGGGAATTGCCTACATGCACCTCCGTCCTGGCAACAAAACGGAAACGATATGGGTTCCACGACCATCATCGATGAGTTACACGCTCCTCACCAACGTTATGCCGTTGCTGCCTTGACCTTCTTTTATTCCCAGCCAGCCAGCCCAACTACCTGCGGTAAGCGTCCGTTCCCTCGCGCTACCATGTTTCCTTGGCCTTTTTAGCTCATCTTATTGGATGCCAAAACCCTGTTGCGATTGGTTGCCTGCCACCATTTGGTCGGCTTTGACATGCTTGGTCCCGGCCGCTCTCTATAGATCGGGTTCGCGTCGCAGCGATTTGCAATGGGTCAGGCGGGAAGGCCCCTCGATTAACTGTGGCGGCAGTATGCACCCTTAGCCACGCATGGTAATGTTCGTGGTTGGCTTGCACTGTATGAGATTCCCTCGTAGCAGCTAACCGCATTCATTCGGCGTGGGTCCTGCACTGCTAGGTGTTAGGTGACTGAAGTATTGCGTGCTGCATCAGAGATCATACAAAGCGATATGAAGAGTTGTAGGTAGGTCGAACTCCTACTTCGTCATGCCTTCCATTTTGCTGCTTCCCTGCCGTTGGGTTGCATTAAATTTTGAGGGCATGCTGAGTCTCGGCGTTTCAGGGGGATGAAAGTTTCTAAAGAACGCACGTAGACATGATTGTTCTGATGCGCTCACCGAGTGTTGGGAATTGAAGCCTTCCAATGGGAACTCCTGCTACGGGCATGACCCGCCTGTGGCTTTTGTGATGTACGGCGCGAACATAGTACGCCTTACTCCGTCAGTCCATTACGATGAAGCTCCGTCCATCGCCCCGCGTAAGGCCGCACCTTTAGTGGTGTTAGTGCTAAATCAGCTAAGCCTTTTAAGACTCGAGGCAGTGGGACATTGGAAAATTACAAATGTGCAGCCCTCGACCCAGGTGCTGCCTCTGCCGCACTTTGCACTTTTGGTGGGCACCCATCTTGCTCCTTCCGTTGCTACTAACTGAAATCCCTTATCAGCTGGGCAAATGGCTCTTTCTTTCGGATCGATCCCGTGGCTTGATCGGTGCACGCGCGGGCAAAGCGGAACCCATGATGACTACAGATCCGCTCACCAGCTTATCTACGTGGAAGTTCGAACGTTCATATTCCACGCAGTCCTTCTATCCTTCCCTTTCATATCGATGCTTGTTCCTCAGGAGTGGGCCCATTTAAGTAAACTGTAATTAGCGGCAGGATGTTTTCACAAGTGACACTCACATCTTCCTAAATTTGGGGGACCCTCGTTTAATGTGCGTGTACTTGGTGCGCGGCTTCTGCTACAGTTGTGGATGTAGCATAAAACACGTCCCGTCGCAAGTACCGACGTCAGACAAGATCCCCAACCTCCCCCACTTCAAGGTCCCTTCCGGACGGACATTTGGTTCATTTTTCGCTTTTTTATACTTCCGCCTAACTAGTACTTCCGACATGGCATCGCCACAATTTCAGGAGCCCGTCTGGGTCGCCGCGGATAGTTTTCATGGCGACTTGGACTCCGCACTCTGGCTTTCGCAAGGCGCTGGATCCGCCTCTTATGACCACTACCCCGAACACCTCTGGAAGTCGTGGCAGTCATGGCAGGACCCTTCGGATAACATGCTTCCTTGGGTGGACACCTCAGATGGTGGCTTTGATTGTCCCCCGTATCATCCCTTGCTACTTTCATTCGACTCGCCAACGTTACCTGTGAGTACCCTATCGTTTTCCATCTTCACAGCTAAGTATGATTGGCTAAACAGACCGAACACTTGTCCCCTCAGAGGAGTGATAGCGAAAGTAGTCTAAGGTCCATACCCCTCTCCCTCACCCCTAGTCTAGCCCATCACGGCAAAGGCGGCAACATGCACCTAACCGACACCACTTCACACGATTATAAGTCAGCACTGGTTAACGATTGCTACCTCACACAAGTCCCATCACTGACGAGTGATGCACACTGTACCGTCACTTCCATAGCAAGCCTTCCTCCGCTGCACTGCCAGCCCGATACTGAGCGACGTGCCCGTGCACCGTCTAAAAAACGCTCCATAGAAGAGGTAGATGGTTTCAACGTAAAGGTCAGGCACTAATTTAGGGTGGCAGACTTCGATAGATCTCACGATCTAAACTATAGGAAGAAAATGACGCCCATTCATCTTTGCCTACTACCAACGATGCATATTGCCTTCCTCAGCTGCACATGACAGTACCCTCCCAGGGTGCTCCCCTAAAGGTGTCATACGCGGGTAGCCGCCCTTCTGTGCAGCAGCGCACATCTCATTCACGCGAACGTGATTCGTATTTGTCGCGTCAAGAAGATACACCAACAGCATCTAGACACTTCAGTAACAAGCGCTTCCACCACTCAACAGATGGCCTGATTCGGCAGGAAGCTGGAATCCGGACCTTGCACACTGCAAATGCAACGTGGTCTAACTCTGATGATCCGCTGTCAAAGTCAACAAAGAAGAGCGGAGAGCAGAAGAAGCAGGCTTTGGCATGCCTGTTTTGCCGAGAGAGGAAAATCGCCTGTGGCAGACCATCAGCTCACAGCCCGGACCAAACTTGCAAGTAAGCTGATCAGTGTGCTCTCGAAACGTGTGACGACGTTTATGATGTTATCTAGCCAGTGTACACGCCGTCGCATCAAGTGCGAGTACCCCACAGAGTCCCGTCGTGGTCAGCACAAGCGTCGCCGAAAGACTCTTGACAGCGACGTTGCCGGTCAAACATCAACCCAAAGCCCAACACGAACCAACCCCGCACCACCAAGCACTCCATCGACGTCCGCAGCCACGAGTTCACCGTCATCTAACATCAGTCCGCCGGCATCGGCATGATAACTTATGAATGCTTTAAGTAACGTTTATTGGCTTTTTTCAAACTACCGCATGGCATATACGGACTCCTCGACGTCGTCGCCCCAGGGATAGACTGCGCACATGTAATATTATGGGAATATCTTTAGTATTAATATCGTCTTTAATCATCTAAGTAGCAACTTTCTTGTATGTAAATATTCTTGATCGAAGTATACCCTCCCATATAGGTTACTGGTTCACAATATAGAAGGGTTTCTTCCAGCCGCTTATCTAGAGTTTAAGGTCATGATGAACGGGCGCTCCAGTGACCCTGAGACCCCCGAATAGTCAACTGCCATCGACAATAGTTGGCGTCTACACCGAGAAGCGTTACTCAACGTTTCAATCATTAGTGTCTATATCTAGCTTCGAATTCGAAACTAGTCGCTTTTCAGTTGGGATCCACACCTCGATCAAGGGAGAGATCAGCGTTTGACATAGTGCAATGAAGTCAATCTGAGCGGCAAACAAATATTCTTTCTGCTGCAGACAGCGGGGACATTGTAAACGGCTAATAGGAAGCTTCCCGGATTATGACAGCTATATGCCGGACGCAGCTGAGTGGCAAAGCGCCGAAAGCCCACATCTCATGAGAAGGCCGTGTTTGCTGAAACCTAACCCCGCACTGCGACCGGCCACGGAGAGCACACAATAACAAGTGAAATCGCAGTCAATATATAATTGAGGTTATACTAAGCAAAGAAACATCCAAGGTCAGTCTCTGGCCCATGGTTCTGGTCCATGGGCACGTAAGGTGAGGGTTTCATCTCCCGTTCACCGTTGCGGAAGAATCTCTTCGAGTGTTCGATGGTCCTGCCGCACCCTTTCCACTCTGTGTGGCGGGCATGCTGTTTGGGTGATTAGGAATTTTCTCGATTTCCCTCTTGGCTGCTTGCCACGTTTCCAAGTTCTGACCACACGTAATGTTAAGCACGCAGTGAAACACAGTCTGGGCACGTTACCTTCTTGCACCAATCCCTGTGGCTTCTGGCCATGCTGATCGTCATCTCTCTCAAATCAGCAACTTTCTGGCGTTGGAAACGATCGAGGTCTGCCTGGATTGTGGAGCCAGAATATTTCAAGTCTTGAGCTGCTAGGTGAAGGGCGTCCTCAAGCTTCAAAACACAACCCCGTCGTAGTTAATGATATGCAGCTACACGAGTTATGCTGACGTACCTGGGAGATTGTCTCCCGTGTTTTGCTGATACCGTTTCGTCTAGCTGTTTCAGGGTCGACATCCATCATTCCATGCAGCGTATAGCTCAATGCATTAAAGAAAGCCATTCCAGGTGCACGCCTCTTGTGGGGATTAGGTTCCGGGTGTGGTGGCAGATATGCGGATGCAGGTTCGTCAAGACCCTCATTTTCCTCCTGTCCTTCTGGGCGAGGCGAGAGCCCATTCACCCGCCCGCGTGCCAACGCCTCTTCAAGCCTCTTTGCCTCCCTCTCACTCTTCTCATACTCCTCCAAGAGTTCCCGCTTATTCTCTAAGACGTCTTTGGTCATTTCATACTGGACGTGCTTCTGATGACGGTATACCAGCAGTTTCTTAATTATGGAGGCAAATTGTGTGTACTCGTGCAGAGGTTCTGCCCAATTCTGTTCGAGCTCCTGCAGCTGGAAATGACATCAATCAGACTTCATGCAATTAAGCGATATTGGGGAAGGGCAATACCAATCTTGTCGTGGACATGTAAGTAGCGTCTACTGCCTGCCCTGTCTTCTCGATCGCAGCAGCAAGAGCACCACTTTCATTTAAACTAAAACCATTGAGTGCAGCACCCAATTCAGAGTAGTCATGTGCACTCTCTACGGCATCATGAAGTCAAACGAACTACCCAAATTCCTAAACAGTGGCAACTGCCTACCTGACCACCGTTTGAGCATTCGCCGAGAGACCTTTTCCATGGGGCCACTAAGGTGGCTTGCAAACTTGTTTGTGAACACTTCGGAGTCCATGAACCTCTGCTCTGGATGTCGCAAGGGGTAGGTTGGAGACGGATTAGGCAATGCCTCGTATGCGGGTGATGCATTCTGATCAGTTGGGTTGTGTGAAGGGGCCTTCAAGATATTCTTTGGAAGGAGAGACAGTGGCGGAGAATGCAAGACCTCGGTCTACCACAGTGATGTGAGTGGTTGGTAGGCCGATAGGGCCAGAAGCATGACACACCCATGACACTTCGCCATCAAGGAAGCGATGGAAAACATGTTCGTTCGATAATATAGGGTGGCGTGCAATGCGGTTCAAAAACGTCTGTAACATGCGCTTGCGTCTCGCAATCATTGCGGCGTCCTCCTTGGCCTTGGACGGATTGGTTGCATAATCGCTAATACTCTGCTTGGACGGGATAGGCGGGACTATGAGAGTCGGGTAGAGCTTCACAAGACTGGACCGGAGAGACTCGAACTCGGAATAGCGATGCCTTGCCTCTGCGGTCTGCGAGGGGAACAATTAGTGGGCTGACGTTCGAGACCACCATCCTGGAAGAAGGCTCACCCCTGCTTGGATCACGTACGCTATGTAAGGCGTAGCAGAGTTCACGGTTGTCTTCTGTGCGTCAGTTATCTTATCGTGTGTACTCGTTAGCCACTGAGGTGACAGTACCAGAAGTTCCGAGTCACATACAAGGATTTCGACGTCGTCGCCAGAGTGTAACCACCTGTCCCTGTTGCAGCAGAAGTCGGTCTTGTACATAGGTTGCGGCTGCTTGCTTGTACCTGGGGATGGGAACGGTCTGCTGTGGTAGCTTATTGTTGGAGACACGAGATGTGCTGCGCTGGGTGGTGGAGAGGATGGAGCAGAAATGTTCACTCTGGACGTGGATGACGTCTCAGAGGATATACGATCGACATCATTCTCGAATGGATTGTCGTCTTCAAAGGCCTCCATGACTGTAGCTCGACGTCGATTAACTGGTTGGTCACCAAATCCGCTGTGAACAAGCTATGCCGGACTCCAGCAGAGCGCCCGGTACGACGTCGACGGACACGACCTTAGTCAGATACTATGAGAGGACGTAGTAGGCGCTCGCAGCCTGACAATAGTTCTGACTGTCTGTGAAGAACTGGTATTTGGTGTTATGTAGAGTCGAACTCCTTACTACAGGTACGCTACAACGTCATGACTACCCAAATATTCGGAATCCCCCTATTCGACGCCGGGTCGACTTGATTTGGCGGTGAAGTTTCCGCATCATCATCAAGCACTTCCCCTACACCCTGCATTGCACTTTCAAACCCTTTTCCAAGCAGGGACAGCGAACAGTTCGTCTATCTGTTCATTGTGCCAGCCACTATGCACTGGGATGGACACCATGAAGTTTTGTAGCTTCTCGTGAACCTGGTATCTGGACGACTGGGTCAGCAGTGCCTCCGAGTCGATGACGACAAACTCTTATACCTCAGCTTGCGGCCTTTGCTCGCTTTCGTATCTACCTTTTTCTTCGCTTTCTGCTGCTTCTGCATAGTCACCCAGTCGTCACCACCACCTGACCCAGTTCGTGAGTCGATGACATCCCTTAGCAGTTGTTGGTAGAAGTCAGTGTCATCAAATATTGTGGGGTCCTCGTTCTCTCCTTCCTCGCCTTCTATGGCCACTTTAACTCCTAATCGTTCATTTTTACCTCGATACACTCTTGTTCGTGCAAGCACTTGGCTATGATCAGCTAGAGTTTCGTCAATTAATTGCGCTGCCGACTTGGAGTGTTGTGAGGACTTGGAGAAGGCGTTGCGATTTGAAGGGAGCAGCACGGAGGGGGCAACGGCCTGAATTTTAGAGGACCAATTATTCAGGGTTTGTATGAGGTGTGGATGATAGCTATCATGACATCAGGGATTCACTACCAGAGCATTGAGCAATGTATACATACGCGTGTTGCAGCGATGAAAAATGCGAACTGGCTTCGCGAAATGTCTCAGCATATTCGGACACTGAAGACTCGGCATCGCTGCGTCGTCGTTTACGTGGAGGGAGTTGAATGTCATCAAAGGATGACAGTAATGTCTATCGTAAAGGTCAGTAAAGTTAAGGTTTTTCAACGTGAGGCATGCCTCCTGGAAGTTGAATAGCTCCTCTGAGAGTAATTGAGCCTGCCCAAGCATCCTAACAAGGGACCCTTGAATAGCCTCCGAGTCTCCGTGCTGGGAAAGCTGTACCGGACGTCACGATCCTGAAAGCAGGAGGTACAGATATAGCTCACTTGTGGAAGTCGATTTCCAGCTGTCACGGATTTCTGGAGACGTATTCGGGCATCGACAAGTGAATCCCATAGGGCCTGTATGACAAAAACTCATTCAGATCGCGAACAATGCAATTAGAAGCTCACCTACAATTTGCTTAGAAATTGCTTTCCCCCTTTCACGGTCCTCTTCTCGGGTTTTGCGAAGGTTAGAAAATAAATCGTTATCCTGACTGTCCGCAAGGCCTGGCCCCTTTATCAAATCACCATCTACGGAGGAACCTGCCTCATGTTCAGATGAATCATCCAATTCATCTTCCGAGAAAGGTGGCTCATGATCGTGAATAGTTTGGGCATGCGTGTCACTTTCGTTGACATCGTCGTCCTCGTTGACATGATTGTCAAGGTCTTCTGATTCGCTATCTTCTGATTCGCTGGAGTCGATCATCAGATTTTTCCGAGAGGTTTTAATGCCCTCGTATTTTGGATCTGCAAGTTTCTCCAATGCTTTCTCATGCGCTTTTCGTAAAGCGGAAGGTCTGTATATAAAACAAGTCCTGAGGGGTACTGAGGTGCACGATGCGATGTCACGTACCCAACGTCGACATAGTCCGACCGTGCAGCGCCGATGTCTTTTATAACTTCATCCTCGGGGTCGACACCTCTGGTTTCGATGTCCTCTGGGTCAAAATCTGTATACTACGTAAGGGTAGTGCACGACGCGGTCATCGGCTCCCACTTGCCTGCTGGTGCGACAACCTCGAGTTTTGCAATCTGTTGTGCCAACGACAGACCTGAACTAGGTCAGTCCATCGCTGACCACCACTGTCGACGGTAACACTCACGCTGCATGGTTTTTTTTTTAGGAAGTTAGTACTTAGAGGAGGACTAGACGTGAATTTACGTAATACTAGTAGCCACATGACAAATTTTCGGGTAGAAGGCAATAAAAATGATTGCTTCCATCCAACCCACCACTATGACGCTGCATCTGTAACATTAAACAAACAAAAATAAAATAGCCGATTGCGCGACTTTTGCAGCACTGCGCAACTTAAAAACAGTGACCCGCAATTTTTGCAGTCACCCCTCCATTTTTTTTTTCGAGTGGATCAATAAGACGTTTTATCATAATATGAAGATACCCATACTACAGCTCAGAGATCTGACTACCTCGAGTAGACCTGTGGCAGACGGAAGTATAAGTAGGACAAGGAAGAGCGTGGGGGGCGTGTCCTCAGAGCCTTGCGTTAACTGCGTGGAGGACGCATTCTCTGCGCCGCGCTTCTCGTACACCTTCTGGAAAAGGCCTAGCGAAACTTGTTGAGTCTCGCCGATCTTCTCCTCGATTTGCTCGGCAGTGACAGAAGCATCGCCGGGAGGCCTTTCGAGGCCAATTCACTAAGTTCGCCAGCGAGTTTCGACACCTTCTCCCTCTCGGCAGCATCAAGCTGCTCCTTGAACTCGTTCATTGCTATCACAGGTGCGAATCAATGCGGGAAAGTGAAGCACCATGTAGTAAATACGTACCCTTCTCTGTGTCGACACAGACTGACTCGCCCTTGTTTGCTTCCTCGATGAGTTCCCAACGGGCCTTATCCACATCGGCATACTTCTCAGCGTCAGAGATCATGCACTCAATGTCCTTGTCGCTCAGACCTGACAAAGACGCGATCGTCATAGACTGATCCTTGTTGGTTGCCTTATCCTTGGCGGTGACGTGGACGATATCATCTACAAGGGATGAGGAAATTATCTGAAGACCTGTATAAAAGACATACCAGCATCGATGTCGAAAGTGATCTCAATTTGAGAGACGCCCTTCGGGGCCGGAATACCGACGAGATTGAAGTTGTCAAGGAGTTTGTTGTCCCTGACGAGTTCACGTTCACCCTGGAAAATCTTGTCCTCAATGGCGGTCTGGCCATCGGCAGCGGTAGAGAAAACTTGCGACTTCTTCGTTGGGATGGTCGTACTGCGGTTGATGAGTTTTGTCATGATACCATCGAAAGTCTCAATGCCGAGGGAGAGTGGGGTGATGTCGAGAAGTAGAATGTCGGTGACATTTCCGGCGAGAACACCACCCTGGATAGCAGCACTAATGGCAACGGCTTCATCAGGATCGACACCTTTACTCGGCTCACGACTGAAGATCGACTTCACGGACTCACCGACCTTAGGCATGCGGGTCATACCACCAACGAGGAAGACTTCGTTCACCTCACTAGACTTGACTCCAGCATCGGACAACGCTTTCTTGCAGGGATCAACGGTACGTTGGATCAGAGGGCCGGTAAGGGTCTCAAATTGAGTGCGGTTCAACTTCAAGTTGATGTACTTTGGACCGGTTGCGTCCGTGGTGATGAATGGCAAGTTAATTTCGGTCTGCGTCGTGGATGATAATTCAATCTTGGCCTTTTCGGCAGCCTCACGAATGCGCTGAATGGCCATGCAGTCTTGATTGAGGTCAATGCTCGACTCTTTCTTGAATTCGTTGAGGATGTGGGTAACAAGAGCGATGTCAAAGTCCTCGCCACCAAAGTGGGTGTCTCCATTGGTGGACTTGACCTTGAAGACTCCTTTGTGCATCTCCAGGATGGAGATATCAAAAGTACCACCGCCAAGATCGTACATGGCAATCACTGATGATTCGGTACGATCAAGGCCATATGCCAGTGCCGCGGCCGCCGGCTCGTTGATGACTCGAAGAACCTCAAGGCCAGTGATTTGACCAGCGTCCTTGGTGGCCTGCCGTTGCGCATCGTTAAAGTATGCGGGGACCGTAATGACCGCATGACTAATAATAGTAGTCAACACTGGGGGACTCCTAACTAGTATACGCGCAACTTACTTGACTTTCTTGTTGAGATACTGCCTGGCGGTCTCACGCATCTTGGTAAGTACCATGGACGATAACTCCTCAGCACTCTAGAAAGTATATTAGTTCTCTTACTGATCCAGAGGGGTGAAAAGGCATACGAATTGTTGTCTCTCGCCACCGATGTCAACCTCGACAGCTGGTCGAGCATCTTGAACACCCTGCAGATGATATAAGATGCTTTCCTATTTAACAATTGTCGCATGTACTAACCAGTGCTTCATGTCCTCCTGGACCTCCACGTCCTTGAACTTGCGGCCGATCAAGCGCTTAAATGTGAAGACAGTTCTGGTGGCGAGTGGACCAATGGATGGAGCTTGGTGCGGTGAAGGGCAAGAGCAGTGAATTTCTGTATCTTGGTCTTCAAGCCGGACGAGGATGGGGGCAACTCCGGGCAAGCGAAAAAGCAGGTGATAAAATGAGTACGAAGAGGCATCAAATTGAAACATGTTCATGGCTGTAGTATTCGTCTTGTCATGCGATGGGCTGTGTCGGTGGTGGTTTCGACGAAAATATGATATGGGAATCCAATGTCGACCGCAGGTGCCCGCACTCGCACTGGTAGTTGGTACATAGCAAGTCGTGTTGCGGTATATCCGTCTTCCTCGGGCTCCTTGGCACTTGCATCGTTGGTAGTCTTGCATGGATTCACGACGACGAGGGCAGTGGAGCTGATTCTAGTGCAAGGTAAGTCCGCACCTGTGGGCCCGTGACCGTGGGAAATGGTGTCGCACTACTGAGACAGTGGCGACACACCAGCAATGTCGATGCCGTGGACATGAGCTCCATCGCCCAGCTAGCGTTCCTGCCCCTTCCACAGCCCAGCCTTGGTAGATGGCCAGCTAATATCCAGACCGCTCATGGAACCATCAAGAAAGTGTACGATCAAGCTCTTTATGTCCTGCGATCTGATAGTTTTCCGGATCCCACTCGGGTTTCATTCCACATAGACGCACTCACTTCAACTGCACTTCCCATCCTCGAAGCACTTATCCCTAGTGGTGCTAGTCATGAGGACGAATCTCTGCCTCAGGAGTGGTTGGTGGGTGTCGCAAGGCTCATTGGGCAGGCAGTGCAAGATCTTCGGGACGTGGCACAGGTTGTTAATATGTTGTATGTCCGATTTTCTGTCGGTGAATGGCGCTTGACTTCTTTTCAAGTGAATGGCGAGAGGTTAGTATACCTGAGCTTGTAACGGAGTCCAAGAATGGTCGGCGCGGACGGCCTCAGAAGTCTGTATGCCCTGACTTCCTTACTGAGGTTGTCACCGATAATAGCCGTCACATCAGTCTCAGTGAACTTGCTCGCATCCTAGGCATTAGCCGCATGACACTCTGGCGAACTATGCGGAAACATGGCCTGAAGCGGAGCTACACCGTATTGAGCAACGATGACTTGGATGTAGTTGTGAGGGCGTTCAAGAAACACAAACCAGAGTCTGGATTCCGCTATTTACTCGGACACTTACGCCATCATGGGATTCGAGTCCAACAAAAACGAATATGGCAGTCATTGTCTCGCGTTGATAGACTAGGTCAGCGGTTACGTGAACATCGTGTTATAAAACGCAGGGTGTATCGTGTCAAGAGGTCAAATGCGCTCTGGCACATTGACGGACACCACAAACTCATCCGATGGGGATTTGTGGTCCATGGAATTATTGATGGTTACTGTCGAACGGTGTGTCGCAGCGCTTACTGACATGTTTGATTGACCTTACGCTTTCAACAGATTACTGGTTTATGTGCCAGTACAGACAACCTCGCATCAACCGTTTTCAATGTATTCCTCAATGCACAGGCAGAGTATGGAATGCCATCACGTATGAGAGGTGATCGTGGTGGTGAAAATATCGACGTGGCTACATACATGGTAGCTGTCCGAGGTCCCAACCGTGGATCATTTATGTGGGGATCGTAAGTCACAACTACGCGCCAATGGCTGTCTTTTTGATGTCATGTACTACAGGTCTACCCGAAACTCGAGGATTGAACGCGTGTGGGTCGAAGTTGGAACTCAATTTGTACGCCGCTGGCGGGGATTTTTTTCTCGGTGTGAAAGACTTCACTGCCTTAATCCTGGTGACAGCAGTCACCTGTGGCTCATTCAAAGGCTCTTTCTTCGGGAAATTAATGATGATTGTGAGGACTTCCAGTGCGAATGGAACCTTCATCCAATTAGCGGGCCAACGACCAATAATAAAAGTCCACAGGTGTGTGAAGCATATCATTTTAAGGATGGGCCGCACTCAATTTTACTGACATATCCACAGGATTTACGGCTTATCAGTAATGTCACGCTAGGAGAATACTACGACGAATATGAGGGGATCCATCCCCTCACTATTGAGCGATATTATGGCGTTCACGGCCATGTACGGGTTCGGCGGAATGGCCAAACGGGTGCGGGCCATTGCCCCGACGAGGAGCCAGAGGCCGATGACGAAGAAATTGCCACAAACGAACATAATGGTATTCTGAGAAGGGTTGGAGCTGACCTCCAGGAGCAAGTGCGCCATGAAGCAGTGGAAGTTCCTGGCAAAGGATCACCTTTCGCATGTGTCAAAGACGAGGCAGAATTTTGGTCAGTGCTTGACCGCGTTGTCATTGAAGATATCACACCAGCAGGGTATGGAGATGATCATGGGTCAGAAGGTGATGAATCAACAGAGGAGCACATCGCAATTGGTCGGCAGGGAACACGGTTTGTTACAGTATCATTAGCAGAGCCCATATGGGCAAGACGGGCAAAAACCTGGTGTCAGGCACTCGCCGTTCTAACTCTCTTCGATGCAGATGGTTATTTTTGATCCCCCCCTAGTCATACATGCAATGTATTTACTGTACATATGGTCATGGTCAATTCAGTGGTTGTCGAGTTGAGCACAAGCACAACACTACCGGCTTAGTCAACATTAGACAGACACATCAGAACTCAGAGTCCTGCCTCGAGCTTCAGTCTTCACTCACTCCTTCTCTCGTTGCCGGTAGTTGGTCCAATCCCTCCATGCCAGATGTCGACGAGCGGCTCTGCTGCTATTTCGATGAGAACGGAAAACAATGCAGTTGCAGGATGTTTACCGCACCTGCCAACAAGAATGCACGTTATCACTGTCGTGAGTGCACGCATGGTTTCAGTAATCACCCGGAAGCACAATTTAGCAACAAATCCCCGAAATTGACTATGGATGTAAAGGTAGAGCCTGCAACCGGCAACCGGCTTTTGGATGTGTTCCATCAACGGAAGACATCTCGCACTATGGAGTTGCCTAACTCCCTCCAGCATGTGCGTGAAGAGGTCCTGAAAGGATTCCGTGCTGGTAGCAGTGGGACACAACGAGTTACATCAACTAAAATTAAGGTGCGTTGGACCACTTCCTAAGCCAGTGTCCATACTCCAATATTGATGATCACAGAAACCTAACTCTACTGGGAAGCGGGTCCCATCTGGTAACCATGATGGGTCCCAGCAGGATGTTTTAGTTGGAACGTGGCTACTACTGATCAATGCATTGGATGAGGTATGTGCTATTGAACTAGCTCCTAACAAGTATTAATCACAGATATACAGGCAGGTGAATTGATCCAGACAAAACCACTGTCGAGAACAGAAATGTACACAGCAGAACATCGGCAGTGTGTGCACACTGGTGCCAATGCGGCCAAATTCGCATTCCGGCGGGACTGGACTCACGACGATGTCGACAAGTACCTCAGAGAACACGTTTTCCCGCGTCCGATGGAGTATGCACTTATGCACAAGAAGGGTAAAAGTAAGGCGAGCTGTTGTTGGAAACTCGCCTTCAAGGAGAAACAACGATTCGGACTCGCAGTGACCGAGGACCTTCCGACTGGCCAGGATCTATTCTACTATCGAGGACGGTTTAAATGTGGCACAGATTCGAGCATAATTATAGGTATGAGTTATGCCTTCCACCTGTTAAACTACTAATATATCAACACAGCATTGTGCGGTCATGTCCCGGAAGAGGAATATGCGTCTTGGGGTCTAAGACAGCATCAGGAGAGTAGTGAATTCCAGCCAGCAAAGCTTCGAGAGAGTAGCGACTCCATCCCTCCAGCAGCCTCAAGTGAAGACTCCGAAGACAAACGGACAATATTTGAATCCATGATGCGGAAGCAGGGACGCAGTCAGCACCCTGGTACGATGACCAGAACCCTGTTCTAATCACAGCTGACCTCTGAATTTTCCCCTCTGTGCAGACCAACCAAAAGGGAAACGAGGCCGATATCAATCACCGGTAATCGAGATCGAGAGTTCAACTGACTCTACTCAGCCACCGCCCAGCACCCAAGTTCCTCGCATCCATGGTGGATCCATCAGGCCATCAACACGTAAGTCCCATTTCTTTGTTTTTGACATGTGCTCACACCGCAACAGTTTTTCTCCCATCAGGCGACAGTGACTTATTGGATGTGGCTGACCTCCCGACTCAATTGAAGGGTCTCTCGGTTTCTCCACCTCCACCCACATTCGTTGGCCAGGCGCCTCTCGCCACTGTGAATCGCTATGTCTCGTTGCCCCCCAAATTTTTACAGGATCTTGATCCCTTTGGATCACTGGTCAACTCCCCCCTCTTACACCCGTATGTAAATCCGTGGTCACCTGATTATTTCCTTGGTGCGGCCGACTACTTTTGATTTGGAGGTAACATGCTATTGAGTATGAATGGTCATCCACTTACATCTAACCGTAATCCACATTCATGTCTATGGAATTTTGAGGTACCACCCACATTCGTTTAATCAGCATTCATGTCGACGCAGTTACATCCTGTAATCACTTGTCCCCAGCATCAATATACCGTTGATCTCGAGGCTTAGCCCTCTTCGCAAATATTGTTGTGGTTTGTTTACTCCTGTCAGCGGAGCCAGCCACATGTCCTGCTCGTCGACGCAAGTCCAATCCCTCTGCAAAGTGATGGATGACCAAACCCAAACCATGCCCATGCGACGACATCACATGTTCTACTACGAAGACGGAACCCATATCTTCCAGGTGAGTTACCTAGCATCGTAGTAACATCTATCAGGCTGTTTACAATACATCCAGGCTCAAAGTTCACTATTCAAAGTCCATAAGAGTGTTCTCTCCGACAAATCCATCGCCTTTAAGTCTATGTTTGCTGCACAAGACAGTACCGGACTTCCCCAAACTGATGGACACAGCGACGAAAAACCAATTATTGTGCCTGATCAAGTCTCCGACCTAGGATTTGAACTGTTTCTGTCCGTGTGCTACAACAAGTAGGTCGATCCGTATGCTGCCATTGAAAATATGCTATATATTGATGTTGTTATTTCAGATGGCGCCCAGATACTTCACAGGCATCCGAGACCACCCTTCTTCAGCTCCTTGAGCTTAGTCGCATGTATGAGTCCAAGGACGTCCGTGAACACGCCATCAAGCAACTCGCCTCTCGCCGCTATACCATCAAACCTATCACACTGATCTCCATTGCCCTAAAATATCATATCAAGGACATCTTCTGTTACGCATTCAGACGGCTCATCCCAAAGCCTATAAACGAACTCAACCACGCCGATTATGAGCTTCTTACTGTCCCTGTATGGATGACGCTCCTCAGAGTCAAGGAGCGACTCGAACTCCACCGCCGTATTGTGGCATGTGAGCCACCACCTATGGTGCATTCGCCGTGTTGCCAGGACCACAAGAGGTGTGTTGACGACTGGCGCCAAGTATGGTGGAATGGCATGGGCCGGTACTTGCTTGATGGTCGTAGTCCTCAGCCATACAACTCTGCGGTCAAGCAATTTGAAGGTCTTAGCTATGGGAGTGTCGACCCCGAGTGTTGGAGAGTGATGCTCGCTCTTGTCAAGGAGGGGAAGGCATTTCAGCACGAAGATGATCTCATTTACCGCACAGCTCGGGGACTGGCAGAGTACTTGATCCACGAACCCTTCTTCGGCGATGATATAGACATGTGATCCTACAGTTGTACATCTAGTGTCGTGGCCATCCACCCAAAAAATCACAGGCCATATATATTTAAAGTATTAATGACTGCAAAAGTTGCGGGTCACTGTCTTTAAGTTGCGCAGTGCTGTAAAAGTTGCGCAATCGCCTGTTTTATTTTGTTTGTTAATGTTACAGATGCAGCGTCATACACCACCGTCCCAGCGACAACTAAGCCTAGTAGTGGCTCTCTGCCACTGTCAAAATCATTGGAAACCAACTAGACCACAGCCAATCTGGAGTCTTTATCTTATCCATGTTATTTTCAAGTAAAAGATGCAAAGAAACTGTGAGTCTTGCATCGGAATTTTTTCGACTTTTCCGGCGCTGGGTCCGGTTCCTCTCCAATGCTACGCGATCTATCTGTCACGCGACTCCCCCATCGTGAATGCGGACCGTGTGTCACTGATCTTTTTACATGTAATATGATAGCATACTTCCCTGCTGTGTTCACCAATTTTTTCTTTATGGATCCATCTCGGCATTTACCCGATTTTTATCTTTTTCTCCCTGGCTCATGTGAGCTGTGCCTCGAGGGTATACTGGGTATCATAAGCGTACAATATCTCCTAACGTCTTCTTCTTGACCTCCAAGCGTTCTTACGCATATCTCTCGTGCAGATTATCGAAAACCATCGCCTCTAGCAATGCCGCATTCCCTCATTTCTTCCGTAGGCGTCGGCGTAAATCGTCTCTCGCCAGACGAAGAGGAAGACAACGATATTTGTCCCGTGTGCGATGGCGACTGCACGTGCAACAACAGACCCCACCTCCCCCCTCCTTCAGTCGTAAGCAGTGGAGCTGCGCACTATTTAACTACACCAACCGCTTCAACAAGCTCGTCCGGGCGCGTTCCCGGCCTACAGTCCCTAAAAATCAAACTCACCGTTCCCCCAAGTATGCAAAACAAACCGCGCTCCTCCGCAGCACTGCCAAAGAAACACCGCGGAGAAGCCTCCAACGGATGTGCAGGAAGCAACAACGTGTCCCCGTTCCTCAACATTGGCCAGTCTCATCACGCGGACTCTTCCAGCACCGCTGGCCGTGGGAACCAGCAAATGTCAGATGTCTCAGTTCCAAAACGGAGAGGTCGCCCTCCCAAAGCTACGATCATCCATCGCGAATCATCATCTTTTTCGGGGCCAGACCGGCCAGTACGCGGCAACGAGGCGACCACATTGTCACAGTCACAATCTCGTCCCCAATCACGTGTCCCCCTATCAAGCGGATTAAATACTTCCTCCCTTGTCAAGGGCAACGGCAAGCAGAAGTCAAATACAAAAGCCTCGAGGCGGGCCCCAAGCTCCCACACCAAGGCCACAATTACGAAGAAGACAGCTTCTTCGAAGAAACGTGCTTACTTCAGCGACAACTCAGAGTGCGACTTTGATCCGGATGACCAGAGCATCGATACCGCCTTCGACGAAGACAATGAGGACGATGATGCGTCATCAGCTCATTTCCCTACCTTTTTACCTGCAGACGACTTGGTGTCGACGGCGTCGGAATCTTCCGAGTCGGATTCCGATTCTACCGGCTTCGAATCCGATTGGTCGCTAGAAGCCGAAGAAGAGAGTTACATCTTGACGGAGGAAAGGCGTCACGATAGAGCTCGAGTTCGCCGGGAACTGCTTGGGGACGAGGGTCCCAAACGCAAAGATGCGCACAATAACTGGGTGATTCGCCCGCGAAAGAGGAGTGTTGGACTCAGCGATGTAGAGATGGATGGTGATACAGATGAAGCGACGGAGGATGAAGAAGAGAACGAGGAGGATGAAATGGACGAGGGAGAAGATGAGGACGAGATAGATGGTCAAAGTTCTCGCCTGGCGTACACTGGCGTCGCAACGGGGTGGTCTGGGGACGAATCTAGCTTTGACGCCGATCTTTTCTTCGCGAACCTCTCGGATACCAGCACCGACGGCAGTTCGTCGGACGAGGACGACGCGCCACCTGCCTCGGACGCCGGAAATGAAGAAATGGTCGACAGCATCAGTAGCCTTCCGCGCAGCGTAGATTTTGAGGTTACCGAGGGCTGGGACGGGCAGCTAGTGTTCACAAATGGTTCCACCGATGGGCGCGGTGTTCTCGACGTCGCTTTCGAGGCGACTGCTGCACAGTTCATTACGTCAGACAACACATCCGTCAGCCACGACAGTGACATCGAGATGCATAGTAACAGCAGTGAGGAGGGCGAATCCGAGCTTGGGGAGGATGATGGTGATACGACCGAAGAAGAACTAGTCGATGACAAAGGACTTCCAACCTCTCGGGCCATGAGACTTTTCCGTTGGCCGACTAGTATCTCAGCTATTAATCCCTTGTCTACCGTCAGCCCCAGTTGTTCTCCGGGGCCCAGTCACCGCCGCTCTGCCACCGCGTCCCAAATACCGCTCGGGTCACCTAGGCCTGCTGATATTCTTGCCGGCAAAGTATTCCTTGATACGTCGGACGACCATTCTCAGGGTAGCCCAGAAGGCAGCAGAGCGAGCAGCCCCCGCATCATTTCCAGTGGCGGGGTTCCCGTCATGGGTCAGTTTACTATAAACAACTGCACTCCACAAAGGGCTGCCGTCTTAACAGGCGTAAACAAGGACGTGCCCTCGCCCTTCCCTCGCCTCGGCCATAAACGAACGAAGGATAGATCAAGCAGCGTTGGAAGCTTGAGTAGCGTGAGTTCCGCATTTTCCCCCATTTGACTCATTAGCTGAGTGATCCCAGAAGGATCTCCGTGACCGTACTACAAGACTCTCCCTTTATACGCCATCACTACTACCTCCATCAGACGAACCATCCTCCGAGACCACGGCCGAGATCGGTCTCGATGAATCTATTCAACTCCATGATGTCCTGGACACCACATTCATTGACTCCGAGCCCGAGGTAGTTGTGCACACCACCTCTGGCAGCGACAAAGAGCACCAAAAACACGCCCAAAGCCTGAAGCGGTGGGACCATGTCCCAGTGCACGCCTTCAGACTCACCAGAGAGTCTACTACATCCACGAGCGATATTCCTACGTCGCCCGGATGGACATCTGAACCGGCGAAGTCTACCGTGTCGAACGCTCACCCGTTTGACATAGCACTGAGGAGTAGTCCACTCAACATGTTCTGGCAGGATAAGAGTGCGGCACGGCCAACGTCTCGGAGAACCAAAGCATTGATCGCCGATATGCTTACGTCGCCCGTCCTATCCCCTAATCGCGAAGGCGACCGCACACCTACTCGCTCACCACACCGGGAGTCGAACTCCAATCGTCGTCAAGAACAAAACCACAAAAACCGAAAGGAGTCGCGCAGAGAGATGAAATTGTTGAAACGCAAGGGTCGCGACCCCGTTCACCAGCGCCATTATTATCACCAAAAACAGCATTTCCGTCACAACCACCATCCGAACATGAAAACTCGGAGCAGCGGGTCGATGCAGCGCACTAACTTCCACAGCTCTCCGACTTCCATTCCAGCACTCAATATTTAAGGAACTTTCGTTTTCCTTGCTCTCTTGCTCCAGCTTTATTGGGCAGTGCCACCCTGTTACCTTTGTTGTATTTGTACTTGCGCATTGCGGTTATTTGATTTCACTTGTCATATCCCCTTCATTACTGCATTTCTTAACACCCCTCTTGTCGAATCTCAGGCGCATACCAGACGTGGTTTCGCGGTCCACCTATCTCGAGATATTTCATACAAAACTCTTGTACCAAGATGACTGACTCTCCTGGTGCTTCCAGTACTAGAATCGTTGTAATAGTTCAACCAGTACTTGCACAATTGTATAGGAATTTTTATCCATGGAATTCCGGTGCCTTTCCGATGAATTTAAGGTACAAGATGCGCATAACACGAGTACAGATACCGTCAGCTGGCTCGCTTCCGGAAGATCACCTTTGCCATGGGGTTGCCGCGGGGACTGTACCTACGAAAGTATTTTTGGGCGTAGGGAATCGTAGGGAACTGTCCTTGAGCTTCAGATCATAGCACGGCAAGATATGTATGTGCAAACATGACTTTCATCAGCCCAATAGCAAAAACCTTGAGGGCTCCACATGAAAAATTAGATGCGATAAGATCGACGTGAAGATCTACGGAGAGGAAGTCATACACGCCAGGTCCACGCATGTTTGCCATGATCGAATGCTGTCCAATCCCTCGTGACGGCGGTCATTTATTGCCTCGTCTTATCTCCGCCATTCTCTTGGGAGCAGAAGAACCCGAATGGTTCAAAGGACCGCAGCGTCGCGATAGATGGTTTCAGTGACAACGCCCAACAACGATCTCCTTGGGATGACAGTACTATCAGGGGAGGTAATGTATAAGACATTGGTGTTGTTAAGTTTAATCAACAACCACGAACCTACTTCACTGTGTCGGGTTGCCTGGTCGTAGAGCTTCTCTCAGAAAACTGTCGAGTTTACCTCGACAGGTGCTTCGGTCACCCCTCAATACGAGATGCCAGGTTCCCGATCTTCCACAAAGCATTTGTAAGATACCTTGCGGCCGATCCACGAAAGACTCGACTCACGGTACCAGTATTGAACTGGGGAACTAGTTCAAGACACCTACCTTCCGTCCCACTTCAACAACATAATACCGCATATTCAAGCGGAACTCATCGGGACCCCGTCTCATGACAGAACCGAAACATGAAGCGGAGAGCTCAGAAGCTAGATAAATTTCTTCTCGCAGATCATTGCATAGCAGGGAAATGTTCTGAGAAAAGTTCTTTCGCACGACGGCGTCATCACGTATTGCCATGATATCGAAGGTAAGCATATATTTGTGTATCTATGGTGGGTTGATGTTACATCCGCCAAAAAGACGGCCGTCAGGCATGTGCACTGTCAACCTACATGAATGAACGATTTTAAGTTCTTCGCCTGTGGCTCTTCCAGTTTCGCCTGGATGACAGTACGTCAGAACACCCAGCTATGACTCCAAGTCGGTGGTATTGAAGGGCAAAAAAGGATGTTCTAACTTGCCAATGGACTGCACATCGCGCTAAGAGAGGCCGAGTACCCGGGTGCACCTGCTATAAAAATTTAGTAGAGCTAAGTGGTGTTGACCATGACGGCGGTTCATCGTGTCGCTGGAAAAGCTGGAATCCCAACAATCAGAATGAGTTCGACCTAGAAGTTTACAATGGATTCAACACTTGATGAGACAGCAGCGCACTGGTCAAATCTCACAAATGAATCCTTGCGGGACTCGACGATGACTTCGTAAAGAGCAATCCCTATAATCAATGTCAAGTGTTCGACACAAGTGCACTTCGACCAAAGATTCATCGGATCGGGGAACTGATAGGAGCTTGAGCAAAACCAATGATTGAGGCGAGTATATGGTTTCTCCGGTCCCTGGTCACCAAGCCGTACGGATCGAGTCTAGGCAGACCAAGGACTTGAAGGAGGCGACTGTCCGAATCATCGTCAGGCACCGTTGTATGGATGTGTATGGAAAGTTGTAACACATTCCTCTACCACAGTGTGTACAGTGGAGACAAGACGAGTACCACTGCATGCATGTGTACAGAAGAGAGAGAGCATGGATTATTATGACCTGCTGTTCAACGGACCATTCGTCATCACTCGGGCCGAAGGCCGTCATTTAACACCGAAGTTATTCCGTCCAACTTTCACGCAAGTGCTCTCAGTGTCTACAGAACACTTGCTAGAGATGAATCCTTCGTACCCCACGAATGCTACGCAAGCCAAAGACAAGCTATATGGGCAACTAGCCACCAGCTTTAAAAACATGTCTCGCGCTGTTGGTCGAACAGCGGATCTGTTTGAACAGTTACAAGCAGACCTGGACGCAATGAGGGTACTTGCTGGTACACACGCCGCTCAGTACGCGAGCATCGTCAACCTTTGATGCAATCTGATAGTTCCTTTGTCTTCATGCAGGTTTATGACGGTCGCCGCTGAGCTAATCCCTGAGTCTGCGGAGGATGGTGCCTCTCAACCGGGCTCGGACAGATAGGTGGTCGGCATGTGGATGGATGCCCGTTCGTGTGAACAGCCTTCTGGCCTACATCATGCCTGGTTTCCTGGTTGCAGTTGCGGAGTTCGGATCTTGTCGAGACCATGCCTCGAGGCCGCTCCGTAGGTATGAACTGCAGGAGGTAGCAAGATATCACTAGCGTACTCGTTTAACGAACACCTGGCCGCCATCGCGCGACAACAAATAGTCAGTCTGAGGTAGACTCATATTTGATCCTATTTTACTCAATATCCACACCACACGGTATGCAATACCTCCCCACTTTCCCCCGCATGGCGGCAGAAGGGTCAAATACTACCGTGGCCTACGATCACTAGGGGCTTAGTCAATGGTCACGATACGTGGCGTCGCCCATACGGTTCTCGTGTGTCTTCAGTCAACTAGAAGAAAGGTAGTGGTTTTCATAACAACCAATGTTAACTTTTTCTGGCAACGATGAGCAAGACGGCAACAAATACTCATTTTCCTGACGGGGGTGATATAATATTTGATTTTGGGGTGCGCATCTCTGTCCCACGCCGACGGCCACATGATCACTCGCAGTCAGATCAATCATCGTGGACGAGGACAAACTCCTATTGATATCGTCAGCCCGCCTGGCAGCATTGTTGTCCAACCATCGTCACAAGAAAATAGCTCGTCGTTAGTGACCTTGGAATGTCGTAAGCTGGATATATGTAGTAGTCGCGAGGTGCTCCACAGTGTTATGCTAATCATAATGACATCAACGACTTCTGGTCTTCTATGAGCACAGGGACGGCGACCTCCTACGGCCTACCGTGGATTGCAGCTGAATGGGCGTAGCGCTGTAACATGTTCTTCAAGTTGGGACGGATGTCACTTTGAACCACTACGAGGGGGCTGATGTTGAACGTGAAAATATTTTCATGGACCGCTTCGAATATTCTGATTGGTATAGCGTCAGTGACCTAGTGACCGGGCTATTATGTCGTGATTTGTTGTTGGAGCTCGAAGGCCGATTTTCAAGATGCACCCAAACAATTTCGGGTTAGCGTATTACCGTTGCGGCCGGCGTTGATCTAGCTGTTTCAATGGGGCAACCTGACCGACGAACTTGTAAGGCCACATGAGAAAGTCGGCAGTGTGCGAGTAGCCGGCGAGGTGTATGTAATAGCTGGCAAGTACCACAATGATTTCGGAACATGCTAAGTGACCAACGCAAGCGAGGAGGGACTTCAAAAAGATCTTCCTGGCTGGTTTTTCTCCCGTGTCATTACACGCGTTGTCTCCTGTGTTGTTCTTCGATTCCGCTCGTTTCATCCCTGTACCTGGAATAGACTCCGTTCTGTACCTTCTGCCCCTGCACTCGGTCACAACAATTTAACAGCCTACACAAGTCCGCCCTCGGCAACCCTTACCACGCACCCGCTATCTACCAACTCTCATGGCTAACAGCAAGGAAACACTTCCGGAAGACCTCGCCGAACTTAGGAGAAACATGGCAACATCTACCCAGAAGGACAATAGCGAGGTGTCTTCTCCCAGTGAGATTTCTGCGTCTTCTCTCATGGCATTACTCTGAAGACAGCCCAGTCCCTTCCGTGGTGTGTTATTGCATCGCGTCCATTATGATGACCATCGTGAATAAGGTGCGGAACGCGCCTTGAGACTCGGGTGGCTCATCGCGTGCTTACTTTGCTGGCAGTTCGTAGTCTCGGGACGACAGTTTAACATGACATTCTTCCTCCTCTCCATGCAAAGTATCGTTTGCGTGGCCTGCGTCTCAACTGTTAAGAAGCTAGGCGTTATCTCGTTTCGTGATTTCGACACCAAGGATGCAAAAACGTGGTTTCCCATTAGCGCGTTGCTGGTCAGCGTCATATATACAGGCTCTAAGAGTCTAGTGAGTTGCCTTTGCGTTAGACCGTCTCAGGTTGCTAATGGTGTTGTTCTAGCAATACCTAAGCATACCCATATACACGATATTCAAGAATCTGACGATTATACTTATCGTACGTTGCTATCTTAGGTGCCCCTGGAGTTCCTCACGTGTATCCAGGCATACGGCGAAGTCTTCTGGTTCAACGGACAGATAACGAGGCTTACCATGATGTCGTTCCTGCTGATGGTGCGTCTTCTGCTTTTGGCAGCGCCGTTACATGGTATTAACGGCAACCCATCTCCGCACCAAAAAGGTCCTTTCATCTATCCTTGCGGCGTGGGTAGATGTGAATAGTGCCGTTGAAAGTGTTGGGGATTCATCCACTGCTCTGGCTGGAGTGAGCGTGGCGATGGTGTCGGATACTCTGCGCAAGCTCAATTTTGGATATTTCTGGATGCTTTTGAACTGTCTCACCAGTGCCACCTATGTCAGTCCTCTGTCGACTGCTACTTGTCCAAGCTGACATGTTGCATTATTAGGTCTTGTTGATGCGAAAGCGAATCAAAGTTACAGGATTCTCAGATTGGGATTCGATGTTCTATAATAATTTGCTATCTATTCCTGTGCTTCTCCTGTTTTCGATGCTTGTCGAAGATTGGGGACCGGAGAACCTAATTCGTAACTTGTGAGTGCGATCGCTGACAAGGGGCTTGTTGAGTACTGATCGTTTCAGCCCTGCTGAAACGAGGAAGGTGTTGTTGTTTGCTATCGCTTTTTCAGGTGCCGCAGCTGTGGGTATATCGTATAGCACGGCATGGTGCGTACGGACGACGAGCAGCACGACGTATAGGTACGTAACGAACATGTCGATATATTGAACCTGACGCACCAGGCACTGATGCTTGTAATGTTTTGTAATAGCATGGTGGGAGCGCTCAACAAATTACCTGTGGCTGCGTCAGGGATGCTGTTCTTCGGAGACCCCGTGACGTTTGGGTCGACGGCTGCGATCGCAGTTGGATTCGTGGCAGGTGTGGTGTACGCAATAGCGAAGAATAATCAGAAAAAGGCGGAGATGCGGGAAGTCACTGTTTTACCCATGTCAAACCGGAAGTCATAGATCACGAAACGGACGCGTACGTGGGACGTTCAACTGCATCAGTAGAAACCAGGTGCTCAACAAGCTCCTGCTTGGATTCCAAATCACATGCACAGTTCGTCAGCACACGATTCGTCGTGTATAACTCCACTGTTTTTCGGACGTTACAACAGTACTTTTAGCATGTATAGACATAGTGGCACATTACTATAGAATCTTGTTGGCCGCATGAGTGGGGATAAGACAACTTGAGACCACCTTAATCCCATTGCAGTGGACGGTGCGGAGGTAAGTATAGCCTGCACTATTGTAACTACGGTTAGTCCTGAGGTGGTGATGTGACAGGTGTCTCATCGTACCTTGCCCTAAAACGGGTGTCCACTATCTTGCCGCACCGGCACCCCGTCATTAAGTACCACTACACAGTATTGCGCGATCCTTGGTTGTCCTTGGCTTCTGATCACCACCTCTCCTTGCCTTCGTACAATCATCATGGGTACTCCAACCGAAACGCTCCACCCGCCGAGGCTGGCGCACACGTTTATCGGGACACCCAGTGCACCTGGCACTCCCGTTCATTCCATCCAGACAATGCGCAGAAAGTCGGCTGGTCACAGCGGTCCTCTCACGAAGATCCTCGTTGCCAACCGTGGTGTACGTTCCTACATTGCTCGATCTTATCGTCTGGTTCTTTGACACGCACACCCCATATCTGCAGGAGATCGCCATTCGGGTATTCCGTACTGCCCATGAACTGGCTATGCACACTGTCGCAATATACTCTTACGAGGATCGCATGTCTGCTCACAGGCAGAAGGTACGGCGGTCTGTCTTCGGCGAATATTTCCCTCCTGACATGTGATAATTAGGCCGACGAAGCCTATCAAGTCGGCAAAGGTCTCACTCCTGTCGGAGCATATCTTGCTCAGGACGATATCATCAGAATCGCACTCGAGCATGGCGTCGACATGATTCATCCAGGGTTGTTTCGCCATCCTTTTTCCGTTATTGACACGTAGTGCTGACAGCCCCTACCCCCTTTCCAGCTATGGTTTCCTGTCCGAAAATGCCGAATTCGCGCGAAAGGTTCAGCAGGCTGGTATTGCCTTTGTCGGACCCCCACCCGAGGTCATTGACAACTGCGGAGACAAGACAAAGGCGCGTGAATTAGGTAAATATGTACCCCAATCGATACTCCTGTTTGTTAATCCCGTGTAGCTGTGCGCGTCGGGGTGCCCGTTGTACCGGGTACACCTGGTCCCGTCAAGTCCTCCGTCGAAGGCGAAGCCTTCACAAAGGAATATGGCTTCCCAGGTCAGTGGTCGTGATGTGTTATCATCTTCTGTAGTCTCAGGGGTTTACCAACACGCACACAGTCATCATTAAAGCAGCCATGGGAGGAGGTGGCCGTGGTATGCGAGTTGTTCGCGAACAATCCGAATTCCAAGCCGCATTCGAACGCGCCGTGTCTGAAGCCAAATCTGCTTTTGGCGATGGTACTGTCTTCATCGAGCGTTTCCTGGAGCGCCCGAGGCATATCGAAGTTCAGATCCTTGCCGATACTGTCGGGAACACTATTCACATGTTCGAGCGTGACTGCTCTGTGCAGAGACGTCATCAAAAGGTCGTCGAAGTCGCTCCTGCTACAAACCTTCCCGAAGAAGTTAGACAGGCCATCTTGAATGATGCCATCAAACTCGCCCATGGCGTTGGCTACAGGAATGCAGGAACTGCGGAGTTTTTGGTCGACCAGTTGGGTAGACATTACTTTATCGAGATTAACCCTCGTATTCAAGTCGAGCACACCATCACTGGTAGGGATCAGATCTCTATACTTGTTTCATCTTGTGGGAGCTAATGCGCGTGTCCTCTTCAGAGGAAATTACTGGAATCGATATCGTCGCTGCCCAAATTCAGATTGCGGCGGGTGCCACTCTTCCCCAGCTTGGATTGACTCAGGAAGCCATTTCTCGCCGTGGATATGCTATTCAGTGCCGTGTAACCACGGAAGACCCAGCCAGGGGATTCCAGCCTGATACAGGAAAGATTGAAGTATACCGCAGTGCGGGTGGTAATGGTGTCCGCCTTGACGCCTCGTCGGGCTTCGCAGGCGCGCAAATCACGGTAAGGAGAGCGTGCATCAAGTAATGAAACGATGTTGATGAAATCTGCACGATTCAGCCTCACTATGATAGTTTGCTGGTCAAATGTACTGTCAGTGGCACGACCTACGAAGTCGCGCGCCGCAAGATGTTGCGTGCTCTTGTGGAATTCCGTATTCGTGGTGTCAAGGTAAAGTATAGGAATCAGCGGACTCTACGGTAGATTCTTATGCATCTTTAGACCAACATACCGTTCTTGTTCCGTCTTCTGACACACGACGTCTTTATAGGAGGAAAGACTTGGACAACTGTAGGAGCGCTAATATCCCCTATTTCCTGCCGTTTAATGTGCTTCCCAGTTCATCGACGATACCCCGGAGCTCTTCAAACTCGTCCAGAGTCAAAACCGTGCCCAGAAATTGCTCGCTTACCTCGGAGATCTCGCTGTCAACGGAAGCTCTATCAAGGGTCAGAGTGGCGACCCCGGTCTGAAGGAGGAGATCGTTATCCCAAAACTCGAAAACCGCGACCATCCAAGTGGATCACCTCTCGACACGTCTTTCCCCTGCCAGGTTGGGTGGCGCAATATCATCGCGGAACAAGGACCTGAGGCATTTGCGAGAGCGGTGCGCGAGTACCCTGGCACGCTCATCATGGACACGACATGGCGAGACGCACACCAGTCCCTCCTTGCTACGCGTCTACGGACGATCGACATAGTAAATATCGCGAAGGAAACAAGCTGGGCACTTGCGAACGCGTACAGTTTGGAAATGTGGGGAGGCGCAACATTTGACGTTGCGATGCGCTTCTTGTACGAGGACCCGTGGGAGCGTTTGGTACGGCTCCCAGTCTCATGCTGATGTAGTGGAATTTAAGCTGACGGGGAAAAAACCTGTAGCGCACGCTCAGGAAGCTGGTGCCGAACATCCCCTTCCAGGCCCTTGTTCGTGGTGCAAATGGTGTAGGCTACACTAGCTATCCGTAAGTCCCTTGCAATGGCTTCGTGTTTCGACGTACTGATACCCGAGTAAGCGACAACGCTATCTACGAGTTTTCCAAGAAGGCGGTGGAGAACGGCCTGGATATCTTCCGTGTGTTCGACTCGCTCAACTACTTTGGTAAGTGTTCATTTGAAACAGCAAAAGAAACATCCGTTTGATTGGGGTTTGTACAGAGAACGTGAGGATCGTTCGACTAACACCGTGGAACTGGTATTGACGTATACTCCCAGATGAAACTCGGGATCGATGCCGCCAAGAAGGCTGGTGGTGTCGTTGAAGCTGTTGTATGTTATAGCGGTGATGTCGCAAACCCCAGGGAGACAAAGTACACCCTGCAATACTACCTCGACTTCGTTGATCAGCTTGTCCAAGAAGGCATCCATGTTCTTGGTGTCAAAGACATGGCTGGTTTGTTGAAACCCGAGGCTGCCAGACTGTGAGTTCTCGCCTACTGACAGTTAGGTTGGATGAAGGAGCTCAATTTGCGTTGGCAGTCTCATTGGAACCATTAGAGAAAAGTACCCCGACATTCCAATTCATGTGCACTCTCACGACACTGCTGGAATTGCGGCCGCCAGTATGATTGCAGCTGCAGCTGCTGGTGCCGACGTCGTAGATGTTGCAATTGACAGTAAGGATTCAAGATGTAATATCCGAGGGTATTTTTTATTGACAAACGCACCAAGGTATGTCTGGGTTGACATCTCAGCCCTCCATGGGTGCTGTTTGCATGGCCCTGGAACAAACCAATCTTGGCACGGGTATCCGCTACGCCGATATACAGGCCCTCAACAATTACTGGACGCAGGTTCGCATACTTTACAGCTGCTTCGAAGCCAATGTCCGCGCATCGGATTCCAGCGTGTTTGAGCACGAAATGCCAGGAGGGCAATACACTAACCTCATGGTGCGGATGAAGTCTTGTTGCACCTTGTGCGGAGTTCTAAGACTGATCGGATTTATGTAGTTCCAAGCTTCTCAGCTGGGTCTGGGAACGCAGTGGACAGGTGTGTTGTCTCTGCTTCTTCTTGACATGCCTTTCGGCTTAACATTTCATTTCCCCCAGAAATTAAGAAGAAGTATGTGGAAGCTAACGAGCTTGTGCGTACCTACTTCGTATTGGCCCTCTGATTGCTATTGACCCTGTCGTGTCGTTCTCAGTGCGGCAACATTATCAAGGTGGGAATGTTGCGCAATTTCCTCGGAAGACGTGCTCACTGGATATGATGTGAACAGGTCACGCCATCATCCAAAGTTGTTGGCGATTTCGCACAATGGATGACGCAGAACCGTCTTGGCAAGGAGGACGTCCTAGCACGCGCTGATCAACTTGACTTCCCTTCTTCGGTTGTCGAATTTTTCCAGGGCTATCTTGGACAACCAGTTGGAGGCTTCCCCGAGCCGCTTCGTACCAAAGTCATTAGGAACAAACCTAGAATTGATGGGCGTCCGGGAGCCACGTTGTCTCCACTGGACTTCAAGAAGATCAAGGCTGAGTTGCGAAGCAAGTACGGGAAGCACATCACAGACACCGACGTTTCCTCATACGTCATGTACCCCAAGGTTTGCTCCTTGTTGTAATGCTACCGGACGAGTCGCTGACTATGGTTACTAGGTGTTTGAGGAATACCAGGGCTTCGTGCAGAAGTATGGAGACCTTAGGTGCGTGACTTGTTAAGCATGGCCAAATGGATAATCGTAGAACTCGGGTATCTCAAGTGTCCTTCCCACACGGTACTTCTTGGGTCGTCCTGACACTGGCGAGGAGATGCACATCGAAATCGAAAAGGGCAAGATGCTTATCATACGCTTGATGGCCATCGGACCTATTGTCGAGGGCCGTGCCCAGCGCGATGTCTGGTTCGAGGTCAACGGCGAGGTAAGCCCATTGACATACTGACCGTCATCGTACCGTATTGCAGCCGCTGATGTTGGTTCAATAGGTCCGGGCTGTCGCCGTCGAGGATAAGAACTCTGCCATCGAAACAGTTTCTCGGGAGAAGGCAACTTCCGAGTTGGGCTCGGTTGGAGCTCCGATGTCGGGTGTAGTTGTCGAAGTTAGAGTGAAAGAAGGCCAGGAGATCAAGAAGGGCGATCCTCTATGCGGTCAGTGCAATATGCTGGATGTCGATACATTACTGACACGGCTGCGTGGCGCCAATACAGTCCTCAGCGCTATGAAGGCGAGTATCTATTTGGATCTCAGGGCTTTAACGACTTATGGATCTTTTAACAGATGGAATCGGCTGTGACTGCCCCTGTTGCTGGTCACATTAAACGCGTTGTCGTCCATGAAGGTACGTAGGTTTTTATCCTAAATAGGGACGTGACCAACCTGTGTGGCGCAGGTGACTCTATAAACCAGGGAGATTTGGTGGTGGATATAGTCCACTAAAGAGGTAGCCAATCAAACTGAACAAGCAATATATTCAAAACATGTTCCAACTGCACGTGTTGTACTTAAACTGTATCACGAGACCGTTTTGTAACGAGCAAATATAGACCAGTTCAAGGCTGAGTAACTACTTGGCAGCCGACACGAGCATGGAGAACCACTTGTTAGTTCTTACAGTTTTGTCTTGCAAGCCAAGTTTGGACCGCAACGGATTTTGAACTGGAGTTCTTGGAATCGGTCCCCTTACCATTGAGATTGGTTGCTCCAAGCAGAGGGCCTGCGGTCACTTTCTGTGAGGGAAACGGTGATCCTGGCGAGGCAGATCATTTACTGGCGTGGCCGACCGAAACCAGGTAGCCGTTCCATGGGATTCAACAAACCAAGGTGTAACTGCCAGAACCATCCGATCCGATCATATACGTCCGGAGGTATTGGTGCGGTTCTAGACCAGCCAATTCGTACTGAGAAAGAAATGTGGTTTTACCTGAGTGATTGCAAGGGTGTATGGGCGTTGAAACGCGAGATAGAGGCTGAGGGAAACTTGCCAACCAACGGCGGCTTCGTAGGTGTCAGAGAAATCTTTGATCGACGTAACCATCCACGAAGTAATCGGACCACCACTCTGTTGGGATGTTCAAGAATCACTGAGTTGGTCTCCGGCCACCAGAGACACGAAATATATCCTTACACCTAATATCAAGTACACCAGACAGGGTGATCCACTCATCGGGCCAGTCCCTAGCACGATGCAACTTGTGAGTGCGAGCGAACAAAAAGTCGTCAAGGAAGGTCAACAGCAACCGCTGTGCACGAGGAAATACTTGACTTGCGTTGCGGCCAGATGGGCGAAGTGGTACCCACGAACCAATTGGTCGCTGGAGTAAAGTGAGAACAAAATGACAAAGAAACGAGGCATCCATCAAGTCAAGATTAGTTTGAAGCAGACACCCTCCTTCGATAGCTTTCATGTACACAAGTGAAATAGCACGGTCAACCAATGCCGTTTGGGTATGGATGTTGAAACCGGCCTGCTTGCATCGCGATGGAGCGAAAGCAACAGACACCAGATGTGCTCGGGTTCTCCGAAGGCATGGGGCGAATAGAACCCTTTGCATTCCAGTATTTCCAGCGCTCAGGAATTCAAGCCGAAACAGCCATGAGCCTCTTTGCGGGTTGGGCCTTGAGCGAGATAACCCAATGGACGAGACGCAGTAATTAATCACGATCGCGTTGGAAATGATACACACCCTAATCGTGCTGCAGCGCTGCCTCAATACCAGTCCACAAGCTTGATCCGCGGGCCAAATAGATTTTGCGAGGGAATGAGAGAATGTTTCAGTTACTGCAACACTGTATCCGCTGGAACTCGACGAAATGAAGCCAGATGCGATGCGTGATGACCTGCACGCACTACAGTGCCTTCACCATCGCGTTGGCTTCCGTGCTAGCGACCTATACCCATGGGAGCCATATCTATTGTTACAATCTCCTTATCACACACCTTGCAAATGATGTCGTGAATATCACATTCGTGAAACCTTTGCCCCACTTGAAGTCGAGCATTCGTTTTTAGTTGGCACGGACGTTCGAGTCTATACCTCTGAAAGGAGCTCACGCGGGGAATAACACAATATCCACCCAGGCGGACATTTCTGGTTGGGAGAAGAGCGGAACGGTATACGTAATGGCGGAACGGAGGTTGACTTTTGCAATTTTCAACGTAACATAACAGGAAAGTGGCCGTTTGATGTTTTTCGGCGATATATCCCTGTTCTGATCTGTCGTCGAGATACGCCTTCACAAGATCAGAGGTAGCGAGTTAGTTGAAAGTGCAGGGCAACGATACGAAGCACTCGGACATGCGACTGGGAGTGTCACGATCCCGATCTTCTGAGTGAAAAAAAGCTCCTGGCCGCGCAACAAAACATTGGTAGTTCGGTCGCACGTTTGTGGAATTTGACTGACGGCGCCGTTTGTGCGTATCATACAGAACGAACAATAATTGAAATGGAAGTAGCTGAATAGTGAATATGACTTAGCGACTAAGGAAATATCAATTCCCGGTGTATAATTTTGAGGCCATCTCCAATCTTTCAAGTGTAACATCATGTAATTCATTGACAACGTCCTGTGAAATGGAAATGGTCTCCGCCCCATTATGTCTCCGAGAGCCATGTACGCACCTTTGCGGTACTGATGCCGGATATGAGGTCGACACCGGTCCCGGCCCACACCAACATGCGATCCGGGTCACCGTCTTGGACACCTTTCTTGAATTTTTCTTCCGCGATATGAATGTCTACCCCCTCCTCCACATCTTTCACGGTACTATTGTAGAGTGCTCTGCCATCAACACCGGCGGGCCATTCAACTGTCCCTCGTACGCGATCGAAAGCCATTGTCCGCATGGTTGACCCCGACTTGGCAGCGATGAGTGCTCTCTTCTGTGCCTCAGTGTACAAACTTGCAGTGGTTGCAAGGAAGCGTGTGCCAAGGACTACCCCGTCCGCACCAAGAATAAGAAGCGAAGCGACGTGACGACCATTGGTCATTCCCCCCGCTGCCAACAATGGAGGTGCATCTTCGGGAAGAACTTGAAGAATCGATGAAACGAGCGTAAGAAGTGGGGGGGCAGCGCGATAACCGTGTCCCCCAGACTCGTTACCTGAGACAAAAAACAAAACAAAAAACAAAACAATGTGGTCAATTTCCTTTTGCTCAACTAGTCAAAAAGAGGATGACATGGGGCGTAATACAACCTTGTGCAACAAGAACGTCCACCTTCCAGTTCTTTACAGCCACGACGGCGTCTTCAACGGAGGGTATCTGGACAAAGATAAGGGTCGGGTCCCTCCGTCGGTGTTTTTCGTCGTAGGTGCGGATATACCTTATCCACTTATCGATGTGGACACCGAACGCCAGCCATATCGCCTGAACGTGGTTATCGAGAGCTGCAGCGAGCATTTCTTCGGCTTCCGCGTCCGTGGACTTCTCTAACTTCCAAGCCAGGTAGCCAACGCCGACGGGAAGTCGATCTGAGGCAGCTAGAACGAGGATGCCGCGGGCGAGTGCTAGCTCCTTCCGGAGGCTCGCTGGATCAAGATATCCTATAGTGGGATGGGTGAGACTGCTACTCCTTCGACGTCCCTCCGGTTACCTGCAGCCAGGAAGCCAAAAGCACCTGCGGCAGTAACTTCAGCCGCTAACGCACCCCCGCTGGCCCCTGCCATGGGGGCCGCCACTACGGGAGTTTTGATGCCTATGACACAGATATGTAAGCATGTGGCTGGGTACATAGACAGAAATCCTACCCAACAGGCGGGTGAACGAAGTTTCGATTGACATGTCTGTTACTGTAAGGCAGTAGATGTTTACCTCCTCGTACCGGTTGAATTTAAGTCAAGTCCATTCGGAGCAAACGGCCGACGAGTCCCGCCGCTGAATAAACCAGTGTTTTTTTTGCTCCCAACGCTGATCCAACAGCGAGTTTGAGTTCAATCAATACGATGAGCCGCTCTTGTGCTGTCTCCATTCGGTTTCGCCGGTTTCGGTGTGCGGGACGCCACAGGATTTGTTTGGTCCAGTTTGGCAACTCTAATCGCGCCTCGTTGCCCTCAATATCGTTGCTTGCGTGCACCCCACGATTCTAATCGCCCATCATGGTCTGTATCATGCTCCATTCCTAACTAATTAGACCTTGCTAATGTGAAGTCTTGTGGATTATAGCCTCCTCCAAAATCAAAGGGTGGAAAAATGCTCAGTCTCCTCAATTGGAGACTTGAAAGTGACTATTAACGATGGGCGCGCTTTGACGGGTCAGATGCTCGCCTTCGATAGGCATATGAACCTCGTGCTCGCAGATTGTGAAGAATTCCGTCGCATCAGGCCAAAGAAGAAGCCTGGGGAAACAGAAACACCTCCTGAACAAGAGATCAAGCGAACGCTCGGACTGGTTATTCTACGCGGAGAAGCAGTCGTAAGCATAACTGTCGAAGGCCCCCCACCAGTGGTTGACGAGGACAAGAAGAACGTCGTCAGTTTCCTATTTTTAGTCTAGTTTATTTTTCCTATTAATTCCCGTGTTATAGCTCCCAGCAGGACCTGGCCGCGGCATGCCTGCCGGTCGCGGTATAGGCATGATGCCTCCTGGTAAGGATACACACGTTGCCTACTAATGGCACTTTCATTCACATATGCTGAGTAGCAGGTATGCCACCGATGGCTCGGCCTCCAGTGCCGTTTGCACCCCCTGGCATGCCAGGTCCACCCCCAGGGTTCAGACCACCAGGCTTCCCTCCGGGTATGCCATTCCCACCCCCTCCTGGTTTCTCGGGACCCCCTCCCCCTGGGTAAGTATCACATTGTCCCCTGTGACAGATTTGTACCTGCGGTACTAATAGTCGCTGTCTGATAGCTTCCAACCACCGCCGCAGTAACCACCTGCACTCTTTGTTGGTCTTACAACGTAAATATCCGAAGGAGCCGAGGAGTAGAAGCGAGAGTATGGCAAGTAGTAATCTTGTCTGTTGTGACAGATGGCATCAGAAAATGTACCTCCTGGTGTTACGCCCATTAAAAGGTTTGTTCATGTACATGGTTACTAACGAGCAGACCGTGTTGTCTAACAACCGCATGTCTGGGTACTACATGGTGAATGCATCAGCGTTGTTTCTTAGCCCTGCCATGGTTCGCGTTGAAAGCTCATGCTAAGCACTTATTGTCATGTGTTGTCGGCCTGTTGTGCCCTTGTGACGGAGAAACCTCTCGGTATCTAACTCCTTTGCAGCTTCCAGAAGCCGAAAACGAAATTCTTCCCATTAACTGCCACGTCTATTTTAATTGGGCAACGTGCACCATGCTTTCCGTAAATGACGCTTCTATCTGGTTTTGCAGTGCAAGAAAAATGTGCTGACGGCACGACCTTACTCAGATGTTTTACAGGTTAGTGGCGGCCCCTTATCACCCGGGAATGGTTTTAATGCTCGAGTTGAGGCGTTTCCACCATTCCTCTGCTCTCCGGACAGTCAGTCAGTCGACAGTGACGAGCAGCCAGTATGTTCCCTTGGTCGCGAAAGCTCCATAGGCATCGTTATGATCTTGATTACCCCGGACACTATCCACACACGATCATACCTAATCCAATTCCAATTCCAAAATCCCCCCATCTCGGCCATCCGCGTCATGTCCAGCCTCCGCCTGTCATCATACGCAGCAAGTCGAAATCGAAATCCAAGTCGAAATCTAAATCTCCATTCCTGCCATTCCTGCAGTGTCTCCACATCCACGTTCACACCCCCAAGTCAAAATCAAAGTCCAAATCAAAGTCTAAGCGATCACGGTGGTGGTACCCATCAACGTCCTCGTCATCCTCTTACTGGCCCCGCAAATCTAGAAAGAGTAAGAGCAAGAGCAAGTACAAGTACTGGAGCAGCAGTACTGACAGTGACGACTACTACGACGACTACTACTACGATCGACCTCGTTCAAAGAGTCGATCGCGTTACAAGAAGTCCTCCCGCCGAGTCCGGTTCGCGCCCGTTGACTCTGACTCCCTCCGGCGGTACTCATACTCGTCGAGTTACCGCCCCCCCTACCGTTCTGGTTACTCTACCGACTCAACGTCTTCCTCTGGAGACTACTACCGCTCGTCTAAACCGCGCCGCAGCAGCTCGCGTTGGTATAGCCCGTCGTATTGGTGAAGAGATGCGAGGAGAATGGGGGCAGTGGGATGACGCACGAGGTGATTTCGGATTGGTTTCGGACGGATTGGAACTAGATCTAGTTGGACGGGATGGGAGCTTTAGAAATGAGCAATTGCAAATTCGAAGGTGTGTGCTACTTCCTTTACTGGTTCCCTTCCCAGAATGAAATTTGACTGGCTTCGTATCTTGATAATAGATAGCGAGCCGGGTGTTCCCGTCCACCCACCGCAACAGTAACTGATGTCAACACCAAACACACTCCTTATCCATTGATCGCGTCTGCCCTCAGTAGCTGGCACGCTGGGTTCAAAGCACAAAGTATCGATACAGATTTGACCGGCTTCCCTTAGGAAGTGGGGCACGGTCCTCCTGGGTCCATGTAGTGCAGGGCAGTCGCATGAAAGTCCCCTATTCTCGATCGAGGAGGCAGTGCAAAGAACAGTAAACATTGCTTCCCTCGTGCTTACGTGCATTAGGACTTGGTATCACCTGCTTCTTCATGAAACCTTTTCTTCCGATATCTCCTTTCTGCGTGCTTAGGTGATAGAGCGTGCACTGTGCACAATAGCAGCGTCCAGCTATGTCTTCCCTTGACAGTTTTCATCATCATCATTGATCAAGTAGTGCTCATCCACTGATTTACTTATCTCTATGATTACCACTTATCGTGCACTCGACTGTTAGTAACGACATGTTCACGTACAAATTGGAATGACAGTACCGACTCTCATTTTAGCTTATGATATTGTCACCACGCGGACTGGCCAGGACTGAAGTACTGATTCATCAGATCGATCAAATTTCGAAGAATCACAACGGCGGAGAGTCAAGTCAACGAACATCAACGATAGTGGCACTCTCGCCGTATGTGATCCATGTGATAACTGTCCCCTGAACCTTGAAACGTGAGAGAGGAGGAGAGAACACGGGTCTGTCCTGCCTACTATGGCTTCGCGTCTCGAAGACATAAAGGGTGAGTCCATGTTTAGTTCCATGATGGTGACAATTGCACCGTTGTGATGTGATGCCTGGATGCACAGTACAAACCAAGGCCCGACGCTGTCTTGGCCTCATGGGTCATAGCGGGGCAGAGCTGTTCATTGTGAATGTCTGCTCCATCTCGAAACCATTATCATGGAGAGGTCGCACCACCAACTGTCCGGGGGGTCCGATTAAGCTAAAGCTCGTCATCAAATGATGCATCTTCGTTGACCTCTGAATATCTATGCGAGTTTATGCCATCAGCAGGAGAGTTCCAACAGCCAGGGAATGAAAAGAACAAGAAAGGGACGATGCCAAAACACACAAGAGTTCGCAGCGGGAACCGAGCACAAATACATCAATTCGCCATTGCTGACACTCGGCACCCACCATGATCTTGGAACTTTCCTTTACGGACGACACGAGTACCACGGCAGACGGAAGATTGGGAACGTTCTCGCGTTTCGGAGAGAACACCGAGCACCTCCCGCCGGATCGCAGTGTATTTTCGTGATTGGCCGATATCATCGAGCGTCGGCGCTGCCGATATACTCAGCCTCCTTCAGTACTTATCGAGGCTCACCGGGTCAGGCATGCAAAGCCTCCACAGCATGGAGAGACTGCTGGGTAAAGTTCATTGATGTTTTCCATACCAATTCATACCTCTTTAGCGGAAGAATAAAGATTGTGATGCCTTTCCCGCATCCGTCGTCATCAAGGAAGAAAGAATACTTCTGATGACAGCAAGCTAGCCCGATGACTAGGATCCGTTGTCGCGTTCCCAGTCAACCATCGGAGGAAGGTAGCTAGTCAGTGGCAGATAATCAAAATAGCTGATGTTCTGATTGTATGGTCAGTTTGGAATCCCGCTTCGATCATAGAATCAGTACTGCAGGGTCGAGTCAGCTCCATCAAGTGACCCGAGGTTTCTCGTACGTACCCATGCGTAGTTCGCGACCGACTTTTGAGCGTCCAGCGATGACACACCATTTCCGTTCGATTTGCTGGACCGCCGAGAATCCGCAGCACAACTGGAAAGCAATCGCCATGCTCCTGGCACCGATGCATGACGATGTGCCTCCGTAATACCTTGCATTTTGGGAAATGATCGATAGAGTTAAGTTCAGGCGACTGTTCCGAGCCTCTTAATTAACAACTGACAAATGCCGTCCTCATTAAGCCCCGACTCGGAGACTGCTGCGACCGACTTGGTAAGCATGGCCTTTTGTGTGTGACTTGGTGCACTCTCATGCAGAATCTGGCGTCCGAGCTTGCCATATAGTTACTGAGAGTTCAGATTCAAAAGCACTGACGTAGTGGCGCCGGAACGCGCCGAACGCCACGAGCAATGCAACTTTACTGCTTGGCTCAGCCTCACATCGGGACAAGGAGGTACGTGTCTCATGAGACATATAATGATCCCTATATTCTTATATTCTCACTTGAAAAAGTGCTACGAGTGTTAGAGGTCCGCGTGTAGGAACATTTTCTTTCTACGGTGATAACCACGACCAGGTCCTGGGGGCTTTTCTGGTTGGCCCGCGATAAATACGCAATATAATAAGGTAAGTGCTACTGCACCCGCACGCCAGCCAGCCAGGACATCTTATCTAGGTAAGTACTGTATATTGGATCGCGCTGAAAAGGGGTTTGATAAAGTAGGAGACTGAACTAACTCTTAGTGAGCATGTGGTCCCCGTAGAGGATAGAACGGAATTTGAGGGGAGTCTAGGCACATGTCGTATGTAGGCAATTGACCTATCGATCACCACTTAATCATCCACTGAACAGGGATTAAATTATGAGCGAACTGTCGCTCCTACAGACGAGAAAGGAAAAGTGTGCGGGAATAAGAAGATCACTCAATACGCGTCGCAACTCGCAAACCGCGCTCAGGTTCTTCTTCGCATGCATCGACGTTACGATTCGCCACTGTTTGTTGATGAGTGCTTCCAGGTGAGGTTCCCTCGTATCTATGCAGTTGGCACAACAATAATCATTGCGGCTTGATCACGAACATAATTCAACTCAATTATATATGCCGGTAAAGGCGGCGAATGTTGTTGCCACCATCTTTAAGCTTTGTATATCGATTCTCACTACTCGCATTTGTGATGGGCCACAGGACATGCCGTTGGAAAACTCATCAGTCTAGTGACGGCTAAGCTCGGATTCGTTAGCTCGGATATCCACCGCTGCTACTCGCAATTCACCGTCCTTTGTCCGCTCGCTTGCTTGATATCTCAAGGTCGCGTTTTGTTAGTACTGGTGCGATACTAACCCCTAAGTAGGTATAGACAAATCATAACCCATCTTATCGGCGATCGCGGATGGCGCGCAGTTGAGGATTGATGAGTATTTCAACAACCCTGGCTTCGCTCTCCAAAGGAAAGTTCTAGTTAAGGAGTGTTCTTCGATGCTACTTGACCTCTTACGAGATCTAGGGAAATTAAATGTGGAGACAGCTCAGGAAACGAGAAATGATAAGTTATGCACACTGCATCCCGTAGAAAAAAAGAATATGCACCACAAATCCATCGTTGAAACGTTGGCGCTCGACTAGGGCATCATGGTTTTCTATACTCTCCAGCGGTCACCCACTACCCTCTGATGCACCTGCCCTATCCAACGCGGTCGAAGGGAGACATGACCGCGCGATGTGGAATAGAGTAGTGCAACGACCACGACGTATTTCCTATACCCTTTCTGTCGCAATGGGACAAAGTGCCCTCGTGCGTCATAAGATGTGAAGTACCGCTCCTCTCCGCTTCACCCTAAAATGTAGCCCTTCAAGACTGTACCCGGCTCCTCCTGCTAGAGCATCCGACTCCATCAACTCCCACCCTGTGGACGTTTGAACCAAATCCTGCACGTACGGTAACAATGATAGTGCGGACCCCTCCGACGATCCCGCCTCCTTTGATCTAGTAAAGGTTGGGTACTCTTCTCGGACTTCTGGGATGGTAAGATGGTCCAATGACAGACAGCGGCTGGCAATGATGGTGTAGACAAGGAAGGCGGTAGGTCCAATGAACAACTAAGCATGAATGTGTCTTCGTGCAAGCGCATCAACTTATGCGGGTGGGCGAGCGCGGGCGCTCGAGTAATAATGGTAACTCACGCACCCTAAGACAGCCTCTGCACAGGTACGTCATTAAACTATCTTCGGCGGATCGCTTCTCGAGCAGTGTAGTGTGTTCAGGACGTGATCTCATACTTGGGGGAAAAAAATGCATAAACGAGCACTTCTATCTGGATTCCTGGAAAACACGAAAAAAGCGAGTCACTGGCCAATACCATTGCTTGTACATCCGTTGTTGTTTCTCCGTTAGCTGGTATCGACATATAAGCCGGCATAAAAGTGGCGGCGAGTCATGATGTGTGATCGCTCAGTGAGTTGACAGGACCTACAACCACTACGGCAGGTTGAATCTCACCTGCTGCTCTGCGAACGCACATGAAATGCGCAAATTGCCGCACAGGGGGTGAAAATGACGGCAACACAAACCCCTGGAGCTGCAGACTGTTAGTAATCCGGGTTCGTAGTTGGTCTCCGGCAATGTTCTGTAGCGGAAGCGCAAGCGAAAAACTCACCTCGCCAACGAAATTCTCAGGAACTCATGTCAGCTCATGTCCCACCATCAGTTGGGGCATCCATCATCGCCACCAGAATGAAAGGGAGTGACCCACCCTAAAGGCTACCTACAAGGAAGGATACAATAACGAGAGCGTCCAAAGAGGGTACACGCTAGTGAGATTAGTTTCTGCGAACGAATTGGACACACAAACGGCGGATAGACCTGTGTCTTGAGTTTTGAGTTCGGACTTGATGTCCACCTCAAACCATATAAAGACATAGCAAGCACAGGTGACCACTCCAGACGGGCTATAGGGGATTGTTTGCTTGCAGACTTAACATGACAGGAATACCAAAGGGAGACTTAGCTATGTCCTTAGTAGTTGCCCCTCCCCCACAACAAGGTTAGTGGATTAGTGAGACGAGTGGTCACGTAGTAGGGAACATGTGCAACTACCGTGACATGCATTGACGTCTGTCATGACTTTCTACTTTCTATTTTCCTCTCTTGTATTCCCCTCCAGGTTCGACACCTGAACTTGGCGGGATTCCTATGTTGCTGCCCGCTGTCCGTCGAGGGCACAGCAACTACTATGGAGCGAGCTTCCAATCGAGGACTGTTATGCGGGGTTGTGGCGGAATGTTCTCCCTCGATCCACTACTCTGGTCGTCTGGAAAGTTTACTGATAGCAAAGAATGCAGATGAGTCAGCTGTTCTGCCTTCATCGACATCTTTGGTACGTGGGTAGGTTGTGGGTAGGTGGAGTTTGAATCTTTGATGCGCATACTTACCAAGAGGATGGGGCGCCAGTTTCGCTTAGTACCTGATACGCACTACTCCTGAACCGAAAATGAAGCTCGGGACGATTCACCCGGACCCGTTGGTGCACGTACCTGGTGACCTTTGAACGCCCATGTAGCGGGTCAATCAGTCATAAGCACACTTCTACGCCCACTGGTGCAAGGTTCAAATTCCCTGCATATCAAGCGTGACGGAATCCCTTCGGGGGCTCCGAAGATGCGGTCGTGAGGAGTCCTACTGCCCTGTCCAAGAGGTATCAAGCTCGTTTTTCCAGACCCCCGTATGTATGTTCAGAAGCGGAAATAACAAATGTGTGTTCCTGCTCGACCAACAGTCGCGATAGTACCTCATTTGTGTGGCACCCTGCAACACAAGGGGTAAATTCTCGGAATGCATTGCCAACTTGGTGTTCGCTCTGAAATCAGTGCGCACGTATACTCTTTCATGACTATTCCCTTGGCCTCTGGGTTACTTGTTTCTGGAGTTACCATGGCAGTGTTTTTTTACCATCCACCATCGCGGAGTTGAGCTGCGTCGGGTCTTGCGGTCGCGAAAGCGTCCGCTCTTTCGGCGTGCTTCAGATGACCTCACCCGCTGATTGCGGAACATGACACCGCAGTTATCACCGACCTCGATGCCATGCCAGACGCCATACAGACTTTGATGAAAATGAAAGTCACGCATGCTAAGGTCGTAAGAAGAAAGTCTAATATGTCATTCAGTGGGCATCGATCCTGCATTTCTGTGTACTCTGCTAAGCACCGTAATACTCGCGTCCTCTTGATTTAGAAAAGTGCGGTGTTATAGTAGCGCATCGGTGATCACACCAATCTGCGCCTCCATTCCATATACACAGGGTCTCCTCCAGTGACAAGTTGACAGGTCCCTGCTCCATTGGAATATCTGTTAGGCTATTTAGGGTCGTTTAGTACGCCCGAATTGCCCGCGTGTTCTCTAACCTTAGCATGACATCAGCGCTTAACGTCCAAGGCAGTAAGTAAACTCCATAAATGAGTTCAATGTGCCAGGTCCGACGACGGGCAGTTCGGACGTTATTGGGACTTTCATTAACCGATCGACAGTCACTCATCAGTAAGCGAGTAAATGGTATAAACCTGTCACTGACTGGTCGTGACCGTGATTCTACCATTCCCTGTCCCTCTGATGGTCATCATGGCCGGAACATGGACTGATGATGCAACCAATTCCGACGCAAGTTCCGCCCAGCCCCCAAGGGGATGAAGAGTCAAGCCGATATTCTGGAATTGTAGCTGCCAGTGAAAGTTCCTAGTGCGCCGTCCCTTGACACGTTTTATCACGAGGGCAGCCATATATCATATGTTGCGCCTCCGGTGTTCATCTACGTCCCCATGTTCTCTACATCTGAACGTTTTGGACATCAACCGAGTGCTTTGCCGCCACCGAAAACAATATTACGATAGGGAAGGTTTACTGCTGGAAGTGGCGCCAAAATATTCTCAAGCCAATTGAGGTGCGCGCCTGTGATAGCAATTGACCGCATCTTCACAGCTACACGTCTAGAAGAGGGTTTTGGATCGAAAGTCTGTTGTCCAACACAACCTGTCGGAAGGTGAGCGCATCAAATGAGTATCTTTCTTTACTCCCATGGTCCAGAACGACGACTTCTCCTTATCCCGCCTTACCGAGACAGGTTACGCTATGTTTTAAAACTCGTCATCCAAACAAGCACAATCACTACTTACGAGACCAGACATGTAGTCATCAATTTCAGTGCATTGACAATAATCCGCAAAGGTAGGTCTTCGTGATTGCAAAGTACGTGGAAGACGTTCCACCATTTTATATGCGGTAACCCTGCAACAATGTATAAGGCATCGTCGTTGACTTTGCTAATGGTCCAGGCGCATCTCGCAGCTACTCGGGGACCCGAATATGTGAGGGGCGGGTGGTGGACCGGACAAATACAATGCGACTGATTAGTCGCCCCGGACCTTCCTAGAGACCCAAGTCTGATTCCTTGGTATCCATCGAACCCCAGATTCCGTCCTGGTTCTCTGGCACCCCAACGGTCTGGGTCCGCGCCGTCCGCCCGACGTGGATATGATACGCCTCCGCCACAATCCGAATGCGACATTCGAATCTTTTTCGTTTGGGGCGCCGCCGCAAATACCGTCTCGTGACCCAACGTTGATTCCCGGACCACAAAAGTCACGCGGAAAGGTTGCACAGGGCCAAAACAGGAGGTGGTACCGACGCGTCGGCATCAGTGTCAGAATGCATTGCCAGGGGCTGGGAATTCCGAACGATAACTCCACAGGAACCTTGGGCTGCGAGAGAAACAACGCATAGCTGTGCATAGCCCACATCAGAACACTTCAGCAAGTTAACGCGATGGTAAGGCTAATTAATATGGAAGGCAGCGGACCCACATCCACAAATTCTCGAAACCATGTCAACAAAGCGGTCTGATCTCCATTTGGATTACCACTACCAGGCAAACGTTTCGGGAGAGAAGGGGTGGTATTCAAATGTGTTCGTCTGGGCTATTCAACTGCTAGATCCGTGTCATCCAAGTATGTTAATTTGTCATCGTACCATTGATCAAGCACTTATGGCATGATGGCGCAAAATGAGATAATTATACCTGATGATATCTTGATACTTACACCCCTTGCCGTCAGTATTGTTGGAGATGATGACTGGTTAACCTCCACATCGTCCGAAGGTGGAACTAATACATGAAAACGGCCCCGCATGCCCCTCCGTGACTTACATATGAGTACAGAACAGTAAGAATTCCTCCAGAACATTCTTTTGAGCATTCGTTCCCCGCGATACTCCGCTCCTGATCCCAAGCTGGCCTAGCGGCGAACGTCGGGAGGAAGAACGGTAATCTCAGGAGCCCGCATACGTGTGTTACAGGGCGCCCGAGTCCGTGGACTTCGAAATTCGGGAAGGTATTTGTAGGGCGACGCCGAAGACGGCCCGCACTCCCTACATCCGAATCAATTTTATCCGAAAGTACAGTGTGGGGTAGTACCGTACGTATACTTATTGCGTCGTATGCCCATTTCTCTAGGTCAGTTATGCATCCAACCGCTTCATTGATCATCCTTTATTACATACGTACCTAACGAAGCCCGCTGCTCGGTTCCGATGTTAGAACTTACGGATGGTGAAACGAATGCCTCGATATATAGTGGTTAATTGCGGCGCATATCAGATACCACTATCAATGTACAGAAGTGGGAAGCACTTGATGAACATGGACAGCCTACCGCAGCTGGTTAAATATAATACGGTGGACGATCCGACCGATTGTCTGCAGAGAAGTCAGAATCAGACAAAACCATTTTGGAAAGAAAAACTCACGAACTTCAAACGAGCAGCGATAGTGTCACACCTATCCGTGCACAGTAGCAACATGCCCAGCCATTTCCTTTCCACAGCATATTCTACGGTGAATGCGCACGGTAGTGCGTCATTATGTGATCACTAACCGACAACCGGAAGTAAGAGGACGTCGTGCTGCGCAGTGATCTTAAGGATATGGGACAAACGATCCACACTGTCGGAGTAACTCAGCGAGGTTATCTCTTGTTGGGTTGCGTGGAATTCAAACGAGCGACCTGACTTTGGGACGAGCGGATGATAAGGCAGCGCCACTGACCATATCTGGCTACTTACTTTCTGATGGCGGTCGGGGAGGGATCGTCGTGAGTAATAAAGTAGAGATTTGGGATTCTTCCTGCGCGAAGTGAGAGTGGCAGTAGCTCGGCGGCGCATCGGATAAGTACTGATTAACGTGTATTGAATAACGTTGCTTACTGACTCGTCCACAGTCCGCAGCGCTTGCATACCCACGATGAGCGCGTAGGTCTTCCATCCATGGTGTGCACCAGTAGTTACGAGCCCGTACCTACGACTCTAAAGCACGGCATGCGGCCAGCGCCGGACTCAAATACACCTGTGAAGCACCTTGCGTCCTATTGCTGCACAGCACCTAGAATGCAGGAGAACACACCATGCAGGTGCGCTAAGTTAATTAAATAAGCGTATAAGATATCACAGGGAGGCAATAGGATAGGTACTTATCATCCGGTTAACCATTAACCTAACCCTTGTCATCTGGCGCAGTCCACGCGTCTCATGCGCAACTGCCAAATCCACGGCTTGTGGTGATAAATCTATCATTTGCACCACTCGAACAAACCATACCCTGTCGGGAAGTTATCGCGTTCCGCCTCCTTATGGTATGTGGGGTGATAAAAGAGCGAAAACAGAAGGCAGAAAGAAGGACTACCAGCTAACCGTTAACTTAATGTGCACAGCAAGGGCCAGCGTAAAATCGAGAACGAGTAATTGTTCAGGGTATTCTCACTGTTGCGACCACGATGCACGGTGATGCACGAACGACACACGTGTTAGGGTCCCACTCGACGGACGGATCAGGCATCGAAAACCGTTGCGACCGGGTAAGGTTGGTCCGGGTTCCAGTCGACTGTTTAATGGGGGTTTGCTTGAATTGTTATGAGTGGAAACGCACCGCAGTCTCGATATTCATGCGATTCGTGATCGTGATTCACCGGCTCACCGCGTCAACGGCGCTATCGAGATTAATCCCTTGGGAAACGGAGCCATCGCGAAGGTCAATGTAGTACATCGCGTGAATATCATCGCGGTCTCTCCGATCTGAAAGCAAGGCACAAACCCATCGCATTTTCTCGTATATCACAGAAACATTGTAACGAGGCACTGTCGTTCTTCGCGAGAAAAGGCTGTGCTGATTCGAAGGCATGTCAACCACCAAGACAGTCGGCGGCACGCCCTTGCCCCAATCTTCCTCCCATCCATCTGGCGGGCAATCTAAGATGGATGAGTGGCGAAATAAGAGAGACCCTGACAAATGGTCATCGATTCATCTGGTTCAGAGGAGCTTTCTCAACTCAGCTCGGGTCCTGAACTTGAAAATCCAGCCTAAGCAAAGCGCCAAACATTTTTTCAAGCCAACAAATAGCACAGAATACAGTGCGACATCGTGCATGGGACCGTCTTACAAAAACAAGCCTAAAATTCTCTGAAAGTAACCTTCACACTTTGCGCTCGCCTGTGACAACTCATCCACTAGCCCCTCCGGGTGTGCTGACACAGAAACCAGGTCTCCCGGCGTCGCCTCTCCGGCGGCACTCCGCAAACCCCTCAAAGCCCTTAAACGCTCAGCATGATACTCCCTCTCTCTGCCCTCTCTTTTCATCTTGTAGTAAATGTGTACCGCGAGCCACACGGTAAGCATTACTAAGGCGCCGTTGGCAGACATCTCGATAGTGTTTGCGATCTTCTGGACATCCCCTCTCAGACCCACCGCCAAGTGCGCAGCCACTTGCTCGAGTTCGCCAATGCGCCAATCGATCCTGTCAATGCCCTGTCGAAGTATGGGTTCAATCCCTCTGATGATCCCGCCCTCGTTCACTGACAAAAATCCCATTGTCAACCCAGTAAAGATCCGATAACCGATGTCTGGGGCCAGGGCTGAGTTCTATCGATGAAAGGGGATACATTAATCTTACCAGAGGGGACTATCGCAAGTGCTGTCTTGGAGGAGGACTGGGCCGAATGCCCTGATGGTGTGTGCTCAGTATATATCCAACGATACAGCATGGAATCCTCGAGGAGCGCAGCAATATTGGGCGTTAGAACCACTCGCCTCACTTTGTCCAACATGGGTAAATGGGGGTGTAAATGCCTTAGGAAAGGTTCTGGACGTTGTTCTGGGCCCTACTTTGGATGAGTTGGCGGTGAATTAAGGACACCGTCACAGTTTCTTGATCGACCTCGCGGCAACATGCACAGTGGGTAGCCAACATCTATTCACAAAATAATGCACTCTAGTTCATCTAACCTTGTGGGTAGACCATCTTCTCTATGCTGAGTTCCATCGTTTTATCACATACAGATGAGCAACTACAATCATCTGGACAGTTGATAAGGGTTGGCTCCTCGACAGTGACTTTCAAGCCGTCTTGAGGCGTTTTTTTTTGCAACCTTGTAAAGTTTTGGCTTCACCTGTTCGATGACCATTTTGACACCGATGCCTGATTTGAGTATGATGAACCCTGTTGCCCTGCAGGTACCGTCACATTTGTGGGTTCAGAGTACCAGTGCCAGCATGTTTCAAATTACTGTGAGAGCATGTAACTGCCTACAGCTGGACAACCGGAGACCGGGTCCTCGGTGACGGGAAGGCGGTTTTCCAGCAAAAATCATGGGCAGACCAACTCCAAAGTGCTACCGTTTTCCTGGCCGTGGCACGACGTCAGTGACGCCCTCCAACCCGGGATGTTGCAATAGAGCGGATCAAGTACTTGTGTGCTGCTGTGGAACCTTGGTTCCTCTCAAACTCTCAGCCGGATCCGCCATCGTAGCGTAGCTTACATAGAAGCATCCGTTGACTAGCTCCACTGCCAGCCAACTGACGGATGTTTCCGAGACGATGGTATCAGTTAGCCCTAATAATATTGCTGTCCTGCGCCGGATTAGAACCAACGCCTAGCAACAACAATCCCGCAAGGCTATACTTGTGCCGCGTTGGAAACCAAGTGACCCGTGACAGGCTGCAAGGTTTGCTGTGGACCCATAATAACTTTTGAAGCGGCGTACGCTTTCACCACTCCGAACATTCACAACGTGCATGCAATTAGTGGCCGGTTCTTCCAACGTTTGTGATGCACGGTGAGCGAGTCCGTTAGTGCTATCTGGACCTCTTTTCACACATGTTGATATATGTATCGTGGACATACACTGGGTGTGTCCGAGTATGAATGACATCAAGGGGAAGCTTGCCCGTCTGCATGGCTCGATCATGATGCCTCGTCCGAGTCGTTCCCCTAATTCACTGCTGAAATGAAGAAGCCGGGTTTCGGCCTTAGACTCTTCGGAGTGCTCCACAGCAGATGTGCACACGCAAGATTCCGAGCCGGAGGTGCAAATAGTTTCTTCTCTCGCCGTCACCTAATATAATTTTATTATAGGGCGTAACCCCTGAACGTGTGTGATAATGGTGCTGTTCCAGCAGGTAGCCCGCAGCAGTTCTTGCTGTAAGTTTCATCATGAAATCGGCAGACACTCTGATACCTAAAAATTTCCTAGCACGCCCCGTGGCTCGCACTTGCCTACAACGTTCAGGTCGCTGCCTCGTGCCCTACCATGAGTGCCACAGTATCGCCTCGCCTGCATTCCGCTCTTCCGAGTCTCACTTTCCCTGCACATCTGATCACCTGCATTATAGTGCATTACAGCCGACATAATTGAAATGGACGTCCCGTTGCTAGGCCACGAAAGGATCACCTCCCCGAAGTTCCTCCGTCCGTTCATTCTCCTCTCTCCTGATAAGCCCGATTTTGTGGGCGGGCGCACGTATATTGCAAGACTCACGATTCAGATCATTCTTTTTTCCCTATATTTATCAGAGATAGCGACGTCATAACCCGAAGCCAATCGCGTTCTGGTTAGTGTGTTTTTTCTGCCTAAGGAATTTCCCATCGTCTGGCTTTGGGTGGAGAGTTGCTGCGGCGATGGGCAAATGAATTGGAGGGTGTCACTAACCGTCTATCCCATCTTTGCGACTTCATCAAGTATCGACGACGATCTCCACTCCGCTTCCTCGCAACCTTGTCCTTCCGCTATACTCATTCCTAGGATATTTTCATTGGAATCTTACTCCACTTCCCCACTCCCTCTTCCACGATCTCATTTCCCAGCTCCTCCCTCGGATATCTTTGATATCTCGCTTCATAAATGGAGTGTATGTAAGAGTCCAGACTCTCGCCTAGCCGAGAGACCCCATTACTCGCCTCGCGGCCGTGCTTAATGAGTGGCATGCGTTGTACGTTCAACGCATGTACACTCATGCCCGTATGCTCGGGGGTAGACGGGGGAAGAGGGGAAGTGAGAAATAAGCGTTGACTTGGTGACAAGCCGATTCAACGATACAGTACGTGATGTACAGGAGATATCTCACGTTGGTGTATAACGGGACTCGCACTATACATGAAGCGTAGCTTCTTTTTTTTTTTTCCAGTGCTGGTGGATACGGCAACTCGCCCTTCCGCCGACGTTTCAACTACAACAGCAGAGAATGTTGGTATTGGTATAGGTTATGTAAAGGGTTGTCAGTCCGATATGAAGCCTTTCATGGATGCGTTCACAATTCGCAGATCCCTTGTCAACGTATAAGGTGAACTTCTGGGGCACTGAACTAACGTGACTGAGCTCATCTTGCATGCGCTTCGAATGTGTTGTATCAACTTCTAGCTTCCCTCCTTGATGTAGGTCTCACGGAGTGTGAAATCGAGTGATATGACGATTATCTGGATGTATCGTGATGATTCTCTTCCGTGCATGCGAAACGGACATGAGAAAAACACAGCACGCATGCACAGCTAAGTCAAGATTTGAGTATACGAAATTTTTGAGCACCCTCGCTCCATTCCATATCCAAGTATGTCTAATTCGCCCCAAGAGTTGGAGTAACCCGCGCGCGCGCTTGGTGCGTTTATGCCAAGCCTGGCAAGATGGGCCCGTCAGAACGTCTCACTGGGCGCTGAACGTTCGAACTCTCAGGGATCCCATGGTTTTATATAACGCTTTTTAATATCGTTAAACTATCCGTGCAGGGGCGTGTGGTTAGAGTGCCTGTTAGTTGTCAGTCCCGTCATTAAGATATCGCAATTGAATGGACGATAACAGTACTGTGATTCTGGTGTTGGTGCTCGTGTCAGATCCGGGGGGGGCCATCACGAGAAGGTATCTGTACGGTACTCGGCTTGTCACTCATCCAAATTTGTAGACATCCTAGTCCCACGATTTTGATGTCAAGCTGAGCACATACGCCAAGTCATGCTAGTCATGCATGGATTGCGAGAGACTGAAGCTTATGCTGGCAGTTGGAGCGATGACTGCCGGTGAGTTCAAAGTTTGCACTTGACTTATCCATACCTGCCGTCCACGTTGGCGAACCTGACATTTCACTCACCCGATGCCATAACCTTCAAGGCCTGGCGTTCCTGCTTTGTTCATAAAGAGAACAGTGTGGTTTCCAGGAGTCAGTTGACAGTATGCACAACTGGTTCGGGAGCTATGTATTGCAATAATAATGTCCGTTAAGTGCTAGGGGTTGTTTTTCCTCTTAACCAAATACTCCCGACTGATGGCGTACGTTCACCTACGTTCTCTGACATTCGAATTCGCGTTTTCCATCATGGCATCATCATAACACTGCAGTCGTTCCCATGGTACGGGCGCCTCCGTCAGTCTTCTGACTCCTCTCCTTGCCCCATTCAATGCGCCACTGGGGGAGAATTCTAATGGTTCCGTGCGCTGCTATGTTATATTTTGCTAGATTTGTCTTTCTGTTTTTTATTACTCCCACTGGGAAGGTTTGCGCCGCATTTTCGTGCTCCGTCTCACATCAAGTTCGCAGAGAATGGAGAAACTGATGACAGTTCTGATACTTTGGTAGGTCCGTCGGATCTCTTCGCGGGAGGGGGGTATTCAGTGACGATTGCGTCCGGTTCAAACGTCCCCTCCCCCTTAGCACCGCCATCCGATCTCTTGTGCTGCCTAGAAGTTAGCCGACTCGAACGGATGCCAGGAAGGCATGAGTATCAGCGATTCGGTCGTGACGATACCAGACTAAATACAGATCATACATCATGCGTCAATGAGCGATGTGATCGTATTTATGTAGATCATTTTTATGGACCTGGCCGAGGGTACATCCGTCTGATCTCCACCCGATACCCACGCAAAAGGCGGGAATCCCCTTCGTCGCTTGCTCGCACACGTACACGTGCGCGCCGGGATGTCCAGTGACCGGCCTACACGATATGCTCGGCTACCGAGAGAGAGAGAGATAGAGAGATAGACAGTTAATGAAATAAGTGGAGCGATTTTGATATGAACGAACCCCTGAAGTTGGCCTGTGGTGATGCCTGCACCGTGGCGCCTCTTCGTGTGTTATGATGTCGATACAGGCTGATATGATGTGATGGTTATCGGTATTCTGGAGGAATCGGTGACAGGGCGTTGCGGTAGCTACGGAAATTCCTTTTCGCTACTTATCCTTATCGCAGGAGGATGGTGATGCCAACTACATGAGAGTTATATTATTTTACACTTGTCGTTTTTGAGTTTGACTTATTAGCAGCCTAGGAATTCGATCCTTGAGTAGGTGGATTTCCGGTTGGAGAGTGCGTTAAACCTGATGTATAAAGAGTTTGCTTATCGCATGATCCGTACAGCTTGGACAGCACGTTGCCCTCTCACGCAAGCTAGGCCCAAACACGATGTTTAGTTGAAGACCTAGACACCAGGACCCTTGATGGAACCACACACCCACTATCATGACGTTATGCACGACCTTTCCGGGGGGGTGTGTAGTGACCCACCGGGGGCTCTATCTCCTAGACCAGCGCTACATACTGCCTCATGACAAACTGGAGATATGTAAACCCATCATACTGTGCTGCGGTCATGATTTAGGGGGTCCTTGGGTGCCACCAAGGGTACTTAATATTCGGGATATACATATCTGGGCTGGCCGGCGGGAATCGGGGGTTCAGAGAAAGCGAAAAAGAAGTGCCTTCGCAATCGTCCGTCTTCTCCCTCAACCCACCGGCGGAGTGCCGAGTGTCATGGGTCCGTTTGTTCAACCAGCTTGGGAACTGGACAGTGAACGCTGCGGGAAATGACACTCCAGGGAACTGGATAAGACAATGAGCGTGGGTGTACTGACACGTCATCGCCGTGCAAGTAGTCGACATCCTAGGAAAACGGACTCCCAGAAAGCGCTTGCCTGAACAGCTGTCAGTCTATAATTCACCACCCTTCAGTTCACCTACCATCAGATCTGGACGTTTCGTGGGGTCGATGTGACCATATGCACGATGCCGTGAACCTTCCAAGGTCCACTTCCTCAGGCTTCAGGTTTCAGCCCTTAATGGAAAGAAAAAAGTCCAGCTTCCCCTGAGTGTCTCGAAGATCCTTCTTCTGTGCTCTATCATCAATTCAGTTAAACACGAGTTGTTACTGCGCGTGACTGGCTTCGGTCGCCATATCGAAGTCAACCCAGTCACGGGTAGTCACAACAATACTTCGACGTCCGCAGCACTCGTCATTGTACGTACTGATGATGTAGTATGGTGGATTGGGTGACTGCGTATTCGCATTACCCCTAAGCGCTGACTGGCTGTGGACGACACACGGCATTCACACGTCTCTCTACGGTGACATGCACACAACCCGGTGAATTTCTGAGGTCCTCAGTGGGTTCTTAACAATTCGTTGTCTGCCATTTCACCCTGCGCCACTACATGTCAACAACAAGGGCTGAGCATTAATTGTGATAGTATATCGTGCGTCCACGCCACCGAAGGATCGTGGTCGTTGGCAGCGGGGAACTTTGGGTCGCAGACGCGGACTACACGTCTAACCCCAGTAGGGTGAAATAGCTTCGCCTTGAGAGACCCCCCTGAGGGCCTGCGCCAGGCAGGTATCCATCATACTGCCTCGGGCTCCCACAGAGAACGTGTGAGTTAATGGAGAGTTTCCTGCCTTTCCATGAGCGTTTTGACTTTGAGTTCAAACTTTCTGCAATCCGTGGAGAGGGATGATAAGAAAATGACAGATCGGCACACTAGGTGGAAGGGTGTCCTGTACATCATCGTGATTGATGAGGAAATATATAATAACGACACCGGGAGGATGTTGAAACTTGACATCATGCCGGCCCTCCATGCCATTTCGCCATGCTGTGTAACATATGCCATCTCGAACGCTCGAGTAACAGCTGCTATTGAATTCCTCCGTCTGGATCCTCGGATTGGTAGCTCATTCCCAACTCGGTGACAGGACGGCGATTCTACAGCAGCAGTCTGATGTGTATGTGTATGTTATGCCCCCAAAGTTTCGAGGGAAGTTTGGGACCTACTATAAGGCAGTGCGGAATGCTATCACTACGTACACTGTGGGTGCTGTGGTTTCCGATCTCAGGGCTGCCGCTGGGAATTACGCATGGATTATTGGCATGCACTGGTTGCGTAGTCTCCCGAAGTCTGTTTGGGTTAGATAGTAGTGCTGCTCACTCCCAGGCTTGAACTCAAGTCGCCGCAAGTTGCAAGTGATCAAATACGCTCTCATTCGATAAATGCTAGTAGAGAGGTATGGAGAGCAGACGTCTATCTATAAAGGCAAATACCATCGTAAAAAGGTATAGAGAAGAGAAAGAGGACAAGGAGGAATGGAGCCCTACTCTATGAGTATATGCATGTATATACACGATGATTGCGGTGGTGCATGTGACGTGTCAGACAGAGAAATGAGAGATACGAGCGGATAAAAAGAGGGAATTCCAATGTGATGAGAAGTAAACGGGGGCTTATATGAGGAAACGAGTGGAGTGATTGCAAAGAGAAAAAAGTAAAAGTAAACGATCGTGAGTTTCCCCGATGGCCGAGTAAACGTTAAAGAGGGAGTGGCAAGAAGCTTTCTGCGTGCGAGCGAATAGAGGTACAAGGGAGATATGCGATAGAAGAATGTCCCTTTTGGTTGAGCGGCGGCAATAATGAACAAACAACATCAATGACTTATATCTTTTGATACTTGATAACGGTGGAGGGGGGATATGCACGGCGATCTTGCGGGGGAGTGGGAACAGCAAAAACACGAAGCACGGACGTCATGCGCGGGGAGCAGTAACGCGACCACGGATACCACCCCGTCGCTTGGGAGCCATAAAGAGGACAGATGAACCCGTGCTCGACGTTGAACCGGCAGGTGAGGGCGAGCGAGCGCAGTAAACGATCTCTTCTTCTACATAAGACGCCTCGTGCTTCGTCCGGTAGGCCGGGTGGTATTGTGAGTCGGGTGCAATGAAGATGTCACCGTCTTCGTCCCAATCGACGTCGAACGAGCGACAGGAGGGGAATATGACGGGGGTTGGCGTGTGGGTCTCGGTTGGGGTAGAAGTCCAGCCACCAACGCGTGTAGGCTTTTTTGCGGGAGGTTTGCGGTTCACGAAGACTGCGGGGCGTGGGGAAGGGGTTTTTTTCGGCTTAAATTCAGACGAAGAGGTGCCCTTCTCAAGGGGAGGGAGGGAATAATAATAACTGTTCTTCACAGCGCCTTCGCGTGGGGCAGTTGATCGGGTGCGGTCGCGATGGGCCCAAGGGGGAACGAAAGCACTGATACCAGTACCGAAACGGCACTCCTCGGCAGGAGTGACAACCATGGGCTCAGAGAGAAGGGAAGTGAGCGAAGTGCTGGCTTCGCTAGGGGTGGTAGACTTTGCCTGAGAGTATGTGCGAGAGCTGGCGGGGGTGTGAAATGCACGGACTTGAGTTGGAGAGGACACCGAGAGGGTGGGGCGTGGAGTTGCGCCTGCCATGCGTTTAATGAGTTCGGGTTGGTGTTGAGGGAGTGGTTTGGGCGAGCGAACGCTGATGAGGGATGTCGAGGTGCCATCCTGCGAGGGGTGGGCAGGAGCACCTGCAGGATCATGAGGAGGGATGGTTTGCAGCCACTCGCGGATGCGACAGGCAGCAGAGGCAGCGGGAGGCGTTGCCATGATGCGAGAGGATGAAGATGGCTCAGCAAAGGAAAGGCACTCTGCAGAGCAGTATGGGCCCTTCGCGGTGAGGGGATCCTAAAGAGAACGTCGTGTCAGGGTGGATATGAGGGCCAGCGGGGAGAAGGGGGACATACGATTCTGCAGCTGCAGGACAAGCACCAGTCGACGTCCATCGTAGTCAGCTTGTGAGGTTGTCGTTGTTGTTGTTGTCGTCGTCGTCGTCGTCGGTACAGAGGGTGATGAGGAGACGAAGCTTATGTGTCGGATGAAAATGTGTCGAGGCAGGGATTTCCACCTGAGACTGTCTTCGCAGGCATTCTTTTAATATACGGATATCCACTCCCTTCCCAGATCTCAGATCGCCTATTTCTTTATTTATTTCCTTTTCATTATGTCGTGGGATTTAGTTATTTATTTATTTTCGTCGCTTTATTTTGGTTTTTTTGACTTGGTCATGAGTCGGGCTATCCCCATTTGGACCCACCTGTCCGATAAGCATACCTTCGGGCGCCGACTCGTCTCTCTCTCTCGCATCGAGGGATCGTATACGGGGTTATTCCGCTCTAGCTCTCTGGTTCTCTCTATACAAGAAGCACGATATCAAGCAGCAGATTCAAATGCATCCAGATTGGGGGGATGCCATCACAGGAACGCCAGTCTCAACAACACACACAAACAGTGTACCCGGCACCGCTTGGGCGTCATCCTGACATCCGTGCACCCTTCGAGATTCCATCTTGGCAGGAACCCCAGGATCACCCCGACTGACCTCACTCTCTCACCACCTTGTATTTTTTTTGTCTTGTAATTTTTTTTTTCTTTGCCCCTCACACCGTGTCACAACCTCCTCTCCCATCTTTTGTTCTCACTCGTTTACCAGGTTGCGTCTCATTACTTCACGTTACTTTACACATGGCTCGCGCTGAGTGTTGTCGTTGTCAACGCAGTCACTCCGACACAGCGACCTATTGTCCTCCCCGTACTTCCACGAAAGGAAGATCTTCCTGCCTTGGGGGGGGCTTTCCATATACAGCAATCCGGCTGACCACCTTCTACTGCGACCCGCCACATATTCCTGTGGAGCACGTTAACACGCTATGCAACCTCAGCCCTCCCCCTCTTTCTTCGCGTCACGCCATTCGCCTGGACACACCATAGGTATTTCATGGCGCCCTTCTCCCCGCGCAGCTTTCAGCATGGCACGACATCCCATCCATATCCCAGTGCCCCGTATTTATGACCCTCCCTGTCAAGTACTGCATAAGAATTGTCTTTTTTTTCTCTAAGAAGAGGAGGCAATAAAATTCGGATGCGCACTGTGACACACAAGGTTCAGAGGCGCCACTCATCACCTCTCTGTTCCAGCTGCTGTTCCTTACCAAGCTATTTCGGTACTGAAAGTTTGCCTCTGAAGAACATATTTATCCTATTTCGTATCAAACCTTGCCACGACTAACTTTCTCCTTTCTCCCCCACCTCAATTTGACATCACATCGCGTACCCTCGCGATAACTCCACTTTTCTCCTTAGTAGGTGTAGCCTATCTGAGCCATGTAAACAGTGGAGAGGGATAGACACCTGATCGTTTTTCCTTCCCCCCCCCGTCACGTGTCAAGATAGCCACGTACGATCGACGTAAAACAGGGGAGATAGCGAGTGATGCGAAATATTAGTTGTTTGACAGTTTCTGTATATTTTCTCCGCATTTCATCTAGCAAGATTTGGAAAGAGATCGGCATGACCAAGTCGCTGCTTGGAGTATGGACCCAGTGACCTGATGCCAATAATGCTACCGACAAGCTTTGCTGACATGCTACTAGTATAGTACGTACTTAGGCGCACCGCTGATTCAGCCTTGGACTCGTCGGCGCATGGTATCATACCATTTCTCGATCGCTTCACTGCGTTATCTCCAGCTCGTCGCCGATCTCCGCCAAAGTTCTGACCTATAATGCATTGCATGATCGTCCCCAGTCATGCCTCAATAAGAACACTTCATCATTGTCACCTCGATCGAGTTAGCCACTCTTCGTGATTCAAACTGGCGAGCGCTGAGCGCTGATCCATATGGATGGGTTAAAGCCATTCGGCCGAGTGCACTTCGCATCTGCGGAACCGCTCAGATTAGCAAAGGCGTTCCTTTCTCCGACGTGAGGGCTGTGGACAAGTTCTCGTCAGATCGGTGTTTTACTGCGTCGGTTACTCGCGCTCGAATCCGAGTGATGGCGGCTCCGAGCCACTTCCTAGCTCCTTCCGTCTAAATTTTACTTTTTACTCTACCCTTGCCTCAGGCACTTCAGCTTATGCTACACAAAGGTTGTCTGACATATGTCGATTCCGCGGGAAAAACGCAAAAAATGAAAACAAATTTTTGTTCGTGGTGTGCACGGCCACAATTTTGTGGTTCCGCGGTTAGGAACTTCGGAGTTAGTGGCCTTTATCTGCGAGTCAGACAACGTACGTCACGCTACCTGCTCCTGAGTGGTAGCTCAATTCTTATAAGTAAGGACTCGGAGGCGAGTTGAACGTTGAGCAACGGTGGCTGTATGTGTATGTATGTCAGATGACGTTTGCTTGACTCACCTCCAATTGTATCATAGTGCCTGGGTCGCAGTCATGACCGGCAAACAGCAGCCCGCGGTGGCAACCAACCTTGGAGATCCCTTGTGATGAGAACCTGTTTCAGTCGAAGAGGATTGAGGTACCGCGGAGTGGGGTGACAACGCAGTCAAGTTGGCTGTCGCTACGAGTGCACTTACCAACCCCTACCCCAACCCCCCCGTCTCTCCCTCGCTTCGTGTCATTGGGAGGGACTTGTTGATGTCCAAATGGCTCCCTTCTCGCTGACTGTGGTCGATGTGTTACAGCGCAAGGCATTCCTTCTGGCACTGTGTCATCGCTCTGTATCATAACCTGCACAGCCATGGCGTTCACTTGTAGTAAGCAGCTGACAGTGGGGTCACTGTTAATAATCTGTTACTACACACGTGCAACGATCACTTTGGAACGTTGACGTATTTTCGACGACATATTCGATCACACTCTATCACACTCCGAGGACCAGGGCAATTCTGATAGACTCGTTATTTATTAGACTTGTCAAAATCCGTCAGCAGCCCAATGGTTCGTGTCATGGGAACTGATGCGGACAAGGTATGTGGCCGATGCCGCAAGCATGCGTGATCGATGATCCGCGGACTGACAGAGACAAGCGATCAGGTGAACTTCTACAAGTCAATGGCGAGTATCTATCATCCGGGTCTCGTTAGATACGCAGGTCCCTTACTCATCAGCGCTCACTACATTCGCTATATGGATGACCCAGCTATCAAGCCGTTACTCTAAAAAGTTTTTCCCGGCTCATCGATCAATGGAAATAGAGATCAGAAAGAGATTCAGATGGGCTTACTCAGGCCTCAGGATTGTACACAGAAATGAGTACCACACAAGTATTGCGATATCCATGGTGCGATGATCCGATTACCTTTCAGAACACCGACCTCCTGGCCACGTGTATCTGACCCCATGCAGCGTGGAGATGCGGTATTATGATGGGCCGATGCACACACGGATTCCTGCGTACCCTAATCGTTCTTCCAAATCATAATCGCCACGTTCCCTTCCTTGCCAACAGAAACTTCTCCGGTCATACAGCACTCCGGGTCGTTTCATCACGTCAGTGACCAGATAGTTGGGCCATATGATGAGCCCAGACTCGGAGTCGATCCGTTATATACGCTCTTCCACTTCTTCTCCGAGAACAACACTCCAACGAGCTGCGCAACTTTCCAACACGGACCGCTCCGTCATGGCAAGAAGAAGCGCGCTTCGCGTGCGCCACATCCACGTTGGTGTATCCTATGTGATCGGAACAATAAGTCAGCCAAGTCGTTCTCTCGGTTCGGAGGTGAAATATGTGAAATGTGGGGGAGAATAGTCAGTGAACGTAAGTGAGTTAGCAACGACTGAATGCCATCGATGAGACGAAATCAATACTTTTCTGTTTATACGTATAGAGAAGTTAGCAAATGGAGGTGTGCATGTGAAATAGCTTCCCAAAGACAGTGTGATTGTAGTCACCGCGAAAAGTCGGGCGCCCAATGCACCGCTCATCCAACGTTGCGTGAACGCCAAAAGAAAGTTAGACGATCGTGCCCCCTAGCCACCTTCCGATTCTGGCGGACAATGGCGAACGGGAGCACCATCGCTTCCCATGTCATTCAGAATGCTATGGCTAGCACTCCATATTGGGAGAACAATGGCCTTGAGAGGTATTCCCCTGACACTCGCGCAGTAATCGCAGCAGAGAGTAGGTTCACGTACGCTAATTTCTCTCGTAATGGCCGACACTTACTGAGGCAGTGGGACTTACAGTGACGAACGCGGAACGAGTCAAATAGGAGAGGACATGACGGCAGTGTGCGAGTCAGAAAATTGAAAAGGATAAAGAATAAAGAAGCAAGGGAAATTTTCTGACAAGAAAATGCCGTCGTTCAATTCATTCCGCAGGAGTCATATATAAGAATGACAAGGATAAGGATCCATCTAACCAAAATGCAAGATTAAACGGGTTCAAGAAGATTCGGTTGCAAGGGGAACAAGGGGCAAATATGAAAGCTTCGAAGGCAGGGTATAGGTATCGGGTATGATTCGGCCAGCCTCACGGCCCCTTTGTTCGCACCTCCTGATTAGAATAAGGCAGAAAAACGGATAGATGGACTATGTGGGTAGGGTTGCCAACAGCAGCAGTGGCAAGAGCCGCGACGGCGATCACCTTGCTCAGTTGCCGCAATACCATTCCCACACACCCTACCCGAGTCAACTGCGGCTCAACCCGTGTTGCCGTGGGCCGTAAATGAAAAGGAAAGGGATAACCTTTTACTGGCGCGCGGCCAAACACGAACGACCGCCGCGCTGCAGTTGATCAGGAAAACCATAAAAGGAAGCCTGGCATTACAGGCTTTCAATGACCAAAGGGGTACATCCGAATGAATGAACGGACGGGATATCGCGACACCAGAGGAAAGGATTGGGACGTCCATGTCATTCACCGCATGTATAGAAGGATGGTCTCTTCCCCCCTATGCAGCAAGTCTATCAAGATTCGAGAAGAAATCCACTCATTCTCCCAAATGCAGACACGAAAGAATATGACAGTGAGAAAGGAAAAGGAACGCGGGAAGTAAAGCCAGCGTGTTGGTGGGCGGCCCTAGTAGCACCCTCCTCTACTCCGTCCTTCATGAAACCCGTGGACCCTCGCCGCGGTATGGAATATTCCACCCGCGGTACATGAAAAAGGCCAGACTACCCGAAAGAAACAGAAGCACAATGCCAAGAGGACGCAGAAAACATTTGACCCGGGATCAAAGTCCCGGTCGTCACGCTGGCCCTCCCGCGACGACGGGTCCAGACTGAAGAAGCAACGAGATGATTTCGCAAGAAAAAATAGCAGGTCATATACCAAACAAAGGTCAGCAGTGGAATCGCAGCGATGGCGCAAGATAGAAGATATATTGAATAACGATAAAAAACAGCACCGTCAACGGGGCGCGAGGAAATGGCCACTTACATCAAGGATATCCCCGAGTTCTGCAGCGCTGGCTCCAACGCCGCGCTGTCCCCTCTTTACCATTGGAGGATTATATCGCCTATGGCATAGATGGACCACCACGTGTGCGAGGCTGAGTGCCATGCGATGATCTTCGGCCGCCTCACATTTTCCCAAGTTCATTGAGGTGCTCTCGTCCCTGGGTATCCGGAGAGCTGGAGAATCCTCAGAGTCTACCAACGTGTCAGCGGTTTCCATTGAGGCATAACAGTTCCCTGGATGGTCAGGGTCATCTTCTGCATCAGACGAGTCGGCGTATGCACTAAGAAGGTCGTTCAGTCCCTGAGGGCGTTTACTTGACCTTTCATCCCCGCGGAACCTGGGCACTGGGTTCTGCGCCCTTGTCGCGGTACTCCCTTCCGACGGGTCAGGTTGGAGGTCTGTGCCTCTCACAGATTTTCCACATGAGAAGACCAATACTGAGGATGCTATGACAAGAATACGGGTCAATAAGCATCACGTTTGAAAGATGACGTGTAATGAACACGAACCCGAGCTTGTTCGCATGCCCCAGCCTGCGTCTGTGATAGCGGCAGCGGGCAGTGATGATGTTATTGATAAATCGTTTGAGCGGCGGGCTGCCTCGCCGAATAGGTGCATCGGAGGGATCTTTTTACGTAAGCAGGGCTTTGGTTCGTCTTCGTTCTTTGCTTGAACGTAACGACTAACATCCATTGATAGCCTCGTACTGTCGGCATCGTGGGCATCATGACTAGGCTTGTCACCTAATGGGTCTGCACGAAAGAAGTAAGAACCAGTCGGCGAGGAGTCGCCGTTATCTCCCACTTGCTCTTCCTCATCTAAATCTCCTTCAAGCTTGCGGCAAAGGTACTCGGTGTATCTCTGCACTCGGACTAGCCTTCGTTTCAAGTCATCGAGTGCGCACAAATCTTCACATTTTCCGGCCTCGACTTTTTCCAGGAGGTTTAGGAAGCCAGCATCGAGGGCAGACAGGCTAGAGAAGATGGCAACCAGGGTGCAGAACAACCAAAGGAGGTGTGACAGTTTTCCATCCGCGTTCACGAGAAGATCGTGAGCTAAATGGAGCTCTCCGCCGCCATCAGAAATCCCGAATGTAACCTGCCGCGTTGTACCTGGGTTGCAGACGAATCCGTCATCGCGTTCGTCCCAAGCGGCGTCCGTACGCCAAACACGTGCGAGGCAAGAAAATAAGCGGATAAACCGTTCAACAATGTCGTGACCCTCTTCACGCTTCTTCACGAACCCTTCGGGTGCCGAGTGACCTTCCAGTGCCTCATCGCTACTGAAAGGGTCGGGCATCGAGGAGCGATGGTCACCATTAGTGATGTCGTGATCAACACCCGTCGTGCCTGGCTCCATGTCGTTAAGACTGTCATCGTGCACGCCACCGATAAAATTGATGCGATCCGCCGCGTTCCTGGCAAAATGGCTTCCGGCGGTGATCCTGGGTCCCACGGCAGCATGACCCTCGTTGGTGAGGGTAGTTGTTGACCCAAACTCCTTCACACGCAACAACGCGTTTACCGAGAGCGACAGTGGTTCAAATACCAACTTGACGGCATCAAACTCATTTTCTGGCAACATGAAACCGTAGCGAGTGAGAAGGGTCGCGTTCGATAACGAGCCGTACGTGTTGAACACTTCGCTGTGAGGGGGAACCGATCGAATTGTGCACATCTCGAGATAGTCGATTTCATCGCCTTGCGGGGGCATGCTTGTTGCAGAGTGTGGTACGCGGGCAGCCAGCCCGTCCTCTCCATCACGATCATGTTTGCACTCGACAAAAGACCCGCATTCCACGCAAACACCGAAGTTACTCTGCGAACCATCAGTTAGCAATCTGCGATCTCAGGCTCAAGTATGGGATGAATGCGCCAAGGATCGCACTGATAACGGGAATCTGGTGTGGCGGAACACTCCATTCAAATCATTCCCTTCTCCTTGACCCCCGCTTCATAACCCAAAAAATGGGGCACTGAGGTTCATATCCCCGTAGATTCAAATTACCAAGTGAAATTAAGAAAGAAAGAGCCAAAGGTAGGGACCTACATACCTCCATATGTACATGGTTTTCATTTACGTGGTTGAACCTAGAAGTTTTAGTGGCGACACGTCAATGACTGTCCATGGATAAAGGGCTACACAAGTGGGAGAATGCATTATAAAAAAAGATCCAAGTGAACCATATGGTACAGCCATTATAGTACGATCAAGAGAACATCGTTTTTGCATTAGCAACTAGACACAGAAAGCGAATTGCAAACAGTGGAGCCAAAGCGAATAAGGGATAGAAAAGGAGTAACATCTAACTTCCACCTGCCGGTTTGCACGGAAAGAGGACAGTAGATTTAGTCAATAGATATCTATGCCGGCGGCGAGAGTAATAGTATGCCCGGCACCGCTAGAAAAGGGCAATGGTGCAGGCTTAACCTAGGTAAGAAAGGCTGCAGATGGTACCGCCGGCGACCAGAACCCCAACAAGAAAGTAGTACAAAGGCTAGACACGATATGATGATCGTGCTACTGATTTGGGACCACTACTAACGGAGAAAAGCGTTAACGACAGATGTGACCACTTACACATCAGCAATTGGAACCATGGATAGCCCGTGGAATGCATCCACCCAAAATGCACGAGATAACACGAGGGAGTAGGCATGACAAAAACCCGGCAGCGACATTTCCATTTCCTTGAATCCCGGGTCGACCTTTGCACTGGGTTCCTCGCTAGGTAATGTGCTTGCCGATTTCGCTTGCTTTGGGTTGCTAACTGCGCGCAACGTGGGCACCACGACGTCTGCATAATATTGTTGTATCTCGTGCTGAAATGAAGTTACAAATCAGTAAGGTGGGCTCCATGCGCGAATGAGATATGACAAGCCGTTCCAAGCACCAGAACCTCTGCGAATGCATCTACTGCGTAGTGGCGAGATAGGTCAAGCGAAGATAAAGCTCAAAGAAGCCGATTTATGTCAGAAACCACAAATGTTTAAAACTCCAGAAGGTCAGATAAGGCATCCAAAACCTGCACAGAAGCCAGCGGGAGGAAGGTAAGCGAGCTGGTGTGTCCTGCCATGTCCTTGCTGGCATGGAGCACAAGGCGAATATTATTGTGAAGACGGAGACAACTCATGGCACTGGACCATCTGGCGGCAATTTCCCACCCCGGGTATCGGGACAAACGAAAAGGGTCCGACCAGATAGTGACACCTCGAAGTCAATGTCTCGCATACACCCGTGCCACAATGCTGGTGAGGGCCGAAGAATCTGCGCATCACTGATCGCATGCTAAGCAGCTGCCAAGCAGTCACAAAGCATGGAACGTGTTCATCCAACCATGCAGCGTGGGTATCGCAACACGTTGCATCCTGACCTAGGGTGCAGGGTGACGACTTGGAGCTATCCAGCCGTGTACACAGCACCCAGGGGGACACAGGATTGTTGAAGGCACGTAGGCCTGAGGTCATTAATGGATCGACTTCTCCCAAGCACACAACGAAATGCATAAGAAACAGGTTTCAAGGTCACAGAATCAAAAGGTATAAAAATATAAAAATGAAATCACAATTTCAAAAGAGCTTCGCCATCCGTGGGAGCTCTGCTTGATGTTTGCACCGAAAAAGAAGAAGAGATAAGGATATGCGAATCGATTCGCTCACCAGTAAGTCATTCAACTCCCAAACGGCTTCCGTAGCTTGCAACCAAGCCATTGCATTTCGTCCGTCGTACAATCGCTTGCATGAAGCACATGCGCTACCCTGACCAGCGTTGCACGTTGCATGGCTTGCACGCTCAAAATCCTCGTTTGCAGTTGACTTTGCCACAGGATCGCCCCAGAACACGGCGATGTCTACAGTCTCACGAGGCAAGCTCTGGACGTATCCGTACCACCGCGACTCAGGGCCCCTCAAGCTACGAGATCCCAAAAGGGCATTGAATTGTAACACCAGAGTGAGGCACGCCGTAGGGGAAGGAACCCCGATTCACAGACGGAAAGGGTCAAGTCGAATGAGGTGATGCATCACACGTCCCGAACGTAGACAGGTTCGCACGTTCATGAAATCGGAAAATGGGGATCGGGATTTTCGCACAGGGAAGTCGTGAGAGTGGAAGAAAGAAAAAAACAAGCCACGTCGTCAAAACGATTGATGAAACCAAAGACAAAATGCATCCAGAAAAAAAAAGTTGAATCGGCAGCCAGTGTCATCGCGGAGTAAAACACTTACAGCTCACCGTACAGAGCAAGAGCCAGCGAAAGGTGAGCGCCGTGGCCGTAAGGAACCGGTTCTATTCGTGAGGAGAGGAAGGAGGACCTAACGGATAATACGGCAGTTTTTGGAATGTAAACCACTGATCAAAAATGAACGTTTAGCATCAGAGTAAATTCGACATCGCTGAAGAAGATCTGAATATAGCGTGTGCACAGTATTGGCAAAAGGGATGTATCCACAGACAGGCAGCCACGTAACCGAAATCACAAAATGCGAACTCACAGGTACATGGCGAGTGAATGCACTGGTCGCGTGAGTGGATGTCTAGACCGCGAGCACACGACCGTCCGCAGTTTGAAGAGTTCTCTTCCACGTCGAAGCGCGAACTCCCGGTGAGATGGCCCGGTTCAATGTCATTGTCGACGACCCGGATTCTTGGATCGATTATGATGCCATTGCCGTCGCACCATGCGAGGAGTGTGGGTACCCTGTCGCCTGGCATCCAGACAAGGGCACTATGCTTAGTAGTTGTGCCTTCGCAGCGGGAGTGAGCCGGTGTTCGACTGGCAATTCAATTCGATGTTCCATTCAGTCGACTTCCTGACCAGCGTGGTGGCGTCGACATCCGAGGCATTTCAAATCACGGATAACTACAAAACAGGACTTATCCGAGACTTAGCAACTAACAAAAATAATGCAAGGCTACTCTTTCTTGTCTTTCGGGCTAGCATCCATTGGTGCCGATTGCTTCTCCTTCTCAGCCTTCTCCGCCGATGCGAGTTCATTTAGTTCAAGCCGACGGGCGTATTCTTGTCCACCCTGATGAAAACACATGCGTGAGTGAGCAGCGAACCGAATTGGAGGAGGTGGCAAGAAGAAAACGGGGGGAGATGGCAACCACTCTTTCACCCGCTTCGAAATTGAACTTACCTGCAACACCAAAACTGCACCGAGGATCACCATCATAATAGTGTTACCAGCAGCCAAAATTTTCATTGCCTCGATCCTCTCTGCCCGCGTGTTCGCTTCGGCAGGGGTCACGATAGTGCGCAACGATGGAATCGTCACAGAAAGGTAAACCGCAACTGCAAAAACATACGCAGCTAGTTTCGCGGTGATGAGCTGGCAGCGCACGACCTAGCCCACACAACACGTCTCACCGAGGCTTGAGCCGTCGAACAGGACAGCGCTATCATTCCAAGCATGCAACTTCGCAACGAGGCCAAGAATTCCAACGCCTATGAAGCCATGCAAGAGAGCCTATGGAAACATGAGAAGTCCCGACGAGAAGATGGGTCGCACGAGCACAACACATACTTTGATTGCAGGCGGAGCATTGAAGAAGGTGGCGTAGAACTGGAAGCCATCTTCGATGATGTCGTCGGTCAATGGCTGGTGCAAGATCCGGTAGTCGACGAAGAAGCAAATGAAAAGTACACCTGATTCAAGTCGGCCGACACATGAGTTATATGTGCGCCATCAAGAATCGCGTACCAACTCACCCAGGAAGAAGGAGCAGGAGGCCAGTACTGCGCCCTGTCTAAAACCCATAATCGTACCGTTGTAAGGGTGGTAGTCGTTGGACACTGAAGCGCTCCTTCACTATCCGATTAAGATGGGTGTGCAAGTGATAGGTGGCGTGTATTTGGGAAGACGTCAAAACCAGGCACCGCCGACAGGCGTTCTTGGCCATTTACTTCCGTAGTCCTCCACATTACAATTGACGCGTGCTACGGTGCTCGCATTGATTTCAGCTCAGTCGTACCTAAGCACCATAAGCTACTAGAATTATTTCCAAGAGACGGAAAACATAATGGCGGGTATGTTTCTATGACCTGAACTACTTGACGGTCAACCACACGACCTCACTGCTTTCTCTCGCTGAACACCCCTAGATTCTAACGGCAATTCTTCCCACAGAAATACAGACACATGACGACTAGATCCCGATGTAGGCCCATAAGTTATGCTGTGATATGGCTCTTCAGACAACTTTCTCGACACCAGGCGGGAACTTGTAGTCTCCTTGTCGTCTGACCTGTCATCCTGCGTCAATAACTAATTCAAAACACTGAATTGCCTCTTACTTCATCGAAGATTTCCATCTCCAGCAAGCTTTTATCGTGTCCCCACAGCTCGCTTTCCACCCTGCCATCTTTCACACATCGCGCCACCTCGTCCGCTTCGAAGTGCATTCCATTCCCTACGTACTCGAATCGCCGCGTTTCCTCCTTTACCACAAATTTCGGGTTTCCCTCTTCGAAGTACTGCACTGTGAACGATCGGGGACAGTATATCGGTGCATGAATAACAATAATGCCACGTTCGTAGCGTATCACCACGCCAGTCTGGTACGCAGCGGCGTTGATGTTGCAGCTGAGGACGGCCTGTGCTGCGAGGGTGTTTGCTGTGGACGATGAGATAGGAGCGAATGTCACAGTGAAGGATGTGCTGCGATCGACACCAGTCAGCGGCGTCTTCAGCATCGCCCCTGTGATTTGGGAGGGTTTCAATTTCTTGTTGGAGGGGTGTTCATACAGTGCAAGAAGAGCCTTAGCGGCAAAGTGAGATTTCACAAATGTGGGCAGAACGTAATATGCGTACCCAGATCAGGGGGTAAGGGCCACTTCATTCAAGATTTCAATGAGGTGGCTGGAACAGATAACAATTATTATTAGGGGACGTACAGATCCAACAATGCACCGCCGCCGAGGTAGGGGTCAAGAATTCTGTGAGTCTTTGGCAACTCTAGTTGGAATACAATTAATTTAACCACAGAAAAAGAAACTCGAGAAGTTGACAAACCATGTAATTTGAAGTCGAGTGACAAGTCTGCCTGCAGGGCAACGGGCTCTCCTAGCACGCCACTTTCTGCGATCTTCTTGACCTCCTTTGCAAGTGGTTGGAAGCGAGTCCATAAGGCCTCCATAAAGAAGACACCCTGTTCTTTTGCGGCAGCCAACAATGACCGCAGTTCAGCAGCATTCGAAGTCACTGGCTTCTCACACAGAACATGCTTCGTTGCCTTGATGGCATCCAACGCATTTTCATAGTGACACGTATGAGGGGTGCCTTTATGTCCGTGGGTCAGAAGTTGGCACTCTTCATCGCTACCCCAAGATCCGACACACCAATGTAAATGGCGTCAACGTCCTTCGATTACCATCATGAGCAGTGCATCTCAAGATGGATGCTGTGGCGAGATAACACACATACCTCATCTGTGTAAACTTCTGCGTAGCTGCCATATGCTTTGATCGACTCATCACCATTGGCATATTTGTGGACGAAGTCCTCTGCGGCGGCGAGACTCCTGGACCCCACAGCAGTCACCTTATGCACCACATCATAGACGCCTCGACTGGCAGGAATCATAAGGCGAGACTATTAGATTCCATGCGGATTCCAATGCAGTACATATGCACTTACGTCTTTGGATCCACGAGCAGATCCTATAGGAGGTGAGTCGTAAAACCGCACCACCCATAACATAGGGGTGACATACATGGACGAAGGATCTAGCGATGTTTCCAGTCGAGATGATTCCCCAGCGGAGCACGAATGGTTGAGTCGATGTCATGAGCTTGAAGGTATGTCGAAGAGATGAATTCTAGTTGTTTCTCAAGGAGGATCCTCTAGGCATGGTGTGTGGGACAGCTTGCTGTTATTCTTTAGTGTTGGGCGCAAGATTAGATAAGATCACTTGCTATCTGTGACCATTGTGCTCGAATGAGAATCGAGATCTGTTAAGACACAATGTCGGACAACCGTGGTCCCGGGCAGGATGTCCAGTCTAACTTGAAATCCGTCCTTATCCTCCTCTTTGAAGAGTCAGATGCAATCCAGACTCTCGTCCCGGAGCTCCTCGCTTCGCTTGACAGCGAAATCACTCTTACACAACCTTCTCATTTTCACAAAATCATAGATGAATCTATCCGTCTGATTCACGGCTGGAGTCCGGATCTCCAAGCCCACTTCATCGCGGGTCACCCACGGATTGGTGAGACCAGGAATCTTTCCATGCTGAGCTCAAAAGAGCAGAGTGGGGGGACGAGTGCTGCCGCGCCCACACCTCCAGAGGTGCTCCTCCGCCTCCAGCATCTGAATGCCTGTTACGAGCACGTTTATCCAGGTCTCCGGTACATCACCTTTGTCAACGGAAGGAGCAGAGCGGTCATCGCGGAGGAAATGGAAGATAAACTGGGCATCAGCCATTCCCTGTTGCCAGATCAACCACCTGTGGAGAGCTTGGTTCCCGTCAAGGCCAATAGCCAACCTTGGCTCACGGAGTTACATCGGGCAGTGGAGGATATTGGCCGTATCGCCCAAAGTCGGTTGGAGAAGATAGAACGCGAAGGGCTCTTACAGCTTCGGGAATGATGGCAGCAGTGGGTGCTAAGGAGCCAGGTCCGGGGAACTCGCAAAACTGATTCTGAGATATGCATTTCCAGGGTGACGGTCCTGGCAAAGCGTACTGTACAGTGAGGGCTCGGTACATACCCGATTTAACGTCCACGGCTTGTCCACAGCTATGTACACGTGCAAGAAGGAAGGTGGTCAAAGACTCTGAAGGCCAAAACAATATGAACGGGGTATTGGTAACAAAAAATACAACAAAGGACGAATATTAAACTCCAGAATTTGGAAATAAATACCGCTGAATCTCGGGGCGTGAAGCTATCACTTGGAGGATTTCGTTTTCTCTCGCAGAAGTGCCTTGCGCTATCGGGATTAAGAAATCAGTCCACTCGGTGGAGAACAGAAACGTTCTACCTTGAGGACCTCTTGCCTCCGGATCTCCCATTCTGGATTTCTGTCGCGAAGTTCCTGATAGAATTGTTCGACCATCGCCTCGTGTCTTGCCTTTTCCTCTTTGGCCTTTTGGAGGCTGTCATACCAATCCTGTCGCGCCTTTATGCGAGCCTCGCTTTGTTCGCGTAGTTGGCGAGCCCAAGTTTCGCGTTCTTGATTCCGTCTCTCGCGTTCTCCGTCCCACATTTTCAGGTTTATTGTAGCACGAGTTATACGTTCATCATAGGCCTGTGTTAAATCATCCAGCACTGTTGCTCACCGGGGCAATAGGTTAGATCGCGTACCTTGCGTTTGATGGGATCGCTTAATACCTCGAACGCGTCACAGACCTGTGGAAGTTCGGCATGAGAGCAGGGCAACAATTCAACTGTTACTGGTACCATACATTTCTGAACTTCCCCTCGGCGGCGCGTCTCTGGCGCTCTGTAGCAGTTGGCTCCAGTTTGTCGGGATGCGTTTCGAGGGCTTTCAGTTTGTACGCCTTTCTCACTAAAAGGGGAGACGATGCAAGAACACTGGTTGCTAAGAGAGAAGGTTCTTATTAGAAGGCCGAAGAACGAACCATCTTCTGTTGTTGCATCTGGTGTGACCCCAAGGACGTCGTACAGCGTCAATCCAACGGCCATTGACAAGCCAAGAATCTTTGTTGGGCGCAATCGATGCAGAGACACTTTGATATTTTACAAAAGAAACCGGGTTTCGCTGTTTGTTCGGAAGGAAGGCGTCGGGGAAAAGAGCGCTGATAAGTTGGTTGTAGTCAAATTGTCGCCGTCCGTCCAAAACGAACCAACGCGGGTATCGTATGCATCACGTGACCGTACCACTATCATTTGTGGGTTTATGTTTCCCTCCTAGACTCCTTTTTATTCACCCTATTGTACCTGTGCTTCTTTTCGCGAGGTAGCTTTACCTGAGCTACTTGTTAGCATAGAGGGCCAGGTAAAGTCATAGTCAAAGTGAGTACACTCAGGTCATGCGTTCAAGCCGCTTGGTATTGGGTATGTCATGAGTAGGTAGACGGTAGACTGACACTATCCAGGGCTCAATGGTCAATCGATCCGCGGATCGGGGACTAGTATGAGTGCGCACACTGCCACGTACGCGTTCTATATATAATGCCGCCTGATGGGCTGACACCACATCTTTTCATCCCTTAGTAACGGTATGATATCGTCCTCCCCTCAGGCAGGCTGTTGACACTGGTCTACATACAACAGAATAGCGATGGCGGCGACGTCAGTGAAGATAGTTGAAGGGGAAGCTGATTTCCCAGTTCCATCGGCGGGCAAACCATGCAAGACTTGGTACAAAGTGTATGGTGATCTCAAGTTCGGCGCTCTTCCCCTAGTTATTCTTCATGGCGGACCTGGCGCGACCCATGATTACGTGGAGAACATATCACAACTAGCCTATCTCTATGGCATACCTGTCGTGGTGTACGATCAACTTGGCAACGGTCTCTCTACCCATCTACCAGAAAAGATGGGTGATACAGGATTCTGGACGGTGCAGCTCTTTATCGACGAGCTGCACAAGCCTTCTCAATCATCTTGACATTCACGGAAGTTACGGCCTTCTTGGACAATCGTGGGGAGGGATGCTCGCCGCAGCGTTCGCTGTACAGCAACCAGTGGGATTAAAAAAATTGATCATTCGCAAATTCTCCTGCAAGCATGCAACTCTGGATGGAGGCTACTGCTCGACTGCGATCGCAGTTACCTCAAGATGTCCAGGACACGCTTGACAAACACGAAGCAGAAGGAACGACTGCCGACGAAGCTTATCAGCGAGCTAAGCTCGTCTTCTACGAGCACATATTGTGCCGGAAGGTACCAATGCCGGAACCAGCCAAGACTTCGTTTGCATGGATCAAAAAGGACCCAACAGTGTCTATGACCATGTAAGTTGCCGACCACGTTAGTATCTTGTCGATAACAAAGCCTGTCATTCAGGAGCGGACCGGACGAATTCATTATCGCGGGCTCGCTGAAGACGTGGAGCATTATTGACGAGTTGCACAAGATCAACGCAACGACTTTGCTTATAAATGGGCGCTACGATGAGGCTCAGGACAGTGCTGTTGAACCATTTTTCCAACACATCCCCAAGGTCAAGTGGGTACAGTTTGCGGAATCTTCGCATTGTCCCAATTTGGAAGAACCGGAAAGGTTCATGGAAGTTGTGGGCAAATTCTTGCTACGGAATTATTGAGTAGGTGATTCGAAGGCATCAATCGTCGCGTTGATGGCCGTCGAATAATTGGTCGGCGGTATCTACTCTTGCAATGTACCTCGATGAAGCAGGCAAATGCCGTCAAGTCAAGTTAATGATGGATTGTAACATCGTGATCTGGCAATTATTCCAAAGTCTCTTTGTCCTTGACTCCGTATTTTGCGGGGTCAGTTCCGTGGTGTTGATGGTTGACAAAGTTGAACCTGCAAGCACTGAGGTTAGGGTGCAGTGTTATGATTTTAAAACATCTAGCCTCACATGGGGAAGGCCTCTAAGGAATGAGTTAGTGTGTGTGATGGGAAGGGAATAAGGATGCACTCACGGAACTTGAGCTGAGACCAGACGGAGTTGCGATAAGCCACGTCTTGTATCCACCCAGGCTGAGTCGAGTCTGGATACAATGGCTTTCCCTCGGCGATGCGCTGCCTCAGCTCGGCGAGGTCCATTTCCTCCTCACGTTTGTTTTCCGTCCAACCCCAGAAGCGCACTTGCGAACTCATTAGCATAACTGCTGCCATGACTGGCTCGATAGCAATACGTACGACTTGAATTCTGGTAAGCCATGAGGAAGCCCCCGGCAAAGCCAAGGAGACCACCCAGACGGAGAGCAGTCCGATGGCGGACACGAGGGATTGGGTCGGCCATGTCTATATGCATTCGTCGGTAGAACATATGGTGAAACGAGAATGTGCCGTACTCCAGAAATACAACAGTGCCGGAAACGCGGCCGTTCCAGCAGCCCAAGTTGCATAATCTGCAGGGCGGAAGTAGCGAACTACGCGAGAGAAATGCGGGTCTGCATCGATGACGGGGTAGGGTGTCTTCACGACCTTGTCTGGCATTCTTATTGTTGTGTCAAGGTCGATGAGGACAATGGTGTCCGTGGTTTCGGGGACAATTGGCGACCTGCCCTAAAGTGTGAAGAGATCGAGTCCACCGTCGACAGCACTCTAAGCTCTCTCCGCTTTCTATTCCACCGCCATCGTCGTCGTCCGTAACACCCCTGTCCCAGCGGCGACGAGCACACTCTGTACTCAAAACCCAGGTGACATTTTTGACTACCATGAGTGCAGTCAGAAGAAACGACCGTCGTACTTCCCGACTCAAACATGCCTCGCCTTACGCACGGCCTCCCAAAGCTAACAGCGAAGACAAGGAGAAGAAATCGGTGCGTCTCGTACCCCAACGCGACATTACGCGCTCTTGCTCATTCAATATTCTCGTAGTTCTGGGGCTTGGGCGGTCTGCTTGGTTTCCTGAATCCATTTGGAAAGTCCACAGATCGAGTCGAATCAAGGCCCCCTCCTCCTCCCTCCGACGACGACGAAGTGGAGATCTCTATTCCTGAAATGCATCCCGCTTTTCAAGTGCAACTCGACCCAGGGGCTGATCCAGAGTGGAATCTACCGCCCATACTCCAACAGGCTTCCGTACGTGGAGACCCGCATATATCTCTGGGCCAACGCTGAATTGGAGTGTAGGCAGAAATGATCCAGCAGCAGCAGCTGGAACAGCAACAACCGGTGCACCCGTTGCTGCCACCACCACCACCAGCAGTCCAACTGCCCACCGAAACCACACAGCCGACAAGCCCCCAGCATACCCCTCAAACACCACCACGAAACTCGCTACCATTTCCTCTTACCCCATCACCATCTCTCTCTCGTTCATATAGTGGCACAATGGCTAAAAACCTCGAGCCGGTCACACGGTTTTTGGTCGAGAAAGCCGGCCAGCCTCTCAATGAGTTCGAGGCGGCGGGCATAGTGGACTACATTCAAAGAAACGTGCAAGGTACGTATTGAACTCGCAGCTGCGAAATACCTGTTCACGTGCAGCGCACGGATTTTGATAGGAGCGGACAAACCGGAACCTTTTCGATTCTCCACTCCTCCTTCGCCTAGCTCTTCACCGAACCTAAACTTGGGCAGTTCTAACACGTCCTCCTCCACTTCATCTCCCCGTAAAACTTTGACCAAGAACCCTAATGGCGTTTACAGATGGCAAGGTGCAGGGAGCTCTCGTCCTCGCAATCGTTACCAGTCCCCGGGCTTCGGTCCTCGACCGCAGCAGTCACGGATCAAGCTCTCTCCTCCTAAGACACCGGCAACCACTGACACGAAGAGGCGGCGTGTGGGTGATGAGGCTGAGTCCTCTGTGCCTCAATGGGCAGCCGTGCCCTCGACCTCTGCATCGACGTCGACCGTCACCTTCCCCTCCGAAAGCTCTGAGCCAGCAAGCCAACCTTCGCAATCTTCCTCCAGCACGTCAATGACCAGTCCGAACGGGAAAACACCCGCTACCCTGGCACCGCTCCCACCTGTAACGCCAAAAGCGAATGGCGTCCAGGGTCCTCGTCTTCGCACGACTGGCATATCAACCACACCTGCCATTCCATCACCATTGCGTCAAACATGGAAAGGCAATGACTCACCGCCACAACTTCCTCAACCTTCCCGCCCAACCAAAGCAGCCGGTTACATGACAGAACTCCTCAAGGAAATAGCTCCTGTAAAGAAGCCGGACGTGTCTAATCCATATCAAACGGCCAGTCCTGTCAAGCCTCCGCCAAGGAAACCCGCACCCAAACGGCCGCGACCAGCTGCTAAAAGGGCTGAGAAGCCAAAAGAGAAGGAACTTGAATTAACAGCCCGAGAGATCATTGAGGCAACAGTCCCAAAGGCACGTGCTTTGTCTTCCTGTGCTTGCCAATTCAAGTCAGCTGACGTTGACACGTTCACGTCCATAGGGAAGTAAACGGTCAAGACCTCCCCTTGAACTGGAGGATTCACCGCGTGTCGAGGAGGTATCAGATGAAGAAATTCCCACACCAGCGATTAGCGGCACCTCGAGCCAGTTATCTCGCTTCCCGAGCTCCTCCAAGTCTGCTGGGGAGGTCGATGAGATCGTGCATTTGGACGAAGAAAGTCCCTCGAAGAAGCGTAAAACCACCAAATCACCACAGCCGTCCCAGGCACCTGCGGCGGAAGTCATCGACATCGATGCCTCAGAGTTAGCTCCGTCATCGGCACTCGTTCGCCCATCAGAGATAATTGAACCAGATGAGCTGCCTAAAGTGAACGGGAAGCCAAACTCACCAGCCACGACCTCGACTTTGCCTACTGCAAATGCAAGGTCCCTGTTTGGCATCAAGTCTTCTGCTCCGAAGGAACCGTCAAAACTTCGGTACAGCTATCAGGTGGACAAAGTACAGGTCGTCGCTTCTCAAACTACGTCTACCTCACCGCCCGCGCCATCTCTGTTCACTCCGCTGACTGCACCCCTACTGCCTGTGTCATCCTTGTTCGCGTCGCCGCCAACCGCACCTTCACCCACAACAACACAGCCCGTTGCTTGCCCTCCGAAGGCACAGCTCTCGCCGAAGGATGAGGCTCTAGCTATGAACGTTGACGACCTTCCGAAATACTCATTCACGGTGAAAGAGACGGTTTATCCAGCTGGACCCAGTTCCGAGAATGCGCGCAAGGTTGCCTCGGAGGCACCTGTATCATCTCTGCCCACATTTGACATCAGGACTGTGCCTGCGAAGATCATAAACGGATTCAATTGGACCGCTGCTGGTCTGAAGGCTCCAACCCCTTCCATCGGATCACAATGGATATGTGATCTCTGTCAACTGAAAAATCCGGACAGTGCGAAGGAGAAGTGCACGGTCTGCGATGCTCCACGTCCAGGTGTTGCCCAATCCAAGCCTGTTTCCACCTGTGTAATGCCACCTGCACCTCCCGCACCTCCAGTCAAGGGGTTTGACTGGTCTGCGGCAGGACTAGCGCCACCATCTAAAGCTAGTGGCGGCTCATGGATATGCTCTGTTTGTGATCTGTCGAACCCGGCCACTGCCACAGATAAATGTACAGTCTGTGATGCTCCTCGTTGAAGTTATTTTGCTCCTCCGGTTTATTATAGTTGTTTCTTGTCTTTTTAGTCTCTGCACAATCACCCTTTGAGCTACGCAGGGATTTAGTTGATACATAACATGCATGGTATTTCATACAGAACTTGTCATCACTTGCTAGCGAGTACACAGCTTAAATCGAAAGAGAGCCAAGTGGCCGTCGGAGGTCCCTTTCAATCACATCTTATAAGAAGTATTGCATCATGAACCTTTGTGCTGTGTGAAATCCAGCCGTCGGGCAAGCGGTCGCACACCATCCACCGGAGACGAAAGCTTTCGTTTAAGCCGGTTGGATGCCATCGCTTTCACGCCAGGTCCAGTGTCTACCATGTCAACGTTTCCATCAACCTCCTCGAGAGGCCGAGAGGCTCGTGAAGCTGGTCTTGGTAGTTTTGATGGGTGGGTGGGGTATGGCAAGCCTGTAAAATACGGGTGATGAAGGGCCTTGGATGGGGGTGTAAATAAATACGACTGCAATAATGGGGCTCTGAGAAACTGACCTCGAGAGCCGTTATTCGTCGACGTGGCTCGTAAATGAGGCATCTACTGAGCAGATTGAGTGCGTCCCCTGAGGCCGCAGTAAAGAGGTCGCGCAAAGGTGTTTTAGGGAACTGTCCAACAGGAATATAATCCGGCAGCTTCGTATAACCCTTTATCGTCACGAGCACAGGCAAGGTTAGTCGACATATACACCCAACGGATACCTGCCGGGCGAAAACTTACTGGCCATTCTTCTTCAGTGGGTGTACCCAATGCACGGAAGATCGTCCTCAATTGGTCCATGTCAGTTTCGCCGGGGAGGTAGGGTGTACGGAGCATCAGCTCGGCGAAAATACAGCCCACAGACCAGATATCAACCGCACTGCTGTAATACCGACAACCAAACAGGAGTTCAGGAGGTCGGTACCATCTACCTCGATATATGAGGAAAACGACCCGATGCGAGAACGAAACTTTTCTAGCGCTAACCGTGTAATGACTTGAGAAGTCATTTTGTATCCTGGGTCTGCAAAGTCGCGTGCAAGACCGAAATCTGCGATCTTGAGTTGTCCATCGGATGCAACAAGCAAGTTGTTTGGTTTCAAGTCCTGGAGAGAAAGCGAGCGAATAGTGCGCAATACATAAATTTGCAATGTCCTGTTCTACGTACCCTGTGTAATATGAAGTTCCTGTGGCAGAATTCAAGGCCGCGGATTGTCATTGCCATCCAAGATTTGATGTCTGCGGGAAGGAAGACGAGTGATCGGTCTTTGATAATCATTTCGAGGTCGCTGTCGAGAAATTCAAGGACCAAGTTAAGATTCGTTTTCGACGAGAACACGTCCAGAAGCTTCATCGCGTCAATTAGTTGTTAATTCCGAGGATCGCAGAGACAAGTACGCCATACCTCAATAACGTTCTGGTGGTGTAATTCGCGAAGGTATTTCACTTCTCGGATGGCAGACATGTCCAGGCCATCCTTGAACTGTCCAACCTTTATTTTCTTTATTGCGACTCGTCGACCGGTAGCGGCTTCGCGACCTAGTTAGCTCCGAGGTCAATGTTAGGAGGGAGGAGAATATGCCAGCACGCGGACCTCTGTATACCACAGCATAGGTACCTTCGCCGACTTTCTGATCCTTTACCCTATTCCGACAGGTCAAAAGCTGTTCCTCAACAGCGAGCAGTAGTTATACTCACCAACGTTTCTGTTTCTCTGCATTTGCCCTTTCTACGGCATCCATCACAATTGTGTAAAGGAGGTTGCACAGGGCAGGAAGATTCTTGCTTCGGTCCTGTAAGATTAAACTCTGCCGTATAGATCCAGAAAGATGCCTGCAGGAGTTATGGAGGTATTAGACATGCATTGTTCACTGGAATGTGATCATCAGCCGTGCCTTGTAAGTTTCCTCAGGAACAAACACTAATCAACATCAAGTGACAGAAATATGCCAACTATCTTATTCAGGCTACATATAGTTCACAAACACCCCAAATGCAGTAATTCACTTCAAACATTTGATTGAGGCTCAATGAAAGAGAGAAAACTAACACCACTTGCAATTCACAACTTAACTAGCAACACAATAATTTAAAAAAGCTAATGAGAAAGAAATCCATCAGACAGACACCCAACTCGCTGGGTCTGGTTCACTGAACTGCAAGCAGCCCAACAAAGCACAGAACCAAACGTCCTCGAGACCCCGCCGAAGCGAAAGGCCATGTTCTCTGTCGAACGAGTGGGTGCGGATGTCATCGAGTGGATTTGAAGGATGTGGCATGTGTAAACATGCGAGACTCGAGTTAGTTTCTATAAAATAGATCCTAGCTGAGTATGTTCTGAGGAAACAAGGATGTCGGGATGGGGTTTATATATGTTTCAGAGGTGGTCCGTGCGCACGGACACGTGATGTCTTTAGGGCTAGTTTCGGAGGTTGAGCCGATCACGTTTAGCGACCGCGTAACCGATGGGTGGAAAGCGGACGGGAGAATGGCAAGTATGTACTTGTGATGAATCTGTATTTTTTCAACGGCCTCGAGTGATTCAACATCGGAGACCGTGGGGTAAGAAGGAAGGTCCGGGAATGTCCTCACCACCCGAAGCCCGGCGATTATGTTCTCACGAGTACTTTGGGTGAATTCCACTCTGTGCCTTTATTCGACGTCTTTGATGTTGAGCTCGCTCGAGAAACAGAAGAGGTTCCTTTCTTTCCCAAAGTTTGCAGTGGTCGGGGCGTCCACTGACCAATCCAAATGGGGGACAAAGGTACGACCGTCACGGTAACTTGTCTGCTGGAACAAATTCACTAGGGGTGTCCTACCAACACCTATCTGGTAGATTCTGCGATGGTATGTCATACGCAACAGGCCAGTTACGCCAGTGCATCCAGTTCGTTGCAACTGTCATTAGTTGCAAACATGGCTAGTACTGATTTCATTATTTGTTATCCACCGCACGATAGAAAGTCGATGAATTGGAGGGCATCAAGACAGTCCGGAGTATTGTAGACTTACCATCACCTACCGAGACGGCTCTCAGTATCATTACACCACCCAAGGTAACGTAGCATGCAACATTGGACATCTTAAAACCACTCAGCAGTTTGCTAACTGCACAGATCACCTTGGACCTTCTAAAGGCAGCTAAGGAAGCTATCGATCCCTGCCATCTGGATCCAACCCGGCGCTTCTGACGCTGCGTGTGCCGACTTTATTAATGAGAACGGGTTGAATCGATCAGGTTCTCTGGCAAGGCGAGTGTTTGTGGCGAGATGGGGACGGTGTGGTTCAAGCCATGCTTTGATTAAGAACGAATATTTTAGTACCACGATCCCTGTCATAACTTAACCATCAAATATCAACACATCGTAATGCCCTTGTAGGGATGCATTCTTCTGATGTCGATGTCATTTTCCAATACCAGACAAGATGCTCTTGCTCGACGTTACATTCTTGTAGGCATCCGAGAGTAAGAATCCTGGAAACCCAAGGAAAAGGCTTCATTGCAGTAAAGTGAAGACCTATTTTCTGACTCTTTTGCGACTCCTATCTGAACCACTCGCTTCCGCTGACAGGGGAACATATTCCACATCCGGCTTTTCTCCAATTAATTCCTTGTGCTTGCCCTGGGAGAGTAGTTTTTGAACGACAGTCTCCCACATAGCATCGTTGACGCCCTTCGCCCTGGAAAGTTGTTCACGCAATTGCTGGACTTCCTCCTCGAGCTCGGCGACGCGAGCTGAAGATGGCAGACCAGAACTTTCTTGTTCGGCAGGTCGAACGAAGAAGGCGTAGTCATTTTGTAATTCCGTATCCGGATAGTCGTATTCGACCCCGTTATTGTACGGCGTCTCATGGAGAGTAAATGACCACATAAAACATAATATGTAAACAGAAATACCTTGTCTTGGACAGGTAACATCATGGTCACTTCATGAGCCTCCCTTGCCTTCGGGTCCCTCATCCTCTGGAACGGAGCGACCAGGTTTGACAGGAATGACATCCTTTGCCTCTGCCGAACTCGCAACATTCAGAGAGAGACTAATGTGGCCGACGAGGTCCGGGGGCTTCAACATGGTTGCGAGAAGCGTTACGGACATTCCTTTATGTGCTGATATTGAACGGAGAAGTTGATGAGAGGCAATGTCGTAGATATAGGATCAGCCCGGTAGCTGTGCCCACTAGAAGGAGGGAGGCCGTTATGGATATCGAAAGTGCCGTCACTGGTTGACTAGGCCTCCTATCAGCGCTGAAAAAAGTTGTGTGAAGGGGAGTGTAACATACTCCACAGTGATAAGTCGTGTTTTGGCAACGCTTTCTGGATCGTCTACACGAACGAGATCGGCTGTTCCTGCACCGCCGATGGCTTCAATGACTTTTCCACCAAACTTGTGGTCTCGTTCACGAAAGAGATTAACTTGGTGCACTGAGCCGTCTGGCGAACCTGCAAAAAACATCCGCTCTGATACATCCCATACTACACAACAAACGGGCCTTGGGAAGTGGAAAGTGGTCATTAAAGACTGCGTTGCAAGGTCCCACAGCTAAATCGAGTTACTAACCGATCACCGGCGTGTAAAGGAGGCTTACTTTGACGGTGTGGTCCAGAGATGATGTCAATACCCGGCATTTTGGAAACGGGCCTACACCACAGAATACGTCTGTGACAGGAAGAGTGTGGTCTGAGAGTGTGAATTGCGGCAAAGGCAGTTCATTTTGAAGCTCGTGATCCACTAGCCTGATTCCCGCAAGGTCAGCATTGTACGTAGCTTACATTGTGAAAGAGCAGACTTTGGAATGGACCAAACGCTGACACCAGAGTCTTCGCTCCCTGATATCAACATTATACCATCGGCGGTAAACTTCAACACGTTAACCTGACGGTAGTGCGCGTCCCATGCGTTGTATAAAATCCCAGACGCAACCTACTGTCAAAGACGTCAGGATCGCAGTGTGCGGTCACAGTAGAACGAACGCGCCTCCCAGAGATATATTCGACCATGGGAGGTACCTCCAGCGCAATAATTGGCACTCTGGTCCAAAGCGAGACAGCTTAGTTTTTCCGGCAAGATAATCTTCAACGCTATCTGATCCTAGAAGTTGTGCAAGTTGAGTGAAAAAGCAAAAACACCGTCAAATTGCACTATACTCACACGTTGAAAATTGTAGACGTTAAGAACGGACTTGTCCATTTGTGCCCCAATCATAATACCACCCTGACCATTTGCTGTCTCAATGAACGCACTGCAGTGTGGTGCAGAACTTGTTTGCCTGAAGGTTGCCAAAGTGGTACCCGCCTGCAGGTCATGCAGCACAAATGCTCCTTGACCAGAACCAGATGGCTGCGGTGCAGTAGCACACAGTACAGTTTCCTGTAAAACCATGACGGGTCTGCTGGAAACGCGTTGGAAAACTACAGAACGATCCGCTCACTGTAAAAGGAAATATATGAGCACAGCCACCACGCCATCTGAGATATGTATGGGTCCACGTCATGAGGAGGGCAAGACTAGGACCACCACTATGGCAACTAACCTGTATGAGGTTTTGGGACTGAACCGACATGCACCCCAAGAAGAAAGTGCGTAGGTTGTCCATACAGATTGAAACGTCGTTACTCATACTGCTCTTTACGCAAGTTCGCAAAGCCTACAGACGAAAAGCTCTAGAGACCCACCCGGATCGCCTTCCGCCAAACGCATCAGCAGCCGACAAAGCTGCCTCCGAAGACATGTTTCGCAGGGTACTGCCCACAGACGGACCTATAGAACTGTCCTCTAATATGCTCTTCGCCAGGTCAATAACGCTTATGAAGTTTTGAACGATCCCGCCAATCGGAAGGTAACTGCACGCTTTCTTCTTTGTTACCGCACGAATAGTTGATGCATGTCCTATAGCTCTACGATGAACATGGTGTTTGGCCACCTCCATCGCCCCAGGTCAACGGCCGACCCAGTGGCTGGGACTCCTTCAACGGTCCTTCATTTAGGGAACCTTTCTTCCCGGATCCCTTCTTTTCAGACCCGTTCTTCTCTCGTGGTCGCGCCGACCCATTTTCAGGTTTTGGGTTCGGACATACCCCATTCCGCGGTTTCACTGACCCCTTTGTGCTCTTCAACTCAATATTTGGTGACATTCATCGTGCTTTCTCGGAAGATCCATTCTCTAGTGACCCATTCGACCGTCCGTTTTCGGGAGGGTTCGCTTCGCCCTTCTCCCTGTTGGCCGGATCATCTTTCGGTGTTCCACGCGGTAACATGCAGTCTATCTCGAGTTCCTCTCGCGGTATGCTTTGCGGTGGGAATGGCCGTTGGACTTCTGAAAGTTGGACTACCCAGACGATCAATGGTGTCACCCAGACCAAGTGCGTACGCAGAGACTCAGAGGTGAGTGTACTGTCCTGCCGACGTTATCGTGATACCTTTCTCAATATTCTTTACAAGGGCAACGAGCATGTCCTGTACAAACTTCCCGATGGGACCGTCCGCCGCACAGTGAACGGTATTGAACAGACTTCGGGCGATGACCGTCGGGCCATCGATTACACCCCGAGTCGGAACGACCCTTATTCACAACCACCACCACCACCACCACCACCTCCTCCTCCCTATGAGGCGGCAGTTGGTGCCCCACCTGCACAACCACGTGGCCCCTATTCCTCCCGGGACCCACGTTCTTCTAGTACGTTCCACAAATACCCTTTCCTACGAATTGGTAACTGATACACACTCAACATTATAGGTTATCAAGGTCGCCACGATACTTCTTACCGTGGAGATCAGCATTTGCACAGTGACAGATACGGAAGTAGATATGGTCATGGAGACAAGCATGGCCACGGGGATAGGCATGGACATACTGACAAATACAGTCACACTGATAAATACGGGGAAGCCGACAAGCATGATTATAGGCACAAGGAGAGGGATAGGCATGGTGATGGCCGGTACGATCACCAAAGCAGACATGGTGACTACCATGGTTATGGCGGATCCTCTGCGAGCTTCCGGAGTGGGAGCAAGTGAGAGCTTAATGAGAAAGGAGTCTTACCTTTGTTCTGGAAATTCATTTACTACTGTTTCTCGAATACTGCACGTCTTTTCTTTTCTAGTACCATAGCCTCAATCCACTGTACTGCTTGCATGCTATTCCTTCACTGTATCGAGTATTGTAGATGCTTATGATCAACGAAGTTTTTACACACTTTCAGACGTATTAAGTCGTAACGCTTATTAACGTATCGTGCTACTCATTACAGTCCCTCGAAGAAGGACAAATCTTGGGCCGAAAGACCACCCGTCTGCATTGGCTTCGACGTCATTTGTTGTACTGGTTGCAGAGGCTTCGCTGCTATCGGCGTTGGTGAGCTTATAAATGCTGACTGGAAAGGCGACGCCGACGATGAGGACAGTGGTGACTGGTGCATGCCCGCTGCTTGGGTAACCAGCGGAGAGTTATGAAAGGGAGAGGTCGCTGACGACTGGCTGGACCCCGCAATAAGCGGCTTTCGGGAGAAGACTGGGGTAGAGGGACTCATGGTGTCTTCAAAGTCGAGCAAATTCTCTGACCTGGGTGGCGGAGGTATCGGTCGTGCTTGCACACTCTCAACCCTTGGTGAGGGCCATGTCCCCTTTGTTGCGTTTGCCTGATCCATCAAGCTCTGTGTGCGCATATGGTCCGACGAGCGCACTGAGTGTTTCAAGGGGAGGCCTGGTCTGCGATAGCTCGGAGGCGTATTTTTCGCAGGTACAGGAGGTGGTGAGGGCGTTTTGAGGCCAGTATTGTCCTGGGAGGGCGAAGTGACAAAATCGTCAAAGTCATCCAGAGAACAGGATATAGACGAGCGTGGAGACCGAAGTCGGTCCAAAGAATTCTCTGATTCCGGGCTGCGGACAGACACAGAGTCAGACGGAACATGCGAGCGGCGGCAGAGTGAGCCAGAGGAAAAGAATGAAAACTCGTCCGAATCCCCGCTATCCCTGGGGTAGGTATCTGATACCGCTGCGACATTGGACCACAAGCTAGAGGAGGAAGAAGGCGTAATCGTAGACATCGTGGGAGGTAGACGCTGTAGAGTACCTGGCCGAGGTGTCTGCGGGGGCGACGTTGGAGGAGGTGGAATCAAAGGTGGAAGGGAGAGTGAAGTTGGAGCTTTTGGGGGTGGCAGAAGAGGGAACGAGGATTGAGCCCTGGGCGAAGGCCGAGAAGTCGATGATATCGGGAGAGCTGGCGAAACGGCTGAGATCGAAGACATCATGAACGACGACACCGAGGATGGGTGCTTCGTAGGCACAATGGATGATGAGGAATGTGCCAAGGGTATATTTGTCTGTGGTGTTAGTGAAGAAAGTATGGGGGTTGCGAGAGAGCTACTCGGGTTGGATCTTGTTAATGGGGAAGGGATAATAATCGGCTTCGGTGGTGGGGGAAGAGGCGGTGGCAATTTCTCCGGAAGGGGTGAAGATTTAATCATATTTGACAGGCCCTTCAAATCAGCTGCATCATTTTCATCATCGAGATCAGTCGCACTTGGAACATTAATATCGGACAGGTATTCAAGGTCATCTGCGGACAAAGCCAACGACGCATGGTTGGCATTGGTGCTTCTGGTACGGGCGAAGCGGTTTAAAAATCTGGAAACAGCAGAAGGTGCAGGGGCAGTTGTGGTTACCGCAACGTCTGATGCGGTTTCCTGACTGGCAGCTGGTGCGGGAGTAACCGTTGACGAACGCTTCGATGGCGATACGTCACGTCCAACCTGTGACTGAGACAAATTTGTAGATATGGAGCTACTGATGCTGGATCTCCCGGATGCAGGTGTTTCACTGTTATCATCAGATGGAGAAGGAGCGGTAGAAGTCCTGCGACTCCAAAACGAAAGTAAACCGCCCGTCGCTGTCCTTGGCTTCGTTTCTTCCACTGTGCCTCGGTGTTCGCCTTTGTCAAGAATACGCCAACCGATAGGTGTTACATCCGGAACAACGTCTTCCCTCGAGACTACGGACTTCTGCCAGTCTGCTGTTCCCTTTGAAGCTAACAACCTAGCCAAAGGACTGCTTTCCGACAGGGTTAAATGTCTAGTCAATTTAAGAGCCTCATTTACGGCCTTGGCCGTTGCAGTAGAAGGAAATTGCACGGGAGGAGGAAGCGGCGAATCTTCGGGAAGTAATTCGTTTAAAAGCATCGTTCTGAAAGAACCGGTTTGGAAATTTACATTAGTGACACGTAAGCTAAAGACATACATATTTTCCAGACCAGTCGGACCATTCCGCCAATTGTCATTGGAGGTGTTTGAATCGACAGTCTCAGGCTGCGGGCAGATAACGTCCGAGAATTGCTCGCACTGACGAAGAATGGCGTCCAACAACTCTGGGGGCTAAGCAGATGTAAGACTCGAACGGAAACTTGTTCGCGAGCATCATACCACTGCGCGATTGAATTTCTCCTTCGCTTGTTGAGCAGTTTCCCACTCGTCAGGCGGTTGGATCTCTTCCGATTCGCCCTGAGGCGGTGCACTACTCCAAGTAGATGCCCATTCATCATCCGGCCCTGCTAGGAGCTTAGGGTCTTCCCATGTATCTGATTCATTGTCTGCCTCGAGAGCTGTTGGTGTCGGTACAACGCCTCCTGTTATATCATTCTCAGGAATAGCTGCGTCCCTCTCCGACGGTAGAAGTGCGGAGTACGGTTTGCTGTGCTCTGATGACAGGGGAATACTCGTGGCACATCCTACCTCAGGAGATGAGGACAACGTGGCTAAAACGGGTTCACTTGGCTCTTCCTGAGGTGAGGGGCTAGGCCTCACAGCCGAGGGTTGGGAAAGAACAATTTGCTCGTACGTGGACGGTACCCATGCAGCCTCCTCCACTTCGGAGGAGGACCAGAGGGGGTCGCCCGCGTGAACTGAACTCGTCCATTCGGCGGAGTCATGCAGAGACCACGGTGGGAGACCCAAGTCAGCTTCCTGATCGTGCGCCGCTTCGGATGGCAATGCCCAAGAGTGCTTCCCAGACACTGGTTTGTCCGATAATGGCTGTTCCCAGGCATTGGCCCATGGATTGTCCATGCGGGCCCACCTGTATCGCGTCAGTCCGTGCACACTGAGGAGCTTGAAATCAAAGGCAGAGCCTCAGTTATCGCACGTGATCTATAGTCCACGTGACTTCCTGTTTTGCCATACAATTGGGGTTTCCTCGGGCTTGCACTGCTCACCACAGTCTACTGCCAAGTTCACACTTGCCATGGCTTTGGACATCGCCAACGGCGATCGCAGTATTCTTGAGTGGGACGAGGACCAAGTTCATGAGTGGCTTTCTCAACGAGGCTTCCCACAGTACGAGCAACAGATCAAAGGTGAGACTACGCTTACTATTGACAAGGCGCAGCATTCATTACTTATCTATCGCACCGTTTGGAAACATCAGAACATCGTATCGCTGGTGATGTGCTTTGCATGCTTGATGCACAAGCTCTCAAGACTATCGGTGTCGCTACTGTCGGCCAGAGAATAGCAATTCTCAAAGCAGTCTACCAGGCGAAACTTGCGTGTCGTGTTCCGGTCGAGTCACACCATTACGTCCCTCCATGTAGGCATAAACATTAATGTGAGGCATGTGACAACCGAGTCCTAACACCTTACAGCTGAATTAGAGGAGCGTGTAATTTCGGTCGAGAAGCTGCAAGACCTCATCAGAGAACAGGGTCATTGTTCCTCCTTTCAAGGGTACCCTATGTTTATCTCACGCCTTTTCACGTGCAGCCTTCCGCGTACAAATACTGGAGGAAGATAATAAGCGTCTAAATGAAATTCTCCAACATATCCTTGACGAATTCAGTGCTATGCGTGGCTCTACCCGACCAGTACGTAGGACCGGCAGCCATCCAGTTCACGGATTCACGTTTGCTACTTTATTAGGACGAACATTCGTTACAACGTCAGCCATCCTTCAAGTGGGCTCAATTCGTCAATCCTGCCAAGTCCCCCACTAAACCTGACGCGGAATCGCCTCGCCTCTCCCCCCAACACATGGAGCACGAAAGTTCTCAGAGTCGTTCGAGTCAGGCGAACCAAGTCCAAGCTCCTTCCTCGACCTCACGAGGGGTGCCTACACCCCCAGCTGAATCTCCAGGCGCCTCGAGTCAACAGCCGTCAGCCTCCTCCTCAAGAACAAATTCAAACCGCCAGGAAAGCACCGACAACCTCAAAAGCTTCAAGGTCAGCCTGGAGGACCCAACCTGGAAGGTTTTACCGGCTGCTCTGAAGAAGTACAAGATCAACAATGACAGCTGGCAAAATTACGCCATGTTCATTTGTTATGGCTCCCCTGGTGTGTGAAGCTAATGCGAAGTTGTATTTCACCTCTAACCGTGATGACCCTAGGAAATCGTATCGAACGATGTTTGAGCTACGACGAAAAACCTTTGTTACTCTTCCAGAAGCTCAAGGACGCAAAAAAGAATCCGGTTTTCATGCTCAAACATATCAAAGATATTCGGTCGCCCATCGCCGTTGCTCAGCAAAAGCAAGCATTGCGAAAAGCCTCTATCACATCCGAGCATTCACACAGTCACAATAAGCCCGCCGCAACAAATGAGGGGAAAGCCGGCTCACCTCCACCCAAGTTGGAGGTCAACGAGCTGTCGCCTCCAGCTCCACTGCTGACAGGGACCACACCTCAGCTTGGGTGGCCGGACGTTATGTCACCCACGACAGAGAACAAGTGTGGGGAGGATGTATCCAGTAATCGGGATACATTATCATCTGCGACGACTCTCGTTAACAGTGCACAGAGCACGGCAGATAGCATGAAGTCTCGAAGCACAACCGTTTGCTCAACGGATAGTGACAGTACGAGGAGGGAAATGCCACCGCCAATGGCCGGCGTTTCGTATGCGGTTGCTATATATCCGTACATGGCAGAGCAGGAGGATGAGTTTGATGTTGTCGTGTAAGTGCATGTGCAGAATATGGCATCGAAAGGCGGTGCTGACGAGAGTACGAACTACGAAGTGGTAATGCGTTTGTGATTTTGTCACGGGCTCGCGGTTGGTGGGTGGTCCAACGCGACCCAACAGGCTCTGGTGCCGTGGACACCGACACCTCGAAGCAAGGTTGGGTGCCCGCGGGTTGCCTTCTTGAAACGAACGTCCCCGTCGCATCTGCTATAGCAGAAGCTACCGCTGCTGCGAAGGCATCGGGCGCCTCTGATGCCGATTCTAAAACGCCTATTCTTCCTCTGAGCATCATATCGACGAGTTTCCCCGGTATCGCATTGATGGATTACAAAAAGAAGGGAGAGGAAGAGCTCGATTTGGTGAAGGACGATGCCGTACGAGTATTCAAGCGGTATAATCATTGGTCATATGTGAGTATCACCTATTCCAAAGTTACTTCTTCCATTGACTTGTACACAGGCCGTGAAAGAGGACGGTGGCGATCGTGGTTGGGTTCCGGTGTGTTTAGTTCGTTTATGGGTTTACGACTTAGCTGACAAGTCGTCAGTCATGGTTCATTGGTAAAGTGCCGACGCCAGGAGGTGCACCTCCGACGCCAGGTCCTGCTTCTGCACCGGCCATGAGTGGTGGACCCTCGTTGTCGTTAGATGCCGGGGATTCGTGCCAAAACCAAGTTTCACCGATGTCCTCTGCTTTCCCAGTGCAAAATCGCAGTGGGGTAATGTGATTTGTATCATGACTGCCTTCCTCCCCGTTTTTCCATCACTGACTGTATCTATTACATAAAACATTCTGCTGCGCGGACACCTCTTTTGTCTGGTACCCACTTTTCAATTGGCTTTATAGTTGATCTTATTGCTCTCCTCCACTCGTTAATGCTACATTCTCCAACTCTTTGCAAGGTCTATCAGATTTAGTACTACAGGGTTAATCTTATGACGGCCGTGGTGCTGGGAGATGCATTTACACGTCTTCCTCGCCATATGATCGGGAAGACGCAGGTGTGCCACTCTTTATTTCTTCTTACGGACAGTCGTCCTGTATCGTAAATGACCAAATCATCTGTGCAAATGATGGTATACGACCCTCGCTACGTGCCGTGGAAAAGAGTGTGGAACAGTAACAGTCCTCGCAAGACTGGGATCACTAGGTCAGTCCGATTAGTCTCCCTTAGTCCATAATCCATTCGTTGTTCTAGATGCAAATTCCCAGGGCTTTCATGACGAGCGATAAGTACCACCCAGTCAGCCCCCAAACTTCTAACTTCTCATTGCCAATTTGCTCGACGAGGTCATGATTTGCATCGCTCCGTATCCGGATGCGCTGAGGGACGAGATCAGAGACGTCAATGGTCCAATAGGGCCGCGACGAGCGATAAAGGCCAGGTTGGAGACGTGTCTGAGATGTAAATGCAGACAGGGGTAGATGAAATACAGCAGCTACCTCAGCTTGGGAGAGTATAAGCGAATCAATGTTCAACGAGGGCAGTGGCGCATCTGGCCCTTGGTCTGGGGAAGCGGTTCCCGGGGGATAGACGAAGCCCTGGTAATGCGCGTCAGGATGATACAAAACCCAAATAACCCTGCACGCGTACAACGTACGGCCACACACGCAGACCCTTCAAGCTGCGCTCTGGGGGCCCGAGATGACCGAGTACGTCTACCTCGTCTGCAGGCACGCCTACTTCTTCACGCACTTCACGCAGAGCTGCGGCTTGGAAGGATAAATCAGCCTGGCTGGCCGTTAGTAACGGTGTCCAACTTTTTAAATGTACTATTAATTTGCCGTACTTCGTCTACTTTGCCACCTGGAAAACTATGATTCGATTCATCAATAATCCTGACCCCCGCATGACGATGATCGCCTACGTGCCTGACTTCCCCTAGGTGCGACGTGAGGTTTCCCCTAACTTCTAGGAGTACCCCAGGCACGCCATCTACATTACAGAGTGGAACGAGGACTGCTGCATGGGATTCGTTCGGATCGGGTTCGCTACTTGTTAATCCAGCGCTGGTCGCATAGTCCGAAAGTGCTCCCCGGATTGTGTCGAGGGAATTACGAGTGAATGGCGTGGTGAGCGAGATGATGGAATTGGCATTCGATGGTATCGCCGCGTTACTCGACGTCCCTGCCATGAACGTCCTGTAGAACATCATGGTTCTATCCGTGACATACATTCACGTCTGTTTCTTATTTCGTTCGCGGGTACCTGATAAATCTCGACGCTCGGGCTTTTGCACGGTGTTTAACACCTTTGCAGGACCGTCACCGTGTGACGAGTATGGCTTTGAGTTGTAGGGGATATCATCGTCTACGAGACCTCGCCTTTCAGTCGATACTTTCACGTTTGATTTGCACAGGCGACATATCAAGACCATTGGATTGGTGTCCCCAGTTGGAGAATTTCATCGGTGCGCTGCTCATACTTCTTCCCATCACAGTTCATCGGCTAAGAAGCGGACACAAGGGATGGATGGGGCACATGGCGAAACTTCACGGGGCCAGATGGCTCTACGGAGTGATGGGGTGTCACCCTCCTTACGGTTAACGTCCGTACTACAGTACGTGCGAGAATGATGCGAGCCTATCGCTACCAGACCAACAATGGCGAGTTTTGCTGACCGCATGTGCACGGCTTGAGTGGAATGATGCCCACAAACCTACTAAACGCCTGGGCATGCTCCCAGTCACTAGGACGGTCGCACAGACAACTTGGATTTTCAAACAAGTACACAAAACAGGTGCACAACGCCCCGGACATCCAAGCTATTCTTACACAACTAAGATTTGTTCTACGTTCCTGTTTTCATTGTTCCCCTACTAAAAGCCATCAGATTTCAGACTTGAAGTAGTGACCATATCGGTCGGGGTCGAGAGGTAAATCTAAAACAAGGTGTTTGGTAAATATGGTGCCATTCTGGGAAAGACGAATTTGACCCCACAGTGCTATACAGTATTGGTAGTGTCCGTAGTCCACGCTGTGCGTGTGGAACCCACGGCCCTCTTGGTGCCGCAAATGCAATGTATCGAGTGTTCGAGAACTCATATTGGAATACGGGGCTCACGTATAAACGATGCCCCGCTGCTGATGGGTGTAGTGATCAAGGGTCCAGATTTGGTTTCCTGCAGAAGGTGCAATGGCGAGTGGAGCGGTGTCCGTCGTCGTTCCGGTCGTCATATCGCCGACTTTAACCACATACTGACTTTCAACTGCTTGTCCCTGGAAAGTAAACTTTTGGAAACTCGGGGTCAATTATACGGTAGGTGTGCGAGATAAGAGACTTACGAGCATGGCCTGAATGCCAGAGCCCTCGGACGTGGCACCCAGATACCGAGAGGTACTGATAGGACTTCACACCGATTGTGGGCCCTTTACTAGTGTCGTTCGCATTGGCAGAAATGACAGGTGATTGAAAAGCGGGTATGTTGTCAGTGGCAGCCGTACCGATGATAAGGCGAAGAGAGACTTGACTCTGCGTTATCCTCGAAGACATCGGGGTTGAATCCTCGATGAGGGCAGCCAGAAGCTGGAATGCCGCGCTCTGAAGGTGAGCCAAATGGAACAATTTGCTAGACAACTCGACGGGCGTAAGTTGTAACTAGGAACGAGTCAAAGTCGTTACTCCCAGGACAGGCAAGAAATAAACACCCGGAATTCCGTTGGCTAGAAAATATTTTGCATTCCAAAAAGTATCACTGGCCAACGTGGGGATCGAACCCAAGACCTTCGCGTTATTAGCACGACGCTCTAACCAACTGAGCTAGTCGGCCGATGCTCAACTACCAATTTTAGAGAAATTCAATGTCAGTTTTGGCGAGCAGTTTTGGAGCTGGTTTCATTTTCGTGGCATCCTTAACCAGTGGCTGGCTTTCGAAACACGCAGTATGTCACTGCGAACGCGCCTACACAAGCAAGGGCCGGAGGACGTCAGTCCTCGAGGTCAAGTGCAGATCATCTGGGTTCAACGAATCACTTCCTCAGTTCTGGCACAAAAGAGTAGATAGATGAAATACAATATATCATACATAAATATTACAAGGTTCCCTCGACATTCATGGGTTCAGGTTGAGGTGATTGAATAATGGGTTCTCCACTATCCTCTGGGACAGCAGGCCCAGGGACGGGATTGTCCGTCGCTATTGGTTCCGTTTCTCCACCTTCCGCTTCTGCACCCATGTCTGTTTCTGTCTCCATTTCCGCTATTGCTCGTCTGGGAGACAAAATGAGAGAAATAATGAGAAAACAGAGAGCGCGTACTGGTATGCGTCCCGACAGTCCTTCCTGATGCTACTTGTCTTCCAACGTTGACGACGTGACTGTGGCGCCAACAGTTCTGAGTCCAGTTCTTAGCCCGAGAATCAGTCATACAATGCCCATGGAGTTGAAGTAATCTTACCTTGGTTTTCGCCCAAGAGTAACAATTTGCTGAGTTCAGCCCATTGCCTACAAAAACACCAGTGATCACAATCGCGTAACACGGGACAATGCATGGATTACCATTGAGATGATTTGTCAAAGAATTGAACGAGGTGCAGTGGACCGCTCTCAGTTCGGCGCATTGTATCTCGCTGCTTCTTCACGACTTTGGGTATTCGTTCGTCATCAGGCTCGTACACTACTGCCGGCCACCATGGATAAGTGCCTAAGAAGAGAATCAGCGAAGCCCTGATGAATAGGGAATTAACACGCACTAGCTTTCGCCCAAACTACATCAACACAATCAGTACGGGTACCGTATCACCTGCTAACAACGTACCAAGAGTTCCACCCTCCAGCATCTTACCATCCTCAAGAATGATGGTGCCCGGTTCACGGCGGGTGGGTACCGTGGGTGGAATTACAGCCTGTACAGGCTGAGGCAACTGTGTGGGACCCGATTGCTGCTCAGCGCTTTTTGTGTCACCGTCACCTCCATCCTCACTTTCCAGTTCACTTAGAGACGATAGATCCGAGTCTTCATGGCTGGGCTCTGAAGCGTTGAGCGCTTGCTGTGCCGCAAGAATAGCCGCGGCCTTTTCCGCTTTCCTCCGCTGTGCCTTTTCTCTGCGAGTCGCCGGAGTATCCAATTCCTCGATAACAATCCTCCCGCGTTCAGTGATAACCTTCGTATGCGGTTCAACTCGTATCGATGCAATGCGAGCTTCTAGTTCTTCTTGGGTCATTTCTGCTTCCTGGACTGTCGCTTCTATGACTGAAGGTCCCGTCTCAGTCATTTGTTCGGTAGATAATGCCGAAGGACCAGCGATTGGTTCGGAGGGTGCGATGTCCTGGACGACATGATGCTCTGACGTAGTCCAGCTGAGCGTTGAAACGTGCGATGTTCCGCGATCTGGAACACGAGAACGTGAAGAATGTACGTCGTGCACAACGCTATGGAACTCACCTATCCGCGCACGCTTTTTCGGTGGTGGTTGCGAAGACCTGTCCAGCATTTGCCGCCCACCTCGCTTCTGGCCACTCGGGAGAATCCACCCAGCGTCAAACATCTTGAAGGAACCCTGATTATCCACATCTTCGACTACTTGTGGAACGACTAACGGGATCTGTGCAGCGGTAGGTACACGCCGCCCTTTCACGGGTTTCTGTACCGTTGCATCATGGGTTTCTGCGTCAACAACACTGCCCGCCGCCTCTGCCTCAAAAGCTGCTAGCACAGCATGGGCGCGGCGGGTGCGCGGCGCGCGGAAACCAGGTGATATGTCCAAAGCATTTGGTTCTCTGACTTTGGGTACTCTGGCCGCCGCTTTCTTTGGTGCCTTCGGCTTTGGTGGTGGTGGCGGCGGGGGCGGTTTGAGCTGGCCGAGCTCAAAGTTGAACAGGGAAGAGAGGGGATCAGTTTTTAGGATGAATCGATAGTCGTTCTGAATTGCTTCCGAAGACCCTAGGAGTTCAAGCAGTTCCAATGGGGACTCAAGATCACCCATGGGCACATCGAGCGTCTGAGGATCAGGAACAGTGGTGTCAACCACGGAGTCCCGATGAAGGGTTGAAGAAAGATCAGCTAAGATGGGCTGAATACCAGTTTGCATGCGCTGAGCGGTCTTGTAGAAGGGTGTACCAGGCTTGTTATACAAGGTAGCATTTGACAAGACTAACTCGACATCGTTCTGTGAGGGACTGTCAACTCTGCGATTACTTCGTTAGGGGATTCCCGACCTTAAATGCACCCAAATCCCAGTACTCGTGGTGATCTAATTTCGCGTCAATGATATCCCAACTCATAGGATTCTTTACGACGTCATAATAATCAGGGACCTCTATCTTTGACACGGGGTGCTTAAACAGACCATTGCGATCGAGCCTACACGAAAGTGAGGAGTAATAGAATGACAAAACCAACGAACTCACGCAAGGATTTTCTCAAACGCTAGGCGCATCGGCGCCTCGTGCGGGAACAGAATGACCTCCAGTACCCTGTGGATCGATTCTAATTGCGCAAGCTTACGACTCTCCCGCTTGCGACTCAGCAGAGTAAGCTCGCGAAGCGTTTCAAGGTCCTTTCGGACTCGTCTCAAGTGCTGAATAGATGTTAGCTAGTCAAGGCTGATAACGTCATACCAGCGTACCTCGAGTTTCAAAGCCTTTTCCTCTTCTGTCTGCACTTTCCCAACATTGGAAGCAGTCCAAGGCTCGAGATGGAGCCGCTTTAGAAGTGGGGCTCCCCGCCTTGCCTCTCGTTTCAAGCTCCAGTACTTACATACCATGCATACGAACTCAGACTTCTTTCGGATAATGATTTTGGTAATGTAGTTTAGAATGCGATCAACGATGATTTGTGGGACCAAAGGTGGTCCGGTCTTGTACGTCTTTGCGTACGCTCTCGCAGACTTTGAGAGCTTGGAGTTTGGACTTGACATGACGCCATCCGCGGCCAAAGCTTTCAGTCTAGCCTCTACCTGCTCTTTCTGCAGCATCGGCATATGCTTAGCGGGTGGATAACATACACACAAAGGAATCTCTTACAGAGAGGTGTTTCTCGCAGTAACATGTCAGCGTGACAGGTTCAGAACCTTGCATGCTTTTCATTGGCATGAGTAATTTTTCTTTTCTCGCACAGGTAGCATGAAATGCGAGAAAGCATGACGATTTTGTACACTGAATGCACGCTCCCTCGCGAATGCCACATATTGAACATTTCTGGATGGGTAAGTAAGCGGTATGTTCACTGCGTTAGAGAGAAGGAATGAGGAACTTACTAACTTCCATCTCTGTTTGGGAATCCTTTCGGAACCGGATATCGGTTCCATGAAGACTTCGTTGGCAACACGAGTCTCTGGAATCCAAATGGCACAGAGAAGATGAGCCCAGTCCCCAAGAACCGTTTGCTTGAATGCGCCTCCCTCGTTTGGACAGAATATACAGGACTGTGCGAAATCCGGTGATGAAACAGGTCATGAGGACTCCGGGAGAATCTTACGACAGGATTTTCGGGCGACACCGTACATTTGCGGCAGAGCCACTGACCCTCCGGAATGTATGGAACACCATAACAATCTGGGTGATGTTACATGATAACCAAGAACCTTGGACGTGTGGACGTACCTTGGTGTACAGCCAAGTTACAACCATCACAGAAAACAATTGCATTGCTATTCTCTCCTTCCGGATCGTCACAGACAGCGCAGGTTGAGTCCTCGGAGGGCATAGCGTAGTCTGGTTTTGGGATATTCTTGGTCTGCAGGAGGTATTCGCATGTTGTTCGGCACGAGACGCGAGACACGAATGAGACTTGCCAAATCAAAGTATTCCTTCTCTAGACGATCCATGATGATCTCAAAAGTCTCGTATGTGACCAAGTTCAGTTGGTCCTTCTTGCGTTCGACGTTGACTGCGTCAAGCCACTCCTGGTCTGTTGAAGGCGTCGGACACAGTGCAGCTCGCGAACGAAACCAGACTTTCCTTGTTCGTCCATATCATATTCCACCTGGGTGGCCAAGTCTCTCTCCAAGGGCTCTACTGTATGTTGAGGTCCGCTGGAGGCAGGCGTCGATGGGGTTGACTCACCTATATAGCGAATGTAATGATCTGGTTTCTGAAACTCCGAGAAGTCGTTGTCTGGTGCATGGTTAGATGCACGTCATACGAAGAAGGTCGATAACAGGAGGACGTACAGCCATATGACCTCGCTTGCAGATCATGGACTCCGGCCGGTTGTGTGGAGTCGTCATTCTGGACGATTTCGAAGGAGACTTTGGGTAACTTGGCTTGCTCTGGCAGTTTCACGCCCCGTGCCATGAATGCGGGACGCCGAAAACAGCGTTGCAAGCAGTGTAAACAGGGGGTGCGAGTCGTTCCTAGTACTCAGTAATAGCTGGAGGCAACGGGGGAATATCGACAAATATGGCAACAGGTTTAGGCTCCGGGTCCAATCGATCTCATTCTAGTTCTGGATTGGCAGCGTCGGCCAACATGTACGCCCCGGCGCGACACAATATTATTGTGTCGCTCAGAGAGGCTGTCGTACATCCCCTTACGTCGATGCCAGCCCAATCTCGCAGAACGCTAGTGCTGCATAGGCAATACCGGACGCTGTTCACTTCCTCAACGGGCGTCAAGTCACGCTATCGGCCTCCTCATCTATATAATCGTGCAGCCTCGTATTCGTCTATTCCCAAGCCCATCGTCTGGGGGTTGGGGGTGTCCGTCGCATGTATTGTCGTGGGAGCCGCTGGGATCAGCTACGCAAATTATAAAATCAAAGGTCACCTGGACCTCTATTTCGATGACTTCGGGTTTGCTTATGCTGTGCAGAGCTTCGCAGGAAGACCACCAAACAGATAGAGGACTTGTTTAATTCTGCCTCAGACGGACTCAAATCAGCCCAAGCCAGTCTTTCCGAGGTCCGTCTTCCTGAGGTCCGTCTTCCCGAGGTCCGTCTTCCCGAAGTCCGTCTTCCCGAGGTCCGTCTTCCCGAAGTCCGTCTGCCCGAGGTCCGTCTGCCCGAAGTCCGTCTGCCCGAAGTCCGTCTGCCCGAGGTCCGTCTGCCCGAGGTCCGTCTGCCCGAATTCCGTCTGCCTGAAGTCCGTCTACCCGAAGTCCGCCTGCCCGAGGTCCGCCTGCCCGAAGTCCGTCTGCCCAAGGTCCATCTTCCCGAGGTCAAGTTACCACATGTTGATACACCGCAATTCCTCAAGAACCTCTTTGCCCCTGCTAGCAGTGGTGGGGCGGATAATATCGATGGCTCTTCAAGTAAAGAAGATGGAAATCAGAAGCGCTCTCCTGAACATGGTGATAAGTAGATCTCCTTGGTGTTGTGTCACTGAGCTATAACATCCTTTCCTTTCCATCTCTGCTACTTGCTATATAGGTACAACGTCACATTCCCCACTTCTTTGCTTTCATGATCTGTCTTTTCGCTTTGCCTTGATGTGACTCACCTAGACACTTGTTTGGGCATGCTCTATCTTCTACTTTGTTTGATCACTTGTAGTACCTCTGGCGAACTATTTATGCTCCTGCAGTCTTCTGATTGGTTCTAGTTGGTTGTTTAGACTGTTGGACATTTGCACTTCTGCACACAAGCTCTGTATATTCTTGGAGTAAATTGCTATCGATGTGACTGGTCTGTCTACTAGCGCCTCCACCCCATTACTCGTCCCCTCGATGTCGGATACCTCGTTCGAGGTCGCATTTCGCGGCAATACTCACAGAGTCTCGCTTCCCTTAGATGCACCTGTCTCATCGCTGCATGCTAGGCTGGAGGAGCTGACGCAAGTTCCGCCGTCAGCCCAGAAACTACTTTTCAGAGGCAAGAAGATCGGTGCGAGCCAAGAAGGCGTGACCCTGGCCGAAGCTGGTTTGAGGGATGGCATCAAAATTCAAATGTTGGGCTCGACCGCTCATGAGCTAGAGGCTCTCCATGAAACCGAAACCGAGTATCACACGAAGGAACGCATCCTGCGAGGGAGAGGGCTTAAACCCCGAGTCAAGGCAAGACTTATGATCTCGACGATTTTTTTCGTTGTGTTGACGTGCACTCGGTAGTTGCGTTCCACTGGTTCTTCAAGCACGTCCGCTACGCAGTATAGGTTTCACAAGCTCGAACCCTTGGGACATCTTCCTGACCCACCAGCTGCACTCGCGCGTCTGTCCAAGTTGGCCAGCGACCCTGCATTACAACACATCATGCAGAAACACAAGTTTTCTGTCGGTCTGCTTACGGAACTTGCGCCTCACGAGAGCCCGGGCCTCTTAGGGTTGAACGTTGGCGCAGGACAAGCCATCAGATTACGCATACGAACAGATGAATACGATGGATTTCGTCCGTACCTGGAAGTCCGCCGTGTGCTTTGCCATGAACTTGCTCATAATGTCTGGGGCGAACACGATAACAACGTCAGTTAATGCTCTCCCATAGATTCGAATACCATTGCTCACTCATGATACGCAGTTCAAGGAGTTAAATTCCAAACTTAATAGAGAAGTTGCCGAGTTTGAAGCAGCTCAGGCTCATGGAACACATTATTTAGTAGACGTCAGGGGTACCTATGAACCCTCTTCCAATGAAGAGGGCGAAGCCCTTGTGCATGTCCTTGGGGGGAGTAGCACGCCTCTGACTGATTCGATTGAAGATAGACGACGGCGTGCACTCGATGCTGCAACTTCCAGATTAAAGAAACAGGAGGAAGAGCTGGAACAAAGCTGTGGGACAACTAAACCTCCGAGCACCACGTAGCTCTGAAGATTTACTGGTTTTTATCATAGTGCACCAGTCACACAGTTATATCGGTCCTTGGTGTAGCATTAGAATGGAGCTGTGTATGTAACTGCCCCTAGGGCTGCAGTATGTACCATAGTACCGCGGGAAGAAGGGTACATATTTACATTAGTGCCCTTTCCCCACCTGTATTAACAGTGATCCAACTTCAGGTTGACTTCCGAGTGACAAGGAGCGCAAGGTCCTTTCAGGCGTGTCAATATATGAAGAAGGGGTCAAAAAAATGGGACTAACGATGACTTGACTAGTAAAACTGATACGTTGGAACCTTGTAACTTTGCCCTCATCGGGTCCTTCGTTACCTAGATGGAGGGCTCGCATCAGGGCCTCCACTTCGTCCGTTGACTGCCCTGGATCCTGTGCAAAGAAATTATATGGAAAAAAAGGTTGTGGGAACATATCTACATACTCCTTTCCCTGGCCCAGGGTTTTCATCCACGTCTTGTTCAACGTCGGATTCATCGAGAACCTGTATGAATGTACATCGTAAGCCCAAGAATCATGGATGAGGGTGTTACTGACCTTGAGTGGTTCCCTACGTCCAGGCCCGGTTCTAGGGTAGGGGTGGAAACGTAGCATGTGCGAATGCCTGTAACTGGGCAGCCGGCTGGGGTCGAACAGTGCGGAACTCATGAGTAGGGCGAGTAAGGAGAGGAAGGGGGGAGTCTACTTTCAGCCCACTGCCTTCCGTAGGTCACCACGTAGCTTATATGCATTTGCAGACTGGCGCATGGCAACAGATCCAAATTCAGCGCAACTTCATGTTGTGTGCAATCGAGGAACATGAGCGTAGACCAAAGAGGGGAAAGCAAACTTCTGATTGGATAGGTTCCTTGAACGGGAAACTGGATCTCGGGGTGGATACCTGACGGTGTAACTTTGCATGCTTCCCGCTCCGAGCTTTACCAAAAGAAGTCAGTGGGTTGTCCGCGTATATTGCCATGCTCCTTTGCATGGCCCTCGCTTGTGCAATCCTCGGGTTGTTCGATGTCATGATGGACGAATCAGAAAGCCAAGAAGATAGGATGAGACGGAGAACAAATAACCCGCACACGATCAAGGAATTTCGCGAGAAAATCCACCGGACCCCTAGTTACTAACCGCAAAGACTTGGCTCCGTCACTCGTAAAGCGCAACTACCGGAGGATCTGACACATACGTCGCCAGTGTCACCAGTGTGCAGCCAAGGAAGAGAACCTACTATTAATACGACATCAAACCTTCCGCGAGGAGTTTACATGGGCGCAACATATGTTGATCGACTGACATTGTAATTACATTCGGCGCTCGCTTGTGGGGCCCACTCATTTGCAGCTCGGAGTCGGTTATTTGTAGAACCAAAGTGAAAGAGGGGAACGGCGTACTTTTAAATGTCAGGTTCGGCGTCAGGGTTGGTTGAAAGTCAAGTCGAAAGATAAATGGAGTACTCGTGCAAGACATAATTGTAGGGTCATAATCACGGACTGGAGCACAGAGGGTTAGTGCCTTCCGATCCCAGGGTCGGGCACCCGCCTCGCTGAGGTATACTACCAGTTGGGAGGAGATGACACCACACAATCAATACGCAGTGAAGGTACTTTGGGTGCTCCATGTCATCCAAAATCCCTTCATCGCGTAGTAATAAAACACGGCAGATTTTCCACTGAGAAAACCCTGCTTAGAGCTCGTGGTGTCGGTTCAAACCTTGGCGATGCTGCAATTTCAATGCCCGACCTTGAAAATGGTGACCGACTGTCGGGGGAACCGATGGTCAGAGAATAAATGCTGCTAACCCAAAAGCCTTCGATCCGGCGCCACGACACTCGGCAACTGGAATGAGAAACTCAAATTTCAAGTCCCCTGGGTGCGACCCTTCGAATCAACGAACAATGACGATTCAGTTTAACTTTCTTACCGTCAAATAGATTACCCGTGGCCTCGATGACAGGGCGGATTATCGGGTTACGACAGATTTGAAGCAACTCATCGTCGGATAATAACGTCAAGTGCTGTCAGACCCCCCCACTAGAGAGGACTCGAGTATGATCGGGCCCAACTCTAGTTCCGTTCGCTGCGCACGATCCGAGGAACCCGCCTCGACGGGCATTTCCCTGCCAAGTTCGATGAAATGCTTCAGGCAGCACAGTCACACTCCTGTGTTACGCTTCGGCGATCTCCGTCCGTTTTCTACGTTACCTTCCACGCGACGTGACGTCCGCGTACCACAAACAGGCCCAGAGGATGCCGCAGAGGCAGATGAGAGGAGTTCCTATGTGTTGAAGAGTTGAGATTGGTTTGGAACTGTTCAGGTCCTCGACATACATGCGTAGGCAGTGACGGGCATGGCAAGGTTGGTTTCGCATGGAACTGATTCGGACTTAGCCGGTGCAGGCGTACTACTCTCGAGTCGTTCCTACTGTGACCACCATTAATGTTAACCTGGCCGAGGGCGACCACGAATAACGTCATTTATGGTTACCCTTGGCCAGTTTAACGGGCTGTGGTCATTTCCCCTGGGGAACCTCCTGTGCTCTGGGTTCGAACGCGACCGACCTGAGCCGCCAAAGATTTTGAGATCAACACCACGATTATCCGTCTTGTCTACTTTCTCCACTTCCTGTCAGCACTGGAGGAAACCGACCTATTCAGGGTGGTTCCAATAGGCCCCCGGAGTGGCAGATGGCACCACCGAACCACGGATGCCTACCGTCCGCTGGCAGAAGTTAAATGTATCTTTACTGCCAACGCACCACGCTGACATTATTCATGATGGTGCAAACCTGGTACAGACGTTAAACCTTTGATGGCAAGGTTTGGAACCACTATCTCAGCGTGCCATATTTAATCTTTCTCTTCAGCTCACATATGCACATAGCTTGTTATTAATACTATGGTCATCCGATCATAAACAACCACGTAAGTACGTGTCTCGACTTTACAATGTTCCCGTGGAAAGTTCCCGGGAACGAAAACGTCCCATCCTATGGATCCTGAATTTGAAGGGCCTGACGGATGGAACTTCCACTTATCAAGCGACGACCAGCGTCCAGATGGACTCGTGTCACACTAGAGATGACAATTAATCCAAATGAAGGTAAGTGCAAAGGTAATTATGAGGCCTGGGTGCCACTCTTCTCTACTGGTGGCAGCGTATCCTTCAGCTGTTCACTTTCGCACACTGCTTTTGCAAATGCACGGAAGTCTGGCTTGGAGGCCCTCCCAGGCTGAATGAATGGTCATAAAAATCCTTATCACCTTGAAACCAGACATGCTGCGTACCTTGAGGGCATAGATGACAATATCTTCCTTCGTCTCCTTATCTACTATGATTTGTTCCCTGAGGATGACCCGAAGGATGCTCTCCGCCTCATCAAAGTGACATCGAACCGCTGGGCGCAACGCCACGTTCATCGACACCTGTCCGAGTGGGTCTCGGCGAAAGACTAACGATTTCGCCATCGCGGGCGGGGGTACAAACAGGTCGCAAGAGTGCGAGATTCAACGGGCGCATCAGGGGCTTGCGAGGTGGGGTGACTTACGTAGTCGAGTACGATTATTGGCGGCGTTTTCGGTTTGGCCTTCCTTCTCGTCCCCATCCTTGCTCGCAGACGCGTCTACCTTGCAAGAGAGCAGTTTAACGTGACCATACATCCCACTCGTGAATTCCTTTCGTCCGCGCTTGATAAAGAGTTTGATGCCCTTAAGATCGGAGGTGACTACTTCACCTTCTTCGCCAGTCGTGTCTTGTGGGGGTCATTAGTAAGGATGTGGATATCCCCCATCGACTACAAAACGCACGGGAAGACGGTTGCTTTGCGGGTGCTTGAGTGGACCGCAGCACTGTGAATGATGATTCTCCTGTGACCTCTAAGGAGATATCATTTGGAGAACCTGTGAGCTTCTGCGTAGAATTATCACTTGTAATTTCCGAGTCGCTTTTCTTGCGTCGCCATGCTGGCGTAGTCTTTGCACCCTGGCCCGCAAGCCCAAAAGGGGTGCCGTTAGGGTTGGAGTATGTCGTGAAGGGCGAACTAGAGCTGGCGAATGCAGAAAAAGGGTTGGAAGTCGGGGTTTGGACCTTTGAAGGTTTCGGTGGCGGAGTGGTTGGTGCTTCCGGCTCGGCACTTGGAACGTTCGGGAGAGGACTAGGGTTGCGAGCGTGCGGTACTGGTTCCGACGGCTTTCCCGAATCAATATCTTGCTTTTCAACGTAAGTTCCATCATTTGCTGTACGATCTGGGGATTTCTAGGAGGAAATCTGATGAAAACGATGCTCTACCATGAATTTACGGTCTTACTTCACAGGGAGCTGGCGTGGGTTCAGCGTTGTGACTGGGTGAAGCAATATGTTCCGGTGTTTCCGTCTTCTGTGGGGCGGTTGCTTCTTCATAGGTGGGTGGAGCTACAATCACCTCCCATTCCTAACTCGGGTGAGTCATGATAAGGTTCGAATCGCGATAACTGAGGGGCGGTGTGATTGCAAACGACGGAAACTTACGTCCTCATCTTCGCCCCGCTGTTCCGTAGGTGGAGTCTTGCTCCGTTTCATAGGTCGTTGCTGCTGGTCTGTGCAAGCCTCACCATTATCGGAGTCGTCGAGCTTCCGCTTCAGAGACCTTTCTTCCAGGGGGCCGGCTTCAACGTCGCTGTCGGCCGCTGTACATCATCGTGACAAGGGCGCATTGGCTGTCGTTGACTTACGCTCCAGGCTTCTCTGTCGATGTGGGGGAATGAGTGGCCTTTCGGGTGTAGGCGTATCCGAGCGTTGCCGCTACAGTTGCAATGCCACAGAATGCGAACTGGAATTCTGTTATAGGCAGCATGGTAGTTCAAAGCTATGTTGTTAGGAATGGGTGGAGCGTTTAGTCTGCGGTGGGATCAGGGTTTATGAGGCGCGAGGCACTCGTGCGTGGCGATTATCGTCGCTGCTGTGCGTCGTTCAGGAAGAAGGGGCAAGAGAGCCGAGTTAGTGATTTATGACATTGCAATCAACGCCGTTTTATATGGGCTCCTTAGATTGATACATGACGAGGACACGAGTGCGGTGCCTCGAGGCGTCCGCACGTCAATTACCTACCAGAGCGGATTCCACGTGTTCACCAGCATCGCTTAGATATCCAGAGGCAGCCTAGGGTGGTGCACTGGAGAAGATGCATCGCATGGCCATGCTGGCTATCACCACCCTAGATATCGAATTAGGTCTTCAGAGCGTCTGGTGGCCAGCTAGAACTCCATATCACAGGGTTGTTTTTTTAGTAGCGGTAGCCGAACATCCCGCTGGCAAGGGTATGGGGCCCAGCCCACTGCTGGAGGCTGGCGCAAGGAGACCGCAGTGTATATTCACTTGAGATACCAGCTGCACTGCAGCAATTTGAAGGCTGGCCAGGGGCTGGCCTCACTGCTGTGGGGTGGCAGTGTCATGACATAAGCAACACTGCGGAGAACACGTCGACCAGCCGAATGCTAGCGTCTCTACTACAACGTCGCGTCTGACAGTGAGCAGCGGCCATGCCGACTGCCTACCCGCTCCCTGAAAACATCTCCCCGGCGACAGTCGCGAACACTGCGTCGCTACTTCGCATTATAGCATTGGGTCTCATCTCTGCCGCTGCCATTGCGTCGCGTCTCTTCGCTGTCGTCAATTTCGAGAGTATCATTCACGAGTTGTATGTTTTTCATTCATGTCTATTTATTATCCGAACTCACCTCCCGCCTCCAGTGATCCATGGTTCAATTAGTGAGTGTCGTGTCATTCTTCCACGCAGTTCAAGCTCCCAAACTGGCTCCAGCCGTGCTACCAGGGTTCTTGCATCGAAGGGCTTCTACGTGAGTGTGTTTTGCGTCGAGTCCTTCAACTCCGCTGAGATACTCTCACTCCAAAAAGGAATTCTGGAATTGGTTCGACCCCACAGCATGGTATCCTCTGGGTCGTGTGGTCGGTGGTACCATCTACCCAGGTCTCATGGCAACTAGCGGTGTGATTTACAACATCCTTCACGCCCTCCACCTACCAGTCGACATCCGTAACATATGTGTCCTTCTTGCACCAGGCTTCAGTGCCTTGACAGCATGGGCTACATATATGTACGTATTCCACCTGAGTAAATCATACAATGCGTCTGAGATACGTTTCAGGTTCACCAAGGAATTGAAGGACGATAGTGCTGGTCTTCTGGCCGCTGCTTTCATTGGCATCGTGCCTGGCTATATCTCGCGTTCCGTTGCAGGGTCATACGACAATGAAGCAATCGCCATCTTTCTCCTTATGTTCACTTTCTTCAGCTGGATCAAGGCCCTGAAGCAAGGCAGCGCGTTCTTTGGGACAATTGCCGCTCTGTTCTACTTCTACATGGTTGCTGCATGGGGTTCGTAGCTCATTGCATCTCCTCTTGCATTCATAATATGAGCTATTGTTCTTAGGTGGCTATGTATTTATAACGAACATGATACCTCTCCACGCGCTGGTCCTCTTGCTTATGGGTCGTTTCACCAGCCGCCTCTATGTTGCATACTCGTCATGGTATGCCATCGGAACGCTCGCAAGTATGCAAGTCCCCTTCGTCGGTTTCCAGCCGGTACGGACTAGCGAACATATGGCGGCTCTAGGTAACTGCGGATTGGTGCATGGTAGCATGATATGTCTTACGCTGGTTTCTTCCAGGTGTCTTTGGCCTTCTGCAAATCGTCGCATTCGCGCAGCTGGTCCGCGCTCACGTTTCATCTAAACAGTTCCAAAATCTGCTCTTACTCGCAGTCGTGTCTACAGGAGTCCTCGGGTTCCTAGCTATCGTCGGCCTCACCTACAAAGGTTGGATTGCGCCTTGGACGGGCCGTTTCTACTCCTTGTGGGACACTGGCTATGCCAAGAAGTTCGTGCAGCATCCCCTGGTTCGTTGCTGTCGTTTCTAACCCTCTTACTCAATACAGGTATATCCCTATCATTGCCTCCGTCTCCGAGCACCAGCCTACAGCGTGGCCATCGTTTTTCATGGACCTCCATTTCCTCATATGGGTGTTCCCCGCCGGTGTCGTGATGTGTTTCCGTGCTCTCCGAGACGAGCACGTCTTTGTCATTATATACGCAGTGATGGCGAGTTACTTTGCGGGCGTCATGGTCCGCCTCATGTTAGCGCTCACACCTGTGGTCTGTGTAACCTCTGCCGTGGCTTTATCGTCTCTGCTCGATATCTACCTGGACCCAACCGACCCCACAGTCAACGAAAATGCTGAGCCAATTAACGACACTCCCTCTTCAACGAACGTATCTGTCACTCCGAAGAAGGCAAAAAAGCTCAAGGACAAGGAAGCCCCGGCTACCCCTGGTACTGCTCGTGGCGAACTAGTTGCTAGGTGCTACTTCAGCACCAGGGGGTTCGACCGGTAGTGTCAAGGCAACCAAGGGTATCTTTGGCCTCGATGGACGCATTGCCGTACTCGTGAATACCCTTGGTCTCCTTCTATTCTTTGTGGTTCATTGCACCTGGGTGACTTCGAACGCTTACTCTTCACCTTCCGTTGTCCTTGCGTCTAGCGGACCCTGATGGGAGCCAACATATCATTGACGATTTCAGAGAGGCGTACTACTGGTTGAGACAGAATACTGCGGAAGATGCTGTTGTGATGAGCTGGTGGGACTATGGATACCAGATTGCAGGCATGGCGAATCGCACAACGTTGGTCGACAATAACACGTGGAATAACAGTAGGCTATTCGTATTTTGCCATTCGCTATAAGTTGAACTGACCAACTAATCTCAGCTCACATTGCTACCGTCGGTAAAGCCATGTCCTCGTCCGAGGAGGTTGCCTACCCTATCTTGCGCAAGCACGATGTGAATTACGTTCTCATTATCTTCGGCGGTCTCATCGGCTACTCCGGCGACGACTTGAACAAGTTCCTTTGGATGGTGCGCATCGCACAAGGGGTGTGGCCTGACGAGATCCAAGAACCAAACTACTTCAGCAATGGCGAATACCGCGTCGACGACCGGGCTTCTCCCACGATGAAGGAAAGCTTGATGTACAAGATGACCTACTACCGCTTTGCGCAGCTGTTCGGCGGAGGACAAGCTATTGACCGCGTACGAGGACAGAATATGCCTCTTAATGGACCAACCCTAGACTATCTCGGTCAGTGGACAGGTGACTTCCTTTCGTGGTAATTTCTCACTCGTATGAATAGAGGAAGCATTCACGTCGGAGAATTGGATAGTAAGTATTGGGGTCTATCCGGTTCGGAGTGACGAACTGATCAATATGGAAAAGGTTCGCATTTACGAAGTAAAGAAGGACGACGTCCTTGGTCGTGACCTCAAGGTTGCAAACGCATTCGCAGAGGGCAAAAAACGCAAACGGTCGAAACCGATTGCAAGGCGGAAAGCTATCGCTGCCTGAGCGCCACGAAGAACGAGTGTAAGAAGTCACCGTTGGTGGGATGGCCAAGCCTGCCTCTTCCATTTACCTTATAGATTATTGCTCTGTTTTCCCACCGATGCACGTAGCTATATTCAATACGGTCCTCAGGATTCTGTAGAACTGACCCAGCTAGCTGGAGGCCTTGCAGTTACAGACCTGCACCTTCCTCTTGGCGCTATCAGTAACGGTCTGGTGATCAGACACGCCGAACTGCATTTGCCAGCCAAATGTCCCCCGATGTGACCCATAAGTTTGACACTGAACGGTCCCCATGGTCAGAGAAGATGTTCTGAACAGAGCACTGAATGAGTAATCAAGCCCACGTTCTATTAGCAGTCCCAGTAGGCCCCGCGTACGGCCACGCGGATATGGCCTAGGTATTGGAGTTAAGTCATAACGTGGAGACCACATACAGACAGCCATGAGTACGAGCCCGGGGAACGCATACGCACCCATTGCACAAGGGCCTTCCCAGGAGGATATCAACGTGCAGGGGTCCAGGGTGATGAGCAGCAGGTGGTAGTATTTCTCAAGTTTTTTATCCCCTATATGCGTTTGTCCTCAATACGTCCTAGCATGATGCACTGGAGAGTGTATTGTGGCACCATCCAGGGGAGCGTTGCAGAATGCGTGCGCAATAATCTCGGCCTTCTACTCGTCATGCTCTCGCAGATGTTTATATCCTTCATGAACGTCACCGTCAAAGTATTGAACCAGTTAGAACCACCGGTTCCCGCGCTTGAGGTGAGCAGCACCGATATTTCTCCTCAGCAGTTGCCCTTGTCTAGCCATGTTGACAATTTTCCAGCTTATACTTGTCCGTATGGTATAATGTTTGCCCATGATCCATTAATTCCTGTTGTTGCTAACCTTGGGTGTCAGGTTATTACCTTCATTTGTTGCGAGATATACATGTGCGTCTTCCAGCAGCAATGGCTCATCCTCAGTTGACCGCCAACTGTGTGGCACAGGATTGCCGCAAAAGTACCGGATCCGTTTCTTGGGCCGAAGGACGTTAGGTCACTTTTGATATGTCGGGGCGTTGCTGGGTGCTAAGCTTAGATTCCAAAAAACGTGGACTAGAACTGACGGGTGCGGTGAATTTTTAGGTTTTTCGCGCTTTTTGGCACTTATTACGCACTTCAATATCTCTCGTTGGGAGACGTCACTGCACTGGGATTTACTGGCCCTATATTCACGGGAATAGCAGGCCGTCTGTTCCTAGGGGAAACCTATTCCAAGAGGGAGGCGGTTGCATCATGTCAGTGTTCTCTACGGATGAATTGTCTGTTTCACTTACGGACAGGTGTGGTGCAGTTTTCAGTCTCTTCGGTGTTGTCTTGATCGTGAGACCCCCTTTTTTGTTTGAAAGTACTAGAAATCCAGAGCTCGAAGAACCTGCTGTAAATGCTGGGGCTGGGATTAGGTTGCGTGCCACTGCGTACGAGATAGTCACCTTCGTATCCCCCTGCAGTTTATCTTTCACTTGAATGTAGGGTGTTAATGATGGGTGTACTGATAGCCACATTCGCGAGTGCGTTCATCTTCAGTCATAGATTTTGCGACTAAGTGTAAACTGCACGTAAAACAGAGATCACGATTCGTGCCATCGGAACACGAGCACATGCAATGCACTCGATGACTTATTTCTCCTTGTGGTGTGTTATAGTATCAACAATTGGGTAGGTTCATCCCCTAGTTACTATATAGCATCATAACGTATATTCCACAGATTGTTTCTTTCCGGGGAACCCATCGTTTACCCAACTCAATGGCAGTGGGGCATATTGCTGCTATTGATAGGCGTGTTTGGTTTCACTGCACAGGTACGATACACTCTATCGTAGTTTGATGACACCATCTAACGGAATCACAGATGTGCCTGACAATGGGACTTCAGCGCGAGACCGCTGCTCGTGGAGCGATCGGAGTCTATGTGCAGGTGATCTTCGCTAACGTACTAGAGGTCATTTTTTTCAAAATTTTGCCATCTCTCTTGTCATTATTCGGGACCGGGATTATCGTGGCTTGTGCAATTTACGTTGTGGTGAGTCTGCATCACTTTTCTCTCTGGTATTTAGTGTGTGGTCATTGATGGGAGGTCCTTGTAGCTTTCCAAGCAAAAGCAACAGCGGCCCAAGGTAGCTCTTGAATCAGGAGAGTCCACAACCGAAGAAGGCTTGTTGACGCGTAGAAGTTCGACGTCTGAAGATTAACCCGGAAAGGTGGAGGGAGGAGAGCCCCCCCAGATTTATATACACTATGAGCGTCTACTACGCGCTAAGTGATCCGCCCGGTGGAGTCAGTACTAGTATGTAGTGATTAAATAACCAACGCATTTCTAATATAGTCCTCGCACCTGCTCGACGTAGTAAGACAATCGTAGATGTGGTGGCTGTGCGAAGGACGGTTCACAAAATTGCCACGTCAGACATAACGGATTTCAGCATGGATTCCCCTTCGCTCCAACTTGAACGTTTCCTCGCTCAAGTTGATTCCTGGTAGTATCAACCTTTTATAGTGGACTATAAACAATGCTTCTTCCCTCGTTAATATGTCTACTAATGACGCTGCCGGCGTTGGTATCGGCCGCCATCTTCCCACCAAATACTAAGGTCAAGATGCTGGATACCAAGGGATTCAAAAGGGCCATGAGGAGCAACGTGCGTGTCTCTCGTTTCACGCGTCCTTTCACAGCTTGACATCTGAAGGAAAGCGCACGGCCGTAGTCGCGTTTGTTGCTCCATGGTGCGGGGTAAGCTTATCAGTGCCAGCCGCTCCGGAGCATGAGCCAATGCTGAACCTCGAGGTATAGCATTGCCAGAGGATGGCCCCGGAATATAGCAAGGCTGCGGGAAGCCTCAACCCGCTTGTGCCATTCTACGCGGTAGGATTGCGACGTTGATACCAATAAGGCCTTGTGTGCCCAACAGGTACCCATATCTTTTGAATGGTTCGTTTCTGTCGTTAATTATGTGTACAGGAAGTGCAAGGATTCCCGACTATCAAAGTATTTCCTCGGGGTGGCCAATTGCCTGCGCAAAAATACGAGGCCGGTGAACGGACAGAGAACAATTTTGTTCGTTGGGCAACATCGATCGGTCCCTAACAAGGTGAAGGTTTTTAAAGAAACAAATGACGTGGATGAATGGCTCGGAAAGGTTTGTCACTCTTCACTGGCATGCTGTTCCAAAACGACTGATGTGAAAAAAAAAAAAAACTCAGACAAGTGATCTCCCTCGTGTGATCCTCTTAAACAAAGACAAGAAATTCCCGTTCCTCTGGCAAGTCCTCGCCAACAATTACTACAAGAAGATCGCGTTTGGCCATCGCAGTGATGCGGATGAGGTTTTTGCAGAGTCATTAGGATTTGTGGCAGACTGGGAAATCGAAGGTGGCTGTATATCCCGCGGGATCCCAAGTGCCGATTTTGTACGAAGGCGAGTACCGTTTGAATGGCCTTTTGAGCAACTGATCCTAGTGTATCGTGTGCAGGGGGGAACAAGTTTGAAGTCATTATCCAAGTTCTTTAGGTCGATAGTGGATGGGACGGCCGACTTCTTACAAGAGTCGGTCAGACCTCCTGTCAAAGATGAACTTTAGTTTTCTCGTAATTGGTTAATGACACCAGAATCTCCTGGCATTTCTTATCATTCCCTGGGCTTATCATTTCTTACTCATCCGAGCTGTCGCGTGGAAACAGAACTGTCTTATTGCCGAACGCTTTTTCTACATGGTGAACCTCCCTGCGGCCGACAATCATGGATCTCTTACTACTTGCGAAAAGTACTTTTTCCGGTTAGTCAGTCAGTCTATCTGTGTTTTACTCATGCTGCTCCAACAGTGTCCGCCTCTTCGCTTCCTCGGCGTTCCGGACGACCGATTTTTCCACTTCTTTGTCCCAGTTGGTGCCGAGCCATACAACAATGTATTCAGCGGCACCAACCGTGAACAACCCAATCACCTGGCCTAGAATCATATGAGTCAGGCGTCTCACCGACCCAAAACAGATGGACTTTCCTATCCACAGACCCTTCAAACCTAGGTGCATACGGGTGCTAAATGCCAGCGTGATTCCTACCGGTAAAGCAAGAACATAGTACGCGATGATGTTGAATATCGCTCCCAGGTGTTGGCGGCCTAGTAGTAGTCGTTATTCACTCAACAAACAAGCTGTGAAATTCGAGCGTATACCTTGTCCACGGAGTGTACCTCCGCATGCATTGGCTAAGCCATCGGCGATCTGTTACGGATCAACAGGTGGCATGGTGCAAAGAGGCGAGCTTACCTGGAACGAAGCCAGGAGGGGCATAACCTGACTTACCAGGCGCACGACGTCTTCGTCGTCGCTGAACATGTAGCCGAAATCCTGATGATTTGCTTTAGTCGTTTGTTGCCGGCTAACTGTAGCAGACGTACGTTTCTCGCAGCCAGCATGGCTGTCATTATAGCAGAGCCTACGAGAACGCTGGTTAGTGCGCTCGCGTGAGCCGCGTTTCGTGCGCCGATCGCTGAGCGTGCGCCAAGTAGGTTTCCGACGCGGGTGGACGCGACCACGCCTGCAGCACGTAAGCCATTGAATATAGGTAAAGCATGACCTCCGCCCACCGAAGCTGAATGGTATTGTGGCAATAACTGACGATTTCATGAGTGCCTCTTCTAGCTACGAGACTTGGCCTTACTCTGGTCTGTGGTCATAATGACCGATTGTGCGGCCAACGACAACTCTCCCAACTTGCCGGCTGCGAGGGCCACTATCTCGAACGCAGCCCTGTTTCGAATGATCAATGTGTGGTTTGCTGCTCCGAGACGAGGGGTACACACCACTCAGTCCCAACCATGAGGATACCGGGCAACGCAAGCTTGAGAAAGCCAAAGCAGCTTTTCAAGTTCATAACTGCTTGAAGTTGCAGTCTTCCCCAGGTTGCATTCGCCTTGTGGGTCGGAGATAGGAACGTGACAAGTATCAGCAAGATGAAGCAGAGCCAGTACGTGATAGACAACGCCACAGGACATCCAAGCATCCCGAGGGGAGTGTAATGGACGAAGAAGATGTTTAACACGAGGTTAATTGGAGATACCAGGATCAAGACGATCGTGGAGGCTCGCATGATGCCTACATGTGGGATCCAGGGTCAGTGCCGAGTTTGCGTGAGTTGTTGTTTCATTACACACCTTGACATTGTAGGTATTTCTTGAGAGACTCGAAGGCGATATAGCCAGGGGCTCCAAAGATTAGGATGCGCATGATGGCCTGCACGTCCTTGCAAAGACGTGCTGGTTCCCCGATAGCCAATAGTACCGGCTCGATGAATGCCCACAGAATTGCGACGGGTATAAAGAGCAGCCACAAAAGGATCACACATCGCTGGAAATGGACGGACAGATCGGTAGGGCGGTTACCTCCAGTGAACGACTTGTGAACCAAGGGTATCCAAGGCTGACCCACCACCGAGGGCGACGCACCAACCTGTGTATAATCTGTAGGATCATCCTTCGGCATGAGACAAGTTTGTACTAGCCAGTCACAAAGGCAAGCATCATGGAAAATGCAGCGGCAGACAGTTCCTCAGGTCCCAGGCGTCCGGTAACAAGGATTGATACTGTCTGTGTGGAATTCTGTAAAATGTACGACAAAGTAACTGACATCGTCCGTAGCAGGTATCAGTGGAGAGGAGCACGTGCAAAGAATGCTATCCGCACCAGGGATGGAATCTACAATGAGCGAGCCCACCAACTGGGGTCCAATGCGACGGTACACGCTCGATACCCCAGTACGCTGAGCGTTTGTGTCCTCGCTAGCGCTTTCAGGACTGAGATGCAACAGAGGTGTGTGCTCATCCATCTTATCTGGTAGGGGGGCGAGGTAATTGATTTTCTCTCATGTCAGCAAGGTATGCTTTTATGGCACCAGAAATATACGGGAGTATACGGACTATTCGGATCCGTCAAGGTCGCAAGGAACCGGCGCTTGGGGGGAACGAGGCCTGCATCGTGGTTGATGACCAATATTAAATAATGTCAGCGGGAAGAAGTAATCTTGTGCAGTTGGTTATCTTTGTGAGTGAGCATCTCATTTGCTTTGATGTAATAAACCTTGCTACGATAGCCTAGGATCATCCAGGTACCTGAAGTTGACTACAGCGACTCCAGAAATGTTACAAACTATGGGCTATCGACGTGGGGACCCTCCTAAGGGTCTGACATAAGTACCGTGCGCTGCCAAGTCTCCAGTTCGTCATGTATCAGATGATCATCAATCCCCTTATCTCGTCATCCAAAATGTCCCCTGATGTCAGGTGAGGAGCCCTTCAGCCGACATGTCATCAGCTCTGACTCTTCATTGGGAATAGTTATCGCAATTTGCACGAGCCAGGCTGTCTAAAATTTTCCCAAGGCGAAACGTTTAAAAGCCGGACCGTAATCGCTGCAGTTATCAGTCTAGCACCCCATTCTTCGTTCCTGCCAAAAATGAGGTCCAATCTTGCTGCTCTCGTCACTCTAGTTCTCGCCCTCATTGGTTCTGCCCATGAGCATGATTATGAGGACCAGATGCCCTTCAACTATGTCAAGTACCCTTACCAGGCGGCCTACTACCCAGGTGATAACGAAGGTGAGGGCATCGAATACGTCGCATATTAGATAAAGGCCAATCATATAATTAGTGACCGCGGACTCCGTATTCTCTGGAATCACTACATTTGCCAAGTTACCGTGGGTACAATGCCTGGGGAAGGACAGAGATGCCACGTTCGACATCGCTTTCATCGGTGCACCATTTGTTAGCCTTGTCGCGTTGTTCTCATTTCCGTGCCGCAACTCAAATATTCTATAAGGACACAGGTACTTCGTACAGGCCGGGCGCTCGTTTTGGGCCCGCCGGTATCCGGGCAGGATCCCGCCGCCTGACTTTATATGGAGGGTATAACGTTCCCCTGGAAGTTAATCCGTTCCAGTCGGGTCTGAAAGTTGTTGACTGTGGCGACATCCCTGTCACACCGTACGACAACAAATACGCTTTGAAACAAATCGAAGAGGGTCACAAACAGCTGCTCCTATAGGCGCACTTACACATCACTCGGCAACGATACGCTGACCGGACAACCTCTTACCCCCATCTCCCTAGACGGGAAGAATCACCCAAGGGTTGTGACACTTGGAGGGGATCATACCATCGTCCTACCACTACTTAGGTAACATGCTACTATCAAGTCGGGCTTGCAACTCTCCTGACTCATTCATCTCGTTTTCAAGGTCTATCTACTCTGCCTACGGCCCAATTTCTGTCATCCACTTTGACTCCCATCTCGACACGTGGAAGCCATCCGTCTTTGGCGGCGCTCCATCTGAACAAGCGGCTATCAACCACGGTACTTACTTCTACTGGGCCAGCCAGGAAGGTCTCATCAGGAATGGCAGCTTCAATTGCAAGTATCTCGTTCCTTTTCCAATATCCATTCGTTTTCCTTTCGAATGTCGTCGAATACTTTGATCCTAGTTTGTCCGTTAAACACAGCACGGTGCCATTCGTACGACACTATCCGGGCCAGCTGACTACGCAAATGATGATGATTCTGGGTTCCAAAGGATAGAAGCTCGCGAAATTGACACCATTGGTAAGTCATGCGAATTTGTACGCTGCTGAAGCATCATCGCTGACGAATGCTGCTAGGGACCGGTGGCATTATCAAGAAAATTCGTGAGACCGTTGGCGACCGTCCAGTTTACTTGTCTATAGATGTTCGTATTTATCCGTTTTTCAAAGATGGCCCGAAGCTTGATTTGCTTCTAGATTGATTCCATCGATCCTGCGTTCGCGCCTGCTACTGGGACACCTGAGACTGGTGGTTCGTGGGCTCGCTAGTTCAAGTTCGAGCGGTATTAATAGATCCGCATAACAGGTTGGTCGACACGCGAGCTGCGTACGATCTTGCGTGGGTTGGATGGTCTTTTCATTGTTTCGGCCGACATCGTCGAAGTTGCGCCTGCGTATGACACTAACGCAGAACTTACTACTATGGCCGCGGCAGATGTGAGTAAACCCAGCCCAAGGTCTATTACCTTGTCAGCCTGACAACTCGCATTAGGTCCTCTTCGAAGTTATCAGTGTCATGGCGAAGACACCCCTCGGCAAAGTTGCCAACTGAGATGTTCGGTGGACTGCTGTCTAAATGTTTGATTCGGATCCTATGGTTTTTGAGGATTGTACCACTGTAATATCTAGCTCTGTTTCACCCAACTTCTAGAAGTTGGGTTAGAAGACCTGCCTTTTTATGAAAATTTGCCTTTGTTCGGTGTATCGACGTATGGTAGCGCTCGGATCTGACACCCAGATGTTAATTGGCACCTGAAGCTACGGATGAGCCTCACTTCAACGGATTACACAAGGACCTACGAATGTAAACATCGACATGGAAGTGCAATAACGAAAAGATGGTGACAAAGCTAGCGACACCGCCAAACCCCGATGAGGAATGACTATCGTTCCAGCGTAGACGGCGTTAGCCCGGAATGCCCACAAATGTTGCACAAACAAATTAAGTCTACTCTACGGACCCATTTCCCGTCTACGGATGACGTAGGCTCATCGACGGTCTTAATAGGCCCAGTGAACCAATTACGGGCCGACAAAACCCACGAGAGCGATGCGAAAGCAAACACTCCCATGATAATGACTACTGCATAATCTGCAGTATGCACAGATTAGTAATGCTGACTAGGAAAACTGATGACAAACAGTGGTACGCACTCATATCGAGGGCAGTCGCATTTTGAGCAGGAGGGAAGAAAAGGAGCACAACGATAAATGTAACCCAAGTAACTGCGATAGCGCCAATGGGGAAGTACCATTTACCAAGCGAGAAAACGCCTGGAACGAATTTGTCCCGCCCAGATGTAATGCGTAGAAGGATTGGTGCGGCATACGAGACATAGAGACCAATGACGGATGCTCTGTTTGGGGATAAGACGTAAGCCAACAACGTTCACCGGGATTTATCGAGGAAATAGTAGACTAACCCTGCGAGGGACGTTAACGCTGTTGTCGAGAAGCCCAGAAGACCGCACAGAGCCGAACTCGTAATAACAAACCACACAGCATTAACAGGGGTTTGAGTGCGTGGGTTGATATGTTTCCACCATCGTGAGCCGGGCAAAGCATTGTCTCTAGCAAAAGCAAAGACAACCCGCGATGCGTCAACGCCCTGTGCAGCCCCAGTGACAAACTATGGTCACGCATCAAAATGCAATTAAGCTTATGTGAGGTCTAAGAACTGACCTGAACAACGATGATTAAGCTCCAGATAGCAAGCATGCCTCTCTTCCCTAGCACGTTCAAAAATAATTGCCCCAACGGCAGGGGTAGGTCGGTTGTCAATAAGTCCGCTACTGACACAGTAGCGAACGAGGCAGCGATAAGTAGGAGCCATCCCAGAATCTGTGTACCCGCAACTCCGAGCAAGATAGCAATTGGTGCACTGCGCGCGGCTCCTGCAACTTCTTCGGAAATATGGGCGGCGGAATCGTCTATAAACAATCCTACATCAGTCACGCACTCGGAGAGCAGGACAATGTGAAACCTACATCCAGTCAGGGTCCACATAGGTGCAGTAAATGCCAAGAGGAAAGCCCAGCCATCTAGTATCCGTAAAGTCAGATAGACTATTTCAGCTGCAGGAAAAAGGAGAACAAAAAACTTACTGTTGGTCCAGCCAGTGCTATTCTCAAAAAGGGTGAAGGCATCCTTAGTTGACACTTTGTTGCCTCCCGAGCAAACGAGTAAGGCAATTATCGCAGCGACAGTTGTCCCAACTTGACAAGTTTGTCAGTCCTGCAGTAATCTCTATCCAGTCCCTGGACCTACTGTTTATAACTACATAGAAGAGATTAAGCCTCGCCAGAATGCTGGTTGCGGCAGAGCAGACGAGACCATGGCAAAATAATATAACCAGAAGGATGCCGTATGTAGCGCCTGCACTCAACACGGTAGCTCCATCAGTGCTCACGGTTACCGCTGAGGCGATCATTTGTGCGCTGGATGAGTTTGACGTCAAAATGCAAGGCATGGATCACGGGGCAAGTCCTCACCAAGTAAAGTCGATAGAGCAAACAAGGGTAATCTGGCCAGTGATGTTGGCCCACCCAGTAATCCAGCTTGCTAGGGCAGCCCACTTTGGAGGCGCAAGCTTCGCGGAAAAGTAATATAATCCTGCAGAAGTACTGTATCGCAGTTATTCGCATTCAGTTCGAAACTTGGCCGAACGCGCTCACGGCATGGACGATGCAAGTTCAGCCATAGAGAGAGCTACAGTCATAACGAAGAAACAGGGTATTAGCCATCCCCAGACCATGCCAACATGACCACCTGCACTCTCTGAGCCGGCGAAGTACTGCAGCGATGACAGGGAACGCACCTGAGACCAGGGGAAACGAAAACGTCGAAGTTACTGAGGCGACTACCCCCATGATTGAAAATGCGAAGGCTATGGTCTCGAGCAACTGTGCATTTTAACCATTAGCAGTGCTCCTTGATCAGAAACGAATGTTGCTCACCGAAAACTCTCGTTTAAATTCGGCTCTGTAGCCAAGCTCTGCCAGAAGGGCGTCGTCGGCATTTAGAGCTGGATAGTGATCGGTGTGAACATTGTCGACTTTGGAAGGGACTCTGTCGAATTTCTCGCTTTCGGACATCTAGGCTTGCAGAGCGCGCGCTCGAAGTGGACAGGAAGGAATAATCAGATGAGGGTCAGGACGCTGGCACTTCCTATCAACCCAGTAATATGGGGTAGTGAAAGATAAGACCCTGAACGCTTCTGGCTGTGTGGCAATGTTGGCAGGCCTTATCGCTCGCGTTGACATTCGTGGGCGTCCGGACTTGAGACAGGCCTGCGCAACTCGCTAGACTTCCAACGGATAACACACGAGGTATCGCGTGCTTAGCCGCGGAGAAAGTGGGAGCAGACGATGAGTAACATGTCCACTTCCATTTTGCCGAAGTTCGTGCGCCTGGATCTTGCTGACTGGCTATCACAAAACGTGTGAAGAGGTTCATCGTCAACTACAAGGTCCGTTCAAGAGTTAACGAAAAAAATCAGGGGAAAGGAACCAGGCCGTACTTCCATACCTGAATCATGACCAAAGAGCTAAATATAAGCAGCAGCCCTGGCGCAGCGAGTCAACTGCTAGTGCAACTTGAGTAATAGTCTGTATACGGTGGCGGTACCCTGCCAAGCCATTATCCACTAACTTGATGACTGCCAAGCAGTAACCCGGCAGTGATGCATGGATGACCAAGGCCCAGTATGTGCACGACTTTCAGTAAAGTTGGCCGTCCGTCGATAGGGAAAAAAGAACGCATGCAAACTTGGTTCTCTGACGGAAATTCCTATACCCTCCTTCGAAGGCTGCCAAATTGAGACAATCAATGTTGGTTACATATTCCAAATGAAGATATGATGAGCTAATCACGACCCCACTGATCTGAGAAACAGCTTACTGGGTAACACGTTTGTCAAGCAGCGGGGGCCTTTTCCTTACCTCAATCGTATGCTGTTCGATGTTCGAATTACATGGCAGCAATACGTGATGCTGGTCACGAAGTGCCAGATAGGCTCTCCACATGATCAATGCTAATCAATACTGGCGTTGGAGATTCGTACAGTGGTCTCCACTGTTCTCTCATGAGGTATAGTTGTTAGATCATTAAGGCGGCCGTTAACGACTTCTGCGCATAAGAACCGCACTGCTATGACAGCGGAACAATAGAAGGACATTCTAGACCACATGTATAAGTTGTTCTCTGACTTTAAATTTACCAAGCCGCTGCGAGGAAGTGTTGTGTCCTGGTGGAAGACAAGTAAAGAAGGAACCGGTCTTCATTTTGACCTGCCTGTTCCAACATGGCTCATGAGATGGTGCTTCTATCGGGTTATGGTTATGTTAGCTGACTATGTCATTGCAAAGTTTACAGGCATGCTACCTAGGCGATGCTTGGTCCAAGACAGATTACAAGACTACAGTGCATACATAGAAGACACCACTCTAAAAGGGTAAGCAGACAGGCTTCGCAAAAGTACCTGCAAATTGGTATGTAGAGGGGGCATGTGCCCATCCGTGTCATATCCCTGGATGATTTGTGCATTGTTAAAGGATACAGTGGCAATCTTCCTCCCGTGGTGTGGGTTGGTGTGTCTGTATGGAGACCCTCTCTGGCTGTGACATCTCCGTAAAGGTAAGCCTAAATTCTCATGCATGTGAGTTAGACCTATGATTGGGAAGCTTAAATTTGCTGATCACCCCTTGAACCAGATAAAGGCGCAGGACGTGGAACAGCTCTGGAAGGATATGTTTATGTACTCATGCAGGTGAACTATGTGCGGAACATATAAATGACAATGATAAAGGCATCTTCCTGATTACCATCCATCCCAATGTTAGCAGGTAAGGGCCTGTGATATCTGCATCGTGTGTGAGCTCATAGTCACAGTTGACCACATATCTTGTTGATGCTGGTACGTTCAACAAAGGATCGTAAAAAATCAGCTCAATTTCGCTTTCAGGTAGGCTTTATTGAGTGGATCGATCCACACGAAAATGTGAAGTGGGCTACTCTGCACGAGATGGTGCAGGCTCAGCAAGCCCTGGTGCTTGGGACTACTCATGTCTACCGGTTCATCAACGAAGGCGACCGTGTGGTGAGGAAGTAGACTGTCAGGCTGCGAGTAACCACAGAGTGGACTATATCTTCCTGAACTTATCTCGAACTGCACTCAATCATGAGATACTTCGATGGGAAATACGTCACGTGATACCCTGAGCTATTCCGTAGTACCTCCCCTCACCCACTCTCCTGGAATGGCCTTCCCACATATCCCTCAGGATCTGAAAGAGGGCACAAGGGTAGTCGTACAGACGAAGTATGGACCTCTTAGAGGCGGTCGCACAACTAACGGTGCAGCAGTCTTCCTAGGTAGGTACATATAAACCTCGCCTTAGTGCGCAGACCCACTCCCTAACCGCCGAAAATAGAGGTTCCATACGCTCTGCCTCCTGTGCGTTTCACTGACCCCCAACCCCTCCCTGAGGATTACTGGTACGAGGAAAAAGATTACGTTCACGAGACAAGGCGTGCGTTTCAACCGGCTCGGATCCCAACGCTAACTGACCGACGGCGAGAACATCTGTGGTTGTAGACTGCTACCAACCGGATAATGATGGGCAAGGAGAAGGCAAGCTCCATAAAGTCTAGTCATTCACCCCTGATGTTGACTGAACCTAGGAGTTCCGGCTGCCGATCGCAAAGGGTTCGGTGAACCGTCAGAGAATCCGTGAGGGCTTCTTGTTTGGACGATGAGTGATCCTAACTTAATGGTTTTCAAAGTTTATTCTTGAACATTGTGTCCCCATCTCGATTCACTACGAAATCCAAGTTTCCTGTCACAGTTTTCATTCATGGAGGGTAGGTGTATGACTTTACCCCTGACAAATATGTCGGTTTCACATATTATGTGCTAGCTTCCTTCAGTTCGGGTCACCACACGAACTTAGCAGTCAGGCCCAATACGCTGCGGAGGAACGTGAACAAGTCTTCGTCAATATCGGTTACCGCTTGTCTGTGCTGGGATTCCTGGCATCTGACGAACCACGGGTCGACGGGAACTTTGGCTTTAAGGACCAATGGCTCGCTTTACGCTGGATCCGCGAGAACATCACAGGGTTTGGAGGTACGACGTCGTCTTGCATATGTCGAGTGTGGTCTTCTCACCTTAGATATTTAATAGGCGACTCGGAAAACATTCGGCTTACGGGACTGTCTGCTGGTGAGAGAGAAGCAGTCACACTAGGGGTGGTGATTCTCCCCAATCTCATGCTTTCACAGGCGCACATTCGGTACATCAAATCTTGCACCACATATCGCGTTTGCCAGACGGCGAGATGTCACCGATTCACACTGCCGTCCTACAATCGAATGCCATACTGTGCGTTCCGCTTGAACGATATCGGAGAATGACTGACTCACATCTATTTCCAAGAACTGTCCCAAAAACTTTGGGTGAGTTGCGACCCCAGTTTGAGGCACTGTGCCGGGCGTTGCACCTCGATCCAAAGGCCCCTCATATCCTCCAGACTTTACGCGACTCAGCTAAAGTTCCGGCGGAGGCTCTGATGGGCATAATCGAGGACGGCAGCCTTGATGTTGAGTACAGGACATTCCGAGGCTGTCTCGACGGTGAGTGGATGGCAAGCGATCCAAATCCGATGTCGTGGCAAAAATCTGGCAATTTGGCTCGCAAGCTGAGAGAGAAAGGTGTCAAGAGCATAGCAATCGGTCATCTCAGCGAAGAGTGGTACCTCTATTCCATTGCTCACCCAGTCAATGGACCGGAGGATGTTTTGCCAAACATCCTACGTTACTATCCGCGCCCGGTTGTCGAGAAGCTTATGCCAATGTACAGAAGTTTACCAACCTCAGCAAGCGCAGAGGAGGCGCGGAGGCTTATGGGCGATATTCTGAGCGACGGGCAAGTACACTTACCTGTCCGGCTTTTCGCGAGAGACTTTCAGCGAGCCAGATTCTCGGTGTTCAGATATCAAATACATTGGACCCCCGAGCAAGTCAGGCCGAACGGTAAGACTCGCCGCGGTTTCATAGCACGCCTCTGGCTGTAGATAGCGTCTGACACCACTGCCACAGGATTGGTCACTCATGGAACAGACCGCTGCCTGTGGGCGCTGCGAGTCCCGATCATGAGTTTACCACAGAAAAGGGTGGCGGTAGCATGGCTAGACGCTATCGACAAGGAGCTCAGCATTCTAGAGCGCGAGGGGACACAAACAAGAGCGCTCAACCAGGCATTGACGCTACGGGAGGACCAGACCATTGGGTGGGTAGAAGACAAGGATTGGGATCAGCTTATGGAAATTGTGAAGGTGCTGCCCGGGGAAGATATGTGGTCAGTTCATTCTGACGTTCACCAGCTGTTATTCTGATGTCAGTCGACCCTAGAGGGCAGAATGGAATGGAAGGTATCATAAGGCATCCCGAAACACTAGCAGTTGTTAGAACATTCGAACTACACCAGGGAGTTTTACACGCAGAGGTTGGGCAACGGCAGAGAACGAAGAATCCACAAAGAACCTACAGAAGCTATGGTTGCCCAATAAACATGAACTGTCACATATATTGTCTTAGATGTTGAAGGTAAGAACTAGTTGGTCAGTGAGGCTATGAGTTGTATCATGTTGCGGTGCGAATCATTCCTGGCAGCTAGAATATGACAGCGAAGCCGAAGATAGACACTGCGATGGAGAAAACTGCCCGCCAGAGCAGGCCCGATGGAATATCTATGTTTGCGCCATTAGCAGTAGCCGCACCGGTAGTGCTGGGGGCCGGAGTGGATGTCACGCCAGAGGTGTCAGTGGGAGAAACACCCGAATCTGTTATCGAAACTGGAGTAGATGTAGCGCCAGTGGTGTCAGTGGGGGAAACTCCTGGATTTTTCTTTGAAACCGTGGGGGAGGAAGTCGCCGTAGACACAGTCGTGGACACGGTAGAAGATGAGACACTGTCTGATGGAGATGCTGATGTACCAATGATCGTGCCAGTCCCCCAAGGGATGTTGGCACCCCCTGGCTGCGTGGGCTGAGGCGCGGGGACAATGTCACTTGTCGAGTCGGTGATGGTAAAACGAGTAGTCCAGGTCAAATTAGTGGAGGCTGGTGATGAGAATTCGTAGAAATAAATAGGGGCATAGGGTGAAACCTGTGACGAAAAATGGATTGAGAGAAAGGGCAGAAACCTCTTAAAAGTGAGCATACCTGGGGACAAGGGTACGAGTACGTGGTCTTGGTAGGGTCGGCTCCGTTGACAGTGCTAACACCTATAGAAACACTATTTCACTAGTGTACGACAAGAACAAAAGTCAACCTACTGGCTAACTTTATCATGTTGTAGTTGTCACCGGTCATCAAATATATGTTCATGGTTGTCCACATTCCGCTGGGGTCTGCTGACCAGGCGATAGAGCAACTCTGGCCCTCGATAAAAACATCGCCTGGACCTGGGGCTATCGGGGTTGGATCCGCCTGGATGAGAGTGATACTGACTGCCGCAAGCAGGACAGTCAAGATTGTGGCGAACATATTGGAGCGGCTGGTTACCCCATCGCGATCACATATTCAGACCCATTAGCTATCCCAAACAGGTTTCGTGGATACTTACAGTGACGATTGGACAATTTTCTGCAAAACTGCAATGCGTAAGGAGCGACTGGGTAAAGGATAGTCTTAGGTAGGGCTACAGAATGGGATGGAGGAGAGGAAGATGGATGTTGGAGAATTTTTCATCGGACTGAACATTTGCCTTGTGTTCCTGAATACGCATCAAACCCCGCGTCAGGCCATCTCAGGGGTAATTTACCAATTTGATCAGCCCAAACTTTTAAGCTTAATACTTACCTTCGGGATTCGTATGTCCTGGTATGTCATATATGAGCACGAGGCAAGAGTCCACGTAAATAGCAGAAGCTTGATGAATAGCTCAGCCTCGGTTCGTCTCGACGCCGGTGTGGCACCTGCCTACAATCGAGAACCAGTATGTGACAAAGCATTCTCATGACGCGCCAAGCAATTCCGGGACATCCCAGGAACCTTTTCCGAATGGACACGTCAAAGCATATGCTTTGGCGCTCAAAGCGAAATCAGAATATCCTCGCTCCCTGGTAACCAGTACCTGCCCAAATGCCCGCTCCTTCAACCACATGAATGTAGCTGAAAGAAATGTCAGCTTCTTCTCCACAGGATAAGAAATCCGAAGCGCAGCAGACCTCTGTTGCAAGCTTCGTCCACTCGATCAGAGTACGCATATATTCGTCCTTCCCTTCATCCACAGGGATATCAGGCGACCAGATCGTGAATGAGGAGAACGTTGACACTGGCACTAGTTGGCGAACTGCTTTCGGTGGTAGTCCATGTTGGTAATCTTCTTCTGCCGAATCGACAGCTTCTTCCATAGCCACATCTTCATCCAACTTGCGACCACGCGCCGATTTACGCGTAGTTCGTCGTGTACTAGCCGGTTTTGAATTTGCTGCAGAAGGCGGTTTACAAAAACCACTGGTTCTGCTACGACTTCCCGCAACACTTCTGAGGGAAGGCGCCTGTAATACAAGTCCACCGTACCCATCAGGCAGTTTCACATCCTGCCCGACAACTCGCCTCCCTCTGAACGCTGCCATCAGTTTTCGTTCTGAGCCGTGCGCAGAATCGAGCTCTGAACTTGGTTGAGTGTCTGCACCAATCGTCTCCTTAGGTTCCAACATATCTACCGCCTCAACGGCGGTCACAGATGTTGCGACACTGCACTCCGATGTAACACTGCTTTTCGACTCGGAGGTGCTTGCAGTAGGCCCCCCCGTGAGAGTAATTACACTGGCTGAGCTGAGCGCCGTTGTCAGGTGGCGCGTCTCGTTTGTTGCAGGCGCTGGTTCGGGTCGGAAGTAGCGAGATATCGGTGCTGGGCCAGAGTATTCAATGTGGAAAGGCATTAGATTCGGAGAGCTCGTCGGAAGGGTGCGTGAGGGGGGTGAAATTTCCAGAGACATACTCGCAAGCAGGGGCGAACGTCGAGTGGCTTAAACAGCACTGACTATTAGTGTAATGGCCAAAGTATACCGACACGCGTTTGTCACGTGAGCATTGACTACCAGTTGGTTCGTTCCAACAAGCTACAGAAAACTATGTCATCTGTAACTAACAGCTACCTTCTGATATATGTCCGTTCTACCCCATGCGTGAGTCCACTGGGGAGTTGTCTCATGTGTTGCGTCCCCTGTAGGCCTGGGTGATCTAGCTCGTGCTGTTCCTTACATTGTGACTGCGAACGTTCCTGCAGGAGGTCCGTCACTCGAGTGAGCTGGTGGGCAGGTATCTGTGTTTATCCAGCCCGGACACTTTATTTTTGCACAGAAATATCTCCGAAGATCTATCGAAGTCTTCCGAACACAGCCTGGACGTGAGCAGCATTCGTGGCACTTTGTCGGGACCCCTCATCCACCGGGTTCGTGGTCACGTTGGCAACAAGATCACGTCCGTTCTTCGCTCTTTGTCTGCCCTGCGTGTTCCCGGCGTAATGACCTGTCACATGCATGTTGGCTTCTCCCGGAACTGCTAACTAGGATCCTTCTCCATTATCCGTGTGATTGGTACACAGATCCTAGCGCGGTGCGCAATGGCCGAGTCGCCCCTTGGGTGGAAGGCGTCCTGAGAAGCGATGAAATTACTGTTGAGATACATGCGGTAGCGAAGGCCGCTCTTGTTCATCTCGAGAAAATCACTGTTATAGACGAAATCCCTGCAACGGCATTACTACTAGCATGTCTTGAAATACCGTTGTCCACAGCGGTTCGGCTGGACTTCACTCGCGGCGCTGTTATCCGTTGCTCTGGCGCTCTCTAGTCGTTCGTCTCGAATAGATTCAGTGATGACTTGACGCTGTCACAATGCAGTGAATCATCTGCGCTGCTCCTCATATCGCTCGACATGCGTTGTCTACACGCGGGGGGTTGCAGGATTAGATGACCTTCGCCCAATTTCGACACTGACCTGACGTATGGTCGCCGTGTCGAGGAGCAAGGCTCGAACTTCCACACGCCCTTGGAATTCGATTGTAAACCAATTCTTTATGATACCGAGGATGAGGAAACCCTCATTTCTCTCTGTCACATTCTTCCGCCCCGCCCACTTGACAAAGGTAGTTCTGCGCGGGAACATTTCATACAGCCACTGTTGTTTTCGGACAGGTGCGTGAGATAGAACTGGATGGCAACCTTGGTGAATATCACGATCAAGCAGGTCTACTTTCTCCGCGAGGTTTATTGCAGGGCTAATCCGAGCATGCCATGTATACGGCATCTGCGCAACGCTCTCGCAGGTCGGCAAAAGCAGGTGCGCTGCTTCAAAGGCTATCTATTTGTGACCGTGGTCACTTTATGGAGCACGAAGAGGCAGGATTGCAACAGGTAGTAGGGCATTTGGATTTGACTGGTTGATGTGAAGACGCTACGTACTTCTGTTCTCTGCATCTCATCCGGAGACACTTATTTCATGCGCTACGTAGCTGTCTGTGCATGCAAGCTTATAATATTAGATGTCCAGCCAATGCCCATCTATACGCATAACGGAGCGATTATTCTTGCCAGAATCCTTCCCATACAATCATTGGCTCGACGGGATCCTTAGATCTGAAGAGATCTTGACCCTGCACTAACCTCAGCTCCCGACCTTTCATCCTCCTCGTTATCCGCTCCGATTCGCGTGCGTCAAGCTCGTCGTCCGTTGCAGGTAGCGACTCCGCAGAAGCAGCGAGGTGCGTGAGTGAAAGTATAGCGTGAGTTTTAGAAAGGGCGTGAGCTGTCGCCGTAGCTAATGGACTCGTGCACGCGGAATTATGCATCGGTCCGGTAGACGCGGGATGAAAGTGACCAAGAAGTAGTGCTGAAAAGAGGTCACCCACGCCCGAGAAGTACCCTGATATAAGTGGAACACAACGAGCGTATACGGTTGATATCGGCGAGGTTGCCTCCGAAGGGACGTGATTAAGTGAGGAAACGATACAAATCAAGTATTGTTGCTCGTCAGGTAGGGCAGATGGTGGCGAAACCCCATTCCGGGCGACGCCGTTGATAGGCCTCAAAGGAAGAAGGTGTGCAGGAACGGAGGGAGCGATACGAGAAAGCGGGATAGAGGAGATAACAACGTTAGGAACTTGGTACGCAGTGTGGAGCTTCACAAGTGCACCACGAAGAGAGGCGAGGTCAGTAAGCTTGATGTCAGTTAGTGTCCTGCAAATGGCGGTCATATAGAAACCTCCAGACAATTAAATGCATGATGACGTACTCGACCTCGAACCAATTTGGAGTGATGATGGTAGCAAGGGGGAGCATCTTTCGGTATACGGGAATCACATCCGCCGCAACATAGAGTTTGCCTGCGTCCCCAAGTACAGCTACAGCAGCTCTGTCAGCCTTTGAAAGACAAATCACAGGAGACAACCTACTGTCGAGAAGATATATCAGATTGGGATTACGAACTTTAAGTTTTTGGGCGAGATGATGCACTACATCAAGGGCTGCTGCGTTTGGAATGTAACCAGTTAAAAGACGTGTGGCGGTGAGGACTCCTGTCTTGTCCATGGAGTCGAAGATTTTACTAAGCTCCTCAGCAGTCGTTTTTGTCCCCCCAAAGTATCCATACCCTTGAAAAATTCGATTGTAAATCGACAGAGAGGGACAGTCGAAGGCTGACACACCAGTATGGTTCGAGAAGTTTACAGTATTGACCACCTGCCTCGCTTGTTCATCGTGGACAGATAGGATAGTAGAATGTACAAGACGGAACTTACATCCACGTCGTATCCCATGCACTGCAGGGGAAAGACTGCAGCTTTACCGCCGACATATCCGAATGCAACGTGCGATTGAATGCTTAGAATGCGGTCACTGTTTATACCTCACGGATATGTTGGTTCCTTTTAACACATGAGATAAGAGAGAAGCATGCCTGCAGGTCATTGCGTGAGCAGTATCGCAAGCCTCGCTCACGTCTGACTGTTGGATAGACCCTGGTATCACCGCCATTTACGAAAATCGTCAAAGTCAGTGTCGTTCGTCGACGTGGGTGACGATGACTGAGAATTCCCCGACGGCGAGTCACTGGCAGAGGCCCCCCACTCCCGGGCCGAGGACGGAAGGAAGCTATGTCTGGATTCCAAATTTGGGTTTTGCAAAGCCACGTGGGTAAATTATTAACCCCCCCAATATACTAGCTGCGCGCGGGTGTCGTGGCTGGAGTCGATGCTATCACATCTGGCCTTGCGTGGTCCGAGTGTTCACTGGCAACTGTTGTCTGTAAATTCATGTCAGACGGAACCAGGTTCGTACTAGTTATTCAACCATGCCCTGTTCAAGTCAGCGCAGTCGGCAGACGGTGACGCCGCACTTTACAGGCTCCGCCAAACGTGGAGTGATGCGCTCAGTGCAGCGGAAACCAACTTTCGCCAACTTCTGGCATCTTACTCGTCTAATGAATGGAAACATGTACCCCTCCCCCAGGACGCGCCTTCGCCACGCAAGGGAAAGTCGCGGGCGGCGTCGTTGAATCCGGAGCTGAGGGACGTGGCGGTCCACCGCAAGGTCACCAAGTCCGGCGAGTACGTTTACAGAGCCGTTCTGGATGTACCAGCTACAGACGAAAATGCTGCAATGGATGTATGGAAGGCTATCATCACAACTCCTGAAATTAGGCAGGAATGGGACCCCGCTGTGGATGCCTCACAGCTTGTCGAGCTGTTCGACCAGAGGACAAGAATAACTAAAACAAGGTTTACACTTGGTTGGCCCGCAAAGTAATCTCTACCCCTTACTTGCAACCAATCTTTTGTCACTGACACGTCGCCCAGCCCTAGAGATGCTGTGACTATTTCTCGCTTGCACCAGAATGCCTCTACCATCATAGATATATCTACGTCGCTCCCTCGTTCTGCTGATGATCCCACGTATCTCAGACCATCACCTCCTTACGTCAGATCAAACGTTGCACGTTTGTTTAGCCGTTTCTTTTCATGTGTCTGTACTCATCCTTTCACAGTTTTTACGTGGTGGATTCAAGTTTTACCTCAGTCACCGCTTCAACAGTCATCATCACCGGCAGAACAACTCAAGAGACGGCTCTCGATAGTACTGTCCACCCCCGTCTTGCGCATTACCTGTTTCTGGCAGCACGACCTCCGGGCCCTATGGAACTTCAATTCATCGGCTAGTATTTGTCAGCAGCTATCTACGATGGTTCTCGGACTTTACAAGACTGTCAAGACACGCGGATCCCGTGTTCCAATGCTCTCCGGTCATGGGTACGGAGTCAGCATTGAACGCATGCGTTTCCAACTTGATAGACAGGCACTCACAATCGAGTATGCCATTCACCCGGAGGATGATGCGACAGACAGCAGCGGTGGCCACAGCTTGGATGAGATTAGGGAATATCGCCGTCTGACACGCTCAGTTGAATGCCATCTACCTGCTTCTGAAGGTTGGGATGTGCAGCTATCTATCAAGGCTTCTTCGGACAAAGCTCAGAAACTGCCGTGGAGTGCGAGTGCCGTTCGCCACAGAAGCGATCCTTCGATACCGACAGGAAAGCCGTTCGAGCTCATCGTTCTCCATGTCACACACGCTTCTCTACCGGATACTCATTCTATTCTCAAAGTACGCGTCGCGATCGAGTTGTCTGGGCCTAGTTGCGGGATCAGGCTTAACGGGATCCCGCAAACGATACAGAGCGCAGAAGAGCGCGACTCGGGTACGTCCGTCAGACAACAGCAGCAGATTCTACAGGATGCCTCAAGTGCTGCCAATGTGAGCTTCCACACTACATCCTCTGTAAGCTCAGTCGGAACTATTGGATCTGGTTCCACGCCTTCCCGCACAATCACACTGAATACCGCGGATCGATCTGCTACCGCTGAGAAATCGATCCTGGCAAGAGTGAGAAGGAGTTATATTTACTTTTCGTCTTTATTACAAGAACCAGAGGCCAAGTGGAAGCGGAGTAAGTGGGAGAGTCGCACATTCTGAAAAATTCAGCGTTGACAATTTGGTAGCCACGGAAGCTAGAGGCGTCTCCGTGACCCAACTTGACTCGATCGATCCAACGCTCGTGGTGTACCGCGCGGAAGCAACGTTCGTCGGGCTGGGCTTATGGGACCTCTACAGCGCGCTCGTCTCCCCAGGAGCCCGTGTGTTCTGGGATAAACAACATGACGACGCAAACTTACTGGAGGATGTCAACGAACTCACGGAATTGTGGCATTTCAAGACAAAGCCGGCATGGCCAGTCGTGTATGTCGGTGTTTTTTTCTCTACAGTTGCAACTTCTGATGGTCTTCAAGCGGTCGTGATGCTGTGCTTCTTAAGACAGTGTACAAGTCCCCTACTACGATACACGTGTTCTCGTTTTCTGCGGACGATCCATACCTCTTCCCATCCCTTCCGCTCCTCGATCCTAGTATCATTCGCACCCAGGTTGACCTCCAAGGATGGGCAATTGAGGCCCTCAACCCTACCACGACACAGCTCACCCTACTAGAACAAAGCGATCCGAAGGGGTGGTCAAACAAGGCAATGACGATTCCGTCGCAGATGGTTGCAGCGGTGGCCGGAGTCGGTGATTTTGTCATCAAGTGCGGTGGTCCACCTGTTGTAACTCGGCTTTCTGGCGCCCGTGCAACCGAAATGCGCTACGAACACGAGAAAGGCACTTTTCGGGTTGCATACGAGAGAGCAGAGGGACGTCGTGGTGGTACGAGTCCCGGGGGCGCTGGTTTGAATTCTACGAGTGGGGATGCCGACAATGGGGGGAACGATTTAGGAGCAAGCTCAAGTTCAGTGCATACCATCGAGTGTGAAATAAGGTGCGACATGGATACGTGGGCCTCTGCGCTAGACATCGTGGTGGACCCGCCACCGCAGAACGTTATTGCGTTGCGCCGACACCGGCTATCGGAGGGTGGAGGTGGGTTATGGTTGACGCTGAGCCATGACGCATTGTTTGCGGCAGACGAGCGCTTGCTTGCGATTGTGCGCCGAGGACCGATGGCATCTGCCCGTGACAAAGGTGTGGTAATGGTGAATGGGGCACGAGTTTCTGTGGACGTGGAGGAGCTCGCAGAGACTGAGATCAGGGCGCTCAGCAAACGGAAACGTGTCAAGCCGCTGCGCATACCTCTCGACCAGCCCCCAGTCGTCAGTGTTATCCGAAGGCTTCGCGCAGAATGGGACGCAGACGAGCCGGCGTCGCCGACGGACGGTGGTCCGACGACGAAGCCGCCAACCCCTGATCCCGCAGAACAACCCCAGCCGAAGTCAAGCAGCACGACAACGTCGTCAGGATGGCTGTCCGCTCCGAGGTTCTCCAGTCCACTTGCAAGTTTCTGGTCGTCTGCGGTTGACCAAGCAACGAGTACAACGCAATCTGCGGTCGCCGCCGTCACGCCATCTACCGCAGCCACTGCAATTGCATCCGTACCATCGTCCTCGATGGTACCAATGCAGCATGTATTGGAAGCCTTGCATTGGCTTCGCGAATCGCAGGTTCATCAGGAAGATGGATGGACGCTCGTAACTGACAAAGGTCTCGCTGTGCAGCGCAAGGTAATTCCAGAAATTTCACCGGCTATACCCGTGCACAAGGGTGAGAAAGTCATCGAGGGTGTTTCTGCCGAAGAGGTTTCTTCAATAGTGACAAGCTATGACTGCCGAAAGCAGTGGGACGATCGTTTCGGATCCGCTATCGTCTTCGAGAGCTTCGGTGCAGGATGCCATACTGCGTTCGTAGTGTCGAAATGTGGATTCCCCTTCCGGGACAGGGGTTTCTACCTATCTTCGTTGATGGCGCGTGCGAAGCTTCCCCAAAGGAACTTCGATGCTACACCAGGAGAGGCGGGATTATCGCAGGATCATAGGAATGTCATCTTCTGTGTGTCGGCATCCTTCCATCCGGAATCTGTCTCATCTTTTTCATCCGAGAAATACAACTCGTATGGCTATCCAATTGGACGCGTATTTATCGATGGATGGATACTGGAGACATTAGACCCGTATACGAAGGAGAACTATGCTATTCCGTCAACGCGTTGTACTCGGATCGTGGCGGTCGACTATGCGGGCTCGGTTCCCGTTGCCATGAACTCGATGATAAATGCGGCCCTGCCGAGGTCTATACTCGCCGTGGAGACCTACATCAAGGGATCGTCGCCCTTGCCATTGACTAGACTACCTGCAACTGGGCTCGTTCTGACTGAGTCTAAAAGTGCGGAAGTAGCTCCTCCTGGTGTTGTTGCTGTCACGGGAGGTGGGTCGCCCTCGTGGAAGTTGAAGCGACGGGACGAGAATCGGATACTTGTTGGGTCGACTTATGACCCTACCACCCGCACATATAACAGTTCAATCTTCTTAACGATGTCGAGCCAGCCCCGGCCCGAGGAAGCAACATCGAGGGTATCGCGAGTTTTGACTGGGGCGACAGGAACGACACCCGACGCTCGTCAGGGTGGCCGTACCGAGTACGCTGCGTCGCCAAATCCATCATCAGATCGGGGAGAACCATCCTCTTCGCCGGTGCGATCACGATCAACGGAACGAGCAGCCAGATCTTCGGCGTTCACAATCAAAGGCGAGCTCAAGCAATCGACTGACCTCGTCGTGGCTGAAGTACTCGTGGACTCGAAGCTTTACCCCGAGGGCTATAGTGTTCAGATCACCTCTGGTCTCCGAGACGGATCCAAGTTCGTGTCCCTTACGGCACGTTCCGCTTCGTCGGATGGAAGCACCTTCCGAACTGCACAAATGCTGCTACCTGTCGCGTCGAGCCTGTATACGGTGCCCGCGTCACCACTACATTCTTCGGGATTGAATGCCGACCGACCTCCACGGCATCTATTGCGGCTGACTCTTCCGACTGCGCAATTCCAAATTTCTACAGTGCAGGATCCGTTGACAGGGGAGACCCGGAGTGCCCCTCCGAAACCGCAGTGGCTACTGGACCTGCAAAGCAAAGGTTTTACCGTGCAAATCGAGATAGGCCCCGGCAATGGTGCGAGGAAGAATGGAGGCGGCGCCACGGTGAACGTGAACGGAACGGCTACTGCTGTGGTAAGCGAGAAGGAATCGTTGACGGCGCTTGGACGCGATGAATTGCAGGACGATAGGGTATCGCGGATGCCCGTGGTACAACGGTGGGTATTGGACTCGAGTGCGTGTCATTGGTGGGGGGTGGCGATACTGATGATGGCCAATCAGGTGCGGTGAGGATGGTGACGTTTTTCCTGAAGAGTTGCAGGTGCCGCTTGCACGTGCGGAGGAGCTGCTTGATAGGGCGGCAGGTGTCCACGCCACCGACATCATAGAAGATCCGAAGACGCCTGAAGGGGACGGATTGAGCGAGGAAGATACTGATAAAAGTCAAGGTCCGGTGAGTCGCGGTGATAGTTCTGCCAGGACAAAATCGGAACAAGTGTCCTAAAGGACGATGAGCAGGAATCGCCCGAAAATGGAGTGGATGCGCAGGGCCAGGTCCCTTCTGGGTCCGAGGGGCTTCTCGGGTTCTTGAATGCTTATCCAAACACGCTGACACGCTGGGCGACGTCAGCCGTGAGAGGAACCACGACGGGCAGTGCTATGCAAGTGGACGGGGAGGAGGTACTGGTAGTGAACGTGCCACCACCGGGATCGACGAGGACCATGTTAACGGCGAGGACGTATCCGCTGTCGACGGTTCTCATCATTGCGATGATTGGGTTCTTAATTGGATCGCTGCTGCGGTCTCTTCTCTCGCCAGCTGATTTCATTTACGTTGTGACGGACGTGCGTGATGCCGAGGAGGTGAGCAAGGGGTGGCGAGAGATAAGACGGTTGATGGAAATCAAGTACATTGTTGGAGGTTGGGACTTTCAGATAGCAGTTGTTCGACGACATTGAATGCAGCATACACACACACATACATACGCGAACAATATATAATGATGTACAATAGCGACGTACTATACGACCACCGGGGGGAGGCGTCCGTTGGCGTGTTGGCCGGATGGCAATGGCGTGTGTGGGCTCCGGGAAAGGCAAGAGAATTGGATCGGAGATGAAAATTAGAGGAACGCGGCAAACGGCGTGCTGAGTCGGCCCAGAGAGGATTTGAAATTTCCCATCTGGCATGAGTTTGCGCCTGGTCGTCTGGCTGTTCGACTGCTGAAAGCGACCATCGCCCGTCCCGTCTCTCCTCCCCAGCAGCGACGACGACGGCGACAGCGACAGCGACGGCGAGAGAGATCCTGCCTGTCGCTGACAGTCGGTGAGACACAGCTGCTCGCCTGTAGACTCGTGTACCACCCTTGTTATACCTGTTCTGTATACGTTCCACACCTGCACAGCTACTGCCCAATTATATCTCGCACGCACTCACAGCTCCAGATACATACCTGTCACACCCATCCTCAACTCTATTCCTCGCCCCTCCTCCTTGTTCTCCTCCCTCCCTTCCTCGCTCGGCCACACCACCGCTGCCCCCTTCGACCCCCATGTCTGCAGGGCAACCCGGATCCATGTCTGCCCCCCCACCTCATGCTGACCAACATCCCTCGCCCCCTTCCGAGTGGGAAGGCGACAAGATGTCCGTCGCTCACTCTCGTCGTTGCCTTTATCTCACCCCTTTCTAGGTTTAACATCTATATCTATGACTATTGCAACAAGCGTGGATTTCGTGAGACCGCGAAGAAACTGCTCGTAGAGGCAGACCTGACGCCAGATTCTACCCCCCCAATCGACGCGAAACAAGGCCTCCTATTCGAGTCCGTCCTCTCTCGACATCTTCTCGCTTCTCCACTGACCTGGCCTCCGCCCGTCTCTGCAGGTGGTGGACCGTATTCTGGGTCCTGTTCACCGCCAAGAACAACGGTCCAAACGGTCATGGGAACGACGATGCGTTGGTATACACCCAGGTGCGTTCCCAGGTCGCGTTCCACCACGTTCGCCTTCAACTCGTGCACGGTACAGTACCAACTGCAGCAAGCTAACATGAGACAAGTCCGTCCACAACCTCATCAGATGCATCGCATGATCAATGGTATGCAAAACCTTCTCGCATCTCGCGTGACTCTGGACGATCGGAACCTTGGACTAATTCCGACTCGAACTGGCTAGGTAATCAAGGCCCGATGCAAAACGGCGCACAGGGATCCATGTCCTTTGCCATGCCACCCACCGGTCCTCAACCAAATGGCATTCCGATACCATCGGGCGGCCCAACTCCGGCGGGCGCCAACCCTACCCAGCCACAAAATTTTAATCCACTCGTAGCCGGCCAACGACCAGGAGGTCCTCAACATCGCGGCCCAAACGGCATCAACTCGTATCAATCACCCACCATGGCGCACTCTCCGCACAATCCGGGCATGAACGCTGGGCCAAGTCCACAGCATCCACAGCCACCGATGGGCCAATTGGGACCATCGCCACATATGCCTCACATGGGTCAGAACAGGATGCTGCCACCCGGCGCCCACATGGGCGCTGTTTCATCCGCACAGACATCATTCATGCAGCTCAGTCGCTCTCCCAGTCGACCCAACACTCCAGGACATATGCAGCAGAGCCCATCACTGGCGAACCGTCAACCCCCGGACTCACAAATCAATGCTGACATTCAGAGCATTGGGCCCGTGGCTTTCAATCAGGCAAAACATGATCTGGGCTTAGACGAAAAGGATAACAATGCCCTCACGCAGGATGACAAGGTACTTCTTCTTACCAATTCTTCATCTGTGAATTTAGCGCCCTGCTTACTTGTGTCAAGCACCGGATCGTTAACCAAGTTAAACGTATCGGTCTTACCCAAATGGGTAGGAAACCTGGTATACCGCTCGCAGGACCGTCAAACCTTATCCCAGGCATGCAGCTCCAGGGTCAGCGTCCGGGCCAGCCTCAGCCACCGCAGGTTCCACAACAGCCGCCCCAGCAGCAGCGAGTCGTCAAGCGCAACAGCACGTCTCCACCAGATGAAGTATGTAATACTACACAGTACAACTTTCGCTTTGCCGTGTCATGCTTAAATTGATTTATCGCAGGGTTCGTTGATGAATACTGATAACTCGCCCCCGGATAGGAAGCGCGTCCGTCGCTCCTCTATGACTATGGAACACCCTCCGCCTGCGTCGCAATACCCGCCTCAGCAACCGCAGGGGGCCAAAGGTGGTCCTCAGCCAATGCCCAACGGCGCGATGATTCGACCAGGTCCGATGGGAAGTCCGATGCATAATTTCCAACCACACGGTCCGGCAGGCATGGGAGGAAATCCTGCTGTGGGATTGCAAATGGGTGCCCCACCAATGGGAAATTCCATGGCCCCTGGAATGGCATCGCAAGCACAGAGTATGATGATGGTATGTATTGCATTCCTGTTCCGCTCCGTTTTGATAGTCTCACTCGGAAATGAAGCAGCAAATGCAGTACCGACAACCTATGCATCCAATGCCGAAGAACATGGCCCAAGGTCCGAACATGGCTGGCAATGCGGGAACCCCGACGCCAGGTGACCCTGGATTCAATCCAGGACAAGGCCAGCCCGGTGCTTTCTCTGGGCCACAGGGCAATCGCGTCGCAAAGCCACCCAACATGATGCCTCCTCCGTCGTCGCCAGCTGGAGGACCCCCAAAGGAGCAACCCAAAGATGGTAACAAGGCACCTGGTGCTCCCAACGGTTCCGGTCATCCAGATCGTTCACCACAAAACCATCCAACTAACCCGACCCAGCCAGGGGGACAAGGCCCTCCCAGTGCGGGCAACCCCCAAGGAAATACAGCACCTCCCACGCCAAGCGGGACGAGCTCGGCGACCATCACTGCATCGCCTTCGGCAGTCAACAGTACGCCGACTCTCAACCCAGCATCTCAACCGACGTCATCCATGACTGAGCTTCCAGCAAATTTCCTTGCGGATGATTTTATGCAGTCTGTGGCGACGTCACTGGATAGTTTTGACCCTCAAGGACTTTTCAGGACAAGCGAGACTGGGATTGACTTTGAACAATTTCGTGAGTGGTTTGATCCTGGTCCACCAGAAGAAATAGACGGAATGAGAAATGATTAACGGGATGGAGACGCTCTGTGGAAAGACTGCTGCGTATGTCTTTTGAACTCCCCTTGTAGGTCGAGTTTCGTGTTACATTCCTTGCATTTTTCAGCCATGCAGATATATAGTCTGTGCTCTTCCCCCCTGGCTCTGTGGATTTTTTGTTTCCCCGTTTATTTAATGCAAAAGCTGCCCTTGCAGCCGACATCTTGGCTTTTTTTCCTCTCCTCTCCTTTTAGATAGCTTATTTCGCTGTCGATTTTTGCGATACAGTAGTTCTGCGTCTTCTTTCCCCTTCTGGCTCAGCGGGCATGTACGAATATCCATCATCATCGTTATTGAATGCCATCCTCAAAGTCTAATTTTCAGGGTGATTCGTGCCTAATATGATAAGTTGGAGTCCGACTATGACTCCACCCCGGTATCTTACGATGCATCCCACTTTCAATATCGGCCCCGTTACGTTGGTACGATGTATGTAGTTTTCTCTCAGGTCCTTCATAATGAGATTCTTACGCGGCGATAATATCCAGAACTTCCATCAACTCATCGTATTGGCTGTGCCAGACTAACCGTCCCCAGGGCCACCTTCTCGTCATTCAGTGTAACCACTGCAGTCGGCGGTCGCCCTGTTTCACGGATTGTGGGATACCTCGACGGAATCCGCTCAGAGACATTCGTCGACTATCGCAGCGTACTTCACCTTCCTAATCCTGAATGAATTGACACGACGCTTCATTTCCGTAGCCCTACTATGCACTTACGTTCACTCATTCAGGTTGGACTTGGCTCGGAACCGGCGTGATCGGTGTGGTGCTGATAAATGGCAAAGCTTTTCGGGATTCTGGACACTGGCTCCTCATTATCTCCCGCTGCTGTCAGTGTCCTACGTTAATATTCAAGCGATGCAGTGATGTGGTCAGTGCTCACTGATGGGCGGAGGAGCAGTGACTACATGAATGATCACCTATCGATGAGGGTTTCTGCCAACCGAAAAGAAGGGAGGAACCTGAGAGTATTTCGCTCGAGGTTGTCATCTTGGAAGCACCCACATGTGTGCATTTCGAGTCTAATAGCCCTCAACACTCTCCCCAGTTCGGCCGCAGATAGATAGGCTTTTCTGTCCGATGTCTTTTCATGTGTCCCAGTCTCTCTCTCCAACGTGATCTTGGCATTTTATGCACTCCCCTCCGGGACAGTCTCTCGTGACAATAGCGTGTTCTTCCGACCGTACTATCTACTTCTGCCGACAGAGTTCTCGTTAACTTTGGTTAACGAGCATGTACAAACGCATACACTGCCAACTACGAACGTACCGAACTGGTACGACAACGGGAGTACGTGGTTCATCCATAGGTTTCGTATTTTCCGTTGTCGATAAGTTTGGGTATTCGACATTCGGTTAACCTGGGTGAAGTCCAAACCCCACCTCTGAAAAAAGTACAGTAGATCAGGCTAAGCCTTCCTTCCGTATAATGTCAGGAAGCTAGGTGTTCACGATTACCTTGTCCGACGATTCGCAGGGCAAGCTGCAGTTACCGCGCCCTTACTGTGACCTATGTAAGTCAGAAGCAGTTTTGGACAATAGTCGGCTTGCCCTACCGAGAAGTATGTAGATCCAATACAAAGTGGTACACTGTGTTGTTTGATCTCCTATGGGAGTCTACGCTTTGAAACGCAGGGCTGCCCTTTTCCTCCTGCTTCCCGATCTCTTGTAAGGGTAGTATGTATTACGCTATCACAAAACGAACAACTAATAACGCGAATATAAGTTATGTACATTACCACGGTATAGATGTTGGCATTACGGCGTAGAATTTTGTGGGAGGATGCTGACGGGCCCGATAGCACATTGAGGTGACGAGGGGAGAAATGAGGACGCGTTGGAAACGACAGCGCGGATTTGATTTTCCGTCATCTTTCGTTGACGTTCGCCAACTTTCCAAATGACGTCCTTAAGGTCCTGAACAACCTCCCCTCCAGGTCCCCATCGTTCTCCCTTGGAGAAAGATGGGTCAAATTCGTGCCTTGACCTTGATATACTGTTGCTATCATTCGCAGCAGCCTCTCTTCGTGCCTTTGCGAGCAAGCCCACTATGGCGCACTCTCCGTACAATCCAGGCATGAAACGCTGGGCCAAGTCCACAGCATCCACAGCCAGCGAGGCCAATTGGGACCATTGCCACATATAAGTACTTCACATGGGTCAGAACAGGATGCTGCCACCTTGCGCCCACACATCCGCACAAACATCTATGCAGCTCAGTCGCTCTCCCAGTCAACCCAACACTCCAGGACATATGCAACAGAGCCCGTCACTGGCGAACCGTCAACCCACAGACTCACAAATCAATGTTCACATTCAGAACATTGGGGCCGTGGCTTTCAATCAGGCAAAACATAAACTAGGCTTAGACGAAAAGGATAACAATGCCCTCACGCAGGATGACAAGTAACTTTTTCTTACCAATTTTTCATCTGTGAACCTAGCGTCCTGCTCACTTGTGTCAAGCACCGGATCGTAAACCAAGTTAGACGTATCGGTCTTACCCAAATGGGTAGGAAACCTGGTATACCGCCCGCACGACCGTCGAACATTAGCCCCGAGCATGCAGCGAAGAAATAAACGGAATCAGAAATGATTAACGGGATGGAGACGTCCTGTGGAGAGACTGCTGCGTATGTCTTTTAAACTCCCCTTGTAGGTCGAATTTCGTGTTACGTTCCTTGCACTTTTCAGCCATGCAGATATATAGTCTACGCCCTTCCCCCTTAGCTCTATGGAATTTTTGTTTCCCTGTTTATTTAATGCAAGAGCTACCTTTGCAGCCGACATCGTCGCTGTCGATTTTTGCGATACAGTAGTTCTGCGTCTTCTTTTCCCTTCTTCTGGCTCAGCGGGCATGTACGAATATCCATCACCATCCTTATTGAATGCCATCCTCCCATAAAAGTCTACTTTCCAGTGTGATTCGTGCCCGAAGACTGACTTCTGACAAGTCGGAGTCCGACTATGGCTCCACCCCGGTGTCTTACGATGCCTCCCATTTTCACTGTCGGTCCCGTTACGTTGGTACGAAGTAGGTATGTAGTTTTCTCTCGGGTCCTTCATAATGCGATTCTCACGCGGTGATAATATCCAGAACTTCCGTCAACTCGTCGTATTAGCTGTGGCAGGCTAACCGTCCCCAGGGCCACCTTCTCTTCGTTCAGTGTGTAACCACTACAGTCGGTGGTTCGTGGGGCACCTCGACGGAATACGCTCTGAGATATTCGTCGACTATCGCAGCGTACTTCACCTTCCTAATCCTGAATGAATTGACATGACGCTTTATTTCCGTAGCCCTACTATGTACTTACGTTCACTCATTCAGGTTGGACTTGGCTCGGAACCGCCGTGATCGGTGCGGTGTTGATAAATGGCAAAACTTTTCGGGGTTCTGGACATTGGCTCCTCATTATCTCCCGCTGCTGTCAGTGTCCTACGTTAATATTCAAACGATGCAATGATGTGGTCAGTGCTCACTGATGGGCGGAGGAGCAGTGACTATGTGAATGGTCGGAAGTCCTCATCTCGGAAGCACCCAAATGTGTGCATTTCGAGTTCGGTACGTTCGCAGTTGGCGATGTATGTGTCTGCACACACTCGGTAACCAAAGTTAACGAGGACTCGGCAGAAGTAGATACGGTCGGAAAAAAACGCTGTTGTCACGAGAGGCTGTCCCGGAGGGGAGAGCATAAGATGCAAATATCACAGTGGAGAGGGAGACTGGGACACATGAAAAGACGTCGGACGGGAAGGCATATCTACCTCCAGCCGAACTGGGGAGAGTGTTGAAGACTTGACTGGTACGACAACGGGAGTACGTAGTTCATTCATAGGTTTCGTATTTTCCGTTGTCGATAAGTTTGGGTATTCGACATTCGGTTACTGTAACCTGAGTGAAGTCCCAGCCCCACCTCTGAAAGAATGCAGCAGATCAGGCTAAGTCTTCCTTCTATATGGTGTCAGGAAGCTAGGTGATCGCGATTACCTTGTCGATCCGCTAGTTACTGCCTTGTACGTTCCTCGGATGTCAAGTAACCCGCGGCTTGCTGTCCCTCAACGGAACAACCTGAAGAGCAAGCTACAGTTACCCCCGTCATCGATCAAGCGCGCCCTTACTGTGACTTATCCAAGTCAAAAGCGGCTTCGGGCAGTAATCGGCTTGCCCTGCCGAAAGAAATAGATCCAATACAAAGTGGTATACTGTGTTGTTTGACCTCCTATGGGAGTCTACGCATTGAAACGCAGGGCTGCTCTCCTCCTCTTGCCTCCGGATCTCTCGTAAGGGTAGTATGTATTACGCTAACACAAAACGAACAACTAATAATGCGAATATAAGTTATGTACATTACCACTGCGTAGATGATGGTATTATGGCGTAGAATTTTGTGGGAGGATGCTGACGGGCCCGATAGCACATTGAGGTGACGAGGGGAGAGATGAGGACGCGTTGGAAACAACAGTGCGAATTTGATTTTCCGTCATCTTCCGCCGACGTTCGCCAACTTTCCAAATGACGTCCTTGAGCTCCTGGACAACCTCCCCCCCAGGCCCCCATCGTTCTCCCTTAGAGGAAGACGGGTCAGAGTCATGTCTTGACCTTGATATACTGTTGCTATCATTCGCAGCAGCCTCTCTTCGTGCCTTTGCGAGTATGATTCGTTCTTCCCGACTCAGTTTGGACCGCTCCCGTGTAAATGTGGCAGCGGCACTGGTGTCCGCTTCGTACACTTGCTCAATACCAGGAGAGAGGCATTCCGTGGATGCTGTCAACAACAGATGTGCTGTCACATCGTCTACATCCGCTGTCTCCCCGTCAGGTGTCAGGAGGGTCATGCTGATGTCACCTTCTGCCACGTCGCCACTTTCCTCTTTTGGTGGCGGACTTGCGTGAGGATTAGGTTCCGCGGCAACGTCGTCGGCACCCGAATCTTCCGCGGAAGGTGTCGATGGTGTAAGAATGCCAATGAGGCGTTCACGGCCACGTTCGCATTCCCGTAAAGCGAGCCCGAGCTCACGCCGGAGTCGTTCGTAAGCTTGTACAGCGGGATGTTCACCCACAGAACTCGTGGACGATTGTGGCGAATGGGATGGCGAGACATCCTCATTTAGTGAGCTGACGCACTGATCCAACTGCTCGCGTGCATCGTTGAGAGCGGTCGAGATGGTGTCAACGTGTGCAGCAAAGCGTGCGAGGTGTGACGGAAGTGGAGCGAACGAGCCGAACGGTATAGAGGTATTCAGAGATAAAGGGCCCGGAAGCTTGCACGAGAGACGTGGAGGTGAGCCTAAGGAGCTTGGTGTATTAATGCCTGGTGGGTCCTCTGTAACCGAGTCATTGTCCAGTCGCAGGTGACTCTCTTCGACTTCGTCTAGCACTTCTGAGAGTCGCTTGGATGCATCAACCAATGTGGACGTCAGAAGGCCCATAACGGATCGCACATCCTCCCAGTACATCTCGTCATCGTCCTCGAATCGGAGAGCTAGCAAGTGGGAGCAGGCAAAACGTTTGGATGCAAGCGCAGATTGTAGTGACTGATGGAGCGCAGGAAGTGACAGCGGATGCCGCATGGCTTGCATACTCGTGTACTTGGAACCTGGGGATACTGTGGCGCGTCGACGCAATGAGAGTGCTGCCTGGGTAAATGATGGTGGCGCACTACGTTGCTGAGCTTCAAAAGTACGCAGCCCTCTGCTTTGGCGTTTTCGTTGGAAATCCAGAGCAGCTGCACCAAATATTTCGTCCCCTTCAGAAGTGAACGAAGCATTGGCAGCAATCATGGAGTCATCTTCCGAGGCATCAACGATAGGCTTAAGCGCCGAAGGAGAAGTCGGCCCCGCGGAGAACGAGCCACGCAGAGGAGGCGTGGAACAGAGCAAGGCACTCAGATCGGACCTGCGCTTTTCCCGCCGTCGAGTTATTTGAATTGGTGGGGGACTTCCGGCTGAGGCGAGCGCCGAGTAAGATCCATTCCACGTTGAGCGCTTCCTCCTCGGCTCTAGAACTACGTCTTTTCGTAGTGGTGAGCCGGGATGTGACATCGGCCGATTCGACTCTGAATTCGGCAGGAACGTCCACTTCATAGGTGACGGTGGTGCATACATTTCAGTTAGTTGAGACAATTCGGTGGGACAAGCAACGGCCGAGAGTAATTGGCGCACGTTGTCGCATTGCGTCCGAGTCGTCAGGAGAGAAGAAGAAAGGGCCACTCTGAGAGAAGACGATGGTGCCATAAGAGACGTAGACCCGTATAAAGCACTGTGCAAGCAGATTAGCCAAACCGCTGAGTTCCAGGAACAAACGGTACTGCACCTTTGTTCTTCGTTGTCTAATAAGTTGAAGGCGTCATTGACCACTGATGCCCAAACTTGACTAGCGGATATCAAGCTTTGCAAAGCTTCCAACGACTGTCTCGAGCATTAGGTAGCGTGATCCCAATAAACCCAGGAGACTTACAGGTGTCATAACGTCAGGCCTAGACTGCAAATCTAGTCTGTGAATGTGCATATAATACAGCGTGCCAGAAAACAGAAGAAGGCTTAGAGAATAAAATCGAGCACTAAGGGCGGCGATAGAAACTGTAAATGAGAGAGTGAAGGGCCATAACGGCGACTCGTGTTCCGCGGGTATTGATAGTGAGAGTGTGTCAGTAGCAGTGGTGCAGGTGCTGTCCGCTAGACTTGTAGTCCTGCTGTGATTGCTGGTGAGTTTTCCTGGCACTGGTGGCGACAACGAGCGGCGGTGGTTATGTTGTGTAGGACTTGATGGGGATGCTGTAGATAGCAATGTCGATGAGATGACACCATACTTGAACCGTTCAGCGAATGCTTGAACGAGTTTGGATGCACGGTCAGAAGAAAGCGCTGATGTGGCGAGCTATATCACATCGCCGAGAGGGGGTAGATACGTTAGAACATGAGTGAGAACGTCGAAAATGTTGCCGAAGATATGCTTACTTCTAAGACGTCCAAAATAAGATAACATATCCGTTCCATCCTCTCACTGTATCGGGGAAGAAGGCAAGGGGGGAGCGTATGCAGCTGCAGGGAGAATTCCGGGATACCGCCTGGAAATATAGGTTCAGACGCCTCGCCAGAATCTGTTAGTGTGTGAGGCCAAGTTAGGAGGGTCCGAAAGGAGACGACTGGCCTCTCAAGTACTCCTCAAGGGGATGCCCGTCGAAAAAGGCTTGTGCCATGACTGTCACGACTAAAGCTGTGGGTGCACTGCCAGTTGCTCGTGAGGGGTCGTTAGAAAAGGAAGGAAGCGGAGATTACTAGCAACCAAATGGTCAAATGAGAGGACCTGGCCGCCCTGTGGCTAGCTTATAAGGCGCAGTGGGGATACAGTCTGATGCGTTGGATACGGCTTAGCAGCCCAAACGTCCAACAACTTCCTATTCAGCTTATGTAATCCAAATATTTGCCTCGGATCAGTGTGCCTGGCGAGTTATCTCTTCTTAAGCATTTCAGGCGGGATGCGGGTGTCGGTTTTCATCCAATGAGGACTCGCCGCGACTCGTTGAACTTGCAATCGTCAGTGGATGTTGGCCAGACAACCCATGCGTGAGCTGGGCCTGCTACCATTTGATTACCGGCCAATGCATGAACTATTATCAATTCCACATCTATCGTGGCACACATCCCTGGCGCAATGGCCGTGGAGCATGGTTCCTGTGCAATGTTGGTTACATGCTGTTGTCGTGCGGACAGGTCCCAATAACTCTGTTGTTCTCGCGAATCCAGGCGATGATTTCGCTGGTGGTTGCTTCGTCCACTTATGTACACGGGCACTCGGACGCGAGAGTTAAACAATGTCACGCTACGAACGCGGCAGCTTCGAATGTAAGTATGTGCTATGATTATACGCTCCACAATCGTCTGCTGTACAGGACGCTCCAAAACCGTGAAAGAGTGCTAGGAGAGTGGGTCCGTATCGCCTGTTAACACATGACATATCCACACTGTTCTAGGGCCTCGGTTTCGTGCATGCTGCATACGACATGGGGTGGTCCACCATAGACTTCTCTAGATCTCCTTTGGTAATCATCACTAGCGCATAGCAATGGTCGTTGAGATCGTCACCAGTTACCCGTCGTCATACTAGCCACACGATCCATCGGGTAGGTGGATATTTCAGCCGATGGAAAGCGTAAGGGTATGTATTTTACGAGAGACCAAATCATGAAACTTCTCGAGCGTCCGTTAAAGAAGAGGGAATATATGTTGCCTTCGATGCTTCATGAGGTGGGGTCCCGCGACGCTAAGTACGCGCTCTGTATCGAACGGCTCTGCGTTAAGAGAAGAGGAATCCATGATGACCATTCGCACGACTTACTACATACTTCACAGGGGCTCAACGAGGATGCAAAACGACAACGCAGTTCGAATCTGAAGATCTGATACGGATCGACACGCGACATAGTGGTGTGGTCACGTGGCCGCAGCGTTCCCTATCCGATGGATGGCTAGTTATCTTGCTGCGACTACTAGTAACAGCACAACGACCTAATTACGCACTCGAGTTCGTCCTGCCAGACGTGTACAAGCCGATACTCGGGTATCTTATTGCCGTTTAATTATTTCTTGCCTTGAGCTGAGGTTATCTGTTTGGTGTGCAGGGTCGATGTCATTGCAAGTGAACTTGTCTAGTAGAGACATCAGTGACGCGTATCAGAGGGTCGTCGCTGGGAGGGACATAGATTGGGCACTTTTAACATATGAAAAGGGTGGAAACGATTTAAAAGTTCAATCTACTGGCGATGGTGGACTTGAGGAACTGGTCGAGGAGTTCTCCGATGGCAGGTACGCAAGCGGCCCATCAGACACTAGAGTCTGGCTGATACATCCCGAAGGATCCAGTATGCATTTGCAAGAGTTATCGACCCTAATGTCAGTGATCCGATGGACACTTGGATCGACCTTGTCTGACATTCACACCATCGTCTCAGAGCAATTTGCCCAAATTCGTTCAAATCAACTGGTGTGGTGACGGGGTTCCGGAAGTGAAGAAAGGTCTATTCCATTCGCACTCAAGTGCTGTAGCCAAATTTCTACGAGGAACTCACGTCGTCATCAATGCTCGTAACGAGGTCTGTATCGGCATTCTCCTCTAGGTCATGCTGACGTTCCTTCGAAGGCGGACGTTGCTCCACCAGTGATCATGAAACGGGTCGAAGCAGCTTCTGGAGCCAAGTATTCCGCTCACAATGAGCAGGCGCGCAAATTTGAGCCGATCGCACCTGTTGGGACAAACTACACGCCAGTTGGTAGGCCAGATATAACAGCAATGCGAAAGGCGCCTCCTGCGGCAAACCCTTCCGTTACTCCGTCTCAATCGTTTTCATCTAGACCGACAGCTGCAGTGTCGGCACCAAAGCCTGCGGTCCCAAGTGCTCCCCGTCCCACTGTCGGTGCTTCGGTGCCAATTAACCCCAACACTGCTGCAGCAACCAGGGCCCCTGCCGGTGCGTGGGAAGACGCTCCTGCTGCACCTCCGGTTTCTTCTCTTCCTCCCGTAATATCAACTGCCCCGAGACCAGCTGTTTCGGTGATGATCTCATTCACGTTTGTGATTTGCACAGCAAAATTGACTACCTCAAAATAGACATATACGCCATCTACGCGTGCTGTACCGTCTCCGCCTGCCCCGGTCACATCGTCAAACATTCCGACGAAGCCTGCGGAAGATGATCGGATTGGTCCTGTGGTGAGCTACCACTCCGTTCTTCTTGGCGTTCCAGATCCTTGTTTGTGATCGTTATACCTTTCTTTTAGGGGACGGCATATACTCCAATTAAGCTTACCCCTGGAAGACTCAAAAACCCGTTCGAAGGCCGGGTTCAAGAGACACAAACAACGTCCGCCGCGAGGAGTGCTCCTTCCGGAGCGCCCAAGAAGCTTACCTGGAGTGAACGCCAGGCTCTAGCAAAGAAGCAAGCAGAGGAGGAGGAACTACGAAGCAAGGCTGCGTCTTGGAAATCGTCTACTCCGGCGGCACCTTCTGGACGGTTTGGCCCCCGTGTAGGTGCAGCTGTTATCGGAGGCGCGGCAGTAGGAGCTGCTGTTTCTGTAGCGGCCAACGAGCCAGAGGTAGAGGTGGCGGCTGCGCCCCCGGTCTGTGTTCAATCCTGTCGTTTTTCTCTTTTTCACTCACATTTATTGATCTAGCCTCCCCCTTCCCCTGCTCCTCCGCTTGGCACTCGCCCACGGATAGTTCCTGAACCTGCTCCCATCCCTGAACCCGAGCCTGAGCCAGAGGATGAGCCAGCACCCCCTCCTCCGCCTCCTCCGCCTCCGCCCCCGCCTCCCCCACTAGCAGCGCCTGCTCCCCCCTCTGTGGTTGAGGACGACGAAGTACCTGTATGTTAACTTACAAGCTGTCTGAAGCCCGTATGCAGATTGATTTCGTTATCAGCCGCCCCCACCTCCGCCCCCGCCTCCTCCGCCTCCACCGGTTGCCCAAATGGCTGCTGTTAGCTTGGAGCCAGAACCCGAACCCGAACCCGAACCTCTACCTGTAGACCCCGCGCAAAGTGGTCAAGGTATTTGTGCAGTTGTACTCTATGCCTACGAGGTTCGTATAATAAATTACATTGTTATTTTGCGTCTTCTGAGTTGACCTATCGTGGTCATAGGCAGCAGAAGACAATGAACTTAATCTCAGGGAGGGTGACTTGATTCAACAAATTGAAGAAATTGATGAGGGATGGTGGAGTGGCATAGCTCCCGACGGCAGTGCGGGGCTCTTCCCTGGTACACTCTACTTTGCTGGGCAGTTGACAGGTGTTAATTCACGTTTCCCAGCCAACTACGTTGAACTTGTTGCTACACCTGACAATCAGGATGCACCACAGGAGGATGAGTTTGTTCCTCCTCCACCGCCGCCGCCGCCACCACCACCACCCTCCGTCGTAAGTGGCCCTCCGCCATATCACAGATGACTAGCTGATTCGCAGTCATTACAGTCTGAAGTGCCTCCTGCACCCGTTGCTCCACCCTCACCGCCACCTGCAACAGTGGACGAAGGTGTAGTAGCAATTGTTATATATGAGTACGTTCTTTAAATGTCTTGTTTCTTGTCATCTGATTAATTGTACCCTCTTTAGCTATGAGGCAAGCGAGGACAATGAAATATCGCTCCGCGAAGGTGAGCGAGTTACGGATATCGAGGAGGTTGGCGAGGGTTGGTGGCAGGGGCGCAACTCGAGTGGTAATGTTGGAATGTTCCCAGGTAGGAAGGTTTCTCCTTACCTCTGTGCTGTCTGGTCTAACCGCTCTTCATCAGCCAATTATGTGGAGTTAGTCGAGTAGTAGCAATTTGTGGTATTCGCACGAAAAACAGGGTGTTTCAAGCAAGTGTAGACAGGAAAAGTTGTAGGGATGTTGGGATGTACATTTTCATACACTATTAGTGTTTGCTATACTTGGTACTGGCTTGAGGGCTCCGTGAGGCACGCTTGGCAACCAGTAACCACATGCTCTGAATCATTCCAACACCCTCCAATTGACATACGCCGCTGCTCGACACCGCACCGAGGCTCCAGGCCTCATTGAGCCAGCGTTATTCATAAACTCTTTCACTGCTAGTACAGCCGACGCCTGGAACACCCCCGACCACGATGCCCCCAAATCTCAGGCAAAGACTCGCAGCATTGTCATTGGCTCCTTCATATCCTTCGACACCATTGGGAGCGGCAGGACCGAACTCACTGAGTGGGCCAAGGAAGTCATTTGTACCTCCTTGGAAACGGGGAAGCTCCCATGTCCCTGGTAACGAGCCAGGGGAGAGGGAGAGGGTAAAGGAGTTGATGGGCAAAGTCATCTTCCAGGCTGGGGTAGATTACGAGTGAGCGTTTTGCGATACGGTCGAACTCTATTCATTATCTCAACTCCTGAACCTTTGCAGAACGAGGCCAATGTACGTTTGATGATAAGTTGACATGGCTCGTGTTTTCACATAGCTCAATTCGTCCGACTGCAGGGTTATCATCTGCGCGTCAGCCTTACCGGACCCACAGGCAGTGTCCTACGACTTGATGTTATCGTAGGTTCCGACCATACCCGACAGTTACCGTGCCTGTGCTGATGCCCATCAATCCATCAAACTAGCTGTATTCTGTCGTACCTCGACCTATACGGTACGTTTCATCGCCTGAAAGTGAAACTAGTAATCTTACGGTTGACAGTGGAGTCCGATTATACCGTGGTCTTCTTTGCAGCCGGTGCCAAACACATCCCAGGCTGGAATTGGATATGGAGGGCGTACCGCAGCCTCAGTCGGAAGTATCGTAAGAATTTGAAGCGCCTGGTAAGTATATAACTGGCTTTCGAGGTACTCGGTTCCTAACGCTCCCGTGTTATAGTATATTGTACATTCGTCATTCTTTTCCAAAAGTACGCAACACACTCTGCGTACTTGTCTTATCTGGCCCTGACCCCGAATCGCAGTGCTCTTTTCCGTAGCAGGCGCCGTCATCAGGTCAGTACCATGCGTCCCTAGCAATTCTTGCGCTGATCACATAGTCGTAGTCCCAAGTTCTTCCGGAAGATTGTGTATATCAATACCTTATCTGACCTCGCCCACCATGTTCCCCTTACCCAAATCGATATACCACCTGCAGTTTACAAGTTAGTCTGGTGTTCCTGTGTACCATGATGCGAGCTTACTTACATCTCCTCAAGGGAAAATCTCAAGTACGAGAAAGAAGTCACCATGCCAATACCTGTACGCGCCAGTCTCTTCGGCGTGCCACTCGAGGAGTTGATGGGTTACGATGGAGAGAAAGACGGTATTCCACGCGTCGTGAAAGACGCAATCCAGTATATTCGAGAGAGTGGTATGTATGCCCTGATAGCTATGTCTACATATTACTGATTTGCACTAGGCCTGAATGAGGAAGGACTTTTCAGGCGATCGCCAAGTTCTTCACTACTGAAACAAGTCCAAGAAGCCTATGACCGGGGTGAGCAGTCATAACAAGCCGCGTACGTCATACTGATCGACTTCCCAAGGCCAAATCGTGTCTCTTCCAACATTCAACGACCCTCACTTAGCAGCCGTCTTACTAAAGAAGTATCTTCGCGACTTACCTGACCCGGTCTTCTCAGAGACACTATACCCCGTTATTCGACAATGTCCAATGCCCTCTGAAGACCCTACTGACATGTCCACTATAATTTACATCCGAGACATCCTATTGCCTCAGCTCAAACCTTGCGTGTACATCCTACTGAGCCACATCCTACGTACGTGATCCTGGCTGACCATCGTGGGATGTCGTTGAATGACAATTATATCGCAGAACTTCTCCATGACGTATCGCTGCATTCTACAGACAATCGCATGGATGCACGTAACCTTGCTATTGTGATCTGCCCAAACCTCGTCAAAGGCTCCAATCCTCTGACAGATGTCACGATGTGTGCAGTATCGGGAAACCCAACACATGAAAACAACATTACTGTCCCGGCTTCTGATGCCTCAGAGGCTGCATCACTCGGTCCCCCTTTCTCCAATGGTTCCGCCTTGGAGGGGAAAACCACTTTGGGGGCCATCCTGGTAGTTTGCATTCAACGCTACTACGAAATCTTTGATGAAGTACGAGATCGGTCCGAACCTATGCGGCCTTCGTCAAGACGATTTTCCCGTTCTGCGTCACCACCAGTTCCGTGCTCTCCCTCCGCGTCATCTACATTTAGCCCGAAAACATCGCGACCGTTGAGTCTCTCTGTGGACGATGAAGATAGCGTAGATGATGCTATGCTCGTCATGCCCATTGGACCCAATGCGAACACTGCTTCGTATCCGGGCTCCCGCGAAGACAGTACCCAGAACGTGCCATCAGTCGGTGTTACCACATTTCCCTACCAGCCCCGTCAACGGAAAGTCGTTTTGGGTGGTGAGGTGCGTTCCCTCCAGAATGATCACAATAGCGGGAACAACTACCCCTCGACAAGGAGTAGAGCGCGTTCCATCATCAGCATAGCCCGAAAGGATGACAGTCCAGGGAGTAACCGGGGCTCGATATCTATCAGGAGGAGCACCATTCACAAGTCGACTGGTTCTGGCGTGGAAGCAGTAGGAATCACAGCCGGCGGATTCTTTACACCCCCAACCACCGTTTCCCCCCCTCGTTCACCGCCACCCTCCGGAGGTCCTGGTGGCAGATGAGGGTTTGTACTCTAGGTCGTATCTTTGAATTCGCGGATATTTATTGTATCTGGTTTTCCCCGCTATTGTACGTTGACTAGAACTGCTGTGGAATTGACAGTTTGCATCAAGGAGGAGTTGCATTACAATGGTCGACAAACTTTTCGCTAATTATACAGTATCGTAGTCCATAGTCCCTTTCATGTCCATGTCACCATTCATGGCGGAATTCCATCCCTGCATAGCCTTTCCTCAATTCAAACAGCATGGCCAACTGCCCGCTCGGTAATTTGCACTTTGGGTGCTGTTTCTTCAGACTATTCCTGAAATCCAGTACTTGCTGGACGTCCAGCGTAAGGACACGAGAATTATCTTCCGATGTACCACAAAAGGGGTTAAATATCTTTGGCTTGATGTCATTTTCAGTGAGAGTGATATTATCAGGGCACTCCGGGGGACACGGAACTGCTGCTTCGCCCAATCTCTCGGTGGGGTTTTCGCTGATAAACAGAGATCCTTCAGAAGTTTCTAGATGGTCCTTAACGTTGTCAGATGAAGAGCCAGTAATGGCGTCAGGGGTTGTGTCAGCATGCGGCGTCGGATTGCTGTCTTGCGAGCCGTCGGCATCGGACCTGTTGCGATAGAGACGGACCAAGGCGTGACTTGCAAACGTGATCTTCCTTGCTGGTCTGTCGTCATTCACCTGCTTAAACATTAGAAAAGGCGGTGTCGGAGGCGCTAAAGTTTACCACCGCATTGCCACTAGTCACCTCGATCTTGTCTGATAACTTGTTGATAGTCAGGGGGCAGTTAAAATTGCCGGATCGCAAATCAACGCCCGGGAACCGGGTTCGTCCATGTGCCGTCGGGAGGCGGCTGAAATCGATCGTATGCACCGGTTTCGTCACTTTCGGCTTTTGGGAATTACGATGGATCCGGTCAGCGGAGAAGTACGAGCGATCCGGAGGGGGATTCGTCTGGTGGCGCTGGACAGCCTTCAAGGTCGAACTTTGGTGTACAGAGTTGGAGAAGGAAGGAGGCCCAACGGTCGCGTTCGCAACAGCAAGGCCGTCGGTCTGACAGACCTTTGCAAAAGTATCTGCAACTGTCAAGAATGGATTGAAGTCGTCTGAAGGGTGATCATGACATATTAGTTGAGGCGTGTTGTCGTGTTTTGGGGTGAAAGATGGTTTGAAGCGCAACTTCCGCAGTTTTCTTGGTCGGCGAGGAATTCCGTCCTTGTCGAACTCGGAGAAAATGTAGCAGCCACTTGGAGAGTCAAAGTATGCGGACTCTCGTTTGCGCTTGCAGCTCGATATGCTGGGAGGAGGGGTGCTTGGAGTATCCAGTTGGACTAGAGTATTAGAATCGTCAGTGGACTGGTCTGGTCGAGTCTCCCTGAATTGGAACTGAGTCTCCGGATCCGCCAAGCCGTGGACAACTCGGTATGGGGCCGCAGGAACGAAAAGCTCTGAATAGCGAATAAGTGTGTCCCCGGAGGATCTCAGGCAGGTGCGAACAAGTCCTCCGTACCATCAAGCACATACTTCGCCATCGGGACTTTAAATCCACTGTCGACGCAATGCACGATCCATCCCGCGTGTATGACCTAAAAGGCCCAAAACGACGAGTGTAAGGGCCGTTGCAACCATGTATGCACCATGCGTAGCACGCGACAAGACGTTCTCGAACTTACTGTGACCGACTTGGAGGTCAACGCAGTAACCCACTTATCTGCCGAGTCCGTAGCAAAGCAGTAGGCGACTCCAGAGCGAGAACGTGGGGAGTAAACCTCTCCACCGTGCCTTACTGCACTCGAGCCGACCCTCTGAGTTCACGCCGAGTTTACAAGGCAGTGCAGACTTACCCCAATATTGCACTGCAATGCTTGGAACCTGTTTGCTGAAACAGGCTACAAGAATAACCAGTGTCAATGTATGCTGTAGCGTTTGAGAATACACACCACATCCAGAGAACAATTGCACAGGCTGGTCACTATAGCTGACACCAAACATTCTCCTGAAGAAGTTGATGATCATGGTGGTCAAAGTCCAAGTTGACGAAGTGCACAGGTCACAACGATATTGCGTAAACTACTGATATATTGGGTGGCTAACAGACAACAAAAGAACTCGTCAGACATCCCCACGTCCCTTGTGCAAGCTTTCGGATGGTTTATCTCTGAATACCTCCGTCCCGTTCGGTTCATTCGCTCTACCTCGTCTGCACCTCGCACGCAGACAGTCGGAGTGTTGCATCGCGTCACTGAAATGAGGATAGGCGGTTTCGCCGTCCCACTCGCCATTCCTCCACGAGTTCGGTGTGTGAAAATCCCGCCGTAAAACTTACTAACGAGTGAGTCTGATGTGAGCTCGGGCTTGCCCTACGGAATCTGTTGAACGTAGGCGTGATCATTGATGGCAGCTTACCTTTAGGTTGTTTCGTGGAGGGACTGCAAGCTGCAGTTGCTAGTGACGTCCAAGGCGGTATAATTGGCCGGTCGACAAGCGATAGCGATCATCTAGCAACAACTAAGTGAACCCCCGTACGATTTCGTTTGGAACTTGCTGTCATTGGCATAAAAAAGGGAGGGTTAGTCTGGTCCATTCCTTCCACACATCTGGGTTTTCCCTCGAGTTGGTCGGCTGTTGAATATCCGACTCAAGAGGATGCACAGTAACGCACGACCCCGAGCCGCCCCCCTCCGACCGACGTCTTTCATCCCCCGCGCCTCCCTCTCCACCATCCTCGCATCTTATGCTCCCCCCAAGAGCGGCCCTATTTCCTGGTGACCACATTTTCTTTGGTCATGTCAGATACCGTACTATTAATTTGAAAGCTGGTAGTGCAAGTGCATGAAAAGGAAAATTTATCGCGCATGTAGATGCGTACACTGTCAAAGGGAACGCACCCGACTGTACGATGACGAAAGTACGTACTTTATCCATTGGTTCTCTCAGGTTTCGTGTTTATCCATGCAGAATCGGGAAGAGTGTCAAAGTGCGCGCACTTTCATGAATATCTTGAAGATGAGGCCCGTGGCACGGATACTAACGTACCGCGCTGACAGCAGCAGGAGAGAGAGGAGCTGAGGTTCAGAATCCGCCGAGGTAGCGCACGATCCGTGAAACCGGATGAGACGAGTAGTTGCGCTCAACAAAGAGCAAGTTGACCTGGGGACGGTTAGTCTGACACAGGCGAAATGCGTTTATGCAAGTTACGGATATTATCTCCGCATAGGCATCGCGTGCGAAGGGATCCGAATAATATTCCTTGCATATGGAATGCCGATATTCAAATGGGGCACTGTAAGACATCGCAGTGAAGCGAGTCATCGTCAGACTCCAACTCAGGGATCTTCACGTACGAAGTCTGATAAGAATGATGACGGATATTAGGAAGTGAAAGAAAACTATTGTATCGCAAGAATTCGACAGCGAAATAAGCTTTCTAAAAGGAGAGGGAAAGCCAAGACACGAAGCTGCAAGGACAGTCTTTGCATTAAATAAACAGGAAAAGAGTTCCACGGGGCCAGACAAAGAGCATGGACGATCCGCATGAATGAAATGCACGCTCGGCTCACAAGGAGAGTCCAAAAGACGTACATACTAGTCTTCCACAGCATCCCCTTCACGCCGGCAACCATTTCTCATCTCCCGTTTACTTTTTCTTCCGGTGGATCAAACCACTCACGAAATTGTTCAAAGTCAATCCCAGTCTCGCCTGGCCTGAAAGGTCCTTGAGGGTCAAAATTATCCAGTTCAGCCGCCACGGACTGCATAAAATCATCCGAAAGGAAACTTGCTGGAAGCTCAGACATGATTGACGTCGGTTGAGCTATCGGGGTGAGAGTCGGCGTGCCGTTGCCGTTGATTGCCGAAGGCGATGGTACAGTAATGCTCGAGTTCGCTACTCTTGGCGTAGGGGGCGCCGTGGAGTTACTCCCGTGGAGCAGTCCTTGTCCCCTTGGCTGGGTTGGGTTAGATGGATGGTTTTGCGATGACCAATCCGAATTGTGACTGAGACCACTAGGAGTACCAGGTGACGATCCTCGCCCCGGGTGGCTCTGCTAGGTGATTGCTCTGTGGTCCAAGGTAGGCGGCTGGCTGTGCTTGACCAGGAATTGAATCCAAGGTCTCCCGAAATCCGGGTCCACTCGCTGCTAGCCAAGGTCTGACCTTGTGGAATCGTAATTTGAGCCTCAGTCGGCGCGGCTTCAGGAGCAGTACTTGGGATATCTCCTGAACAAGTAGCCTCAGAAGGTATACGCAAGGACATAAGAGAGAACATATGCAACCACCTTGCGAGGGGGCTAGGAGCAGGAACATCCTGCGTTACTAGGGCTAGGGACAGCACTTGAATGAATTGGCGAGGCAGCACGAACATCTACATCGCCTGAGAGAGGATACCATAGGGCAACAAATTCGCTCAGTGCGAAGGACGCAAGTGTCTGCATCGAGAGCGTACCCATTTGAGTGGCTTCGGTGGGAGCGGCAGCTTGTTGAACCCGAGAACGCCGCCGTGAACACCAAAGTGCGCTGAAAAGGCCCATGGCTTAGGGGAAGATAGACTGCCTTGGGATGCAGTCAGCGTTTGTTCGCGAGGCGGACGAGTGGAAAGAGTGTGGGGCTGCGGACTCGCGTTGACAGTAAGAATGGACTACGTGTTTGCCATGCTCGGCACGCGTCGACTACGCGTTCTCGAGCCGTGACCGACTCGGAGGTCAATACAGTCACATTCAATAGGCAGCTTAGGGGCAAGGACATAAATGTCTGTCTAGTGCATTACTGCAGGAAGTCAAAACAGCTTGGGTTACAAGGGCAATCCACACTTACATTGTCCAGCACTGCTTAGGACCTAAATCTATGCAGCAACATTGGAGACATTAACACATTAACCATAGACATTCACACACCATTTTCCTAAGAAGCGAGACGATCATTAATAAAAATATCCTAGCTACAATAACAATGCATAAACTACCCAACGACAGACACCCTTCGCATTCCATTTGCTGAGCCCCATGCCATACCAAATGGTAAGGGAGTAGTAGCACAGCAAAAAGAAAGCAAAAGCTAGTGGGAGATCCCCTGACGACACAAGCCGGTACTGCAGTAGCAAGGTCATCGCGTCCCCGGAGTTGCAAGCAGAGCTCGCGGGGACAAGGGCGGCAAAAATTTGCTAACCAACTAAAGGGGGCGGTGCCCCCGTTACAGCGGTTATGCTGTAAAGAACAGATACTACACTTGATCTAAGCCAAAAGGCCAGAGTGGTGAGGATTCTGGATGTTCACCCGGGGTTTATATACGTTTCAGGTCTGCGCACGGACCATTGGACATTGGATTGCTGTGGCTTTCCTTCTACGGATCTGGACCTGCCTAATGGGTACCAACCAAACAGGAGCAATCAATTGGCACAGCATTCATCCAAGGTTTTGACGGTGGTGACGCTAACGGATCTTCTGACCTTCTGCCTTCTAAGTGGAACGGAACAGTAAACTTGAAACGCAGCACCACGTTCACAGCAGACGTCTTGAGCAATATCACATCCGTATCCATGACTCTATTTATTTCAATACATGTGAAAACAGTGTGACGTGAAATATGGACTGAACCCGGTGACTTCAATGGAAGTTCTTTGTGGCGGGCGAAGTGTGATATGACGAGTCTGCAGTGTGGTAGATCGTTTCACCGTAACATGGCAACACGGTGTAAACAAGCGATATTAACGACCGGGGGAGAGATTCACGGATGTGGTAAAGACGAGAATGTGATATTCGTGACGCTGAGCCATTGACGAATGAATTCGACCACCGTAAGAAAATCTCTCAAACGCACACAGCCGGACGGCAAGGTCCAGACAGGGGAACGAGTGACCGTTTGAAGTTCGGAAGGCCCCCGAGCACGCCATATAGTACAAACCTCACTGCGCAGCACCAAACCATCCACACGGCGCCCTTAAGCACGCCGCGTCGCCACCGGAGAAGTATAGCCATCTTGGCGCGTCTAAGCGGAGCGTAATTTATAACACATACATCGTGTAACGGGCATGTCGTCGAAAAGGTGCGTAGCTGTGTGTGTAGTATGTGTGTTTCAGACCTTCAAGAGGGAAGGGGGAGTATCCCGGCGATCGATTCGCAGATCGGCAACGGCATGTATTCGAAGCAACGGTCACAGTATGAAGCCCCCCGAAGTGAGAGAATGGTGTGCCCTATGGCAACAAACACTCATCTCATGTTACAATATCTAAATCTAGCCGTCGTCAGAAGCGGGAAACATGATCAGATGAAATGGGACATACACACACACGCACACCTGGCACAAACCACGACGCAGCAAAGAACCGCAGGGTATAGTACATGTGCAGGTGAGAGACTCTGGGGTGGGAAATGCAGGGTCACCAAAAATACTGCATCGGCACGAAGCAAGACACCTGACAGAAGCAGAATAGGAAATGTGGCCGGGTATATATGGTACGTTCATAAAAACAACAAGTGGTGATGCAATTGACAGCAAAGGACTGTGGGGAAGCCACCTGTCAGTAGGCACGTATAAAGACAGTTTCAACGTTCAAGGGTGGCAAGATAGTGATATGTATATGCACACAAAGTCAAGCACGTGGGTGGGTCGACAATGAAAATAATTCGCAACTCGTTTATGACAGTATCAAGGAGACAGAATCCACTTCCAAATCTGATGCCCAAGGAAGAAAAAAGAAGAAAGAGAGACGACAGGCACCATTGGGCTCACCGACCATATCCACTACCGCTGCGACCACGGCCCCAACCAGACACATTTTGGCCGTTCGTGGTGGCCCCTCCTGCCGAGGTGTTACCTGCGCCCGCGTTCCCATCTCCGCCTGCACGCCACATGGACGCAGAATCACCCCCCAAGCGTGAGCACGGCGTGCCGGTGAGCGACAACGGGGTGGGCAATTTCGAATCTTCCTCCGCATTAGCTACCACTTCCATTTCACCCGTCTCTACTCCCATGCTGACGCCTACATTACCCTCAACAGACGCACCACCGTCCACGCGAGGGCGCTTGCAATCTCCACGGCCGCCATCATCGTCTGGTGTCAACGTGATACTGGGCTGGGGAGAGTGGCCGTGGCTTCGTTGGACGAAAGATCGTTGCGTAAAACACGGTCCCGGATAGTCTGAACCCGTTGGCGAAGACGATGGCGTGTGCAACGCATACGCCGATCCGGTGGGGATCGAAAGCGTGGGAAGGCCCATCCGGGAAGCAGGATGAGAGTGAGGCGTCGGTCCATGGAGAGGGACGAGCGGTGAAGGGGACGTCGGCGACGTGATATATATATTCGGTGATTGGCCCTGTAAGTGCATGAGATTTGGAGAAGCCGACGGTGACGGCGGGTGGGATGATTGATCGAGCGAGAGTGTGTGGAGGTCTCGGAGTATGGCAACGAGAACTGGAACATCGATCGGGGATTAGCCATTGAGAAGCCAGAGGACATGTGCAGACTTACCGTCCTCGCTCTCACCAGTCTTGCCGGTCCCTGCATTGTTGCCCAGGCCAGGTCCTGTTCCTTTCCCAACAGGGCTGTTTGCATTGGAGTTCACCACCTCAACGAGTGCGCGGATGACATGTACCAGTTTGTCCACCCGTCTCCTCCCTTTGAAGATTTCTGTCTCTGCCCAACGGCACCACTCCTCCGATGGTGAAGGCGGCTGTGGAGAGGGTGAAATAGTATGCAAGGACGGAGACAAGCCCGCTAAGGACAAGGGGGGTGGGGCACCCAGGGGGGCCGTCTGAATGTGGAGTCCACCAAATGGCTCCGTGCTCCCTGTCGCTCCACCAGGTCCACCGCTTCCTGGCTCTTCGTCGTCCCATCCCGAGTCTCGTTCCACGTCGTCACCAAGATTACTCGACGATCTCGAGTGACTTAATGTATGGCCTTGGGCTGACACCGAGAGCGACTTTGCATGCGAGAAAGACCCCAACGAGTTTGCAAATTGTGGTGGGATTTGTCCGCCGAGCTGTCTGATCTCTCGCCATAATGCGCGATTCTCCTCGCGGATATTACCCAAAAACCGAGCAACCTCACCGGGAAGTTCGACGCTTCATATATGATGATAAGGGCATTTCTAAATAGAAGATTCTCCGCACTTACCGACCCCTCTCCCTCGGATCGGGCTCCAACGCCTTTCGCTTGATCGCATCTAGAAGGTCCGGTCGCTCTCGAAGAAACTTGGGGTGTGAAAACTCCCATGTCTGGGAGCTCGTGGATGTGCGTTGGGCACGTGGTGTCTAATTTATCGTAAGGCAGTGCATCACAATGGATCAGAATGGGGGCCAAAATCGGCGATAAGTCGTCGCGCCAAGGCCACAAAATTACGGAAAAAAATCGTCAGAATGAAATACAAGGGACCGATGACGCGGACTCACCCTATTTATTTTGTGAAACCCGTACATGTTCAACTGTCGGACGAAAGACGAGAACTACCAGTGCGTTAGTAAATTCGTACGCGTTAGGCAGTAGGGGCGAGGGTAATCCAACCCGACAAAGGGGAAGGGAAGAGGGTACAGAAACGCACGTTATTGTGTTTGAAATGTGATCCTAGTATGCTGCGACTAAATTCGCCGACATTGGATACCACGAAGCTGTGAACGAGTTGTGTCAACTTCTGACGAAAGGCGTGCGGCAACAAGGTGTATACCTTGTACCATGCTCTGTCCATGTGATATAATGCTGCGATTTTGGATCATTTATCATTCTGTCACATGAGGTATTACCTCGTTATTTTCCAAAGGGTTGGGTTCAAGGGCGGGAACTCACTGATAAAGCTTGGTTACGAAGTTATTTGTGCCCATCGGTTTACCCATGACGTTTTGGGCGGTGCCCTGTCCAACGCCGGATTTTCCGGTTATTACACCTGAATAATCGAGTCGGTGATTGTAAAACGCCGTAGTCAGACCTGGGAGGGAGAGCGGCACAGATTGCGTAAAATATGCCTACCTCCACTGCCACTCGCGCCAGCGAAGCCATACTCGTCATCGGAAACGTCGTCGCTGATGATGCCAAACGAGCCTTCCAGATCATCGTACGGATTTGAATTAGCGTTGATATCCAATTGGGTCTGCGATTGAAAGCTGGGATGTGAGGGCGACTGAGAAATGGATTGCTGGGAGAGAGAAGGGTGTGAATGAGAGTGCGAAAGGGAAATTGAATGGGAAGCATGTGACGAGGAAGGCGAAGTCGGGGATGGAGGGGGAGGGGAGGAGGCAGTGGTGGTGATGATGGGGTGTGAGTGACCATGGGCTTGGGTGTAGCCCGAGTGTGATTGAGAATGAGCGTGCATCGAATGAGTTGAATGAGAAGTGGGAACTGCAGTTGTTAGGCTACGCTTTCGAGGGACACTCTTTTCGACTGAAAGTTCCGTGGAGGACGTGCTGTGTGAACCGGTGCTTGGTCTGCGCTGGCTGAGAACTGAGTCTGGGGTGGGAGACAGGGCGCCGTTCGGTGAAGCCCCGTCGAAGTTGAAAGAAAAGTTGGGCTGAGGGGATAGGTGTGCGGAAGAGAAATCACCGGGGGAGACTGGAGAGATGGGCGACACACTGAGTGCGGCAGATCCAGTGGAGTGCGAGTGAGTGTGGTGGGGGATCGGATGGGTGAGCGGGCGCTGTGTGTGCAGCTGTTGGTCCTGGAAGGGACCTTGTCTCATGTTGAGGTTGGTCGGACTGGTCGCGACGGGGGTGTTGGTGGGACTTGTCTGCGGGAAGTAGAATGGATTGGGAGACGTCGGGGTAGGAAATGACTGACTTGGCCACCCTCGCTGAGAAGATGGCTGCTGTTGCTGTTGCTGTTGGGGGTAGTCTGTGTACTCCATCGCTTGAATCAGACAATGGAGGAGGAGGGGGAGATGTGCTGTTGGCCAGTAGCCGTGGGCGTCGTTCTTAGTCGTCCTTATGTCTGCACCCTCTTATGATGGACACAGCCTCGCCCTCGCCGAGTTTCACCTGCCATATCGGGTAATCCCAACAGCATGGCCGCGACACAATCCTGTATTGTATTATTACCATTATTACCACTCAGTAGTAGCCTTGTACTCATAATCCTCGACCCCCGTAATGAGTTTAGATCGCCCCTTCCCCCTCGTAGCATGCGGCCTCTCCTCATCAAAACGTGCAAACCGTCATCAGCCAACCCACCCTCATCCCAGAGTGTATGGTAGGACGACCACTGCACCGGTTTAGCAGCATGAGATCTCCCTTTGCTCAGCATCTCCGCGATCCTTTCAGACGTCTCAACTACCCTTCCACGTGTCATCCAGCACGGATGACTCCCCCAATGGGCGCTACGGTCCAATCAAGGCTGTGCCATGCTGCACGCGCATTACACACTCTCAACGCCACGTCGACCTTGCAATGTGCCAATGCGGCCCATCGTCCTAGTGCCCGTCTGCTTTGCCAGTTCTAGCGATCAAATACCTCCGCACTCGTTTGCCCGTATCCCATACTACGATCTCCGTTTCCGTCCCATGTCCGCGCATCTCACTATCTGTCTTTGATCCGTCCACCTCAAGTTGTCGCCATATCCCGCCCATGTTTCAACTCGTCGAACCACCTTTCGCATCTCTCGATAACTTCCGACCACGACTTGTCTCCTTGCGCCTTCTGCTTGTCAGACACGCCGCAGCTGCTCTCATTCAAACTTTCAGGTCTTGAACTCTACCCATCTGTATGTATGTCATTCCGTCAAGTCATCTCGACACCGGACAGCCGAACTGGTTAGAGCGTCCCTGCCTTACCTTACCCTACACACACTTGTCCCACATCCCCGCTTAACCTTGCCCTACACACACTTGTCCCACATCCCCGCTTAACCTTAACCTCAACAAGTCACCTGCCCTATCTGCTAACAGCATCCTTGTACGACACTGTACGAAAGAGATGCATACCAAGACGTGCTAGCACTCCCAGTACTTGGCGACCACAGGTTTAACCACCGTGAAGTGCGCATTTCTACTCCGCTCGCGAAACTTGGCAAATCCGTATGTATAAGCCTCACTTACGTGGATGCCGGACATGTCTTATTACTCGATGGATATCGGGATCTAACATGCATCATTCAAACGCCCCCTCCGACAAGTAGATGCGACGTCATCTTGCCAGGCATCACCACTGATTCTGTCCACGCTGTCAGAAGGCGCTGTTTTTGGTCTGGGACCCTGCAAGTATATTACATTATGGCTTAAACTTACATGAAGGAATGCCCCTTCAGCACGTCTCGGCTGACCTGGCCCGCCCTTATCTGGCAGCTCCTTCTCTCCCTTCGCGCGTCCTTTCACGGGAGATACTTTCATTATCGTGCGATTCAGGACACAATTGATGCGGAAAGCAGGCAGTCTCTCCCAAACAGCCGTTTAACACGACATTTTATACGCGAGGGACCCACCCTCGCCGAAGAGGTCCCTGTCCTTGACACGCCGCCGACTGGGAAGCATCATATAGGACAGCCTAAAGTTAGGAAAGGGACGTGCCGGAGTCATCGATCAATGCAGGACATGAGGCTCAGCGTCACTTCTCATCCTTCAGTCCACCAAGTAAATCTGCATCAAATGCCATATCGACCCCATTTTGCCGAAAAATGGCTGCGCAAGAGGGCTGCGAGTTTGACGGAGAAATGACGCATGGATCGTGCACGGTATGAGTCGCACTCCTCATGTCTATGCTACGCCGAATTGAACGGGCAAATCCCACATAATTTCTACTTCAAGCTCCCACAGACGACATCCACAAGCGCCGCTCGTTTCTACTACTGGTTAATCTGGGCTTTCTGGAATTCAAAAAATTTATTTGTCGCTTCCATTCTTCCAGCCTCATGCTGCTGATAGAGATGGGCTACCATGCCAATTGGAATTTGGGCCGCATCCGTAATCAGTTGCTCCATGGTAAGCTTGGTGAACTCGGTCAACGGCATCCAAACTTTGGACAATTTCTCCGTTGTCCCTTGGCCTTGCGTGAAGCGTCGGTAACAGCAAAGGATGTCACAGAATACCCACTCACCATCATGGAGTTCAGACTCCACAAGGCTACAGAGCCAGTTAAGCTTCCTATTGCCAAGATCACAGGTGACTTACGGCGGCAGTATTTCTACCACGTGCACATTCTTTTCTTTGAGTTGCACATTAAGCGCCATGCTCAAACTATGAATCGCAGCTTTCGCGGCACTATAATTAGCGACGGAAGGCGATGGCATTATAGCGAGACCGGAAGAGATTGTGTACAAAAAGGTGGGTCGTCCGCTCTCCTGAGGGCAAATTAAGAATGAGTTTGAAGTTCTAAAGAGATTAGTTTTTCAAAGGCCTTACGCCGAGTGAAATGAGGTGGGGAAGGAAGAAGGTTATCATCATCAGCACGGAGGTGTAGTTTGTGTGGATCTCGGTCAAGAAGCCTAACGGATCAACATATTCAATGATATGAAAATAGAAATGGGGAGGTCTGCCTACCGTCAAGATCGATAGTCTCTGGCTTGGAGAAATCGGAACCGCACTGGACACCACTGGAAAACATGACTGCATCAAACTAGAGCAGAAGAATGAGCGCTTCGGCCACACCACTCATATTTCATTGGGAAAGCGTACATCAGGATAGGTCCTGGTGATATCATCGATGGCGGCTTTCAAGGTTTGGCGGTCGGTGTTCACGTCGAGCTTAACTGCTCTCAGTCTCCCGTCTGCGCCATGAGAAGATACTAATTCATCAAGTCTCTCTTGGCGGCGGCCGCAGACTATGACGGTGGGCTTGGAAGGAAGATCGAGGATGCTAAGCGCGAGAGCACGTCCCAAGCCAGAGGTAGAACCTATGATCAGCATACACTTCACGTCGTTGATGTTGGGCATGGTAGAGGGTGTCAGACTAAATCAGGGACGAAGGCCAGATAAGAGCGAGAGACTCTGTTTAAATACATGGTATTAGATTTGCATCTCGACAAATAGGCAGTGGTATTAGCATCGCAACGGGACAGAGATGGCTTGGCGAATGACATCGGATTCGGATTCGGCACCAACATTTTGACTCATCGGCATTTCAAAGTATGACACATCCTGATGACGACATACCGGACGCGACCACCGTACTCAAGTTTACAACTGCCCAAGGCGTTATCCACTGCAGGGTACCGTCAAGAGGAGAATATCCAGTGATCGAGAGATTGATCCAATGGGTTCAGCCTCAATCGCAGCCAAGCCGCCAAATGGCATTATCTACAGTGTGATGGCGTTCCATGACCTCCGATCAAGCGGGATAATAATATGCTGACCGATGATGACCCTACTCAATACTGCATGGGCACGATTTCCAGCAAGACTTGACCTACCTCCCCGCAACGTTCCGGGACGCATAAAGTTTTCAAGTTAAACAAAGAAAATTGGGCCGGCACGAACAAGTGTGGAAGCAGTCACGTACCAGGAATTGCTTCCGCGTCCTTGGATAATCATGGTAAAGGTGACCATATGGGGCTTTGAGGGGAGGAGCCATCCCCACGACTTGGAGACTTGTAGAGCAAGCCAAGACATCGGCGCTCATCAGCCCCGAGTCCGGTAAGAAGCATTGCCTATGCCAATGGGAACAACAACAACTTCGACGCAACTAGCATGATGATATCAAGCCACTTCATTATGAACGGTCAGCTATCCCGCCTGCTGTGTATCCAGCCATGCACACGTCCCCCCATACTGATTGGGAATCAGTTCATTATCCGTCTGCAATATGGAACGAAATAGACTCCAGGTGGGTACGGCCTTTAAGTGAAACCATTTAATCCAACCCATTGTCACTGCCAACAGATGTTCTCTTGTTTCAACGTACTAGCCATGAGTGGCCAATTCGACGCCGGGGTCAGGGTGGGAATGGTCTTCATAGTCGTGGCATCTGCTGTATCAGCACTTGCCGTCGGTGGTGTGTTGCTTTACATTGCCGTAGGTTCTCCTCCTCCGCCACCTCCAGACAGGCTGAATTTCACCCCAGTATAGCGCCGTTACCATCAAGCGGGATGCCTCGCGGAGGTGGTCAACCGACACGCATATACACTATTATTTCCTCCATTTGATGATCCTTGACTTCATCCAAACTATGGGTCAGTACACACGATCTCGTGGTTTCTGTTGACGACTGACGAGGTACAGGTGGGTTACTCAGCATTAAGTGGATCGTAGAAGAGGTGAGCCTTCAACGCATCCGTGAACTCTCGTTCGCTAATTTAGCTGCAAGAACTTGTACCCCGGTGCCTTTTGCACCGCTCAAGGTATTTTCGCTTTCACTTCGCTGAACGCTCGTCTTTCATCGCATGCAGGTTTCTTCACGCACGTGGGTGATATTGGAGTTGCTCTTAGGTACGCATCAAAATCGAAATGAAATCTCTTTCACATGCTCATAGACTTCTGTCGTCAGCACAACGGTACGCCAGTTACATAAACCGTCGCGATAGTGAATTAATTGGAGATAGGCCATTGCTTTGCACATACTGCAAGTATTGGTGCTAGAGTGGAGGTCTCCACCAAAATTTGCACTCTTTATACTGGCAATAATTTGGCTGGCCATCCTTATTCTGGTGATCGTGCCGAACGTGACTCAACACAACATTTATGGTCCCACTGGCTATTGTAAGTTTTTATAGTTCGACTTTACCCTCGATAACCCGAATCGACACTCCTGTTCAGGGTGCTGGATTGACGGAAGTACCATGGAGCAGATCGGCCTCGATTACATATGGATGTGGTTGGCTGCTGTATTGAACATCATCTCATACTTGCTCCTTGCACTTGTGATTAGACGACCCGTGCCTGTGGATGGTGACAGATTCTGCTGGAGGGGAGAGCGGGAGAGGATAAGCATTCAAGATAGAGCGGGTGCACCTGCAGAGAGCGCCAGGGCAATTCAAATGTTGTTGTAAGTGGCACCTAGTCTACCATTGGCGGCTTCACTGGAAACTCATTTTACAGCTACCCCTTGGTGTACATTATAGTTGTGAGCAGTCTTCTGTATCTTCGATATGATTTATACTAAACGAGCGCAGGTGTTGCCTATATCAGCAGCTCGTTTTTCCGAATTCAAGGGTCATACCGTTCCATTTGCAGTGACAATTTTCACAGACACATTGTTCGCGTTATCCGGTCTGTTCGACACGATCTTGTATGCTTTTACTCGTCCAAGGTTGTTGCCACGTAGACCTTCGCACGATCCACAGTCAGTGCTGCTAGCACGTATTAGTGGTGCGCGGATGGCGCACGATCGCTTTCCGCAGGACCACATACCGGAGTATGGCAACTTCGTTACAGACTGGCCGGTTCAGGCTCCATGATATGCCAGAACTTCTGCGGTCTTCGAGGTCTCTACTAGTACATATCAAAAAGCGGGGCTTCTCCTGGGAGGAAGATCATGGGAAAGTTCACCTGTTTCTTACGACGGAAAATATCAATATTTTTTCTTGTATCTGTAGTATTACCACTCCAAGCTTCCCGCCGTGTGTGGTCTTTCTAGCTTGTCGTTTTCTGCTGGTAACTCCAGGGAGTAGTCTCGTCTTCACATGTATGTTTGCCTTGTTACCTTACTTGGAAGGTCACCTCATGTTGGCAAATGTACACGAACAAACAAGTTCATATTTAGCTTGTGCACCCTTGTACCTACATGACAAACGTTTTTGAGTGCTTGAACCAGAAGTGGATTTGCATATTCCGGATCTCCCACAACGCAAGATCTTCGGCGCCAATACCGTAGACACGACGTCAAACAAGTAAGGCATCTGTTGTTGCTGATGAACCAAGACACAGGGTGAATACTTTTTGATATGATTTCCGGTATATAGAATAGTAGATATGTGCAATACTGATAGATCATAGATCTTCAGTACGGCCATCTTTTGCCGTAGCGCAGTCGGGGGCACCAGGCTGACCCTCCTATCATACTCATCAATGATCAGGATTTTGGGTTCATCAAGTGCTTGACGGTTTACCCTACCGTGATTTGTAGTACGTACTAGCTTGGCACCTTGAAACAGAATGCCCAGTGTACGTGAGAGATAAAATCAATGAACAGCACGATCTTCCACGGCAAAGATATATGTGGCCGTATAGTCAGTCGCCTTAGATGATCATCTGCAGCAGATGCAAAAGCAGAGCAGATACCGCTGACGATACAACCTTTGATACGGGAGCCAGCGCGATTTGGTCGCACATGCCATTTATGAAACACGACATTTGCGAAGGGCAGAGCAGCCAAGAAATGCCGCATGATCATGGGCTATGTTCCACAAATCTATACAGGTGGCAGTTCGTCGAGTATCTCTTGATGAAGTCCGCAGAGTATCACGATTAGCTTGTAAGCGAGAACGAGAATGCTGAGGGCGAGAACCCGTCCCAAGCCGGGAATAGAACCTATTACCAGTATACGCTCGACCTCGTTGATGTTAGACATGGTGATGGGCGTTTGACTAATCAGGGAAACGAAGACCAGATCGGTGGGAGACTATGTTTGCAGCCTTGTACATCTGCCACGACCGCCATCACTGCTGATAGGATAGCTCGAGATCCCATGATTTTCCATTGGCTGTGCTCGAGTTCGGCTTTGCGATGGCTTTATAACGTCGCAATGTAAAACCATATCCGCGCAGACTATTAAACACGATGAAGCCCAACGAATAGACAAAAGGGTGCATATTGCCAACTTCGCAGATCCTACGGGGAAGCTTCGGCACTCACGTCGCACATTAATAATATTGACATTTCAGAACAGTCAGTGTGTATCATGCCGATGCCGATCTCCCGAGATGATAGCAACAGACACGAGCATACAAATGTCATTCCAAATGGGATACTCACTGAACCACGGGAGATGCTGTCCATTGCAGGGTGATGAGAGCGGTTTGATCGGACAACATTCGAGTATCGCGATTCGCTCTACATGTGGAGGAGAGTGCCAAAGTAGACGGCGGGCCAGCTGGCTGCTGCCATTCCCGGTCGTTTGATTCACGCGTCCTTTCGGCCACGCCAGGATTCATATGGCCCCAGCAGGTCGCCGAATGGCACTACCCGTAGTATGCACTTCATGACCTCCTATGTACCATGCAGGGTACTTACCGCGATGCACTGCATGACGGATACATGCAAACATGAGGTACGAACTCAAGGTTAAGTATGATCGTGTGCATCGTCGGCAACGCTCTGGGGGTATACTAAGGTCAAACGACGAAACCACTTACGCAACTGTTTTTCTTTCCCGTGTCCATTTCGGATAGTAGGGTTAGGGCTTAGGGTTCATGAATAAGCTTTGACGCCGCCCCGCAACAGTGTGTAGTGCACACTTGCTTGTCGATAGAAACAGGCTGCCGGCGACAGAAAAACCAACCAGTGAACTGCGACAAATCTGTACGGCGATCAAAATCAATGGTCGCACAGCAGTTCCGTCATTTAGACGCGCGATTTCAAAGGGTGGAAGTGGTATCGTCCAGGTGCATCCTCGTCCTGAGTGTGGCTTCGGATCACCAAATGTGGTAAACTGGCACATGCAGGATCATGTCAAGAGAGGGATGGTCAATATCGTCACAAGCCTGCCAACAAACACGTAGAATGCGCATGAACCTCGGTAAGTGATAATGAAGTAGACAGAAGGAAAGTTAAGGTTCGAATTAGATGTCCGAGTCACGTTCTGGCGGCGGTCTCCACAAGGTAGGGCAGGGTGAAACGCCTAAACGATAAACGACATCCAGGGCAGTAAAAGGACGGAAGGAGTTCATGATGGATGACCGTTGGCCGCAGGTTCATGTCCATGAGGTGTCAAATCTCTCCGCCATAGAGCATTAGGTGTCAGCGGACCACTGATTTTTGCTACATCTGCTCTTTCAACAGGAAGGGGACGCGTGGATAACTCACCTCGAGGCGTTCAGATTCCCTTTCTCCGTGTCTCCCGTTTAAATAATGGGACGCGTGTCCGTTCATGTGAAGATGCGGAGGTTGCCTCACTGGCTGTTGGTGTTGTGGATGGGACGGCATTGGGACTGGTGTCGTTGATGTCGGTGAAGGGCGTATTAGATGCGTGAGGGTGGGTGTTGCGGGGATAGTGACACTTACAGTGTCGAGAAAAAGACTAGTGTGAAGCATGGACGTGGTTAATGAAAACCGTTACCATTGGTTTGGTAGGGAGGGGGAGAAGTTTACGACACAACATGGTAGGCAACAGACGTATTCGTTCTCAGCTCGTAGCTTCATCATTTGCGCATCGGCGAGTTCGAGTTCTCTCCCGTACTCGTGTAGCTGTAGGATAGAAAACAAGCTGAAGAGTGAATGCCAGTACCGGGGGAAAATATTTGTCTGCCACGGGTGCCGCATTAACCTGATCGAATTTCTCTTATCACTGATGTTGGGCATGGTAGAGTGTCAAGCTGAATTGGGGACGAAGGTTATATGTCAGTCAGCGAGACTGCTTAAATATACGGTAAGGCGCCGCTTGGTCAGCGATAGCCACCTTGCTTGTGGATTGGACGGCTGCCTCTTTTTCGGGATAGCGCAAGATTTTGATTTCTTCAAGATGTTATTTCCAATGCGAATCGGAGACAGAAGCAAGGGGTTTTTACAATGTGAAACACCGCTTATAAGTGGTAGAGGCCCAACGATTGACAATATTGTCCCAAGCAAGTAAACGGAGTTGATCCCAGAAAAGGTTTTTTTTTCCGTCGTTGATTATTCCCGCGATTTTCGGGGTTGCAGAGACCTTGCTCTGCAAGCAAGTGAACCGAAAAAGAGACAAACAGCGGAGGTACAACCAACATCGACTCAGGTCTGTGACACATCCTGTGCAGATCTCCCAACTAGACGATGGCCAACACCTCAATGAAGGCGACATCACCACCACCCATACGCTCAGCGCCGTACATATAAGTAGATTTACTTAAACAAACTCGTCGGACGCGGGCTAAGAAGGGAATAAATGTCTGATCAAACAAATCCACTGCATTCAATCCCAATCATAGGCCGCGGAATGGGATTGTCTGTAGTGTGATGGTGTTCCTTGACCTCCTATCAAGCGGGGTATACTGTAGTACCGATGTCACAGCACTGCCTACTCGATGCTCACATGTAAGCTTGGCTAGTAGATATCTCCGCGTGTATTGCCTCCCCACAGCACTAGGGTACAGAGTGGGGTAAAATGCACTTAATTCCTTTCCTAACCTTTCCTGTGTGCATCTATGAGGCGGGTAGAGAATGTCAGGTGTAAGCACACTGATTTACAACTAGGAGACCGCGGATGCAGGGACCAAAGAACAGTACTTCATGCATCGTGCATCATGCATCATGCACCACGTAGTCTTTGAGATTCTCGGGCACCCAGTCAAATTCAGGGTTTGCTGTATAGCCAATCGAAGCCATTCGACATCCAGGGAAGCGGCCCGTGGCGGGATGGCGGAGCATGGTAATCTGCCTGGTGGCTACGACGGCTGAGACACGACAGGATCTGGTGAGCATATGGATTGCGTAAAGAATCGAACATGATGATATTATTGCCTACGCCGATTGGAATAACTTGGACACAGCTAGTATATCAAGTCACTGCGTCATCGACATCCAACCGCTCACCATACAGCAAGTGGCCAAGCCGGCCACTTGTTGTATGCAGCCGCTCATGTTGTCATGCTGACAGGGAATCAGCTCACAGCATATCCATCCGCAATGTAGAAGAATTTAGACAGGTACGTACGGCCTCCATGAAGCCATATAATCCATCCCTGGCCACGGACAGATATCTCTTGCTTCAGCCCGTCATCCATGACCAACCAATTCAGCTTCGAGGTCAGGGTGGGATTGGTTTTCATAGTCGTAGCGTCTTTCGTGTCAGCACTTGCCGTCGGTGGCGTATTGCTCTACATTGTCGTAAGTTCAACTTTCTTCCCTCCGCCGCTGCCAGGAGGGCTGATATCCATGTCAGTATAGCGCCGTTACCATCAAACGAAATGCCTCGCGAAGGTGGTCAACCGACACGCATATACACTATTACTTCCTCCATTTGATGGTTTTTGACCTTATCCAAACCATGGGTCGGTGCATATGATCTCGTAGTTCCTGTTGACTACTGACGAGGCACAGGTGGGTTACTCAGCATCAAGTGGATCGTAGAAGAGGTGAGCCTTCAATGCACTTGTGAACTTGCGCTCGCTCATTTAACTGCCAGAGCGTGTACCCAGGTGCTTTTTGCACCGTTCAAGGTATTTTCGCTTTCGCTTCACTGGACGCTCGTCTTTTATCAAGTACAGGTTTCTTCACGCACGTGGGTGATATTGGAGTTGCTCTTAGGTACGCATCAAAATCGAAATGAAATCTCTTTCACATGTTCATAGACTTCCGTCGTCAGTACAACAGTGCGCCAGTTACATAAACCGTCGCGATAATGAATTGATTGAAGATAGGCCATTGCCTTGCACATACTGCAAGCATTGGTGCTAGAGTGGAGGTCTCCGCCAAAATTTGCACTCCTTGTACTGGCAATAATCTGGCTCGACATCCTCATTCTGGTGGTCGTACCGAACGTGACTCAACACAACATTTACGGTCCCACTGGGTATTGTAAGCTTTTATGGTTTGATTTTACCTTTGACAACCTGAATCGACACTCCTGTTCAGGGTGTTGGATTGACAGAAGTACCGCGGAGCAGATCGGTCTCGATTATATATGGATGTGGTTGGCTGCCGTACTGAACATTATCTCATACGTACTCCTTGCACTTGTGACTAAGCGGCCCATTCTTGTAGATGGTAACAGATTCCGCTGGCGGGGAAAGCAGGAGAGAAGCATCGGAGCGAGGACATCTACAGAGAGTGTCAAAGCAATTCAAATGTTCTTGTAAGTGGCTCCTAGTCTATGTTTGGCGGCTTCTTTGGACGAATCATTTTACAGTTACCCCCTGGTATACATTATGGTTGTGAGCCGTCTTCTGTATCCTCGGTATGATTGTACTGAACGAGTGTAGGTGCTGCCTGTATCAGCGGCTCGTTTTGCCCAATTCGGGGGTCACGACGTTCCGTTTGCGGTGACAATTTTCACAGACACACTGTTCGCATTATCCGGTCTGTTCGACACGATCTTGTATGCTTTCACTCGACCAAAGTTGATGCCACGGCGTAAAACTTCGCGCGATCCACAGTCAGTGCTCCTAGCGCGTATTACTACTGGGCGGGTGGCGGACGACCGTTTTCCACAGGATTACATGATGGGGCACGGTAACCTTGTTACAGAAACTGGCCGGTCCGGGCTCCATGACACATCAGAATTTCTACAGTCTCCGAGGTCTGCGAGAATATAGCTAACTATTATACCACCTTGCCTTTTTTTCATGGGGCAAAAATCTTTGGGAAAGTGCACATCTGTCTTATGACGGATTTTTTTTTTTCGTGTCTGTGATATCACCACCACAACCCTCCTGTATGTGGTCTTTTCGACCTGTCATCTCCCGCTAGCAACTCCAGACAGAATGTACACATGAACAAACCAATCCGTATTTAGCCTTGCACCCTCCCGTGCACCGACTGCAGGGTATTTGAGTTCTTGAAAGATAGTCAGAAGTAAATTGTGCACGCTCCGGATCTCCCCTTAGCAAAGCCAGCAAGATCTCGTAGACATATACACCTATTAGAACATCAACAAGCAAGGTTATGAACCAAGACACAACATATGATAGAGTAAGTACTTTTCGATGATTTCCAGTTTATAGTCTAGGTACGCATATCTTAAGTACGGCCATCTGTTGCTGTAACACAGTCGACTCGAAGAACCATGCTGACTCTCTCATCATTCTCGCCTGGACGATCCGCCTCGCTGTAATGTGCGGTACGGACTAGCTTAGCACCTTGAAACAGAATACCCAGTGAGAGACAAGGGGGATTGAGAATATTAGCGATAAGGGCGAGGGCGTAGAACCGGTGACCGGTATACACTCGACCTCGTTCTTAAGCATGGTGATGGGCGTTTGACTGGTCGGGGAAACGGAGATCGGATTGATGGAGACTGTGTTCATACATCTCCCAAGAAATGCCACGGCCGAGGCCATTATTGCTAGTAGGATAGCTCGATATTCCTTGATTGTCCATTGGCTGTGCTCGGGTTCAGCTTTACGATGGCTTTATAATGTTGCAATGTAAAACCATACTCCCGTGGGCTATTGAACACAATGGAGTCCAACAAATAAGCAAAGGGGTACAGTATTGCCAACTTTGCAGACCCTACGAGAGGCTTCGGCACTCATGTCGCACATCAATATTGACACTTCAGATCAGTCGACGAGTACCGTGCTGATCTCCCGAGACGATAGCAACTGATACCAACAGAAACGAGCACACAATGGCCATTCCAAACGGGGTACTCACTGAACCGCGGGAGATGTTGTCCATTGCAGGGTGATGAGAGCGGTTTGGTTGGGCAACATTCGAGTATCGCAATTCATTCTACATGCGGAGGAGAGTGCCAAAGTAGGCGGCAGTCCAGCTGGCTGCTGTCGTTCCCGGTGGTCTGATCCACACGTCCTTTCGGCCGCCTCGGAATTCATATGGCCCCGGCAGGTCGCCGAACGGCATTATTCGTAGTGTGCGTTCTATGACCTATGCATCACGCAGGGTACTTACCGCAATGCACTACGTGATGGATACATGCAGGCGCGAACTCAAGATTAAGAATGATAGTGTACCTCGTTGGCAACATTCTGGGGGACATACTAAGGTTGAACGATGAAATCACTTACGCAACTGCTTTTCTTTCCGTGTCCATTTTGGATAGTTGAGAAGGTGGGTTTAGAGTTCATAAAAAGCTTGACGCCGCCCCGCATCGATAGGAAGAGACCGCCAGCGGCAGATAAAACCAAACAGTGATCTGCGACAAATCTATAAAGCCATCAAATCAATGTTCGTACAACAGTTTCATCATTTGGACGCGCGTATTCAAAGGCTGAGAGTGGTGTCATCCAGGTGCATCCGTCGTCCTGAGTGTGGCTTCAGACCACCAAATGTGGTAAACTAGCACATGAGGTTCATGTCAAGAGAAGGATGGTCAATATCGTCACAGGCTGGCCAACAAACACGTAGAACGCGCATGACCCTCGGTAAACAACAATGAAGTAGACAGAAACAAAAAAGTCAGAGTTCGAATGAAATGCCCAAGTCCACGTTCTGGCGGCGGCCTACACAAGGCGGGGCAGGATGGAGCGCCTAAACGATAAACAACACGCAAGGTAGTAAAAGGACGGAAATAATTCACGATGGGTGACCGTTGGCCGCGGGTTCATGTCCATGAGGTGTTAGATCTCTCCGCTATAGAGCATCAGGTGTCAGCGGACCACTGGTTTTTGCTACATCTGCTCTTTCAACATGAAGGGGACGCGTGGATAACTCACCTCGAGGCGTTCAGATTCCCTTTCTCTGTATCTCCCGTTTGAATAATGGGACGTGTGTCCGTTCACGTGAGGATGCGGAGGTTGTCCCACTGGCTGTTGGTGTTGTGGATGGGACGGCATTGGGACTGGTGTCGTTGATGTCGGTGAAGGGCGTATTAGATGCATGAGGGAGGGTGTTGCGGGGATAGTGATACTTATGGCGTCGAGGAGAAGACTAGTGCGCGGCACGGACGTGGATAATGAAAACCGTTACCATTGGTTTGGTAGAGAGAAGTTTACGACACAAAACGACTAGAGACGTACTCGTTCTCAGCTTGTAGCTTCTTTATTCGGGCGCTGGCGAGTTCTAGTTCTTTTTCGTACTCCTCGTGTAGCTGTGTGATTGAAGAAAAAAAACGCCACGTCGCGTTCACAGCATGAGTGCCAGTAACGGGGGAAAACATTTGTCTGCCACGCGTACCGCATTGACCTGATCGAATTTCTCCCGGAGCGTCTGGTACCTGGCCGTTGTAACTGTGTGAGCAGACGGTTTCAGGTTGTTCGGGTGATGCGAGAGGTACTTTTCTTTGTAGCGAGAGCCACTACGGTGAGCAGCGGGCTGTTAGACTGCGAGGTTAAGGACTGTCAAAACCAAACGGCTTTAGGTCAAGCTTCACCTTGGGTTTGACTGCGTCCTCCGCCGGACGCTGGCCCTTTAGTGTCGAACGATTAGCGTTGGCCTCCATGGCCGTTTCGCAGTGAAGCGCCTGTCCCCGTAGAGGCTACTACGAGTAGGACGCAAAGCCGGGTAAACAGCCGTGATCAAGTAGTAACTTGTCTGTACAAACACTCATAAGTATTCCAACGACAATCTACCCTCAACGAGATCGGAGCATCGATGGACCAGGATCCTCCTCTCGTGGTCGACAATGGAACTGGTGTAAGTATCATACTCACCCGTCGTGCTGTCTGGATGTCTGATACCCAGTCCTTAACCACCCTCCGCAGTTTGTGAAAGTAGGATTCGCAGGATCCAACTTCCCAGAACATGGTGAGCTATCTACGCTCCATCTACAATCTCAAAGGAAGCCTCTAAGGAACTGTCTTGCCGAACAGTCTTTCCCTCTATCGTCGGGCGCCCCATCTTGCGAGCGGAGGAGCGTGTGGGGTCAGCCGTGATCAAGGATATCATGATCGGCGACGACGCTGCGGAGAATCGCAATTACCTCCAGGTCACACAACCAATGGAGCACGGTATAGTGCGCAACTGGGAGGACATGAAACATCTCTGGGACTATACCTTTGACACGAAATTGAAAGTCGATCCCCGCGGACGCAAGGTTTTGCTCACGGAACCACCCATGAACCCAAAGGCGAACAGACAACGGATGGTGCAGGTCATGTTTGAGGAGTATGGCTTCCAGGGCGTCTATGTTGCTATACAAGCCGTCCTGACACTTTATGCACAAGGTCGGATTGCACATTCGGAAAAGTTGTCTTACAACAACTGATGGTGTGCATGCGCAGGTTTGACGACGGGTGTCGTGGTAGACTCGGGAGACGGTGTCACGCACATCGTACCTGTCTACGAAGGCTTCGCTCTTCCACATCTTACACGCCGTTTAGACATCGCTGGTCGAGATGTGACGCGATACCTCATCAAACTTTTACTCATGAGAGGATATGCATTCAACCGTACCGCTGATTTCGAGACCGTGCGGGAAATTAAAGAAAAGCTCTGTTACGTCAGGTAAGTTTATGGACCTATTCATGACTTGGTGATTCGAAAACATGATCATCTAGTTACGACCTCGATCTTGATCAGCGGTTGTCAGAGGAAACCACTGTCCTTGTCGAGAGTTATACGGTAGGAGACTGTAATACCTTCGACATAAACCCGCTCATGTATTGTTCTCAGCTCCCAGATGGTCGAACGATCAAAGTTGGCTCTGAACGCTTCGAAGCGCCAGAGTGCATGTTCCAACCTCATCTTGTCGATGTCGATCAACCCGGCGTAGCAGGTTCATATTTTTTGCTCTCAGTTACGTGGTGCCGTGTTGAATATTGATGCTTAATTTTTGTTAGAAATGCTTTTCGAAACCATTCAAAGTGCAGCCGTTGACATTCGCCAGGAATTGTACAAGCACATCGTTCTTTCTGGAGGTTCAAGCATGTACCCAGGCCTTCCAAGTCGCCTTGAGAAGGAAATGAAACAACTTTACCTAACCCGGGTTCTTAAAAGCGACCCATCTCGACTTAACGTATGTTTTACCGGTTACTTGATGGTTAGAGTCGAGCAGATGATCTAACAATGGCACTCAAACCAGAAATTCAAAATTCGTATTGAAGATCCCCCACGTCGAAAACATATGGTCTTCCTTGGTGGTGCTGTTCTAGCAGACATCATGAAGAACCGCGAGGAATTCTGGATAACTAGGGAGGAATGGTTCGAGCAAGGCATTCGGTCCCTTGACAAGCTCTCGCGGGGCGAGTAACGATTACACAGTGGCTATCAAGAGAACCGGATTATGATACGCAGATCCTGCAATGTAATATTTTTTCCTGCAGACCTCTGCTGGCATGCAAATGAAGTCATGACTTCGCGAAGATATTATTCGTTCGAAGTGACATCGACGGATGCACGCTCGCCTGACTCCACACAAGATACATTCCAGAATTTATTGAAAAAGATATGAGCAAGAAACTATCAGATCGCATAGTGTCCTCCGATCGGGAGTATATATCCTACAGCTATGCCGGCGGGGGCGGAGGTGGTGCAGGCTCGCTAGGTGCTGGTGCAGGCGGTGCGGTTGCGCCGCCAGCTGCGGCGCCCGCGTAACCCTGTTGAGCCCAGTACTGCCCATACTGTGCCTGCTGACTCGCCGCCCATTCTTTGAATTGCGGAGAGTTGACGTCGTAACCATATTGAGCCCTGCCGAGTAGACGTAAGAGAAACAATAGGACAAGTGGCAGGGTCGGCTTACCAGTATGCCGCGTAGGCATCCGTCGCAGATTGCGGCGCTCCTGCACCCGGTGGTTGAGGTGGAACAGCGCCGTCTGGAGGCGGTGGGGGTTGTTCGCCAGGAGGAGGTGGCGGTGGCGCGTTATCAGGGGGTAGAGGACCTGTACCATAGCCGCCCTATTCACAACTACAGGTTAGCACGTTGGGGCGAACAATCTGGACGAGCACTGACTGCCATCACACTGTATTGCGCATACTGCATCTGCGCATGGTGTAATTCCATTTGTTGTTGTACGAGCACCGCCTGAGATTTCGCATGCTCTGCACGGACAACCTCTAAAAGGTCTTCCGTCAATACCTTGGCCCGTGCAACCTGGCCTTCATCTGGACCACTTGTGAGGAGTGAGCACCCATTATACTGTTACACTTGGACGGGAAGGCCATGGTGCACGGAAACGTACGTTATGTGTATGTGCATTGGTTCATCCGATTCCTTCCCGGTCTCCTGCTCCACGAACCCTGAGCCGATACCCTTAATTTGTACACGAGTACTCGTTTCTTGTTGTATGTATTTCACGAACATGCCCTGTCAAACGTGAGCTTCGGGTAGCAAGACGGTATCAGACTTGGACATACTCCTGGTCCAACCACCTTGGCACGAACGTTGAAATTTCGAATCGTCTCGAGCCCCACAGGTAACTTCTCCTCTGGCCATTTGCGCTGTTATGCGACGAACATCAAATAGAGAGCACGGACGATGCACCACAGCCGTTACCTTTTCTCGCATGCGGTCTTTTTTGTCTTCCACCAGTGGGCCGAGGTCCAATGATATGAGGTCATTAATCTTTTCAATAGCTTTTTGCAGCTGATCCTTGGCGGAGCCGGACAGGTGGAGGTATAAGGGAGGGTCTTTTTCCGTGGCTTTCGATCGGTCAGGATACCATACACCCTTGGTGCTAATCGACACTCCCGTTTCTTCTTGGATCTATTGTGAGTCAAATGTGTTAAAAACACTGTTGGAACGCCAAATTCAACCCCTATAACACGAAGGACGCACCTCACTCTGAGTCGAAGACCTGGTGAGTAAGTATCTGTTCCGGATGTCGTTGATGTCAATGTCATGCGTGAACTCGGCATCATGGGGATCCCTTTGACCAATTTGTATGCTTCCAGGAGCAGCACCAGATGTTGCGCTGAACTGGGCCGCAATTTTAGCGGCAATAGCTGCAGCGGCGGCGGCTGCCTCGGATGCGGATTTGCCCTCCTCTGTCTTAGTTGCTTTGACAGGTACCTCACCGTCAGCTTGGCCTAACTCTGGTGCAGCTTGGTCCCACTTGCGTTTGGAAGACATTGTAGCGTAGTCGATGTCGCAACAACTGGGCTGGTCCCAAGCACTTTCGTGTGTGCCCACTGGCAGGCTCGTATGAGAAGGAGAAGTAACGAAGCGTGACTGTCACATATCGTGACTGTTGTGACACTCAGTGTGACCCGGTCTGCGGAGCGGCCAGTTTCCTAATCTGAGCATTTCCCCGGTCCATCTGGATGAATAGACACGTAAGGCTGAGAGACGATCAAGTGACCAGCCATCGATGGGGTCGTCCAAACGCCAACGCACGCCTTCGCGATTATCAGATAGATCTGTATCGATATTGCCTACGACGACGGCAGCGAACACGAAAGACAACGACGACCCACTAGATCACACCCCTATGAACAAGGCCTCTCGCACAAATGCTACCACTGGACCTGGATTACTGTGTACACTACCACCAACATGCAACCCACCTCACAACACTCCTACCCCACTCTCCAACTCTCGCGATCTGGAGATCCACTACGGAAAATACCATGCTCATGTGTGCGAACAGCCTGGGTGCGGATTCGTCTTTCCCGACGCGCGCCTACTAGAACTTGTGGGTATTTTCTTCATCGTGCTATGCCCATCTTTCCCTTCCATATGGTAGTCGCCTTGCGCGACGGTGGTCTCGGAGGTGATGATACAATTGACTGACTATCAATGCGATGGGTGACATCAGCACCAAACGGAATGTCATGATCCACTTGCAGCGCTGCGAAAAGAGCGGGGTGAAAAGATTGTGCGTCTGTCGTGCTGTTCTCCATGTCTTATTTGTCAAAATGAGTTTCCTTGCCTCGTAGTTTGCGTGCCACCTTGCATCGTGCCCACGCAAGTTTTTAACCCCCAAAGCAAGGCGGTTGCATCTTATCCAAGCTCATTCATACCCAAGGGAATATTTCTTTGCTGTCACTAACAAGGGGGTTGGTGGACTGTTGAAACGATGGGGGGACGGTGCGAGTATGATACGGGGGAAGTGGAAACCAAGGGAAAGCAAAGAAGATGAGGGAATACCCGATAGTGAAGAAGGTGAAGACGAAATGGAGTTAGACGGAGACTCAGAAGAAGAAGAGGCGGAGGAGGAGGAGGAGGAGGAGGAGGACGAAGGAGAGAGTGATTATGAGGGAGATGCAACGCCCAAAGTCAGCCAACTTCATGATTTTGATGTGGCTTCGTCTGCGACAACTCCGAGGATGGCGACCGCGCAGTCTCCGAGACAGAGTGTTGCGCAGCAATCGTCTGCGGAAGTGGAGAAGCTTGCGCAATCGATGACCTCGCTTTCGTTAGTACCATCGTCGATCAGGTTTGGGCGTGGAGGGAAGAATGGTGGATTTGTACATCCGGAATGGCATAATCCACAGGTAGCGAGAAGAGACTTTGACCCAAGGGGAGGAAGGGGCAGAGCAAGAATTGCTCCGAATGTCCACCCACTTGGTGGCGGACGCGGTGGGCGTGGAGGTGCCCTCGAGGGTGGGCCCCGTGCAAGGGGTCGAGGACTAATCCGTCGTGTGATGTCTCCAGGCTATGCCCATGGAGGCTTTAGGGGCCGTGGGCGGGGGTCATGAGAGCGGAAGTAATGATGTTGCGAAGAGATGTACGGTATTCGAGGGTGTGCTACCAATGTTTATGACAGGACTGTTGCTGGGATACGCTACTCGGGATGTGCTGAGTATCTGGTGACAATTGATCACTGGAGACCGAAAAAGGCAGGTATTGTATTCGGGTGGCTCGGCAATGGGGGAGAAGCTTAGGGGTGTTTGGGGTCCTCGAGGACAATGAATGTTGTGGATCCATGTTTTGTTTGCACACCAGTAGTATTTGGCTTTCCATTGCCAATCAGCTATTGTCCGCGGGTGGTGCTACAGCGTGGCCAGTCGTCTTTTGTCTACGGAGTACTCTTAAGTACTCCCAAGCCAACAGGAAATGTCTCCTCACCGTTGAGCTAGTCTCGCGTCTCCTTGTATCGAAGAAGAAAAAAGCACTTCACCTTGTCTTTCTCGGACTCTTCGTTCATAACTACTCGGAATACCCCATATTTGCATTTTGCAGGAGTTATTAATCGGCCGTTGATCAGCTGCTCGTTCCTTGTACTTTTTTCAGGTACGCATGTTCCTTTGCCTGTGTTCCGATATCCATGCTAATACGCCCAACAGTGCGACAGTAATACTTGGTAACCGGATAAGTCCGCTACTCCCCTTTCCATTATACGAACGGTCCCAGATAACATGTCTCTTGGCCAACTTCCCTCTGAGCCACAAGTCCTCTCTATTAAAGCTGGCCAGGTGCCAAAGTATGCCTTCCTCGCTCACCCCCCACCACCCAAAAAGCGACCCGCACAGCCGCTTCCTTCCCCACCTTCACAACATAAGTATCAGGCCGCCGCAGCTCCCCCTGTCTCCGGTTTCCGACGCCCCTCGAGTACATTCGCCGCCATTACTGCGTGGGCTACTCACGTGCAACCTGGATCTCCGGCGTCCCTCTCTCCCCGTTCCCCCCGCTCTCCCCGCCGTCGGTCATCACTCGGACGCGGTCGCCGCCCTTCTATAACCTCTGTCCGTGTTACCTCCGGTTCCTTCCTGAACATCGCTCCAACTCCCACTACCACTTACGGCACAACACCCTCCATTGCAGATTTCAAACCAGATTTAACCGCAGTCGGCTATACGTCCGTCTTTCTGCAGCTCCCCAATACCCCCCTCTCTGCTGCCGTCCTCTTTCCCCGTCCATCCCAACCAACCGGTGGTTCCTAAGGCTGTTCCTGTACCACCTGCCCCCTGCCAAACGACCAACAAGCCTCGTGGTTTGACCCGCTTCCGTTCTCTCTCCGTGCTCAGGCCACGTACGAGGTCCAAATCTGCTGCCCCTTCGTCCCCAACGAAGATGAAAGCGAAAGTTGCAGCTACCTCCGCCGCCATTATGAAGCGTAAGAAAGCCAAGTACGCTGCTATGCGGCCTCCTCCACTTGCCAACGAACTTGCCCTCATGCAGTTTGCCGACGGCGGAAGCACGAACGATAATGTGAGGCGACTCATGGAAGCTCAAGCCAAGGCCGCTGGGGGTATTGGTGTCAGTGACGTTTACCGCGATGGTGAAGGAGGTATCTGGTGGGACCGTGAAGAGGAGTGGGAGTACGCCCACCTTCTTGCAGGTGGTTCGGAGATGGGCGCGCACGGTACTGGCGAGCTGCAGTGGGTTACATTCGGTGGAGAGAGCTCACCCTCTGCACTTGGCATCGACGGTGAAGAACGTCGTGGGAGCGTATCGACGCAGGACTCGGATCTCGACCCCCACTACATCGTCCAACCGACCGACCATCTCGACGTGGATGATCTTGCTACGTTCGGCAGTGCAATGCCCCCGCTGGACTTGCGTAAGCCGGCCATGTCCGTTCTCGCGCTTCCCTCACGGCCCCGTCGGACTGCCAAGCATCTTCGCAAACCAGACTACCTTGTTGACGTCGCGTTCTCTCGCGTCTCGCTGTCCCCTCGCAGCCCCAAGTTCGGGTCTTCGGCGTTCACTGGGAAGATTAAGTCTGATAGGAAAGCTCGCAAACGTCCTGCTCCCCTTAAACTGATGCCATCCAGCCCGCCTCTCAAGAAGCCGTCCAACTCGCCAGGCGAATTAGATAGGGGACGCAGGGAATTCTTATCCTCGTCCTTCGAACCTCCTATCCCTGCTACGCCAGTCACTGCGGCAAACGTCGCTGATGCACAAGCACGAGGGATCCGTGGCAAGTTGACGACACGCGTACTAAACATCCCCCATGCGTCACAGAGCATGTTGAGCCTGCCGCTGAACAAGGTGGTAGGAAAGAAGCCATCGATGCTGGCGATGATGGGCTTCTTCAAGCCCTCCAGGAAGGAGGACGCACAGTGTCTTATGCACTGAACGAGTCCTCTTCATTACGCTGATCACTTATTCGTGATTGTCATGCTTGTGACGTCGGCCCGTCCTGGAGCTTCGGACCTTCCTGAACTTTTTTTCCGCTGCAAGAATTGTGCATCATGATCTCTTTACGATCACGTTGTAAATCACTCGTAATCTACTGTTTGATCCGTGACTCTATATCATAGATATTATACTGTATCTGTACCATTCATACAATGCTTACTCGCTAGAGTTGTAATAATTACTAGTTGTTTCAATCATCCTGATCTAGTGCAGGTCTGCTCGAGAACTTGAAACTTCCAAAGCTATGGAGTGTAAATCTTCATACCAGTCCCATCTGGAGTCCATCTCAACTCCAGCGAGAAAATAAGTTGACTTCATTCGGTGTCAATAACATGCAGGCAGGCGAAGCTATTTTACACTTCTGCAATATGTAAATCTTTCGAAACACGTCAGGGTAAAGACAAAAACAAGGCCATTATAGTCACTTTATGCCCCGATCACTGACGAGGCGAAGTTGCAAGAACGAATCGTATGTATCTGGCATATCAAAACTTCAGGTCTGGCTCGACCTGTGACATAACGAGGTTACTAGATGTCTCCAAATGTTGAAACTCAAGGGAAGAACTCACCTTGGCGATTAATTCCTCGGCTTTGTTAATAAAGAGTGCCCCGAAGTCACGCATGCCTCCAGGTGCCGCTGCAGAACAGTAACGGCAATTACGTTGTCGGACTGCTTGTATGGCCTTTTCGACATTTTCCCGGATAGTTTCTACGCAAGGCCGGTCGCGCAAGTCCAGGAAGGTGGAGTCCATGAAGGCCTCCCACCACTGAGCACTTGTATATCCGCCTGGCGTAAATCGTTTCGACGTTGACCGAGCGCATGCACAGTTGTTTCCATTGGACTCCATTGCGACCATCCATGGGGCGGCAGTCCACTGAGGATACGCCGCTGTGAACCAAGAGAAGTCGGCCTTTAATGCCTGAACGGCATCGCCGCACTTTTTATGATACGTCAATAACGAAAGGAGTTCAGTACAAGTAATCAGCTCGATTTCCTCGAACCACGTCGGAATCAAAGGCTCCCGAAGCGAGTATTTGGCAGCGAGAATGCATTCGTCTTGCATACGAGCGCGGCATGCAATCGCAAAGCAGCGAAGTGAATCTCTCTCCAAAATCTTCGGGAGGAACAGAGATTTGCATATAGTCCTCGCGATTGCGTCGAGGGAATACTTTTTGGCCGCTTCGAGTACGTTTATGACGTCTCTAAAATCATCCAGAGGGGGATCGTCTGCCAGAGTGCAGGGATAGCAGAAACGGAGGAGTGGCTCAAGGGTCTTGCCGTCCTCTGAGACAGGGATGACAGGTAGTCCGTCCTTGATCTCCACATCCGTACTCATCTCTTCTGACGGTTGGGGAAGATCAAAGAGGGTTTCAAAGAATGGCGATGCAAGGGACAGGAACAACTTGAAGACGCGAAAATCTACGTTGTCGGATGACCGCAAAATCACGTCCGCCTTCTCATGATCAAATGGCGGCGATGCGTAGGAGGAATCTTGCGAGTCTGACATGCTATACTGGCACAGGTCAGTTGCGTCAAACTCCTTCTGAATGATGAGGGGACGAACACAGACCTAGGCGACGGTAAGAAACCTTCAAGTCTCTCCTTCATCCGTCAGCCCCCTGCCTTTATAGTAATGCGAGACTGTGCGTATGGCCATGTTTGTCGGTAGGGCCCGTGTGACTGAGATTGCGCTATCTTACCTCCCGCATCTTCTAGTTTCCCTTTTCGCCGTTGTGCGTACGGAAACCTACAGGAACGTCCCAGCGCGGTTGGAATTTATGGAACTAGGAATGCCGTTCAACGATCTATATGAATCAAATTCTACGGCCATCCAACCATGGAAGACAACGAGGCATTGAGGATTCCGCAGCGGAACGTCAGGGGTAGAGCAGAATGCACACTCCGTGATTATATCTGGTCCAAATCCATCGCGATGAAATTAAAACGTTCGAAGCAACCACCACAACCACCAAACAGAGAATATGACTCACTTTTTTTTCTCCAGCATCCCGGTTTTGTCACAGGCAGGTCGGAGTCAAGATGGTTTATCGATGGATGAGGATCTACCGTTGACCTCCAGAGAGTAAAAGTAAGAAAGTTCGAGCAATCCGACGAATGTAGACCTGTAAGTGCCGCCCTGCCGTTGACACATGCGTTGTCAAAGCTTAGGAGGTAAATTCTGCCATTACAAATATTTACGCCATGCGCTCGCGCAGACAAAAGAGGGTGGTAGGACAGCAACATCCCTGACCCTGATGAGACGAGAAAAGATGAACTCACCGGACGGACCATCATGATATGACATCTGTGCAGGAACAAACAACACCAAGATCTGTGATTAACGGGACACAGGGACAGCATACTACTCGTGTGTCAGTCGAAAATATCAGTGAACATCCAAAGCGCTAGGACGAGTCCACACTAAACATTTTTTACGTGGCACAGCAATATTGGAATCCACTCGGTGGGGTTACCCGCTCGCCATGTGGGAGATAGTCGTCACAAGTTTCTGAACCTCTTTAGAGGTGTTTCCGCTTGTGCGTATATTCGAGTCGGAACGATGGTAGGGAAGACCATCAGTGAAAGCAAGAGAAATGTCCACCCCCCTGAGGGGGGTTGAAAATTACTAGCTTACCCACGCGCTTCCGGCAGAGTGCTTCCATCCACCACCTCATATTTGTACAGATAGGGAGCTCCAACGACTCGGAGACGATTGGGATACGCCGTTTCAATCGGCTTACCGAATGACATGGGTAAAAATGGACACTTCCTGGAGTCCTACTGAATCGGACTCCCGTCTCGACTACTATAGATGACAGTATATCTTGAAATCTGACTGGTAACGCGTGCGCAGTCCGTCGGGCCTGCTATGGATAGTACAGAAGCCAGGTTGCCCAAGACGCTGATAACCTTATATGCCTCACGAACCATCATCAACGCCGTCTAATCCTCGCGAAGAGATGTATCTTCCAAGTACTACTTAATCTCGTATTATGAGGTGCAAGTCATGATTAGTCCCGCAGGCTGGCTTCCGAGAGTAGGGAAGCATCTTGTAGGATCAGGAGGAGTGGGATTACGCCAGCCTTCCTGCATACGTTTCGGCGGTGAGCTGCAGTAAGTCACTTTGGCGCTGCGAGTTTGCCCTCTTTACTTGGGGTCAACAATGAGGAAGGGTATCGACTACGCAGAACTCAGTTCTTGACCCCCATATCGTCCAACCGGCCATCTCGGTTTGGATGGCCTTCTGTTGTGACCCGCCGGGCTGCCAAGCGACTTACACCAGACCACCTTGAAGGCCTCACGTTTCCTCACATCTCGTTGTCACCCCGCAGTCCCGGATTCAGTTCTTCGTCACCCTGTCTCCCCAGATTGATGCCGTCCAGTCTGCCGTGGGGAAATTCAACTCTGTTCTTCGAACCCCCTATGTCTACTACACCAGCGACCGCAGCGAGCATAGCTCATGTGCAGGCACCCGGGATACATGGCAATTTGGCTACGTTCAGCTTGCCGTTAAACAAGGTGGTGGGAAAGAAGTTCTCGATGCTGGCGATAATGGGCCTTTTTAAGCCCTCTAGGAAGGATGCGCAGTGTTTTGTGCACTGAGCAACTTGTTTCATTCACCCTTGTCACCTTTTCGTGATTGTCATTTTGTTGTGTTGGCCCGTCCTGGGGCTTCGGGTCTTCCTTTTTTTTTCCGCCGCAAGAATCGCACATGGTGATATTTTTACTACCACATTCCAAATCACTACCAATCTGCTGTTTGATCCGAGATTCTATCATAGGTATCACACTGTATCTGTAGCTTTGATATAATGCCTACTCGCTAGAGTTGTAATCACTACTTAGTTTATACACCCTAATGCAATGTCTGCTCGAGCACTCGAAACTTCCACGAATACGGTGCGTAAACCTTGATATCAATCAGTCGCATCTCGAGTCAATCCTCACTCTAGTGCGAACATAGTTGATTCATTCGGTGCCACTGACAGGAAGGCTGGAAAAGCTATGCTACGTTTCTGCGACGTGTACATATCTCGAGACACGTCGGGGTAGGGGCGGAAACAAGGTTGTTAGTTACTTTGTACCCCGATCACTGGTCAGGCGAGGTTGCAAAAACAAGTGGCATGTACCGTGGACATCAAAACTTCATGTCTAGTTCGACCTGCAAAATAACGAGATCAATGTCTCCAAGTGTTGTAGCTCCAAGAAAGAACTCACCTTGGCGATCAATTTTTCAACGTTGTTGGCAAAGCAAACTGCGAAATCTCGCATGCCACCCGGTACCACATGGGTACAGTAATGGCAATGACGTTGGCAAGCTGTCTGTATAGCCTTCTCAGCATTTTTCCGGATAGTCTCTGCGCAGGGCATGTCGCACAGATCTGCAAAGGTGAAGTCCATGAAAGTCTCCCACCACTGAACACACGCATTTCCGCTTAGTGTGAATCTTCTCAATTTGAAATGCAAAAAAAATTTGACCCTCAACATCGCCTCAAGCAGCTCCAGTGTTCTTTGTGGTGAAGAAAGATGGGAAGAAGTGGCTTATTCAAGATTACCGCTACTTGACCTGAGCGCATCCATAGTAACCGTCACTATACCTACCGACCATCCATGGGACGGCAGGATATGTGCTTGTAATCCAAGAGATATCATCCTTCAACACCTGAACGGCATTGCCGCACTTTTTGTGATGTGCCAATAATGAGAGGAGCTCGCTCGAGGTAATCAACTCGATCTCCTCGAACCACGTCGGAACTAGAGGCTCTCGGAGGGTGTATTTGGCAGCAGGAGCGCACTCATCCTGCATACGAGCGTGGCACGCGATAGCAAAGCAGCGCAATGAGTTCCCCTCCAATATCTTTGGGCTGAAAAGGGATTTGCAAATTGTTCTCTCGACTGCACCAAGGGAGTACTTGGCAACCCCGAGTAGGTTAATGGCATCTCCAAAGTCCTCGAAGGCAGGATCCTCTGCCAGGGTACAGGGATAGCAGAAACGAAGGAGTGAATCCAGCGTCTTGCTGTCCTCTGAGACAGGAATGACAGGTAGTCCGTCCTTGATCTCCACATCCGTACTCATCCCTTCTGACGGTTGGGGGAGATTAAAGAGGGTTTCAAAGAATGGCGATGCAAGGGACAGGAACAACTTGAAGACGCGGAAATCTATATTGTTGGATGATCGTATGATCACGTCTGCCTTCTCATGATCAAAGGGCGGCAATGCATAGGGAGGGTGATATTGTGAGTCTGACATGCTATACTGTCACAAATGAGGGCCCTTTGTCGCGTCAGACTCCTTCTGAAATGGTGAGGAAATGAACACAAACCTGGACGATGGTAGGAAACCTTGACATCTCACCTTCATCCGTCAGCCCCTGCCTTTATAGTAGCAAGGCTTGTTGCGCCCCACAGCAGCGGTGGAATGACCAAGCAGTAATAACCTTGTCAGGGAAGCTCCGTCAGCGAGCCGTACAAGCAGTGTGCAAAGATACTCAGAAAAAAACCGGACGGAGAGAGAAAGGACATCACCACCCTGGCGAAAATATCGCAGGAGGGCACAACAGAGAAGGTGATGGGTTCCTATCCACCATCTCAGATTAATACACTGGATGCAGAGTTACAAGAACTCGCAAACGATTGGGACGCGTGCGTGGATCAGCCGACCGAAGGATAAGATGGTCACTGTTCGACATTTCCCGAGGTCGTACAGTTGAAGCCACATTCGGACGTGACGACTCTCATTGACAGCGTGTCTTGAAATTCGACCATCAACACAAGTGCGGGTTACGTCAGACGTTGGCTTGGTTGGACGGTTCATGAACCACTGGTCGTCATCAACGTGCCACCAAATTCCTGAGAGGGGTATCGATGGAGGACTCGGACCTCCATGTGGACGATCTTCCTTCGTGACCTCCAGGCTTGCCACTCTGCCAAGCATCTTCGCAAACCAGACCGTCTTGTAGACGTCGCATTTTCTCGCGTCTTGCTGTCACCCTGCAGTCCCAAGTTCGGGTCTTCGGCATTCGCGAGTGTCGGGATGGTCACGGTCAAGTCTGACAGGGAGGCTTGCAGATGCCCTCAAACTGATACTAACTAGCTTGCCGCAGTGAAATTGTATCTTCGTACCCCTACTCCTGCTATACCAGCAATTGCGGCGAGCGTGGTTGATGCGCAGGTATGAAATAGGCGTGGCAATTTGACAATGTTGAGCCTGCAAGTTAAACTCAGTGGTAGGAGAGAAGTTGTCAATACTGACTATGATAGGCCTGTTTAGGTCCTCCAGAAAGGAGGACGCACAGGGTCCTGTGCGCTGGGCGACTCTTATTACTCGTACCACCTACTCGTTTTTGTCATGCTTATTACGTGGGCCCGTCCTACAGCTTCTTGGACTTGGTTGTGTTGCAAGAATTGTGTTATGATCTCTTTACAGTCACGTTACCGAGGTCACTAGTAATTTGCTGTTTGATCCGTGACTCTATCATAGTCATCATACCGTATCTGTAGCCTCTATCATACAAGATTGCCTCTCGCTAGAGTTATAACAACCACTACTGGTTGGTTCAAACTTATGTTGATTCAACAAGTACTAGTTTGCGTCTGTTCCTGGCGCGAAACTTTGAACGGGACCGTAGTATTATCAAATGTTGGTCACCACATGGGACTGGCAGAAGTATTCTTATTTTGAGTCCGTTCCAAGTCTAGTGTGAGCATTGCTCAACTCGATTCTTGCAATTTCACGGATAGACTGGCAAAACTATCTTACATTTCTTAGTTCTACAACATACGTCGCGAAGCACGTCAAGGTACAAGGTGAAAACAGTTACTTTGTGCCCCGATTACTATATAATCAGGCAGATTTGCAAAATCGGGTGGAGTATATCTCAGACGTCAAAACTTGAGGTCTAGCTCAACCTGTAACATAACCAGGTCACTAGGTGTCTCCAAGTATTACAGGGAAGGAAACTCACCTTGGCGATTAACTCTTCGGCTTTGTTAGTAAAGAGAGTTGCGAATTCTCGCAAGCCTGCCGGTGCCGTGGAAGAACAATTACCGCAGCTGCGTTGTCGAACTGTCTGTATAGCCTTGTCGACATTTTGTCGGATAGTCTCCGCGCAGGGCTTGTCGCGCATATCCATGAAAGTGGAGTCCATGAATGTTTCCCACCATTGCGCAACTTGGTATCCGTGAAAGACAGAGTACCTTCCAGACGTTGACTGGGTACAACAACTGTAACCATTGGGGTTCATGGCGACCATCCATGGCACAGCATACCACTGAGGGTATTCGGCTGTAATCCAAGAGAGGTCATTCTTTAGTGCCAGCACAGCGGTAGCGCATTTGCGGTGATATGTTAACAGCGCAAGGAGTTCGGTGGAAGTAATCAATTCAATCTCCTCGAACCACGCTGGAACCAGAGGTTCCCGAAGGGTGTACTTGGCAGCGAGTACAGATTCATCCTGCAGGCGAGCGCGGCACCCGACAGCGAAGCAACGCAGCGAATTCTCCTCCAATATCTTCGGGTTGAACAGAGATTTACATACCGTTCGCTCGATTGCGTCAAGGGAATACTTTTTGGCCGCCTCGAGTACGTTTATGACGTCTCTGAAATCCTCGAGGGCAGGATCCTCTGCCAGAGTGCAGGGATAGCAGAAGCGGAGTAGCGGATCCAGCGTCTTGCTGTCTTCTGAGACAGGGATGACGGGTAGTCCGTCCTTCATCTCCACATCTGTAGTCATCTCCTCTGACGGTTGAGGGAGATCAAAGAGGGTCTCGAAGAACGGCGATGCGAGAGAGAGAAACAACTTGAAGACGCGAAAGTCAACATCGTCAGATGAACGTAAAATCACATCTGCCCTCGCATGGTCGAATGGCGACGGTGCGCAGGAAGGCTCGGAAGAGGCAGACATATATGATGCTAGCGGCTAGATTGGTTCGTTGGGTCAGGGACATATGGACAGACAGTCTTTAGGACATTTACAGACCTGACGTGTAGTGGGGAATGTCTGGGTTTGGACGGTGCTCCCATTGACGGACGGCCTTTTATAGGCCAGTTAGGCTGCATGTGTGTATTGCACGAGGTCGACGCAGATTGGTGATAACACAGTCATCCCCTTCTCCCAGCCTTTTCGGCCACCCTCTCAAAACACGCTTCGGCATACAGTCAAACATCTTTGCTTCCCAAGGCTATATCGATAGATGGGATCAGAATCAATGAGCATTCAGATGACGAAGATATGGAGATAACTGAATATCATGACGCACGGGACCCTGCACCTTGCGAACATGATGGCATTGAGATTTCAAAAGGATGTCTTTACCATCGGCGAACAGGGACCGCCGTGGGTCATAGGGTTCGTTATCGACTTCCATCTCACCTTGTTTTGTAAAATAGTTGCAGTCCTTCGTTTCCACACGCTGGAATAGGGAGGCTATCGATAAAAAGGTTGATGAACGTTGTACTAGATTACGACCATTTGGATCACGACCTGGACTGTTTTCAGACATCCTGCATACCCTTTACCTGCGGTATTCTTTAGTGATTGGATGAGTACCGCACACATGTTGCCTACCTTGTTGGCTGTGATGAATTTGAGAATGTAGTTTCATGCGAAGGGAAGACAACCAGGGCAAAGAGATAAGATGTCATACGCTCCATCAATAATGCGGTCAAATTGTCGCCACAAGAAGAATCAGCGAGCCTATGAGCAAGGAATGGCGATAAACTGAATGTTATGACGTACCTCGATATGCTGGACCCTACACATCGCGTTCATCATGGAGTGGGATTTGAAAAGTATGTCTTCGCCGCTGCTAAAAAGGGGTCGCCATCGGTCATGGGCCTCGTTATGGACTCCAATTTTACCCTGTGCTGTAAAATTTGCGGCACTCGTTTGCATCCACAAGGCTGGAATGCAGGGTTTCTCAACAAACGAGGTGATGAAAGGAAACCCAATGCTGTTCTGGAAGCGAGAAATTCCGATTCCTGATCTAGGCCACCTTGAGATTTCCAACGTACTGTACACGCGATGACGCAGACATTCATTATCAACTGGATGAGTGTTGCACCTGTGCTTCATATCTTGTGGGCTGCGATACATCTGGGTATGTCATGCTGCGTTGAAGCTGGGAACGTGGTGTTCCCCAACAAAATCGCAGTCAAACTGTCATCACGAAGAAGGCTATACTACCCACGAGCAAGGATGGACGACATGGTATTGCCTCACATGCGCTGCTTTTGTATATGCCAGTTCCGCCGGGCACCGACCGACAATCAATGCGGGTTTGGGGCAGCGATTCCAACCTACATGATAAACCTTCCCGGTTTGTGGTTGGTTGCCCCCCGTTCCCCAAGACACTCCTTCCGTCTCGAGAGTACTCTGGCAATATGTTCATTGCACGTAAAAAGACGTACAACAAGCACGAGGCACATTCAACACATTGCACATCTTTGTGTCTTCAACTGCAGAGTAACCATTGCCCTTTCAAAAACCACAACTTCAGCCCAACCTGACATTTGAAAAGGTCATACAAATTCTGCAAGCATCGACGGTAGAGATAAAACTCACCGTTAAAATTTAACTCTTCCACCTTGTGGACAAAGAGCATCCCGAAATCTTGAATACCTCCAGACTCTGATGCAGAATAGTACATGTAGTTGCGTTGTCGAGTTGTATTATACCTTTCTCGACATTTTCTCGGATAGTCTTTGCACAGGGCTTGTCCCACAAACAGACAGGTAGCACCTATGACGACCTCCAGGCGACCGCGTTCCCTAAAGTAGGGAGGACCATCCGGACATTGACCACCAAAAACCAATGTAACCATTGAGGTGTAAAGTGGACAGCACTCGTTTGACGGAATTCAGCTGTGCAGAAGTAGCCGACTCGATCTCTTCGAACCACGGCCCCTAACAAGTGCATCAAGCAGCAGAAATGCACTCACCCCGCACGTGAACTCGGCGCGCGATTGAGAAGGAGCGAAGTAAATTTGTCTCTAATATCTTCGGCGTAGACAGATACTGGCAGATGGTCTTCTCGATGGCATGGAGGGAATACATGTCTCTGTGCACTAGAGATACGGGATGTGGAATATTATGTTTTGACAAACGCTCGTAAACCCCGATTTCACATTCGCAGGCCCCTAGTAATTCTCGCGACGCATTGACCTGTAGAGTCGAATAAGTCACGCGATCTGGTGGGAAAGAGACAGCAAATGCTGTACGACGGCACTAGTTATGCTTGCCAGGATGCACATGAGGTCCACGCTGAATCGACACATCATGACAGTACTGGTCGTGCATGTGCGCTGTGGGGATTAGAAGAAAAGGCGGGTGACAGCCACCCGGCAAGTGCCCTCCGAATTCATAGGGGCGGGTGTTGCATTGGTAAATCACTTTTGCTGGCCAGAGCTGTCCAGAGCTGTCCAGCACTGGACAGATTCCCTAGGACTACCAGCTCACAAAGTGGTGTACTGATGTGGCCTAAGTGACTGTCGGCTTCCCAATAAAGATGAAGCTGACCTCCGAGCTGTTCCACAAAATTATGCCCGCCAGCAAACAACGCAGCATTTCTAGGAATCAGCGCTAGCTGTCGACTCGACAGCATCATTGTTCTCATAGAAATGTCATTGCATCACACCTTGCTCCCGGCCGCACGAGTTCGAGACGGTTCCAATCGACCCGTGGCGCTGAAAAGATTCAACAAACTTCGACTTTCCAAATTTGGGTGAGGCCTCGCAGGGCTACGTACTCGGAATGTCCTTACAACATATGTATGTTTCCCTTTGTGCACCCAGCTGATACGTGCCAACAAATCTGACCTACGAGCCTCTAGCAATTGGCAGCCATCGGTCGTAGCACGGTCACCTGGGATTCAATCGTCTGACTTGAAAAACAGAGACCACGTTCTGGAGGGTTTGTCTTTGAAACATGTAGCATATCTTTTCATCACTCTTCCATGGCATAATGGATGCATCTGCAAAAATGGCTGATTCAACTTTCGTTCAGTGTCATTTACAGGCAGACGGGCAAAGCTATCCTACACTTCCGCAACATATCTATCACAAAGCATGTCATGAAACACATTATCGTAAGGTAATGGTAATTGCAGGAACAAGGCTACTCTGGGTTACTTTGTATTCCGGTCACTGATCGAGCACTTGCAAGCATGACATGAAGGTATCTTGGCCGTCAAAACTGCAGGTCTAGCTCGACCTGCAACATAATCGGGTTTATTAAGGTCTCCAAGTGATGTGTCTCAAGGAAAGAGTCACCTTGGAAATTAACTCTTCAACCTTGTTGATAAAGAGTGTCCCGAAATCTCGCATGCCTCCAGGGACCACCGCAGAACAATGACCACAGTTGCGTTGCCGAACTGATTGTATTGCCTTCTCGACATCTTGTCGGATAGTCTCCGCGCAGGGCTTCTCCTGCAAATCCAGAAAAGTGGAGTCCATAAACGCTTCCCACCATTGGGCAACTGTGTTTCCGTAATACAAGGGGTATTTCCCGGACGATGACCTAGTGCAGTGACAATAGCTACCACTGGAAGTCTTACCGACCATCCACGGAACAGCAGCCGACTGAGTGTATTCGGTAGTAATCCAAGAAAGGTCGGTCTTCAGTGCCTGGATAGCCGTAGCGCATTTACGATGGTATACCAACAATGTAAGAAGTTCAGTAGAAGTGATTAGCTCGATTTCCTCGAACCACGTCGGAACTAAAGGTTCCCAAAGCGTGTATCGGGCAGCAAGGGCGCACTCTTCTTGCATGCGAGTGCGGCACGCAATCGCGAAGCAGCGCAACGAGTTCGCCTCCAATATCTTCGGATTGAACAGAGATTTGCATACCGTCTTCTCGACTGTGTCAAGGGAATACTTTTTGGCCGCCTCGAGTACGTTTACGACGTCTCTAAAATCCTCGAGGGCAGGATCCTCTGCCAGAGTGCAGGGATAGCAGAAGCGGAGTAGTGGATCCAGCGTCTTGCTATCTTCTGAGACAGGGATGACGGGTAGTCCGTCCTTCATCTCCACATCTGTGCTCATCTCCTCTGACGACTGAGGGAGATCAAAGAGGGTCTCGAAGAACGGCGATGCGAGAGAGAGGAACAACTTGAATACGTGAAAGTCAACGTCGTCAGACGACCGTAAAATCACATCTGCCCTCGCATGGTCGAAGGGCGACGGTGCGCAGGAAGGCTCAGAAGAGGCAGACATATATGATGCTAGCGGCTAGATTGGTTCGTTGGGTCAGGGACATACGGACAGACAGTCTTTAGGACATTTACAGACCTGACATGTAGTGGGGAATGTCTGGGTTTGGACGGTGCTCCCATTGACGGACGGCCTTTTATAGGCCAGTTGGGCTGCATGCGTGTATTGCGCAGGGTCGACACAGATTGGCGATAACACAGTCATCCCCTTCTCCCAATCTTTTCGGCCGCCCTCTTACAATATTGCAAAACATGCGTCGGCATGCAGTCAAATATTTTTACTTCCCAAAGCTATATCGATAGTATCAGAATCAATGAGCATTCAGATGACGAAGATATGGAGACAACTGAATATCATGACGTACGGGACCCTGCAGCTTGCGTACATGATGGCATTGAGATTTCAAAAGGATGTCTTTCCCATCGGCGACCAGGGACCGCCGTGGGTCATAGGGTTCGTTATCGACTTCCATCTCACCTTGTTTTGTAGAATTGTTGCAGTCCTTCGTATCCACACGCTGGAATAGGGAGCCTATCGATAAACAAGTTGATGAACGTTGTGCTAGATTACAACCATTTGGATCGTGACCTGGACTGTTTTCAGACATCTTGCATACCCTTTACCTGCGGCATTTTTCAGTGATTGGATGAGTATTGCACACATGTTGTGTACCTTGTTGGCTGTAATGAATTTGAGAATGTAGTTTCATGCGAAGGACAGATAACCAGGGCAAAAGAGATAAGATGTCGTGCATGCCAACAATAGTGCAGTCAAATTGTCGTCGCAAGAAGGATCATCGAACCTTTGAGCAAGGAATGGCGATAACACTATTGCTCACGAGTTGGTTTAAAAGCGGGTGAGGGTGTCTAGGCTGACGCTCAATGCAAGTTTTGGGCAGTGACTCTAAGTCAGTGGACAAGTCTTCCAACTTCACCTGTGATCGAACCCGTTCCACCGGACGCGGCGTGCACATCCAGAAATATCCCGGTGACAAATATATTGCACGCGAGAAGACTTACAGATAGGACAACATCACCTTTCATATCCTACACACGACCACCATGTCAGAACACATTAACAAAGTAGACGCTGCCACTTTCAGAGCCTCAACTCCAGTTCAACCTGCGATACAAGAAAGTTACCAGACGCTATCAAGTATCGAAAGTGGGCAGGTCTCACCTGTGAGATTAACTCTTCGACCTTGTTGATAAAGAGGTTCCCGAATTCTCGCATGCCTCCAGAAACTGCAGGAGAACAGTAACCACAATTGCGTTGCCGAGCCGTCTGTATTGCCTTTTCGACGTTTTGTCGAACGGTTTCCGCGCAAAGCTTGTCGCGCAAATCCACAAAAGTGGAGTCCATAAAGGTTTCCCACCACTGAACACTCGCCTGTCCATTTAGTATGAATCTTCCTGACGTCGACCTCGTACATCCACAGTAGCTACCGCCAGAAGTCAATCCAAACAACCACGGGGTAGCATTCCATTGGCGATATTCGGCTGTGATCCAAGAGTAGTCCCCCTTCAACGTCTGAATGGCGTCGCCACATTTTTTATGATACGTCAATAACAAAAGCAGCTCGCTGGCGGTAATTAATTCGATCTCTTCGAACCACATCGGAACCAAAGGCTCCCGAAGGGCGTATTTAGCGGCAAGAGCGCACTCGTTTTGCATGCGAGCGCGGCATGCGATCGCGAAGCAGCGCAACGGGTTTGTCTCCAGTATCTTCGGGTTGAACAGAGATTTGCATACTGTCCTCTCGATTCCATCGAGGGAATACTTCTTGGCCGCCTCGAGTACGTTAACGACGTCTCTGAAATCGTCGAGGACAGGATCCTCTGACAGGGTGCAGGGGTAGCAGAAGCGGAGGAGTGGATCCAGCGTCTTACTATCTTCTGAGACAGGAACGACTGGTAGTCCGTCCTTGAACTCCACATCCGTGCTCATCTCATCTGACGGCTGGGGAAGATCAAAGAGGGTTTCAAAGAATGGCGATGCGAGAGAGAGGAACAGCTTGAATACGCGGAAGTCAACGTCGTCAGATGACCGTAAAATGACGTCCGCCTTCACATGGTCAAAGGGTGGCGGCGCGCAGGAAGGCTCGGTAGAAGCGGACATGGATGATGGAAGCGGCTAGAGTATTTCGTCGTGTCAGGGATGTATGGGGAGATCGAAGTATATACGGACCTGAAATGTACGGAAGTTTTGCGCTTCAACTGTACTTCCATCGGTGCTCGGCCTTTTGTAGGCCAGTTAGGCCGCCTGCGTGTACTGCACGAGGTCGACGTAGATTGGCAACAAGTCACAGGCATCCCCATCCCCCAATCTTTTGATTATCCTGGCATCACGTTGCACAACGTGCTTCAACACGTAGTCAGACAATTTAACTTCCTAGGGCTTATCGATAGAGGGAACCAGAATCAACGACCGTTCACATGATGGAGATACGCAGATAAGTAAATGTTATGACGTACCTCGATGTGCCGGACGCTGCACTTCGCATACATCATGGAAAGGGATTTGAAAAGGATGCCTTTGCCACCGCTGAACAAGGAACTCCATGGGTCACAGGGTTCGTGATCGACTTCCATTGCAACTTGTTTTGTAAAAATTATTACCACCGTTTGTGTCCTCAAGGCTAGATCGCAGGGTTTATCAATAAACGAGGTGATGAAAGAAGACCCCACGCTACACTGGGAGAGGGGGAAATCCGGTTGTTCCAATGGCGGCCTGGGCTGTCCTCAGATAGCTTGCAAACCTCACACCTGTTAATGCGGGTACTCGTCAATGATTGGATGAGCATTGCACGCATGATTCGTACCTTATGGGCTGCGATATTAATGTTGTGCCATGCCAAGGGTGGGTGACTAGGGAAAAAAAGATGAGACGTCGTGCCCCCAATTGCAACGTGCTCATATTGTCGTCGCTCTGAATACTACGTGACCTGTGAGTAAGGAAGGACGATATACCGTCGCCCTTTGCCCCTGGGTTATTTCTGCGAAGGTTAGGCAAGAGCTTCGACTCTCGGCTGGATGGCTTCTTCTCAACGTGGGTTTGGCCCTGGGAATCCAAGTGACGGGACAAGCTGTACAGGTTGGCTTGTAATAGTGATCTACTCTTCAAAACACGTCCATCTCGGGACTAACCTCATGGTATATCCATCGCACGTGAACACTTACAAAAGGCAAGTGGTCACATTCAATGCCGTACACATCCCCTCACATTTTCAACTAGAAAGAAGTTATTGTTGCCCTTTCAAAACCGCAGCTCGAGCTCAACCTCATGTGTGATGAAGTCATTCAACTTCTACAAGCATCGACAACGGAGACAGAACTCATCTTTGAAACCGAATCATCCACTTTCATGATAAAGGGCGTCCCGAATTCTCATATACCTCCAGGCGCCGACGAAGAACAGTGAACGCAATTGTGCTGTCGAACTGTCTGTATGGCTTTCTTCACATTTTGTTGGATAGTCTCAGCGCAGGAAAGTGGCGCCCATGAAGGCTCCTCACAATCGAGCAGCTGTGTTTTCATTAAGTGTCGGGTGCCTTCTGGACGTTTCCCGCTCGCCACCAGCAATACAGTCCATCGATCTCTATGAACAGAATTCTGGGATCGTCCAATCATGGAATACAAGCGGGTGTTGGAAGACTTCGCGGCGCAACGTCAAGGCTGTCGCCGATTGCACTCTCCCAAGTTGAATCTGGCACAAATCCATCGAGATGGAACTAAAACGTCAAAAGTTGCAAGGGACCCACACAAACCACCAAACAGAGAAGCTGGAACCCCTTCTTGCTTCCAGAATACTGATTTTGTGACAACTTTTCCATCGGAGGCGGGACGGAGCCGTTTATCAATGGACGAAGATCCAGTGTTGAGCTCGAGAGGGTAAAGGTCAGAAGGTTCAAGCAATCCAACGAACGTAGACTTGTAAATGCTGCTCTGCCGATGACACGTGCACTGTAAAGGCTCACGCAGTAAGTCCTGCCATTGCAAATAGTTGCGCCATGCGCGCGTAGTGAAAAAAAAAGGAGTAGAACATCAGCATGCTGATGAGACGAGAAAGGACGGACCCACAGAAAGATGATCGCAACATGCAAGACACACGCGAAAGAACGAACAGCACCAGAATCTGCGAGACAAACAGAGATGAACAGTACACCACTACTGTTGCGTAGGTCGAGTGTACTACATGGCACTAAATATTCAATGCGCTAGGATAAGCCGCAAATTACACCTTAGAAGTGGGTCAGTGCTTCGTCTTCAATGAGGGCCACTGAAGGAATCTGCTTAGCCTGATAGTCGCTCACCAGTTTCTGAGTCTCCTCTCCAGACCGCCAGCAAGGGAAATCGGCACCTGCCGCAGAGGGGTCGAAAGTGTGGCATATCCGTTCTCACACTGAAGCATAACCATGTTGCAAGGGAGTTTTTCTATTTCTTATCCCTGCCCAACTGAGGCACAAGCTCAGAGATGCATGCGTGGCAACACCCGTACTCAATACCCCATGTGCGTTGCGAGCCTGCCACAATTTGACCAAAGAAGTTGTTGATGCTGTCCACGGCCGCCGGGCCTGTCCAAGCCCTCCAGGAAGTAGCATGTGAAGTGCCTTACGCGCTGAGCGACTCCCTTTCTGAGAAGACTAGTATGTCAATCTTGATGTCAACCCAACAGGTCCACATGTGAGACTAAAAAATACACATAGGTCCCATCCTTGCCCTTTTAGTGCGAGCGGGGCAGACTCGTTCGCATTTACAAGCGGACCGGCAAAACTACCTTGCACGTCATGCAACATTGAGGTGATGGTGAAAAGCGCCGAGAACAAGGTTACTCTGGAGTCTGGGTTTCTTTAGAACCCGATCACTAACCAGGCGCTTGTAAAAACAAATTGAGTGTATCCCAGCTTCAGGTCTAGCTTGACCTGCGACATAACGAAGTTACTTGATGTTTCTGAGCATCGCATTTTGGGAAAAGAACCTACCTTGGCGGTTAACTCTTCAACTTTCCTAGCAAAAGAGTTGCAAATTCTTGCAAGCCTCCAAGAGCCATTGCAGAACAATTACGACAGCTGCGTTGTCGAAGTGTCTGTACCCTCTTTTTGACCTTTTGTCGGATAGCCTCCGCCCAGCGCTTGTCCTGTAATGCCAGAAAAGTGGATTCCATGAAAACCTCCCACCGTTGCGCAATTGCCCCTCCATGAAAAATACATGGTACGTCCCCGACGTCGTTCGAGCGCAAGCACAATTCGAACAACCGACACTGGTAGAAGACTTGCCGATCATCCTCGGGGCAACGCTCCACTGAACGTATTCAGATGTGGCCTAAGAGAAGTCGTCCTTTAAACCCTGAACAGCATTCGCGCGTTTACAATGGTATGTCAAAGTGCAAGGGGTTCAGTGGCAGTAATGAACTCAATCTCTTCGAATCATATCGGACTCATAGGCTCTTGAAGCTTGAAGAGTGTGTTTGACAACAAGAACAAACTCTTCCCGCACGCGAGCGTGGCACGCAATTGCGAAGCAACGAAGTGAATTTGTCTCCAATATCTTCGGGGTTGAACAGAGATTTGCACCCTGTCCTCTCGATTGCATTGATCTCTGCCTCGAGCACGTTTATGACGTCTCTGAAATCCTTAAAGGAGGGATCCTCTGAGAGAGTACGAGGGTATCAGAAGCGGAGGAGATCCAGGGTCTGGTTGTCCTCCGAGGCAGGGATGACGGGGTAGTCCGTCCTTCATCACCACATCCATGCTCATCTCCCCCGACGGTCAGGGGGGATCAAAGAGGGCCTCAAAGAACGGCGATGCGAGAGAGGAAGCTTGAATACGCAAAAGTCAACGTTGCCAGATGACCGTAAAATCACGACCCACCTTCAGACGGTCGAAGGGCGGCGGCGCGCAAGAAGGTTCAGTAGAGACGGGCATGTATGATCTAGCCGCCAGAGTGTTTCGTCGTGTCAGAGACGTGTGTATACTGAAGCTCAGTTTCGGCTATGAGACGTCCGACCTTTCATAGGCCAGTTCTGCTCCCGCGAGAAGCTTCTAACAAGACTAATACAGTACGTAAATCTTGATGTCAAACCGAAGGCACGCATGTACATAGGTGATACTCCAGGCAAAGTTGATTTCATCTTTGTTGCGAATGTAACACGGACACGGTTACTGTAATTAATTCGATCTCATTGACGACCAGTCTGGCAAAACTACCCTACACCTCTGGAACACGTACTTACATAGCGCAGAACACGTCATACAACACTTGAAGATAACGGTGAGAACACTGCTACTGGTTACTTTGTGCCCCGATCACTAATCAGGCATTTGCAAAAAAAAAAGAACGGAAGTTTCCTTGGGTGTCAGAACTTCAGGTCCAACTCGATCTGCGACAAAATGAAGTTGGTCAATGTCTCCAAGCAATGTATCTCAGGGAAAGAACCCACCTTGGTGATTAACTCTTCAACTTTGTTAGCAAAGAAAGTCGCGAAAGCTAACATGGCTCCCGGTACTACAGGAGAGCAGTAACCGCAACCGCGTTGCCGAACGGTCTGTATAGCCTTTTCGGCATGTTGTCGAACAGTTTCCGCGCACGGCTTGTCGCGCAAATCCAAAAAAGCGGAGTCCATGAAGACCTCCCACCACTGAGCACTCGTGTATCCACTTAACATGAATCTTTGTGACGTTGACCGAGGGCATCCACAGTAGTTGCCACTTGAATTCAGGGCGACCATCCATGGAGCGGCACTCCAATTAGGGTATTCGGCTGTGATCCAAGAGAAGTCGTTCTTCAATGCCTGGGCGGCGTCGCCGCATTTTTTATGATACGTCAATAACGAAAGGAGCTCGCTGGAGGTAATCAACTCGATCTCCTCGAACCACATCGGAACCAAGGGCTCTCGAAGGGTGTATTTGGCAGCAAGAACACATTCATCCCGCATGCGAGCGCGGCACGCAATCGCGAAGCAACGCAGTGAGTTCACCTCCAATATCTTGGGGTTGAACAGAGATTTGCATACTGTCCTCTCGATTGTGTCGAGGGAATACTTTTTCGCTGCCTCTAGTACGTTTACGACGTCTCTAAAATCCTCGATGGCAGGGTCCTCTGACAGAGTGCAGGGGTAGCAGAAGCGGAGGAGTTGATCCAACGTCTTGCTGTCTTCTGAGACAGGGACGATGGGTAGTCCGTCCTTGAACTCCGCATCCGTGCTCATCTCCTCTGATGGCTGGGGAAGATCAAAGAGGGTTTCGAAGAATGGCGATGCGAGAGAGAGGAATAGCTTGAATACGCGGAATTCAGCGTCGTCAGAAGACCTTAAAATAACGTCCGCCTTCACATGGTCGAAGGGCGACGCTGCATAAGACGGTTCGGAAGAGGAAGACATGCCGGATGATAGATACTAGGGCGTCTCGTCGCATCAGGGATGTATGGAGGGATTGGAGCATATACAGACCTGTGATGTAGTGGGCAAGCTCTGCGTTTTAACTTTGCTTCCGTCGATGCCCGGCCTTTTGTAGGCCAGTAAGCTGCATGTGCGTATTGCACAAGGTCAATGTAGATTGGCGATAAGTCCCTAGGCATCCCCTTCTCCAATGCTTTCGGCCGCCTGTGTACAACATTGCAACACGTGGGTCGAGATTCAATCGGAACGTCCACTTCCCAGAAAATATATCAGCAGCGGAAGTCAGAGTCAAAAACCATTTCCATCGTGAAGATACAAAGATAACTGAGGACTAGAGCTCCGGACAACGCACCATATTTTCATCGTGGAGTTGAATTTCACAAAAATGGGGCCACAGGGTTCGTTATCGACATCAATTATACCCTGTTTTGTAATACCGCTCCAGCCATTTGTGTCCACAACGCTGGGATGTAGAATTTATCAATAAACGAGGTGATGGAAGAAGCCCCAATGCTGTACTGGGAGAGGGGAAATTCGGATATTCGGGAAATGCAGATACCTTGGATACCCTCCACCTGCCAATGTGGGCATTTGTCAACGATTGGATGGATATTGCATATGCATTTCGCACCTTGCTGGTCTTTGTACGTCTGATGATCCGAGGATGTCAAACCACATCGAGGCAGGGTAACTACGGCAGAGGGGATGAAACATGATGGTCCCAAATAACAGCACAGTCGGAGTGTTGTCGGCAGGAAACCTATGCAACCTACGGGTAAGGAAGGATGAAGAACTATTGCTCCGCTTTTTGGTGGAAGCCTCCACCGGCTGAAACTCGGCGCGGGTTCTGGGCAAGGGTTGCGACAGACAGGATGAGCCTTCCAGGCTTGCTTGTGATTGAACATAGTCTCCCCTGACTCAATGGAAAACAGTCGTTCCTTCTCGACTAGATTGGCATCACTCTCCAAATTACGCCATCCATCTCGAGGGTGCTCTGGTGATATGCAGATTCGCATTCAATACTTTACACATCCCCAGACCAACCTGACATCTAACAAATTAACATCAGCCACCTTCTACGAACGTCGAGGATGGACAAAGCCTACCTTCCAGATCGGCTCTTCCACTTTGTTACAAAACGGAAGTGCTGACTTCAAAGGTTGATAATGAGTGTCCCGATCAGTGAACGCAGCTGCATCGTCGAGATGCATCTGTATACTCCTTTCGACATTTTATCGGATATTTTCTTCATGTAGGGCTTGTCCACGATTTCGGAGATGCGAAGCCTAAATACTATCTCCGTGAAGCCCTCTCACCGTTGGGGGGCGTCGTTTGCAACCATATCAAAATTAAACATTGGATACCTTCCGGGCGTTTCACTGAGTGCAACACCACTTGACTGCAAAGCGGCCATCCACAATGTTCCGCAAAAGGCGTTCAGTATTGGTCCAAGAGGTCGCCTTTAACGCCTGAACCACAGTAGGGCATTTTCGGTGGTGTGTCCACAATGCAAGGAGTTCAATGGAAGTAATTGGTTCAATCGCTTCGAACCGCACGGGAACCAGAGGCTCCCGAAGTACGCAACTGGTGGTGAGAACACGTTTGTCACGGTCATGCATGCGAGCACGACATGCAGCAGCGAAGTATCCGTGATTTCCTCTTCCGACGTGTTTTGGGTCCGCGAAAATCAAAGAAGGCCTTAAAAACTGTGAGGCGAGGAGGAAAAACTCGACAACGTAGAATTCAACGTTGACAGCAATCAGTGGACAGCATCGACTTCCACGACTTGAAGCTTGACTCCTTGAGCCTTTGCGATCATCGGACTGTCGGACGATCACAACATGCAGGTGTTTACTAGTGATCATATCTAATCTGCATTATAAATCCTGTTCAGGTTACTGATTCAAGTTGGGTTCAAATCGACCAGTTTAGTATTTCTTACCCACATCTATGAACTTTGTACATATCTTTTGGATCACTTGTGGCTTGGATTCACACTTTCCACAGACGAGGGTGCCTCTTTTATAGATCCTTTCTGAAGGTTGCAACGAACACAGACCTGAACAATGGCACCAACACTTGATGTCTCACATTCATCCATCAGTGAGGAACGAAGCTGTGGGTGTTTCTTGGTACCAGCTAACCAGTTTTGGTGTGGTGCTCCTATCTGTCATCTCATGCTAATATGCAGGACACAGAACTCCAAGGACTCAGGATACAGGATATGAAAAGAAGACAGTCCAAGTCATTCTTTGACAGCTTGTCTTGAAATCTGACCTTCTGCACAGCTACAGTCTGACAGATTGTACTATATAGTGTTGCATTTGCACAAATATTAAGTGTGGGAAATGTACACAAAATAGTGCAGGATGAACTTACAGTAGTGTGGGAAAACTTGCAGTAGGCAGGAAATGTACTTCCGGTAGTGTGGGACAGTCTACACATGATTGTGTAATGATTATGTAATACATTGGTGTGCCATGAAAATTTTTGTGCTTGCAAGCTTGCTTCCTCCCAACTAATCACACATCACAAATCTCTGCCATAATGCTGAAAGCAACCAATAATGATAAGATGGAGGACTGTAAGCAATCTAGTAGTCTGTTACTATTACTGACATATTATACAGTCTTTGCTTTTTGTCTGCAGACACTGCATTCATGTCTGCTCTCCAGGCAAACACAGTTTCAGTGCAGCAAGATCAGTGTATTGCTTGTGCTGCAGAGCAGGCACAGTTTACCACTACAGCTTTGAGGTGGGGGAGGGTGGTGAAGATGGTGAGGGCCTTGTGGGCTGCAATGATGCTACTGCTTTGGTAGCTGGGCAGTCCTTTTGGACCATTTTGTATGGAACTGTCTAACACTTCTATTTTACATTGTCTAGCAGACCCTTCAGTCAACCTTAGTCCTGAAACTGGGACACCCAAAGTGTACATTTGCCCTGAAAGTGGGACTAACCAACACCAGCTGGTGTGCCCTGAGGGGGGGGGGTAGGCCAACATGTGGAGGTGGGGTCAGCTGAACATGCCAGTGGATGGACCCCCTGCCTGGAAGTGGGGCTGGCCAACCTCACTAGAGGATAAAGACAGCCCCTGAAAGTGGGTTCTGCCAGTGTCACTAGCAGATGGACCCACCTCCTGGAAATGGGATCAGCTGACATCACTTCTGGATGTTCCCACCCCCTGGTAGTGGGATTGGCTGATGTCACTACTGGATGTTCCCACCCCCTGGTTGTGGGATTGGCCAATGTCACTACTGGATGTTCCCACCCCCTGGTAGTGGGATTGGCCAATGTCACTACTGGATCTTCCCACCCCCTGGTCATGGGATCAGCCAGTGTCACTACTGGATCTTCCCACCCCCTGGTAGTGGGATCAGCCAACATCACTACTGGAGGTTCCCACCCCCTGGTCATGGGATCAGCCAATGTCACTACTGGATGTTCCCACCCCCTGGTCATGGGATTGGCCAATGTCACTACTGGATGTTCCCACCCCCTGATAGTGGGATCAGCTGATGTCACTACTGGAGGTTCCCACCCCCTGGTAGTGGGATCAGCCAATGTCACTATTGGAGGGACCCAACTAACCTCCCCAGTGGATGTGGAATTGGCCAGAAATTAAGTTGGCTGGAAGCAACCTTTGAGTTGATGGTGGTGTATATCCATCAGCAGCAGAGATTAGGTTAGCTGTGAAGCAAGCTTTGATTTCCAGCAAACCCCCTGGAAGTTACAACATCTAAATTGTATCTACAAACCCTGTCCCAGAGCTCTCTTGGTTGGTTGGTGAAGTCTGCTTGGTCTCTTGGTCTCTTTCTCCTGAACCCCATGCTCCCTTGAACCCCCCTTTGTCATCTTCTTCTTGCTCTCAACATTCCCACTGCCTCCCCTTTTCCTTTTCCTTTTCTCCTGGGGTGTATCCTCTGGTTTCTTTTCCTCACCAACCATCCCACTGTCACCAGAGTGCTCTACATCTCCACCAGTTTTTTTCCCAGAGCCTCCCTGTTCCTCTGAGTCACCAGAATTTTGCACCAACCTTGCAATTACCTCCCCCACTGCAGCTAAAACATCTTCACCTCTGCTGATATCAAGCTTAGAGTCCAGCAAGAAACCTAGATTAGCAACTTCTGGGTCATCCTCTTCTACTTCCTGTGCCCTCTTGCACTCCCTCCACAACATACCAAATCCAAGTACCACAGGAAGACCTTTCACCCTGGAAGTAAACCTCTGGGCTTGCAATTGACCCAGTGTCTTCCAGAAGGAACCCCCATTGGCATGGATCTCTTGGGGCAGATACTGGGCACTCCAAGTCCATGATGCCCATTCAGGCAACCCTACCCTGGGTTCCATATCAGGTTCCTGTGCCATATGTTTGTTAACCCAGTCTTCAATGCAAGATTGGCACTTACTGTCTCTGGTAAGGCATATACAAGATCAATGAGATCCTGGTACCTGGGCATGATGGAAAGGGTCTTTAAAAATTTCATCTGGTCCCCATTGGCATGCCAAGCAGGACTGGAGTCATGAGGGGTATTTTGAGATGAGGAGGCCCCAGAGTCAAGCCTATCTTCCTCAACAACCAGAGTTGCCTTGGATGGCCTAGCCCCACCAGTTTCCAACTCTGCCTCTGAGTCTGATGTCCCAGCCATTTCACTGGGCTCCCCCCCAGCTTCATTGTCATCATCAGGGCTCACCCACACCCTTTTTTTTCCTGCTGGTTTTCCAGTTATCTCTGCAGGAGGTCTGGTTAGCAAGCTATCACCTCAGGGAATGACAGCCCTTACTGTGCATCCTCTATGCTGATTCCTTCTGCAAGCCAAGCCACAGAACCAAGGTTTCCTGAGAATGAAGGTGGATTTTTCATGAGCTTTAACTGCACTTCACCAATGGTAGGGGCTACAGATCATCAGACAGGCCCATGGTTGGGATAAACTGACTGACCTTTGTCCCCTTCAACAAATAAATATCTAGGGCCTCCCCTCAATCTGCCTCTGCCTCTAGAGCATCCAATTCCCATCCCATAACCTTACTAGGGTCTAGGACAGCTTTCAACTGCTCATATGCCTGATTCATTTCCTCCAGACACTTGTTTGAAGTTTTGTATTTTTTTAGCAGTGAAGGGACTGAGAGGAACAGTCTAAACTCTCTTCTCTTTGAAGAGATCTCTCACCTATGCCCACAATTTTTTTCCAGTTAGAATCTCTCATATGATCATCATACACCTCTTGTCTGTGGGCTTGAGTCATAGACCTTGCAATTGGAGAGATCTTATTGAATGGAGCTCACAATGTCTTCAAAATTTCACCATCCAGGTGGCCAGTACCCTTGACAAAGTTGAGGCTATATCTTGGAAAGCAAGAGAGTTTGTGGGCAGCCAGATGAAACTTCCCCACAGCAGGAATGATTTGGAGGCCATGTGGAAGAGTGAGAGAGCAGCTGGACTTTACCTGACTCCAGAAGTTGATACTCCATTGGCACCCTACATCATAAATGACAAGGGCCTTTTGGATGCTTTGGGAATGGTAATCAAGAGCATTGCAGATGCAGTAGTCAGTGTTCATATACCTGGCCCAAAGTGAGCTCCAATGCATCCATTCTGCCTGACAAGCCAACTTACCTTTCCCCATTTTGAAAATCCACCACAGAATGGGGAACAAAGCAACCATGTCTTGCACAGGCTGTTGCACCAATGCCAGTGGACCAGAGATTAGACTTGTTGATATTGGCAGCATTGATGGCCCTGTGATTGCTGCAGGTGGATCTCTAACAGTATGGTGGGTCCTTTATATTCCAGGGCCTTCAAGCCTCCAATTACTATTACTTACCTCCTTGTTATCCAAAGACTGCTGGAGATGAGTCTGATAGGGTGCCTCAGAAACCATGTAGCCTTTTCCATCTGATAATGACACATCCAGCTCTGGCTTGTTCATTTTCATATGCTATGCAGTGAAGTTGCCATCCATCACATATTGCCTCATCACAGTGTCACTGAAGGGGGTTAGAAATGGAATGCCTATGTATTAAAGCCCCTTACCTGCTGTAGTGAGTTCTCCAATCTGGAGGTAAATTAATGCCTGGTTGTGGGCAAGCAGGGCAAAAGAGTGCAAGTCCTCCCTGCCCAGGATCTTGCTCAGAATCATGACCAAACCAAAACCATTTCCTATGTTTCAAATCCCTCCACAGTTGGGACACCCACATCAGCTCTCAGTATGTCACAAAAATGGTTAGGATCATGCCAATGATGACAAATTGTAATAAGCATTATGAAACCCCTCTCCTGCTTAATAATGATCATCATAATGTTCTGGAAATGCAACTGAGATATGATAATGCAATGAGTTCCATTATCTTCAGGGTAAGATTGCCATAAGATCATCACAGCAGCATTGCAATGTGGTGGCCTGCACTGCATGTTGTTGGTATGTACTTCCTCATGATCCCCTGCCCTTTTTTCCTGAACCACTGCAATCCCTTCATCTTCAGTGTTTCAGAAATGGCCCCCATTCATCACACAAAATATAACTATTTGGAAAAAACACTTTTGAAAATGTCCAAGTGCTAAATCTGTGGAAAACTATTCAACCTCAGGGCATCAAGAGCCATGCAACACACTGTGTGGCTCATCAAACAAGGGAAATACAATGAATAGATGCTACTAAGGAATATGAGAGGGACAAGGAGCAAGGTGCATCTAGTTTTCACTGTGTATTGTTCTCAGCTGAGGAATTGAGGGTAGTGTTGGTCACATCTGCATACTCAACAGTGTGCACACACATCATGCAGGCAGGCCCTTCTCAAGTAGCCTGCACACTTAATGAAGATAACAATGGATTGCCAAGTGCATTTCATTCAACCTATGATACACCTGCACTTAGGGCTGTTTTCTTTACAGCTCCCAACATTTTGCACTCAGGACACATGGATTTTGTTGATCAGGACATGTGGGAGCCTCATGGAGATCCTGTTGCACAAAGTGGTGAGTGCATGAACTCAGTGCTACCTGGTTTCTGAGTGCACCATACTAAGTACATACATGCTTGATATGAATAGATCAATCAAATGTCTCCATGGCAAGTAATGGTAGTGACTGAATGCCATCCCCTGAACAGCTGCCTGCTGACTTCAAGACTGAGTTCCATCCCCACAGCAATACCCCATTGCTTTTCCAGTCACAAGAAGAATTTGGTCAGTGTGCTACTGCTATGATGGCCCCCAATCCACACCCATGGTGCCCATTTATTGAGGAGGGCAGCTACTTGTTCACTGAAATAGCATTGCAAGCAGGCCTCAATGCATCGCAGATCAATGGGCTGCTTTCCCTCATTTCACACATCATCCAAGGAAAGGCAAATGTTACCTTGCAGAATGATGTTGACCTTCAATGTGCATGGGACAAGGGCAGCCATGCAGGTGACACTGGTACATTCTTTCTCTTCATACACTGTGAGCTTCCATGCATTCATCCACAAGCTTCTACTCTAGTTTACATGACACAACATGACTGCACCTTATAAAGGAGAGAACTTAACATTCCCAGTTTATGTGCATTCATTATGGGAGTGGGCTCTTGATCTCTTATTGAACCCCCTCCTTGCACCTCACTTCATCTGGGATGCCCAACAGGTCTTCTGACATAATGGCCATGAGTACAAGAGATTCTACTCAGAACCATGGACTGGTGATTGCTGGTGGGACATTCAAGTATGTTGTAATAACCTGTACACTTTGTATATACTGTGTTTAACTTGTGCTTGCTTCTAGTCTTGTTTACCTCAGGTTGAAAATGTGGCCCTGTTTGCTTTTATCCTATATGCTGACTGAACACATCTAAGTTCCCATGGAACTGTCAAAGGTTATCCTGTTGTAGCTCATTGTGGAGATCTGCCCATGAACATCAGAAATGGAGAGTGCTTTGGTGGTGGATGTGTCATTGGCTGGTTGCCAATTGTAAGTTACTGAGTGCAGGCTTCAGCATCCTTGCTCATGTATATTATGCAAGGTTCCCAAGTCTGCCAAAGAAGAGGGGAAGACTGACTACACCAATTACAAATGCATTATTTGGCATGAAGCATTCCTTTGTATCATTGATAGACTTGCTGAACTCTCAAAGCTAGGATACAAATATGAGTGCTATGACAAGATCACTTGGTGGCTCTTTCCCTTGATTCTCATCTTATCTGTGTTGTATATTCTGTCTTTCACATTATACTTTTGTCTGCATCTCACTTAGTATTATGGTATGCATTTAGCCATATTACATAATCACATTCATTTTCATACTTGAGTAGCATACTCACACCTCAGTTGGCTACTTAACCCAACTGAGTAGATATTCTACAGGTTATGAGCCCTGGTGCTCACTAACTGGGAACTTGTAGCAACATGTCATTCACATCCAAGCTTGGAGATGATTTCCTTAAGGTCCCAAAGCTCTTGGCAGATGGAGAGAACTGGGTAACATACAAGGACAGGCTAATGTGGTCTTTGGATGCTCATGGGCTGCTTGGGTACACAGATGGTACTGAGACAATGCCAGTCAACCCCAAGACACTAGCAAACTGGAGTGAGAGCTGGATTCCTATCTCTGCAGAGGAGAAAAAGGAAGTGACAAACTACCAAGCTACTCTAAAAGAATGAAGGCTTGGCCAAGCCATTGTAAAGCAACAAATCACCAGCATGATCCCTGACACACTGTTCATCCAAATAAAGAGTCTCACTACTGCACTCAACATCTGGACATACCTATCCAACCTCTTTGAGAAGTGCTCTCATGTTGTATCAGTTGAACTGCTGAAGAAGCTCCAAACTTTAAAATGCACAGAGAAAGGAAACATCAGGGAACACTTTGACAAAATGCAGCAAACACACAAACAACTTGCCTCAATGGGCCAAGCCCTAACAGACAAAAGCTACATGGCTATGGTCATGACATCCCTCCCAAGCTCTTTTGACTCTGTCATTGGAGCAATGTCTGTGCTTGCAAAAGTTTCCACTTCCACTACCCTAACAACTGTGACTCTCATGGACGCAGTACAAGATGAGTATGACTGCTCTGCCACAAAGCAGAAGAAGTCTAGTGATGCAGATGATGCAGCATACTCAGCTGGAGGAAAGCAGAAGAAGTTTGCTGGAACTTGCTACAAATGTGGAAAATGTGGGCACTGAGCTCATGAATGCAGGTCAAGTGGGGATGACTCACAAAGTGGAGGGAAGTCTCTGAACAAAGGGAAGCAAAAAGAGCATGCAGCAGTGGCCAAGGACAACAGTAGCAATGACCCAGATGGGGTATGGCTTGCACATATCAATGACAGCTATGAAGCTGAGGTCAACAAAGCTCAACCATCCCCAGAGACATTTGCTACTAGTGCATACATGAGACCACCAAGCTACACTACTCTATATGACTCTGGAGCCTCCCATCACATGTCATCATACAAGGAAAACTTTGTCAACTATAAGCCCATTACTCCCAAACCCATTACTGCAGTGGACAAATGAACCTTCAAAGCCATTGGAAAAGGAGATGTGTACATATCCCTACCAAATGGCAATTGGCCCACTCATATCCTCTTAAAGGATGTTCTGCATACACCTAAGATTGGCATGACCCTGGTATCCATTAGCTGCCTGGACACAAGTGGATATGCCATACTCTTCCATGACTCATGCTGCAAGATCTTTAATGGACAAAAGAAGCTCCTTGGGGAAGTACCAGTTAGCAGTGGCCTCTACACAACCAAAGCCACACAGAAGGTTTATGCAGGCTTAGAAAACTTAAGAGTAACCCTTACCATGGAAGATATCCATGTGTGGCTCAGCCATATATCACTGGACACTATTAACCAAATGCTAAAGGGCAGCATTGTAACTGGAATAAGCCTAGACCCTTCCCATGCAACAATTGAATCTTGTGATGCATGTGAGTATGCCAAGGCAACCTGAAAACCCATAGGAAAAATCTGAGACCCCCCACACCAAGACAAGGTTGGCAATGAAATCCATATGGACTTATGGGGACCATCCCCTGTCCAAACAAATGCAAGGAGTCAGTATTTCATGTCATACACCAATGACCATACTCACTTTACAAGCCTGTACCTCCTGAAGTCAAAGGACAAAACCTTTGAGTCCTACCAGAAGTATGAAGCCTGGCTACTGACACAGTTCAACATGAAGGTTAAAAGGCTTTGCTCAGACCAGGGTGGGGAGTTCCTAAGCAAAGAGTTTTCATGTCATCTCAGGCTAAAAGGAACAGAGAGGAAGCTCACAGTGCACAATACACCACAACATAATGGTGTTGCTGAAAGGCTGAACTGCACACTTGTTGAATGTGTATGTGCTATGCTAAATGCAAGCAGTCTCCCAAAGTCACTATGGGGAGAAGCCATAATGCATGCAAACTGGTTAAAGAACTGAACCTCCACCCATGCACTCAACAAAGTGACACCCTACAAAATGCTGTATAAAAAGAAACCAGATCTATCTGATCTACTGATCTGGGGCTGCCATGTCAAGGTCCACACAGCTGATGGTTCAAAACTAGACATGCATGTGAAAGATGGTCACTGGGTAGGCTTCAATAAGGACACAAATGCACACAGAATTTATTTTGAGGACTCATGACATGTGGGTGTTGAACAAAATGTCTGATTCAGCTTGCAGGAGGTCACCATTCCTATCAGCATGCAGCTTGAGGGGGAGAAATACATCACAGATGACAAGGGAGCATCATCCACCTCACACATAGCTGGTAAAAGCAATCAGCATGCCATACAAACCACAGAAAAACACACCTATGACACCAAGTACTCCCATTGACCACCTTGGACCAAGGTTCAAACCTGCAGCACCCACCTGTCACTCTGGTCACACATGCATTGAGTCAGCATATGTATGGCACCTGTGTGAGGGTGAGGGTACATATGACAGATGAATCCTACTGCCTACACTACCACTACCTTGAGGAATACAACCAGGCTTGCAACAAGAGGAGAATAGAGAGACAGCAGACCTGGGTATGATGGGGGTGATGGATGAAGATGATGAAGAAGTTTTTGCCTTGGTTGCTGGGACTGCAGAGCTAGAACAGACAGATCCCATCATGATCAAAGATGCTTGTGTGAGACCTGATTGGTCAAAGTGGGAGGAAGCAATTAATAAAGAACTTACCTCATTGGATGAAGCACAAATGTGGAGCATTGTTGAGAGACCACAAGGTGTCAACATGGTTGGCTGTAAATGGGTATTCCATATCAAACACAACATGGAGGGAGAAATTGAAAAATACAAAGTGCAACTTGTAGCAAAAGGCTACTCACAGGTCCACAGCATTGGCTACTATGATACCTATGCACCTGTTGCATGCATGGCATCTATCCACACCATCCTTGCTATTGCAGTGCAGAACAACTGGGATGTTGATGTTTTCAACTTCCAGAGTGCTTTCCTAAATGGGAAGTTGGATGATGATGAAGTAATCTACATGCAACTGCCACCCAGACTCTCAGTTAACAGCAAATATAAAAACCCTGTTGCCCAACTGCACATAGTGCTTTATGGATCAAAGCAAGGAGCATTGAAGTGGTATGAGCAGCTGTGCACCACACTCACTACACTTGGTATGCATTGTACTGAAGCTGACTGGGGTGTTTTCTTCATGCACATAGGCCAGGACATCCTACTCCTCACATTACATGTTGACAACAGCACCATTACTGGCAATAACCCTAGCTTAATCAAAAGGTTCAAATCTGAAGTGGCTGCAAACTTCAAGTTGACAGATTTAGGCCCCACCTCATCCCTACTCAGAATAAAAGTTGTGCATAATCACTCAGCACACAGGCTCTCACTCTTGCAGGCATCCTACATCAATTCTATGCTGTTAAAATATACTTTTGTAGATCTATGGCCTGTTGCAATGCCTATGGACCCCTCAGTCCAGTTCTCAACTGCCCAGTGCCTGAAAATGCATGCTGAGGCTGCACACATGAAAAATGTGCTGTATCATGAAGCTGTTGGCTCGCTGATGCACCTAGTGGTCACCACACACCCTGACATGGCTTTTGCTGTTGTGACATTGTTGCAATTCTGAAATAATCCCAGGTTAGCACATTGGGAGGGCATAAAAAGAATATTTAGATACCTTTTAGGCATGAAAGGGCTCACATTGACATTTGGAGGTGATAGGTATGGCCTTGAGGGCTATATGGACACAGATGGTGCCTTGCAGGAGCACAGGCATGCCATTTCTGGCTACACCTTCCTGCTCAATGGCAGAGTGATATCCTGGACCTTGAAGAAACAAGAACTCATTACTTTATCTACTATGGGAGCCAAGTATGTTGCCACTACTCATGCTGCAAAAGAAGCCATCTGGCTTTGACACCTTATCCAAGAACTTTTCTGCCCACTCTTGCTCCCAACCACAATTCATTGTGACAGTCAATCTGCAATTGCACTTGCTCACCATGGCAATTACCATGCCTGTACAAAACACATTGATGTTCAATATCATTTTATATGCTATGCTATTGATAATGGCTTGCTTTGCCTCATCTACTGTCCTACTGGCAGTATGGTTGCAGATACCCTTACCAAGGCTCTTCCAAACATTGAAGCCAAGCACTTTGCTTATGAGCTTGGACTCCATGATGTTTGAGGGGGAGTGTTGTATATTCTGTCTTTCACATTATACTTTTGTCTGCATCTCACTTAGTATTATAGTACACATTTAGCCATATTACATAATCACATTCATGTTCATACTCAAGTAGCGTACTCACACCTCAGTTGGCTACTTAACCCAACTGAGGTGAGCACTTTCCACATCCTGTCTTTACACTCAGCTAATAGTCCTGTAGTATATATTCCACAATCTGCTGATTATGAAGAACAGTAAGTTGAGGGCACTACAAGTGTGAATTGACATACTAATAACTATGTTGACATTAGATGCATGATGAGCCTAATTCAAGGCATGAAGAGTAAACATCCATGCCCAGTTTGTTTGGTTCCCCTCAAGGAGTTATCCCAGCTTGCCAAATCATTTCCAACACATACCATAAGACAGGCAAAAGAAGCCCTCACCATCTATCAGGAAAAGAAGTCAGCCAGTTGCAGTGAGTTTTGTATTTAATAGTGACTCTTACCAACCACACAACCAAATCACAAGAACATTTTCTGGAAGGTTGAGAACTCAGAGCCAGAGGAAGCTGTGAGCTTTGACCACCTCCATGCTCTGCATGATGGTCTTTTTGGGCACCACTCACTCAAAGAACTCAAGATTCTTTTAAGCAAATTACTGCATAAGTATGCAGTGCAACTTGAGGAGCAGTATGTACTACCCTCTATTTACTTCACTAAGACATCCTAATCCTAAATTGCATGCAGGCCTGCAGCATTTCCAAGCTGGCAAGGTTTGGTGCACTTCAATGGCATCCTACATGTAAGCCATGCTGATGGGAACAAACTCCAAGATCTTGCATGGGTGAGATTCTTCTTTTGACTTCCCAGTATAAGCCAACAAACTCACAAGCAAACCTTCTATGCTGCTTTGAATATTCTGACAAATGATGTAAGCTGTGAAGGCTACCAGCTCCTATGGATGCTCCACAGCTACTTAGAATTGGACAGTCTCATTGGGCTGGACATGCACACTGACAGGACCCTTGAATTGATAGAGAGGGAACAGTTGGTTTTTGGAAGTGAGCTAAAGGTACATGATATTTCCTTGCTGTTAGAGTTGACTGTTGATCCCCCACTCTGACCTAGGAGTATGTCTCCCATGTGGCTAATGGTGAGCTAGCAGGACACCTCAAAATGGACTGGAATTTTCCAAAGGTCCATCTTTGGAAACATGTCATGTGGACATTCAGAATAAAGGAGCAGCCCATAACTACAGCACTCAGCCCAATGAGAAAATGCATGGCTCACTTAAAGATGCATATCAGGACTGCTCAAATGGTAAGGATGTTGCCATTCAGGTGTGTCCAGCTTCTGCTCTTCTCATCTCACTCCAGTCCCACTGACCTGAAGTCACATAGGTCCTTCATGTTGATCACCACCACTTAGCCATGAAACTAATTAGGAACCAGGTGGATGCTGAAGCCAATCATACACAGCTAAGATCATGATGATGATGATATTGATGGTGGGGGTGATGAGGATGTCCTCATGAGTTTCAGTGAGCATGTTAAGCTCAGTTCACTGCAGTCACCAAAGAGCATTCAATTGATCATTCATGATCATGC